TCCTTGGACAGATCTGGGCCTAGGGAGCCCTGCCTCTGCCCGTGAATCTCCAGCACTTGATTGATGCTCAAGGTCTTGCCCCTCATTTGGGGCAGCTGGAGGGATCAAGCCTGCTCTGCCCAGTGCCACAGGCTGCCTTCGGTGCCAAAGGGGCCACGTATTTTCTTGGCCCCCAGTTTGATCTGCTGGGAACAGACTTCACTGGCATCTGATGTTGCCCTGGAGGGCAGGAGACCCTTTTCTGGCCTGGGGAGGCTGCGTGCTGGGTGACCCCCCCCCTCGCCCAATTATTTGCCTTGGCTTTCGTTCAAATTCTCTGCCTGCAAACCGTCTCTGTACATCTTTTCTTCCTCTCAAGCTCTCATTTGAAGCAACCGCGTCTGCTGTGCTGCCTCCCTTCTTCTTCTTGCGCTAAGACCCCCATTGGATGGAGACCTGGGGTCTTTGCAGGCCTTGCTCTCCGCCCGGGCCTCCCGCTGACGGCTCCTTATTTCAGCCCCAGCAAGAACAAAACGCTTGTCTCAGAGTCTTGTTGTTCTAACAAGAAAGGGGCGGGGGGAGAAAATCCATAAATTGTAGAGCAAACACAATAATGGCACAACAGGGCACTTTATGGTATTCCTTGTTTGTTACAAGATAAGAAATTAGCCGAGGCTGTAGAAGCTGATAATTTTCTTATTTGTTTACTTTCAATATTTGCGGACCCTCCTTCAGGCAGAAAATTGTCCGGAAGCCAGTTTGCCAGCATTTAGGAAATGCAAATGAGCTGTAATTAGGAAAATGTTTCTTCCTCTGTGCTGTGAAAATCTGTGTTCAGATTGAGTGGACTCTTGGTGGGGGGGAGCTAAAATTAAAGAGCCCTTATTGGAAATCAGCACCACGAGGCTGAAATAGAAGTCACAGAATGTAGCCAGATACCACAACTTTGGCACAGGTTTTGGGGAAGAAGGGGAGAAGGCTGGATGGAGCGGGGGGGGGGGAACCGTGACCTTAGAATTTGGGCTTCCACTCCCAGAATTCCCCAGCCAGCATGGTTGCTAAAGCCCACGCATCTTAAACTTGACCAGGTTGAGAAACACTGATCTACATCAATGATGGAGCACCTGTTTGGCCTCTGGGTCTGCCGGGGAGCCCTCCCTCCCGCTGCCAAGGAGGAGGAGCTGAGAGGGAGCATGCCTTTGGGGGTGGCCGGGGGTGCAAAGACTGGGGGGCTGGCACAGAGGAGCCTGCAATCAAAGTTCATGCAAGCTTTTAACAAGTGTTTAAACTTGGAAGCCCCCCCCCAAATGTCCTGGCTGGTTCCTCCCTCCCTGTTGGGTCCCCCCTTTTAATCAGCAGCCTATGTGGCATGAAGCTGGCTGGGCTCTGGCTGATCACACAAGGGGTGCGTGGAAATTAACCTTGGCTCTCCTGCATGCTAATATAATCTTAAACCACATCTTATGGGCTGCAGCTAAAATTGCTTTTTAGATTAACATTTAATTATTAACCGGATGCGTTCTCTCCTCCACTGATTCCCCAGCAGGCTCCGGGCTTGCTCGTGATGGGGGGGGGCAGCCAGTCAGGCCTCTTCCCCCCCCCCAATGTATTAGCTGGGCTTCATGGAGACATTTGCGAGCACGGAAAAGAGGTCACACCGCCCCACCCCAGCAGCCTGCCTGCTTTATTAGATGCCTTTGGCAAGGTGCTGGTGAACTTTCCTGTTTGGGGTTTTATTTATTTGCCATAATTTACAGAAAGGTGACCCTTCTCCAGATTAACTCATTCCAGCACCCAAACTGTCAGCTTTGCTAATTGAGTTGCAGCCCTTTGGGGTTTTCAAGGTTAAGCATAAATTATTTGCAAGTTGCCTGAGTAGCAGCTCACAGGAACAGAGGAGACAAAGCACAGGAGGGTGTCGAGAGAGGAATGGCATGCTTCAGAGCATAGGCAGAGTGCATCCGTGTCTTGGGTGCGAAGGGGGAACTGGCTTTGTCTAATTTTACATCCTTTGGACGGACCCAGAAGGAAGTTAGATGCGATGGTTTCAAAGCTTGGTCTGTAGTTTGCTGGATTAGGCTCACCTTTGCACCAGGGTTGTGATGCCCCTGAACACAGACCATGTTACAGCTCACCAAATGGAGGGCTTTCTGTTGAGCAATCGGACTTAAGACGGGTGAGCGTAAACCCCTGGCAGGCTGGCACGAGCAGTCTCTGACTAGGTGTGTGGTGCCTTCATCCTTCCTGCTTTCCACAACACCACCTGGACCTTCATAACAGCCCTGCAAGGTAGGGTGGGGGAGTTCCCAGGTTATTAAATGATGTGCATGGCTGGGGAGGGGAATTTGAAGTTGGTCTTCCTGTGCCCCCCCCCCCTCAATTGCAGGCTTTCAGAGTTATTAATTCCTTACGGCTGGTGCTCAGTATAATCAGATCACACGACCACAGCACAAATAGAGAAGAAGCCACGTGGCCACGTGAGACAATTCACAGCAAAGTTCCCAACATCAGTCGAAGATTGTTTGAAGCGCTTCCGAAAGAGCAAGTAAAGCCCACGTGGATTATGTCCAGCTGTGCCCCTCCAGCATAGCCACTGAGGGTGCTTCAGAGGAGCTGTGATGGGAATTGTAGTCCCAACAGAGCTACGAGCCATCATGTCAGAGGATTGCCGCAATGATGGCTTGGAAGTTGGAGCAAGCCTGGTTTTAAAATTCTCTGTGCCGCCCCCCCCCCTGCAGTCTCTCATTGGGACTCAAGGCCCCTTTTATCAGCAACTGGAAGGTGCCAAAGAGCAGTCATTCCCCTTCAGGGACAGGTGATTTTGGGAGGGGGGAGGATTATTAAAGTTGCAGAGACCTTGGGCTTATAAATAGCCCTGTTTTTCACGGCAGGCTTTCAAAATTAGCAGGCGTTAGAGAAAAGGCTGTGAAATGGGTACTTATATATTGAGAAGGGAGCTATTTTTAAAGGCCCTGCAGTGGGCAGATGTTGTGTCCTGGGCGTGGCAGTTTGCAGCCAGGAGGCGAGAGCCAGGGCAGGGCCTGATCCAGCAAGTGGGAGCATCCTTTTCTAGCTGGACGGGCTCTTTCGAAAGCTGGAGAGAACAGGGTGGGTGAGCAGCCAGCTGCCCTCCACCAGGGATGGAGTTGGCAGATGGGCAAAACTGCTCAGTCCGGCCGGGCTCTCTACGGACCCGGCTGCCGGTGAAATCCAGGACGGGTGGGATTTAACTCAGATGCCGAGGGACCTAAGTAAGCTGAAACTTTTTTGCTGAGCTTTGGCATTAGAGATCCTCCATGACATCATAGCAGATTAGCCAATAAGCTGGGGAGATTTGCAAGCAGGTTAAAAACGGGTTGCCCCTTGGGGCTTTGGAGAAAGAGACCAAATGGGCCGGGATTCGGCTTCGCTTTGGTAGGTGAAACTCTCAAAGAAAGAAAGTGCATTGTTTTACTCTGCAGTTCTGAGCTGTTCCCACGCCAGGCAAAGCTCTGCCATCTGGGCTGGGCAGGAGTCCCTCCCTGGTGGCCCAAATCCCGGTCCAAAGCCCCGAGCGGTGCCTTTGGGGGGCAGAAAGGGGCTGTGGATCTGCTTGCAGGATTAACCTCAAGTGCCAGGAGGAGAAGCCGGGGCAGGAAGTCGAGGCTGGAGGCCCAGATGGCCAATCCTCCTTAAGACGGGCAGAGCAGCTGAGCAGAGCCCTGCGTGCTCTCAACTGCAGTAAGAACCGCTGCCCATCCAGCCTCGCAGGCAGCGGGGCACAAAGAGACCCACGAGTGCACAAAGTCCCAGGTCCTCCGAGTCTACCTCCTCACGGACCGTGCCCTGCCTGGTTCTCTCTTGCCCTGCTCGTAAGGAGGGGGGCAGGAGCCACCCCCAGAACTGCAAAGAGGGGCTCAGCTGCTTCCCTGCTCAGAGTCTCTGGGGCCAACCTCAAAGTTGGAGGGCTGCGGGCACCGTCGGAAGGAGCCCGGCTCCATCTGGGTGGGGGCCTGGGCCTGCTCCCCTGCAGCCCCTCACTTTGGACCGATCCCCTTGAATGAAATTACTAGAGAGGAAATGGCTCTTGCATTAAGGAGGGCTCCATAATCAAGGCCCGTTTTGCTAGCCTCTCTTTTCTCTTCCAGACGGTAATAGGCGAAAATTGGCTGCGAGACGGAATAAAAGTCTCTTTCAGAGTAAAAAATCGCTTCTTTCAAGGTAGCTGCACGGAAAATAAAATAGCTGGTGATGATGAAAAGTGCCTGTGTTTCAGACTTTGCTTTTCTTTTCTTTCCCCCCTCTTTAGAGAAAGGCTGGTACAGATGGGGGGGTAGAACCTAGATTGAGATAATTACGTAGTAACGAACTCTTGTTGTGAAATTAGCATCTTAAGAAAGATAGTTGAAAAGGGCTTTTATGCCTGAATACTTCATTAGTAGGAGGAACAGGAGTTTGGCGACTCCAGGCGCATGTTCAACAGGAGCAGCTCCCTGGCGAGAGGGCCGGGTTGCTTTTGGCCCCCTCCGTGGGGTGTGCAAACTCTTGGGGACCAGATTGTGCGTTCCCTGCTTGCTTTCTCAGGGAGGCACAGTGGCTGGGCTGGGGAAAGCCGGAGGGCGTTGTGCCGTCATTTGGGGGGGCAGGGGTGCTCTGGGTGGAAATGGAAAAGCTTTCCCTCCTTCCTGGAAGATTTAGGCAGTTCCCTTCTCTGAGGGTAAGAAGCCACATCCGTCATTTTAAGATTTCTGTGCCAGGATGAGAGCGCGGGGGGGGGAGGCAGGAAGGAGCTGTTTGCAGGACTCCCCTTTGCTCATTTAGCAGCCAGGGGCTCCTTCAAGCCACACACCCCCAAGGTTGTGAAACTCTGGTCTAGAAGCTTGGAAGTGTTGATTGTCCGTAGAATTTTGCTTCTCCAGAATGCACAGCACCCTTTGAAGCCGGAACCCTGCATGGATCTTCCTTCCCTGATGGTTTGTGATGCTGGCACAGTTTCGGGCTGATGGATTGACCTCGTTTCTCTTCTCTGGGATGCCTTGCAGGGTCTTCTGGAGTGATGCCACCAGAGTCGTCTCGCCCTCTCTTCCGCCATGTTGGCCTGCCTGCAGAGGACCCAGAACCCACCGAGGCAGCCTCTGGGTTGTCCGAATAAGGCCCTGGAGCCACGCAAGGGTGAGTTGCTCTGGGCTGGTGGCTGCAGCCAGGCGGGCAAAGGAGCCGATCCCCTGGGAGGCGGCCACCCCCCCTTGTCTCTAGTGGTGACCCCTGGTAGAGGAAGGGGCTCTTGGCATGAGTGCCGTGGGGGCCCCTGTTGCAGTTCCCCTCCCCTGATTCCCACTCAAGCCCATCAGGGCTTTTGGCGGCTGAGCGGAGGGAGGGGGCCTTTTGCAGGAGCCGTAAATGAGTTACCTTAAAATAGGTCCCCAAAGGTCACTGGGCAAAGCACCTGTTCCTGGCGTTCTTTGTCTCTAAATCCAAAGCTATGATTAAATGTAAATTTAATGAGCCTGGTTTAGGCGGGCAGCGTTGACCTCTTTGGCTGCAAAGGCGCATTAGGATTCTAAAGTGATTATTGTGTGTTTTAAACTGGAGGAATTTTTTTTTTAATGATTGTTCTCCTTTATACCAGCGCTTCCTGTCTGCAAGGACACAGCCTGGGCTGGGCTCTGGTGGCTGCAGGGGTTCAACCCCCTTTTTCGTTCTTTCTTCCCTGGCTGAGCAGGGGGCGCAGAATCAGAAGCAGTCGGAGATTAGGCTGGCCTGTTTCCTTCTTCCCACCAGGCGCCTGCGGAAAAAGTGCCAATTTCTCCTTCCCAGGAGAGTTAGGCTGGGTTTTTCCAAGGGCGGCTTTACCGTTAGTCCTTCTGCCTGTTTTCATTTGTTTGCTGGAGAGGAGGGTTTGAATGGAATTGGACTGAATACTTTATTTGGCCAAGCGTGATCATACACACAAGGAATTTGTCTCCGTGGCAGAAGCTCTCGGGGTGCCTGCAAAGCCACAGAACGACGATCACCAACGTCATCATCACCATTAAACTTGCAGGTTCCCAGTTTTACTTAGCATCAGTTCTAACTGAGCTGGGCACAAGTGAGTTTGCTTGGGCCTCCCTCACTGGGTTGATTTTACAACTGCTTAGTGAGAGAGAAATCAAATCTCTGGCCCTCCCCTCGCTTGCTCCCCTCCCCCTGAGTTAAGGGTCAGGTAGCCTCACCCTGGGCATTTCCTTGCCAAGGCAGTTTTCCCCCTTGGCTGTTCCACCCACAGAGGAGAAGCTGCGCCAGGGGGCACACAGATGGCCGGTGGGGGGAGGGGGGGTCTTTGCCTTAGCCTGGGGGCATTGAGGAAAGGGGGGGGTCTCTTTTTGTCCTGTCCTTCCAGATTACTCTCTCAGTAATCAGGAACGAAAACGCTTCTTAAAACTAGACATGATTTAGAAGCGCCTCTGATTACTTAATTTGCTCCCAAGTATCTTGGTAATTATCTTTATGGGCCTTATTTCATGTCCTCTGGCTGCGTTTCCGTCAGCATGAAATAAGTCGGCCGCCCAGCACGGCCTGCCACGGCTGCAGAATCCTATTACGCACCCGGGTCGTTGATTAATTTTGGTATTAATTTTGCATGCAAGGTGTGCCTACTAATATTTGCCCTGCTGCCTGTGCTGGAGCTACAGAAGGAGACATTTCTCCCAGCCCCCCCCCCCCGTCTCTCCCCAGACTTTTCCGGACCCCTCCCCTGGCTTCCTGGCCCACTTGGCTTTGCACAGAGCAACCAGGCTGGCCTGGCTACTTTGCAGGTTGGTGAGCAAATGGTGCTCTCCAGCAGGCACTCTTCAGCCACTGCCCAAGGGCCACAGCTGGCAGAGACGGGAGGGGAAAGGCCAGCTGTGGATCCCCAGCTGCTTCTTTCCAAGTCAGGCCCATGATGGGCACAGCCCCCTTCCAGAGGGCCCCCCCAGTGGTTGATTGTTCATGGGACAGAAGGAGGATGCTACTAAATATGTACCAATAAAGGATAATATTTGTAGCTCAGGGTTTAAATGAGGGGTCCTTGCTGCTCTCTGAGCTTGGAGGTTTTCTTGCAGATGTTTCATTACCCAACTAGGTAACATGATCAGTGCTAGAAGAGAGGGGGGTTTGCAGGGAGCAGGAGGAGGAGGAGGACTGTGCAGTCCTTGGTGCTTTCTGAACTTCGTGGTTTTCTTAAAGACGTGTGATGATTTTACCTAGTGTGGGTAATGAAACCCCTCATATCAAATGTGTCCTTGGAAAATTCTGCAACTGACCTCCTTAACCTTAGAACGCTTCTCTCCAGCCAGACCTGGTGTTCCTTTGGGGAGAGGGACCCCCCTGTGGCTCTCAAAGCGCTGGCGAGTGGTCCCAGGGAAGGGGGCAGCCTCGCATAATCCTCCTGTAATTGAATTAGTGAGTATGGACAAGCCTCTTCACCAAAGCACAACCAATTTCTTTGTGGGCAAACAAAGCACAATCTGTCCCATTGTGATGCAAACACAGCCCTGTTTCTTCCACTTGTCACAGAGCAAACTAAGCCATTTACTTTTTAGTGGCTCAGAGAGAAGCAGCCCCCCTTCCTCCCCTTCCCCCTCGGCTGGGTGAACCCATGCAAATTCAGACCTCCCCCCCCCCCCCCCCCGCCTCCGTGGCTGAGCTCCTCCTTTGATAGCTGGGCTGCCTTGTGAGGCGAGGGGGGGCCTCACCCGGAGCACGGAGCTGGCTGGTGCTTCTGGGGGGGGGGCAAGCGGTGGGCACCAGCCGAGAGCCCAGCAGTGGAGATTGTGGCCTTAGGCCAGGCTGGGCCCTCTGCTCCTGGCACACAGAGAGAGGAAGGGAAGATTCAAAACTGCCGCCTTGATGGGATTCACACAATGAGGAGGGACGCCCCCCCCCACTTCCCTGGGTGTAAGCCCCTTGAGTTAGCCCCGCATGACAGCCAAGACAACCGCAGGTTTTCCAGGTAGCTCAAAGCACCTGGCAGCGCAGGCCGTCCAGGATTGAACCCCGAGGAAGGGCTGCTGGGTCCCTGGCAAGGCAGGAAGCAGAGGGGGAGTCTGCTTCCCCGCTTCCTAGCAAATCGGGACTTGCTTTTATTTATGAGTAAACACAACTCACGCTGCGTGTCACTTCGGCTGCTATTAAGCAGAAAAGCAGCGAGTAAGTCAAATAAATGAGTAGTAGTGATAAATATTCCCGGGGGAGAAAGGGGAGAAGGCTTAGGGAGCTGGCCTGGGCTGCAAAGCTCCCTGTGGATGGAGGGGCCGAAGGGGGCTGCCCTTGGGGCTGAAATGGTTAGGGTCTCATGGCCGGCAAGCCCCCACCTACTTCCTCCGTGCAGGCCCAGTGCCCTTCTGCAGCCTGGCACCCGCCCCACCTGCAGTTGCTCCTGCAAAGAGGAGATTACTCGGGAGCAAAAGGACTTTGCAGAGGGAAGCTCCACTTCTGAACAGGGGATGGAGGACCAGGACCAGGCCGGAGTCCACACTGTGTCACTTCCAGGAAGAGGGACGAGCGCCAGGCTGCAGGCTGCTTTGCGGGCTGTGCAAGCCAAAGGCCATTTGTTATTCAGGGCAGTTTCTGGGGCATAAAAACTGGGTATTTTTCCTTCAGGGGTGTGTTGGCTGGATCCTTGAGCAGGTCTCCTTCCCCTCTTGAAGGGACCTTGTGCCCTTGGAGTGTGCAGAACAGCCGAGCTGTACCTCCAAAGGAGATTCAGCTCTTTCCGTAGCGCATTTTGTCACCCCCGTTTTCCCCTGGGCTGTCCCAACTGGGTGGGTCTGCTGCAGGTGCCATCCGTCCTTTGGCGTCTGAGCGGTGCCAACCTCGGTCTCTTCTCTTGCCAGACTTTTTATAAACTTGGCATTAAATTCTGAGCAGCTGACAGCCACGTGTTGGGCCAGCCAAGGCGGACGATGATTCATCAGCTTGAAACTGCTCCCCCAGCCTTCTAGGAATCTTTAAGGGTCTTGGGTAGAAATGCAAGCTGGCTTTTCTCGGGCAGTCTGGCAAGGCCCGGCTCCAGCAGAGGCCCTGCTTGGTATTCAGGAGTATTGGAAAATCTGTTAATTTGGGAGCAAAAATCCATATTTAATAGCTTCTCAGTGGAGATTCTTGTCTATTTCAGCTGGTTTGCTCTAAGTTGGTGCCGCTTGCAGATATGAATTTGATTTCCACTTTGCATAGGGCTAAGAGTGGGGGGGGGCTCCCAGGGAGGGATTTGCACAGTGGGTTTGCTCTCAAGCAGATCCCCTCTTCTGTATTTCAGGAATCCTCCTGCCCCTCTTCTTTGGGGCATCTGCCAAAGAGAGGGTCATTTTTCTCAGATTTTACTCAGCTCAGTTTCTTCGCTATTACATTACCAGAAAGTTGATCATGGCTGGGAGATCTCCGGGCTGCTGACAGGATATTTACCTAATTGGAAAAGGTGGAAAAAAAGACTAGAGGCAGAAAACTTGGCCAGCTCTGTCCTCCTTTGACCAGGTGCACTTTTCTCACACTTAACTGGAATGTGCCAAGCTCGGCCGATGGACAAGTGTGTCACACCAGGCAGAAAGTGGGTGTGTATCTCAGCAGCCAGGATAAGTGTTCTTGCTGGTGGAAATTTGCGTGACCTGGATTCTGCAAACTCTATATTAGTGTTTTCAAAGTTGACTACTCAGCACCATCCTGATCAAATGCTTGTCTAATCTTTTGCAAGCCTCCAGTGATGGAGCACAGCACAGCTTCAGGCTGCTCCCCTCTTTTGTGCTTGTCTTGCTCGGTCAAGATCAACCTTCACTGTTTGGAACCCTGGATGTTGGGGGGAGGTCCAGCCAGCCAGCCCCTCCCTCCAGTCCAGACCAATTTTCCAGGACTGGACCTGAGCTCCCCCCTCCCCCCACATCTGTTGGCCAATTTGGGTGAGCAGAAAGTCCTTCTGTTTCAGAGCTAATCTCATCAGCCTTCCTGATGGCTCCATCTCAGCGTCCTGCTCCCGCTCCGGATGTGCTCCCAGCTCCAAATAATATCAAAAGCCATCAGATGATTACCATGGGTCATGCATTTTTCCATTTACTGTAATAAAATACTGAAGAAACAAAACAATTTAAAATTCTAATAAAATTCAAAGCCTATCTTCGGCAGCCGGGATGATTCAATTATTTGGCTGTTATTGAATGCAAAGTCGGGGAAATTGAACAACTTGCAAGACGGAGAGGGGAAAATTTTGCTCCTGACAGGGATTTGGGGATCTTTTTTTCCCCCTTCCACCTTGAAAAATACGAGGAGACTCGATGCGATGGAGACAGGAAGAGCTGATGATGGAAATGAAACGCCTGCCTTCTCCTCTGATATTTATCCAGGGAGGTTTAGCTTCCTAAAAAAAATTACAAATTATAAATATATATTGATACTCTTGCATTTTCCTTGCTGAAGGCCTGGAAGCAGTTGACAGAAAGAAAAAACAAACTACATAATAAGCTACTTAAGTTGAAACAAAAGAAGGTTCAGTAAACAGGCAGTTTGAAGGATTCTGGCTGGCTTCTTGCTGGGTAACTTTGCACTACAGGTCACTTCAATGTGCTTTTAAAGTAGGTATCACTTTAATTAGAATGGATTAAATTGGGTCTTAACTGAAGCTTTTTCTAGGTTAATGGGCTTATGAAAAGACTTTTTTTCTAAAAAAGTATTTAATCTTTAACGGTGCACAGACTTCGACCTGCTTCCTCCCCGTTCCATACAAGCCTGCGTACTCGTTAATGAAAGACATTAAAAACATTTTAAATTAAATATGGCAGGGATTGGAGACCAGTCTCAACCCTATTATAATACCGTTGCCTACTGAGGATTTTGAAAGGTTGAGGATTTTTTTTCCCTGACGATTCTTCACACCAGTTTGGGCCCTGATGCTTTTCAAGTTAGGCAACTGACACTCCTCTGGGTTTCTTGAAAAGGCAGGACTGACTCCTAACAAAACCAGGTCATTAATGCATCAGCTTTGTCATGTGGTTTTAGCAGAATTAGAAGAGTTTATTTTTGAAAAGTGGAGTAATTCTAAAAAAAGAAGAAGAAGCCAGTTGGGGAACTGTGGAAGGAAGCTGGAGACTGCATTCTGGCTGCTGGTGTCCAGCTGGCCTCTCCCGGAAGCCCCCAGACCCAGCCTGGAAGGCAGGTGAGAGCAGACGGGGGTGGGCTTCAGGGAAAGCAGCCGGTGTAGGCCAGTGGCAGCATGGCATGGCAAGTGGCACAGTGGTGAGGGTGCCACGAAGGGAAGCAATTACGGTCCTTTTGAAAGCAGTAATTATTGTGGGGAGGGAGGGGGGCTCCACTGCTTCACTCGCCTGGACTGGGCTTCCACGTGTGCCACCCTCCTGCCCGAGAATGACATGGTGGCACACGGGCATTTCACGGCAGCAGCTGAGTGCCTCGCCTGTTAATCGCAGGTTTCCATTAAGCAGCAGTCATTGAAAAGCTACGTTTGCCAGGCATCCCCCATGCCATTAACACTGAGGTTTTTTTACAGGTGTCTGGAATAAGCATTGTTATTAACCAGGCTATTAAGTCAATTAAAACCCCGTCCTTCGAGCTGGGTTTAATGTAGCCGCTGGCGGAGAAGGGAGGGGAGAAGGGACCGGTTGCTGTTCTGCTACAGCACAAGCGGGCTCTGCCTTGGTGCCCAGAGGGGGGTGGGCTTGCAGATGGGGGTGCAGGAGTTGGCAAGCACAAGGGTCCAACCCTCGGTGCTTGCCAGCACATTTGCAGACTTGCAGCGGGACCTTCATGTTGCAGCCCCCCCCCCCCCTTTGAAGTTTTAGGGTCCCAGACTTTGCCACCTTGGAGAAATACACATTTGACACTTCAGGGCGTGAACTCTGCCCCCTCAGTTGAGAGAGTTGGATACTTCTTGCTGTGTTTTATTTCCTTGGACTCTTTGCGAATTCCTTTTCTATTTACTTTTTAGCATATATTTTTTTATGATTGCATACTGCCTCCGAAGCAGATCTCAGCCACCTTTGAAGGAGCCAAGCAGTGGCCTAGCTTGGTTTTAGAAAGTGGCAGACGGGCTATTCTGAGCTTGCTTTCCAAGATGAGGGTGAAATCACCAAGGAGCAAAAATAGGATTTTTGATCAACACCTTTTCTTTGGCTGCTGCCTTTCCCAGCTGAGTTTGGGGCGACAGACTCGGAGAAGGATTTTGTGGGCCTGTAATTCTCGCTTATTCTTTGCGTCTTCCCCAAACCCTTCCCCTGTCAGCAAGACCTTCCTTTTCCCACCTCTCTTTTCAGATGCAGCCTCTTCAGACATCTAATTTATTCAATCTATTAGATAGATTTTGTAGATTTAATCATTTTCACAGTTGGTGGCTCATTGGATACTCAAGATAAACTCCAAATGAAAGCATAATGGAAACAACAAATGAGCTTTCACACCCTAGACTAGCTCAAGAAGGCAGTTTGAGAGAGGCAGAATCTCCCTCTCTCCCTCTCTCTCTCTCCCCATCCCATATTCTCCTCCTCGGAGCTGCCTTCTGCTGAGTACAGTAGGTTACCACAGTTAATTTCACCAGTTTTGTTCATCTGTAAAATTGCATAAAAGTGACATTTTTGTGCTCATTATAAGAAGTGCTGATTTATAGCTGGCAAATGGATTTTTTTCTGTTTTCTTCCAGTGGAGCTCTCATAGCGCCGCAAAGCACCCATGAAATTGCTTGTATAATATGGTTTAAATCCAATCTTTCAGAGCAGTGCTTCCTTCCCCCCCCCCCCCGTAAAGAGGCATTTCCACTCTTCCCAGATAGAATTACTGCCGCCCTCCCATAAACAACCTTGGAAGTCCAAAAAGAACAGTGGGTCGATCTTTAAGAACATGGAATCTGTTTGGAAGAATGAAGACAAATCGGCTTCCTTTAGAAACGATGAAACAAATTGAAGGGAGAAATACAGTGCTTGGATTATCTTGAGTGGCTCTGGTGCTCAACAGAGCCTCCACAAGCAGGGGCAGGATACCATAGAAGAAAAGAGAGGGGCCACTCAGCCTTGATGGCTGGATTTCTAATACAGGTTTGCTGGAGCCAGTGGGGAGATGGATGCTATTAGATGAGAAGTTATCCTACGGCGTGCAGTTGGGGCCATCAGCCGTCACTTCCAGGAGCAAATTCTGCAGTCGGTCTGTGCAAAACCTCCTTTGGTTTCTCAGCTGAGTCGAGTCAAGGGACCAGGTCTGGAGGTTCCCCTTCTTTCTCCCAGAATTGGGGAAGAGACAGTATTGATCAAATTGTTGAAGGAAAAGTCTTCATCAGTATTTAAGCTCAGTGGGCTGATTTTGCTTGCTTTAGGGTACTTTGCATGCAGAAAATGCTGTCCCTGGATTACCCGGTGAGGACAGACCAGCTTTTATTTTAGCTCAGTGTTTCCCATTCTTGGCAAGGATGGGTGGACTTCAGCGCCCAGCATTCCTCAGCCAGCCACAAAGTCTTAATGTTGCCAAGGTGGAGAAAGGCCGCTTAACTAAAGCATCGCTGCTCTCAGTGCTAATTGTGCAGAGAAGGCTCTAGTGACCTCTAGAAGTGGCTACAAGCATTGCAGCATGTCACCTATCTTCTTGGTCTCTCCTAGGTGAAGCCATGGCTCCCATCCGCTCTCCACGATACCCACGATACCCCAGCCCGGCTGAGCTCGACGCTTATGCGCAGAAGGTGGCAAACAACCCTCTCACCATCAAGATCTTCCCCACCAACATCAGGGTCCCCCAGCACAAGCACCTTAACCGGACGGTGAACGGGTATGACACGATGGGCCAGCGCTACAGCCCCTACCCTCTGCACGCCAGCAGCTACCAGGGCCTCCTGGCCATCGTGAAGGCGTCCGCCGGCAAAGGGGCCATGAAGAGCGTCGAGGGCAAGCGCACTAAGATGTCCCCTGCCCACCTGGCTGTAGCCCCCTACTCAGTGATGAGCACTTTAGCCCCCGGGCCGTCCTGCACAGCCCAGCTGAACTATCCTGGTGGCCAGAAGCAGATGGAGGCGCCTGTCCCGCCCAACGTCACGGTGGCCGCCTCGGTCGTCCCGCACGCCGGCCAGAGCTTGGTGCTGCCCCAGGCCAACCTGCCCTCCATCCAGAACATTATTTTTCAGATCAATCAGCAGTGCCAGGCTCAGGCCGGCCAGCAGGTGTGCCAGGGGGTGGTGGTGACCAGCCCCAGCCCGGCCAAGCATGGTGCCGCGGGCAGCTTCACCACTATGGCTGCGGTGGGGGCAGCAGTGGCTTACGCGGGGGCTGTGTTGCCGGATTGTCGGAAGGGCGCTGAGCTGGTGACTGGCTCCAACCTGGGCAGTGGCCTGGTGGGACCCAAGCCGGGTCTTTACCCGGACGGCATGGATTATCTGCTGTGGCAGCAGAAGCAGCAGCCGCTGCGGATGTACAGTGCGGGCAGCGGGGGGGCTGTCAGCACGTCGCCCGAGGTGTGTGCCAGGGTCTTGCGTGCCCACCCCATGACCGGTGCCACCGCCGCAGACAAGGTGAGCTCTTCGCCGTTGAACTGCGTGGGCGTGCAGGGAAATTTCTCGGTGGGGCAGTACTTTGCCCCTGCTTGGAACAGCATCTTGGTCACACCCAATAGCAGCGACTGCTACAATCCCCAGGAGCTGCCCACCGGGGCCCGGGACCTGGGCCTGCACCCTTCGGAGGGGCTCCCCAGTCTGCCCAGCAAGGCAGTTTGCAACACCTCCGTCCTCAGCAGCAGCCTGCAGTCCCTGGAGTACCTGATCAACGACATCCACCCGCCGTGCATCAAGGAGCAGATGCTGGGCAAGGGCTACGAGACGGTCTCGGTGCCCCGCCTCCTGGACCACCAGCATGCCCACATCCGGCTGCCTGTCTACAGATAAGGGCAAAGGTGCCCCCGGGCCGTGCTGCCTGTGATGGGGCACAGCGTTGGTCTGTGTGCTTCAGGAAGGGGTTTTATGGCTGAGAATGTGAACAGGGAGATGGGATCCCATTTTGCTGCTAATCTGGGGGTGCCCTGGGGGACAAGAATGAGTGTGTGCCTGCCAGTGGGCACTGCTAGCCGGACTGCCTGGGAAGGGGGCCCCCTGGCCCTCTTTCTGCCCTGGGTGACAAGTGGGGGGCATTTGAAATGCATTGTGACTGGCGGAGGGCAAGGAAGGATGCAGACTCCCCCAACCCCTCCCATTAATCCAGGGGGTTTAGCGATTCTGCCTCCTTTCTAGATGAAGTCTGTAACTTGCACTGTTTCGATTTAAAGCTAATAATTGGGGTGGGGGCGAAGGTCTGGAAGCTGTCTAAAGAAGGGAAAAAAAACACTTGAAAACTTGAAGTGACTTTTTTTAGTTTGAACCTGCTGTACAGTTTTTGGCTGCTATAAGATGGATTTTCCCACCCCTCCATCACATCAGCATTACCCCAGGAGATTTCTGAATTAAAACATTATTATTATTCTTATTTCATTTTTAATAGCAGTATTTCATTTCATTACTTGTCTGCGTGTGAGAACCAGGAAGACTGTGTTGTGGGGGGATATTTGCAGAAGAGAGAGACACAGTGTTGAAAAGGAGAAGGGTCTTCAGTCCTTTTATTGTAATCCACCTCTGTAGCATCTGGCTGCAAATGCCTGCGTCAAGAAGGCCCCTGGGGGAAACTAAGTCCTCTAAGGGTCAAGGGTCACTCCCTGGGGTCCCCCCAATCCCCAGCTGGGATCTGGCCATTGAGTCCTTGCAGGCCAAAGTGATGCAGATGCATCAGGGCTGCCAGAAAGTGTGGGAAGGTGAGCCATTCCAGCCCCTGGTCCTGCTCCCTTCCTGCCTAGACAGAGTTCTAGAAATGGGGATCACCCGAGTGGGATCCAGTGAGCGGCCATGGGTTCTTCTGCAGGCAGCTGCCTGAGCACCCAGCCCCCTCCAGCGGGTCCAGCTGCAGCCTGCCTTAAAGGACTCCAGGGCTGACTGGAGCGTTTCCCATCCTTTCATTTCCGCCTTCAAAAAAGAAGGAAATGCAACTTCTAAAAAAGTGTTCCTTTTGCTCCGCAGTTGCCGTGGTGGAATTAGGAGTTTGATAGGTTTGATGCCAGGTGATCTGCTTTGCAGGTATTTCAGATTTTTCCTGTTAGAGAGAGGGGGGGGAAAGGGGCTCCAAATGCAGAGATACTGTGTCCTTACCACCTTTTTCCAGCACTAAGTGCATTTACAAATAACCTGAGAATGTGTTTTTATACGAAAAAGCGACCATTATATTCTACTGTGACAAGTGCGCTCTGCACTGTATTGTTTTAAAAATGAGAGAAAACAAAAAGCTTGGAAAAAAAAAAAACAGAACCCTGTCTCCGAATGTCTGTCTTTTTTCTCTTCCCTCCCCCCCCCCCAAAGAAGACATTAAATCTGGGCTTTCATTGGATCGACAGTCTGGATCGTCTTTGCATGCTGCTCTTGCTTGAGCCCTGATCGGAAGAGGGTCCCCAGAGGGGAGGCTGGGGGGTCCCTGGCCGGGAACATGAACCAGGGAGGGTCTCCCTTGGGGAACGTGGTGGGGCAGATGGATGTGGGGGAACAACAGACCTTCCCCTCCGGCTGGGAGGCTGTCTTCCTCTTCGGCTCCCGGTCTTGGGAGGGGGGCTCCTCTCCACCTTGGCCTGGCCAGCTGTGAAATGGGCCTCCTGCGTTGGGAGTCCAGTCAGCCCTGCTCGGTCGGCCACTGCCAGTTTCCAAAGGGGCAGGGTAAAAATTGGAGTTCAGGCGTAGCCAGGTGCCTCTCCCCCACCCCCTGAGCCTCAGTTTCCTGCTCTGAAGCCCCCCAAAGGGCTCATTGCCAGCTTTGCTGTGCAGGTTGACTAGCAAAGTGTGCAAGCTTCGGCGTCTCACTGCACAGGTTGGCAGGAGAACCGTTTGGCCTTTCTGATTGCTCTGTGGGGCCGCGCTATCACTCTGAGAAGCCCCGGCAGAGAGGCCAGGTTGGTGCGCGGGCTGGTGTGGAGGACGGTGGGACCTCTGCCGTGGCCACATTTCCTTCTGAACTGGCTGACCGACTGACCACCAAGAAAATTCTCACCAGCCCTTAATTCCAGGCAATCGTAAAAAGGTCCAGCCATACATCCAGTGGTGCATTATCTGTTGAATGCCTGCCTGTCTCTGACCTTGGGAGGAGCAGAAAAGCTATCAGCGAACTTCAGCAATCTGGTGGGGTTTGCTGCCCTCTTGTGGCCCAACCTGCAGAGGGAGGGAGGAAGGAAGGAAGGAAGGAAGGAAGGAAGGAAGGAAGGAAGGAAGGAAGGAAGGAAGGAAGGAAGGACAATGCAGTGGGAGGCATCCTCAGAGTCGACCTCAGCAGTTTTTCTGAAATCAGTCAAGACCAACTGGGTGGCACAGGGGTATTGCAACCCCCCTCAAAAGCATAAGAGTACAATAGAGATGCTTTGGCTTTTATTACTAAATAAATAATTCAATAAAACCTTGTGCAAAATGATACTATCAGAGGAGACTCACCATCCCCAGGCAGAGTGAACACCTGAGCCTGTCTGCGTGTTTTTGGACCGCAGGGAATTCACGGAGAACTAGGAACGTGCATATCTTCAAAGGAGCCACTCTGGACAATTGCCTGGCGCTTTCTTAATAGCGGCCCTTCTGGGCTCCTCTGGGAGAATCCAGGCTCAGCATTCAGAGCCTCCTTTAAGGACAACATTCTGAGCTACCTTGGCCTCTGTGCGGAACTGCCCTTGTGATGCACAAAGCGGCCACCTAAACCCGCGTTTCCAGTTTCTCTTTATAGGAGTGTTTTTAAAAGGAATGTTTTGTTTAAAATGCGAGAGGCTGGACCTCTCTTGTCCCGTTCAAAGTCAGGTTCTTGGGAGGCAGGCTGATCTCTCTGGCTGTGGGAGCCAGGAGGCAGCTCCATCAGGATCCCAGTTTGGGAGGGTCTGTCCGAAAGAGTGGAGGAGGTGGCTTGGCAGCTAGATCTGAGCCTCTTCCTTCCTCCAGCTATGAGGGTAGCTGGGCTTCTGCGCGTTTGCTCCCGCTGAGTGCAGGCTGTCCAGGGGCACCACCACCTCATCCGGCTGAGAATTTTTGTTCAGCTCCACCACACGCGGCACCACTGTTGACCAGCGATCTGCCCCACACCGGAGAGAGAAGAGAGTGTCATTGGGGGAAATAAAGCCAAGATGGGGGGTGGAGGGTGCAACTGAAGCCCAGCCTCCTTTATATGAGCATGCTGTTTGGCAGCAACGGAGTCCAGAGCCCCGGCCTTCCTGCGGGGAGCAGAAGAGCCACCCAGCTGCCCCCTCACCTCTGCGCAGGCGCCCCACGGTGTGGGAGAAGCCATAATACTGGTAGGTGTCGTTCTTGCCGGGGTCCTCGTTGATGATACCCAGGTTCTGATTCCAGTGAGACCAGTTCACCTCGTCCACTCTGCAAGGGGGAAAGCACCCCCTTTGGAGATCAGAATGCTGGGGAGGGGGCAATTGGAAGGACCAAGGGATCAGCTGACCAGCAGGCAGGCAAGCCCTTTCTCTGCCATGCTGAGTCTCTTGGCTCAGGGTACTTTAAATGGCATTGACCTGCCCAGGACTCCCCAGTAAATGCCTGTCTTGGGGATCTAGCTGTGAACCCCAGCTCAGGCTGGGGACTCGGGAACCTTTTACAATTTAGAGAAAGGATCAGTGGACGCAGCCATCCCGAAGTCCTTCCAGATCAGAAGAGAAAGGGAGAACATGTTAAGAGACTTCAAACTTCTGAGAGCAGCTGGATGTTCTCCAGATGTCGAAGGGGGGCTCAGAGAACCTTCCATGACCATCTGCAGCTCCTCCAAAAGTTGGGGAACCAATAAGAACAAATAGGGGCTGATTCTGCACAGCGGGACTGGGGCCCCAATTCCCTATTCCTCATCAAATAGGGTTGATGATTACGGCCAGGACTCTGGGGTGTCTCTCTCTACCTGAAGCACCACCTTCGGTCAGGGACCCCGTCCAGAGACTTCCCCACGGTGACCATCTCTCCCGAGCGGAAGGCTTTCCGGACAAACACGGGGAAGGAGCGCTCAATGTCCAGGATGGTGGTGGCCCACTAGGGATGGAGAAGACAAAGGAGCCTCAGCCACACTGCCCTCCACCTCCAGGGCTCCCTCACCCTCCTAAGCCCACCTACCTGGAGCTTCCAGATCTTCTTGCTTTCCTTGGAGACCTGCCCCACCGTCTCCCCCATGAGGGCGATCAACATGTTGAGCAGGAGGACGAAAGTGAGGATGATGTAGGTGACCAGGAGGATGACAAAGACCCCGGGGTACTTGGCGTTCTCGATCATCTCCAGGTCTCCCATGCCGATGGTCAGCTTGAAGAGGTCCAGCAAGAAGGTGCTGAAGGTCTTGCTGTCGCGGCAGGAGGGGTAGGTGGGCACCGTGCAGTTGGAGTGGTCCTCGCGGCAGGACTCGGCACTGGAGCAGGGGTTCAGCAGGGAGACCAGCGCTGCCGGAGGGGGCAAGCCTTTAGCAAGGACCCCCAACACGCTCCCTCCTGCCACAGCTGGAGACAAAAGCCCACCTGGCAGAGCTGGTGCTGAGCTTTGCAGGGCGAGGGACTTACCGGAGGCATAGCCGATCATGAAAAGGACGTAAACCAGGAGGAAGCGGAAAAGGTCTTTGAACAGGATCTGCAGAGAGAGAATGGCAGGTGAGGGTGAGTTCTGTGGCTGCGCCCTCAGCTGTGCTGTAATGTAGGTGGTCCTCGACTTAGGACTACAAGTGGGACAGAATTTTGATTGTCGATCGTGGCAATGCTGCGATGGTCTTGTGAGTCACTTTCCATTCCTATGGTCACTCAACCAGCAGTTGTGATTTGTGGGCCACCTGGAGCGACCACCACTGGTTCCCCCACTGTGCCAAGGTGAAGGAAAGGACGGGCGCCTTGTTCTCCCTCACCTTCTGGATCATGATGCTGTAGGTGCCCGTCAGCTTGAGGCCGCGGGTGAAGTAGAGGGCGTTCATCCAGCCCAGCACCAGCGCAAAGACCATGACCGCCAGGTAGGCCTCGATGCCAGCCAGGTAGAGAGCAGCTGCAACCAGGACCAGGACGGAATAGATGAAGCTGCAGGTGGTGGAGGGCCAGGGTGAGTGAGCAGGTTAGTACACAGAGCCGGCGGGGGACACCCACATGACCCCATCTGCGAGGCCATAACGTCCCCATTAGAAGACTCTAAAGGGGAGTCCTTTTCTCCAGCCAGCCAATTAGAGGGTTTATGGCTTTGGGGATCACTATTAAAACCTCCCCACACCCTCAAACCTACGAGGAGTTGACATTCTCTCTTCCACTCACTAGAGTAACTGAAAGGAGCCATCAATGAAGAAGGAATTGACCCCCGGGCATTTCTTCATGAACAGATCCTTGATCTGGAGGAGGAGGAGGAGGAGAGAAAAAAGGCTCCATTTGAGCAGGAAACGTGGCCAAAATCTCCAGACAGGAGCTGAAAAGGCTAAGGAGGCTCAGAAGCAGCAGCTTTCCCTGCTGGGAGGATTTGGGGAGAAAAGGAGAGGGAGAAGGGAGAGTCACAACCTTTCAGTGTGTAGGGAAAGGAAGGAGAGGCATGAAGGGGGTTGGAAAAGGAGAAAGACAGGGGACCCCTCCCCAAGGAAGAAGACCCCCCATCTGCACTTACATTGGTGAAGAAAAAAAGGACCCCTGTGAAGAGGGTGATGATCTCTCCAGCCAGGCGAAGGTAGTCTGGGGTGGTCGTGTACGGGTACGGGGGCTGGGGAAGGAAAGGAGGGGTGCTGAGGGGTGCCCCAGTCTCAGAGAAGGAAAGAGAGCCTCTGGTGGAAGGGAGGGTCAGGTTGCACCAGGCTGGGACTCTGTTGGACTCTCAGAACTGCAGTTCCTGCCTGTGTCTGCTCAGGGTTCTTGCAGTGGGACAAGGGGCAGTGTACTCACTGTGCCCTCCAGGGGGCGGTAGTAGGCCACCAAGGTGAAGATAACCATGGCACAGAGGTAGGAGACCACGCTGATATAGAAGGAGACGGCCCCAAATTTGTGCCACTTGTCTCGCAGCAGCTCATTGATGGGCTCCACAGCCAACATCTCATGACGGTTCTGGACAGGAGATAGGCAGGTGCCCTGTGAGGAGCCAGCGGACAGGGTCTTCCCACTGAGGGTGCCCCCATTCGCGTCTCCTGCCAACCTCACCTCAATCTTGCTATTGTAGACCAAGATCTCCAACACAGACACTTCCTCTCCACAGGTGTCCAAGGAGGACAGGTCATAGAGGGAGGAGTAGACAGGCCCGTAGGCCCAGTCTTTGAACTTGCGGGAGAGGTGCCGCGCATCCTCATCCTTCACCTCCCGACGGATGATATGCTGGAAGATCTGCAGATGGGGGACAAATCGATCTGATGAACTGAGGAGAGGAACCTGGTTTGGCCAAAGCAACCAAGGGATTGGGGACAGGTTCCCACCCCCAAATGGGACCCCGGGAGACTCTGCCAACCTGATTCAGACTCTCGAGAAAATCCTCAACTTGGTGCCCCCCACTGGCCCTGTCTCACCCCTATCTTTCCAGTCTTGGCCGCCATCATGAGGGGCGAGAGGCCATCATTGTTCAGCAGGGATTCTAGGTTGGTGTCTGGGAACAGCTTGGCGCATTTGATGAGCAGCAGGTCGTACATCTTAGTGACGAACTTGGTGTTCTCACGGGTGTTATCCGCAATGGCCACCAAGGCGTGGAGCACTGTGTTGCCCCGGGAGTCTTGCCGCCGGAGGTCGGCCTGCTTGTGGGCGTTCTCCGTCAGGTAGTGGACGATGTGGGGCTGGTTGGTGCAGGCGGCCAGAGAGAGGGGCAGCTCTCCTGCGCAGAAGTGGATAAATGGGCAGGTGCCAAGTTTCCAAAGGCGCATCGCTCAGCTCATCCGTGATATCCCCAAACCAGCTTGGAAATGTAGAAAATCCAAGGGTCTTCCATGTTATGGGATCCAATTTAACATGCTGCATGCCCTCCATTCTGTTCCTTGTTGGGCTCCCCCCCCCGATCCTTTCTGTGACTTGACCCCTCAATTTTTCCATCCATTCAGAAGCTCCCTACCCTGGCTTTCCTTCCTCCTATCCCCCTGAGGTCTCCCTCTTCCTTTCATCACTATCATGGCCCACAAGTAGACTGTAGAATGAAAGGTGGACATCAACGGCCAGTCTTGAGGAGAAGGGCGTCCATGAGAGACCTGCAGCAATTTTCAGAGTCTGGGAATCTCCTTTACTCACCAAAGTAGAAGTAGCCGCCCTCGTCTTTGGGCTGGAAGAAACGGCCCCGCGCCTGGGCATGCACATCGGCCCCTTTCTCCACCAGCAGCTCCACATAGTGCTTGCACCGTCGTTCGATCGCAATGTGCAGGGCGGTCTGGCCTGAAGAAGCACAACCATTTGTGGAGAGCCTCACTGCTCCTTCTAGCACTCCCTGTCCCTCTCGTTGCCTCCACGTCTGTGAACCTCTGAGCACTTCCCGCCAAGTTCCACAGCATGAAACAAGCACCTGCTGGGATGTGGCTCAGCATACCCACAGCCCACATTTCCATGCTGGAAACTCATTCAACCTGGTGCTCCCGAGAGCCAGGCTTCGGCTCAAGTGGGCATCTCATTGCATCATCCAAAGCTGACTAATGAAGGTGCCCAGTCCGACTCCTCACCCACAGCTGTTTTCCAGGCAGTGATCTTTCAGATGGTCCCTGCCCCACGTAGAGTGTAGGTCAAAATTACCGTGCTGCTTATTCCGTGTCTAGGATTCTGTATGGCAGAATCTGTATGGTGGCACACAGAAACACCCGGGGGGAGCGGACTGAGCCTCTTTGACTGGGGGAAGAAGCTGACCAGGGAGCCTCAGAAGATCATCCTCACCTCGGTAATAGACGTCTCGGAAGGGCGCATTGATGAATTCTCGCATGTTGCCCGTTTTCTCCGCAATGTCCAGCAGGAGCGGGATGGTGTCGTTCCGGCCACCACTGAGGTTCAGCAGGGCCTTGGGGAGACATGTCTTGCCGGTGGAGAGCTCTGGAACCAGGCAAAAGTGGCACCTCTATTACACGGACGGCTCCCCTTTCTTCCCAGGAACCTGAGACTCTTCCCTCTTTTGTCCTCGTAACAACTCTGTGAGGCAGGCCATGCCAGGAAGGGGGAGCAGTCTTAACATTGCCAGCAGTGCCTCACCCATCTGGGCCCCCAGGCTGCCTTTGCCCCCCCCAAGGGCTGACAACCGTCAGTGCCACGGCCTTCATTCCCCATCCCCTTTGCTCCCCCCGCTCCTCCCCCAAGCACCAACACCCCGGGCCCCCTGCCTCGCCCACCTCGGAACTCCTCGTCAGTCAGCCGCTTCTTGTGGCTCAGCAGGAAAGGCAGGAGGCCGTCCAGCCCAGCCGTGAAGCCCCGGGAGACGATGTCGAAGAGGATGGGCCGGTTGAAGACCCTGAGGATGGGTGGGGGGCTGGGTGCGGGCCCCTTGTTGCTGGGGTGCTTCTTCCTGAGGGAGGGGCCAGGGGAGAAGGCAGCTCAGCCCTGCCCGACCAGAAGGGAGATCTGGGTCCCCCCCCAGCCAACCGCCCTGCTGGCTCAGGCCGAGGGGCCCCCACTCACTCCGGGACCCTCTTTCGCCTCCGCTTGTTGTCGCTGGGGAGGTGGCGGTAGGTGCCGTAGTCGAAGAGGGAGTCCATGGGGGCTTTCTTGGGCCCCGGCACCACTGAGGATTCGTAGATGGTGGACTCCAGCAGCTCCATGGGGTTGGGGACCCCCTTCCGGAAGGCACCCTGGAACTTCATCCGCAGGTTCTGCTTGCCGTCCCCCGAGCCGGGGGGGCTGCGGGGGGCCTCGCCAGGCCCAGAGCCCTCCTCACCCTCAAACAGGTTGGCCAGGGAGGAGAGCGGGAAGGCATCGCCCGGTGGGAACGACTCCTCAGCTGGGGCCTCAGTGGCCCCAGCGGGGCCAGCCTGGTGGGTGTCCTCTGGGTCGGCCATCATGCGCAGGGCAGGGTGGTCTGGGGGAGGAAAGGAGCTGCGGGTCAGAGGCCAGGCAGGGGCAGAGCTGCCCGTGGCACACGTGGCCTTGCCATACTCTGTTGGCCTTGACCTGAGATCACCTCTTCTGGCCATGGTGGAAATCCACAGAGAACCCCCCCATCACCCCTCCCCCCCTTAGTTAGCAGTGATGGAAAGTGTGAAGTTTTCGAAATGTTCCCTCTGTTAGGAAGGGGTCCCAAACCACCTACAGGAGCTTCAGGCTGTGGGAGAGACCGTCGCTCCTCAAGTCACCAGGAAAGAGGGCTGCTTTCTCTGCTTAGTCAAATTCTCTTTTAAAAGCGTTTAGCAACGATCAGCTACTTCGGAGGAAAGGCAGGAAGGCTGGACTTGCTTTAAGCCCTTTCCAAGCCTGAACTGCCCCAGAGCAAAGGGGCCTGGAGACTTGCGGCTTTTCTTTTTCAACAGAGGCTGAGGACTCCGAGCTCCTGCTCAGCCCCACTGCCCCCCCACCCCTAGTTAGGGCCCCCGAGACCACCCACCTCTGCTTTCTGGCTCCGCAGAGCCGGATCAAGGCTCTGTGGCTGGTCCTCACGGTGGAGATGCAGCTCCACACACTGTTCCCAGATGTGGCTGTTCTGGCTGGGGGCTGCTGTGCCTGACCCGCATGGCCCCTCCCTCCCATGGGGCACAGCCTGCTTGCTACTCAGAGAGGCCTTTGAGAGACGGTGCGACTGGCCACCGGCCCGAAGCTCACTTCAGACTCGGCCCAGCAAGGAACAAGGAGTGCTTTCACAGCTCCTGGAAACGTCACACCCAGACCCCACCCGAAACCCAGACGGGCGGGGGGGGGGGAAAGGAGGAAAGATGCGGCACTCCTGGAGGGGCCGCCAGCAGCCGGCCTCCTGGGCTCCCCTGCAGTCTTGTAGGGGAAGAAGCTGAGCCCAGGAGGAGACCACAAGCCTCAACCCCTTCCAGAGAACCTCTTTCTGGCGGTGCCCATCCTCGCCCCCCCCCCTGGGGCCCTTCTTTTGGGGGGATGGCTGGGGAGAGCTGCGAATCCCAGCAACCCCACCTGGAGGGCACCGGGTGGAGGAAGCCGTGCCGAGTCAATCCGAGGCAGAATTGTTAGCCCGGATCCCTGCTCAGAGGCCAAGAGGATCCCCACCTGCTTTGGAGGCCTACATCAAAGCAGCATCTCTCCGTCCATCCCTGGAGCTGTCAGTCCGAATCTGGAGACTTTTCCCAGGCTGAACCAGGGAAGAGAGAGAAACCCTGGTTCTCCAGAAGAGCCAGTGTTGTAGAGATGGACGTGCAAAAGGGCCGGCCTGCGAAGCTGAGGCTCCCCTTAATTCTTGGGGCTGAACCGCAGTGCCTGGTTGGAGCTGCACCCCCTGCGTCTGGCTCCTGCCCCTCCTTGGCCCAGAGAGAGATCCCAGCCCCCGGCCAGCCCCTGCCTGGCCTTCACCCTCAAGAGACACCCTCCCCCTCTTTCCCAGGTACAGAAGCCGGGACCACTGAACACCCTGGATTGGGGCCAGGCGCAGTGTCCTTGGGCAGGGAGGGGCCGGCCGTGCCCTGCACCCAGGGCCTGGGCGTGGCACCCAGTGCAGTTGGGCACAAAGCGATCCTCTATTGAGATTTATAGCAATGGGCTTCCGGCCTCTTTGACTTCTTCCTAACTGCCAGAGCCCAGATTGTAAAGAGACTTGGCGCTCGGAAGAGCCCCAGGGACCTAAGAGTTTTCAGGAATAAATTAGGAACTTTAGGAACTGGGAGTTCCAGAGCAACAGGGAAGGATGCGGGGGGGGGGAGAGGCTTGGAGAAGAGGAAGCCAAGCCAGGCAGGCGGGTTCGGCTGGGTGGGGACAGGAGCTGCAAGCGCTTTCAGCTGCCTCTCTAGGGTGATCAGAAAACCCTTGGAGACCACGGATAGAAGAAGGTTCACTAAAGTTGCTTCTGTGGTGTCCAGGCCAGAACACAAGACCCACAAGGCAGCCTGAATAGTGAAAATCTTTGTGGGGAACAAAACGTTGTGGGAAGTCACAGGCACTTCAGGCACCTCCTGGTGGGACGCAGAGGCCCCCCCCCCGTTAAGTTGACCAGCTCCTCACTGCCCAGGAGGTCAGGAGCTGAGCAGAGTTCAGGCAAAGCGGCTCCCTAATCTGAGCTATTCAGAGCAGGAATTTGCTGAGTGGGAGGGGGCGCTCTCCTCCTCGGGGATCAAAGGATCCAAATCAGTAGTTGGACAAACAAGGGCGAGGGTGGCCCCCTCCGGCAGGCAGACCGCCCCCCTCGGCTCTCTGGCCAGCCCATCTTCGCCCGGCAGCTCCTTTGCTGGCAACGGAATTCAATGGGGGCACTCTCCACCACCACCAGATGTGGCAATTTGGGGAGGGCGAGGAGGGGGGAGATGGGATCAGTGCAAGGAAGCCTCCCTGGCAAAGCGTCAGCCTCCCCGTCTGGCCTGGAGGAGGACTTTTCCCCTGTCCCTTTGGAGAGCTCTGAAGCAATCCGAGCCCCCCCTGAACTCTCCCGAACCTTTACAGCTCCCCCCAAAAGCGGCAGTGTGCAAGGGAGGCCCTCCCCTCCCCCAGCCCTATTTTGAGATCCACCTCGGCTGCCCCACCACAGCTTTCCAAAGCCTCCATTTGTAGCATCACCGCAAGGAGCTTCCTTGCCAGCCCCAGTGGGAGGGAGGCCTCGCGCAGGGGGGAGGGGTGCCACCCCCTTCCAACACAGGAACCATTGTCTTATTGGGGGTCTTGCTGCCCAGGAAGCACGGGGTGGGGAGGGGGCTCCAGGCTGGAACCCCTCTCTCCCCCGGCAGAGGGAGGCACGGTCCAGCCCAGGTCACCCTGCAGCCCCAGAGGCAGCTGGGGACACGCAAGCCAGCCGGGACAGAGCAAAGCTGCATGTCTCTGAGCTTGGCCGGAAGGCGCAGTTCGTCTTCTCTGATGTGGTTGTGTCGCTGGCAGCGCTGGGGTCCCCGCCCTGCCAGAGAGTCCACAGAGCACTGGACTCCTCTCCAAAATGTGTTTTGTCGGTCTTGGGGGGTTGGGGGCCGAGGCTGTGCACGCCAGCCTCCTGGACATCCTGCAGCTTAAGTGTTTGGAAAGTTCACAGCTCAAAGGATTAATCAACATGCCCAAACAGGCTCCCTTTGGGTCCTGGAGAGAGAGGGAGGACCCCCCCCCCCAGGCCAAAGGCTGGAGATCAGCCAGCAGAGCCCAAAGCCTGGTCAATTTGGGGGAGGGGAGAGATGGCTGAGGCAATAACAGCACATGCTTTAAAGGTGATGTCCTGGAAGAGAGCTGCGGTTGCACCCCTGATGATTCACTGGCCTTTCCACTTTCAAGGTGGTACCGTTAATGGGAATACTGGCAAAATTAGATCATTCTGTCCCACCAAAAACCGGAGCCATAACTGAATCTGTGGAGCTGCAAGACTCAACTCCACCCAGTAAACGGTGCGGAAAACACGGGGAGTGAATTCTGGTCCTGCCCATCCCTTGTAGAGCAGGAGAAAAGTGCTCCTGCCCGGCCGGGCCAGCTCACTTCTGTAATTCCTCTGCCCCGCGCGGAGCAAAAGGGATTCTTGACAACAACCCTGAAGGGCGGGCCAAGCATGCCCGAGTGGGACAGAGAGCTGCGGGCCTGGGCGCTCCCCTGCACCGGAGCTGAAGCTGGACAGGAATCTGACTTACGCTCTGAATTGCCGACAGTCGCTAGTCAGGAAGTAAGCCTATTTCCAAGCCGGCAGGGCCAGATTCCGAGTGGGGGGGGTCTCACCGAGCCCACTGCTGGCCCCTTCAGCTCCGGCCCTGTGGTGTGTGTGGGGGGGCGCACGGGTGGGGTTCTCTTAGTCCACGTTGCCCGTTTGAGTGGCGGCGCGGCAGCTCTTCGGTCCCTGCCACGAACGGTTCTAGCCGGGGAAGGCACCGCAAGCGAGCGAATCCCACCTCCCCAAAGTCCGGCAGTGGCCTCCGAGGCTGGCCGGAAAGGTGGCCTCTCCAGGGCCCAAAACTGCGCCTCGCTGAACGGTCCCCGTTTAATCTCTCTTCTTCCGACCTTGACCGGCTAGAGGCACCGGGAAGACCACCGCAGGCTCTGGAGGGGAAGCGCCTGGGGCTCTTGGAGCTCCTTTAGCTGTCCTGGCTGGGGATGATGGGCGCTTGAGTCCCGGAGAGCTGGAGGGAGGGGTCAGGGCCTGAGAATCAGGAGGAGCAGCCACACGGCCCTTCCTGGAGCCGCCTTCCCTGGACGTGTCCAGAGGGAGCCGGGGGGGGGGAAACCCAGCCACGCCCCTCCCCCTTCCGACCCCACCTCAGCCCCTTCCTCCCAGCCGGACGCGCCCTGCTCACCTTAGCGCCCGGTGTCCAGTCTCCTTCGCCGAAAATCCCCCGGCGCCGCACGGGCTGCTCTGCTTTCAGCTCCCCCGAGCGTGGATCTCCGGCTCCGCGCAGAGGGAGCCCAACTGCAGAGCGCAAGAGACACGACCCCCCCCCTTCCTTCCCCTGCCTTCCCCGCGGAGCGAAGGAGTTAGGGCGCCCCCGAGCTGAACAGACCATCCTTGCGGAGACGTCACTCGCCTGACAACCCCCCCCCCGTCTGTCCTGGGGGGGGGAGACTTTCGCCAGAACGCCCCAGGTGTTCTCAAGAGTAAGCCCCCCTCCCACTTTCCCGGATGGCTCCCCTGCTCCCCCGCTGAAACCTCTGACCTCAAGACAAGCCCAGAGGCAGATGGGGGTCTCCCCTCGGCGGGGTGCAGGGGGCTGTACGAAAGGAAATCCCTCCCAGACCAAACCAAACTCTTGCTGCCTGCCTCGGAAAGGATCCCCTGCAGGTGGGAAAACGAACCAGGAGTGGAAGGAAACTTTCCTTTAAAATGTTTTGAAAAGTGTTGCGCACACACCCAGCTCCTTAACTGCCTGTAGCCTGGCAAAAATTTTTTGGGCAAGGGTGGAGCCCAGGTGGGACTAAAATACACCTTTTAGTAGCTTTATTATTCTCTCCAGTTAACCAGAGGGGCACAACAAAGTGAGTTTCTTCCCCCTTTTCTGCAGAAAAACTGCAGGCAGGTGGGCAGAAAACTGGCAAGAGATGGTGAAGAACTCGGAAGGAGTAAAAGTTCTAAGGCTGAAGGGGTGGGGGAAAGAGAGAGGGGTCTTTAAAAATCATTCTCAAATAGGAACAAATAGAGAAGAACTGGGAACAAATAGGATTCTGGCAGGTGTAGAATCCAACCGGATCATCCAAGGACAGGAGAGCCTGGAAGCATTTCAAAGAGACTACGGAACTGCCGACCACAAGGGGAGGGGGCATCTTCCTGGCCACTCTGGATTGCTGGACAGGACAGGACTGCATGCCCCAAAGGCGGAGAGGGAGGTGGGGAACTGCAATCCCTTCGCCTTTTCCCTCTGGGCTCCTTGGGTGAAGGGCCACCTTCCCCACCAGACTAGAACCCCATTCTGAGTCTCAGGGCCTGCTGGCTTGCCCCTCCCTCCCTCCCTCTGGCTGGACTGATGGCTTTGGCAGGGAGCAGCCAAGGGCTTAGAGTTATATGGGACGGAGGAATTTTTCTGGCCAGCCCAAACAGGCCTGGGCTGCACCCCTGACCCAGGGACAGCAGAAGTGCAAGGAGCTGATGGGGGGGGGGGTAATTGAAAAGCAAAGGAGGGAGGTTGCAGCCCGGGGGCCCTTGAGACAACACTCCGCTGGAGCTCAGTGGGTTGGGCACTCTACACAGTGGGGGGGGGGGGAGAGGAGCCCGACCCATGACTTGAGTCCAAGGACTCAACTCCCCAGGCTCACTCAGCCCCAAAGGGATCAACTTTTTCTCCTTCTGCAAAACTTGGGAGGGCTGCATCTGCCGATCCCTCCCTCCCTGGGTGTGGATGGGCAGCAGGAGTTTCTCCCCTCCCCAATTGTCTGCCGGTCCATCTGTGAGGAAAGGCTGCCCACTGCTGGTCTGATGCAGCAAATGCCAGCTGGGAGTCCAGTTGCCCTGTTAAGTGAGCATGATGGGCAAATGCCTGCCATCTACTGGGTGCAACAGGACCAGCTGAGAAGGTGGGTTGCCTACTTCTCTCTTCAGGTTCAAGAATAGAGTTGCAAATAAGCACATGGGCTACCTAAAAGGTCTTTTAAAATTAGTTTGGGTGCATTAATTAAAGCAATATTTATCTTCATATGACCCAAGTAGGTATCGTAAAGGTGCCAACGTCTGAGTTGGCCACTAGCAGAAAAGGCTTTACACTCAACCCCCATAATCCCCAGCCAGTGTGGTTTAGCTGCCCCTCCCATGAGTCTTCTTTGGGCAAACCAAAAGAAATTGCACACCTCTCTCATTAAATTTTAATTCAACTGTTGGATTTCTTAAAACCACCCAGAGAAGGCATCAAGCAGTAGTAACACCATTAAGGCTTGGCATAGTTTTTATGCCCTGGAAAATGATAGCAAGTGTTAAGGCAGAGTCAGTTCCCTGAAGAAATCCGTTGTGCAAAGACGCCTCGTGGATGTTCACCCCAAGAGTCGCTCGGAAAAGTCACGGAAGTCCAGCCGCTCTGGGTTGGCTGGTTTCACTCCCCAGAAATCAGCCGGGACGTCAGAGGAGAAGTTAAAAGCCACCCAGAAGAAGGCAAGGGAAGCCCACTGTGGCCCCACGGCCAGAAAGCCGCCTCCCGAGGGGTGAAGCACCCCCGAGAGGCGAGGCTTTCCTGCGTTACACGCCCTCCTGGTGGCACGTTTGTGCACTAGCCGGTCCTAGGCACAAAGGGCGTCTCTTGTGCGCGATCCAAAACTCAGAGGAAGACAGGCTCTCCCTGGCAGGCAGCCAAAGTGAGCAGGGCCGGGCTTCCCCCCCCCCTTTATGTCCCCAGAAGTAGAAAGGCCACTAGAGGAAGGCAGCAAAAGAGCATCAGGGGGGGTCCCTCCGCCTGGGCCAGGGAGGAGACACGCCTCTGCCCCCCCTGGGCCTCCCAGACGGGCTGCAGAGTGACCCGGAGAGGCTGGAAGGCACCTGCTGGGCTTCAGAGGGGAGGGAGGGGAGGCAAAGGGGCCGGCCCAGGCTGGCAAAGGAGGGGAGGGCCTGGTCAAGCCTTGTAATTCAGCTCCGCGTTCATTTTTGTGTACATCTCATAGATGGTGTCGAGGATGGGTGTTGCTTTGGACAAGAACTGGTGGATCTTGTCAAAGGTCTCTTCCTGCTTGACGTCCTGGCCTTTCTCCAGGGCCTTCAGCAGGTCTGACTTGTAGGGCAGAGCGTAGACGGAGCCCTGGGGAGGGAAGCGAGTCAGCCGGCGGCAGATTTGGCTTTTCTGCCTTTGCCCCCCCCCCGGGCCAGAGCTAGAATCGTTCAGTCCTGAAGACCCCCAAAGCCTTTGAAGAAGGGGAGGTCTAGGGGTGTTGCCACCCTCCCCCAGGTACCCCCCAGCCTCCCCAGGCAGGCTGGGTCTCTGCTGGAGGCCCCCTGGGCCCCCTGGGGGCTCACCAGGAAAAGCTTCTGCAGCATCCAGCCGTGGTACTTCCTCAGGGCCACCTCGTAGGCTTTGGTGGCGTTCACGCGGATCAGGTTGGGGTTGTCCTTATCCTGCTCGCCATCGCAAAGGCTCTGCAGCAAGACCTGGATGAACTTGAGACCCCTAGGGGGAGGGGAGGAGAAAAGTTTCTGAGAGACTGCCAGTCCCCCCGCCCGCCTTGAGCTGGGCCCCTGTGAGGTCCTCCAGCCGCCCCTCAGAAGCAGAAGTGGCTTTGCGGTCACCCCCTCACCTCTTCAGCCACATGAGGGCCAAGGTGGCCCCCACCTTTGGCCACGCCGGCCCGTACATTTCTTTCTCTGCTTCTAAGATGTTCTGAAGGGTTTTGAACTTGGCTGGGTTTGTTTCGTAAACCGCCCGTATTTTCTGAAATTGAACCAAAAGAGAATCATGAGTTTGACCCGGGGGGGGGGTGGGTCCAGCTGGCAGGAGTGGGGGGCCACAGGGGCCTGTTCTGATTAGCAGCCCCCTTAATCCTGCTTCCTATGGAGCTGATGCTCCTGCTTAGTGCCTCGGGATTCGCAAAGAGACTCACAGTGGCCTGATTTGCAAGCCACAATAGACATAAACAACCACATGCAAACAACCCATGACGGCTTGATGCCAGCTTGGGCCTGATCCCAGCTCAAATCCACCACACTCTTTCCTCAGAGCCCCAGGATTGGGGCCTTCCCTACCTTAATGTTCCCGGAGAGATCCGCCTTCACTGGGGCATAGACAAGTGGGGTGCCCAGGCAGTCTGTGGAGGAGAGAGCAAAGGTCTCCAGAATGTGTGTTGAAGATGGGGTGTGAGGTTTGTTACTTTTGGTTTATTGGACACATAAACGTTGTATCATTAATGCAAGTTAAAGTTTGCATTACAGCATATTCTGGCTTTTGTGGATTATGAGCCACCCAGAGTCCCTATGTTGCAATGCAGGCGCTATATAAATCGTCTTCTAGTGCAGCCCTCTGCTTAAGAGGAGAAACAGCTCCTACGGTGAAGTTGCTTACAGCTGGCATTTGCAGCACTTCATGGAAGTAGATGGAAGCAGTGGGGGGTGGGGGTGGACAGCAGGCCAAGCGAACCAGCTTGCCAGCACGAAGCCAGATTTTCCAAGCAGGCTTTGTCCGCTTGCTCAGAGTTGGTTTTGGGGTACGGAGAACAAAGCTGTGGCTCGGTGTCTGGGCTCTGGGGACGCCTGTTTCACCACACAGCCCTCGGGGCAAGTCTGCCTCTTCCTCCAGATCCCAGAGCAGTACCCAGCCGTTCCTGTTCTTCTCGTTCCCCCACTGGCTTTCTGGAATGGCTGAGAGCCTCTTGGCAGCCACTCAGCACCGCCTGCAGCCAAAGGCCCCCGCTCTTTCCCAGACCAAGGGGCCCCTTCCAGTCTGGGGGCTGGTCTTTGCCGGCCAAGCCCACTGGAGGCGCAGGGCCGGCCCAGGGCAGAGACGGTCTCAGGACCTGCGCGGGGCCGGCCCAGGGCAGAGACGGTCTCAGGACCTGCGCAGTCTCTGCCAGTCTGGTGGCGAAGGCGTCTGGTGATGCAATCCACCCGCTGAGGATTGCACAAGGGAGAAGGGAGAGGCTGGCACACCCAGCAGGCCCTGGGAGCTTTTCCCACTGGAGGGGGGAAGAGATGAGCAGCCAGTGAGTCTGGCCTGGGGGAAGCAGCAGGCAGACCAGGCTTGGCTCCCGACATCCGTCTCCAGCATGTCCCCAGCAGAAAAGGCGGCCTGCTTTCAGGATCGCTCAGCCATTGGCAGGGGTGGCAAAGCCCCTTAGTGGGGCCCCTAGGTTTCAAGTATACGGGGAAGAGACAACCTGCCATCCAGCTGCACTGGGGCAGCTCTGCGGGAGGGGGGATTCAGGGGAACCCTGCTAGGCAGAGCCAAGGCTGAGGGCGACGTTGCGACGTCTCTCGTAAGCCACTCACTGGTTATGCAGAGGGGGGGGGTCTGCATCCACAGGAACCCCGGGGATGGAATGCTCTTGCGGTCGCGTGGGGTCACCAGAGCCTCCCCCAAAGCCTTAAAGAGGCCCTTAATGAAGGAGTTCAGGGTCCAATCTAAGAAGTCCCTGAATGAGGCAGAATTGTTTGGTGACCAGTATTACCTGGTAGGCTGCTCCTATCCATGGAGTGTCCATTTTTCTACAGTGTCCATTGCAGGGAAGGGAAAAAGCCCATCAGCTCTCTTAGCTTCCTCCACAGAGCAAACAGGATCCTCAGATTGCCCCCCCCCCAGTTCTTCGAAGGAAGGCAGTTTTTTCTCCCACTGAAGTAACGTAAACCTTGCAATGGCTCAGCTGAGCCATGCCATAAGCCCACCAAGACACCCTGCTCGTGTTTTGAGGTGAGCACCCCCTCTTTTCCATCTTGGAACCCGTCCCGAAACAAAAGACCTTCGTTTGGCCTTTCCAGACCTTTATTGTTTGGAAAGCAGAGAAGGACTGAAGGAGGCTTGGCTGAATTTCTAGAGGTGTCAGTTACGTCCATTAGCTGACAGTCCAGAGATCCCATTTCCACAAGCCTCTTGGCTGCCCCCCCCCCGGGCTTGGGGTTCAGAGGGTGAGATGCCCAAAGGGGGCTGAAGAGGAGAATTGCAAGAGATGGGGAAAAGACTTAACCTAGGGCAGGATAGCCTCTGGTGCAACCAGGCTGGGGCTCTCTGCACATGCCCCAAAGCAGAGACCTTAATGAAAGGTCAGGTTTAATTTTATATATGTAGCGACAGCACAGTTCTGCCCCAAAGGAGTAAAAGAAAACCAAACTCGGCTGGAAAAAGGGATTCCTGATGCCTGAGATTTCTGCCCTTCAGTTTATTTAAGAATTAAAGCCTCCGTTGCACATTCTCTGCGGAAGCTTTGTATCCCTTAAGCCGGTCTGGCAACTTCTGCCCCCTTTTGGCCCGCTGGAGCACCTGGAAAGATCTGCCACTTTGCAAAGCTTCGACGGGTGATCGATCCGGCCTTCCGCTGGGGAAAGTGACGGGGGAGAAGGGCTGGCCAGCCCGGCCGGGGACTCAGAGAAAGACCCGGAAAGGGACGGGGTTCAAAGGGCCTTTAAAAGTGGCCTTGCACTGCCCACCCCCCTCCCCCAAGGGGCTCCAGCTTGGCATAGGCTCAGCTCCAATGGAAGATACGACCGTAAAACCGACCATCCACAGACCACAGCCCGCCAGGGAACAGGAGTGCTCCGGCTGGTGACTGAGCGAACAGGTCTCAGGAGGCTGAACAGGCTCAGCGACGCCTCCGTCCGTTCTCAGTCGCCCCTTCGCACGGCTGCCCGTGACCCCCAAGTCCACCCAGCCCTTCAGGTCGCCCTCAGCGCTCTCCGAGCAACGCTGCCCTCCCCTGCAGGGCTGTTGTGTCGAGGGGAAACTTTGCAGGCGTCCCTCCCCGTCTCTGCTCGGGAGCCCGCAAGCCCGCCCGGCCGGGGCGCCTCCGGGGGACGAGGGGCGCGCCACTCACCGAAGAAGGGCGGCAGGTGCGTCACGGCTTCCAGGAAGGGCTCCGTGTCGATCTGCTTATCGGCCGGCAGCGACCGGAACTCGTACTCCATCAGCAGCGCCATGGCGGGAGCCCAGCAGTCCGACCCGGCGACTAGGCAGAAGGAATCCGGTCGTCGGGGTGGAGCTCGGCATCGCCGCCCCCGAGGGGGGCGGGGCGCCGCTGAGCCTCCTCCCGCAAGAGCCGCCTGGCTCAGGAGCAGTCTATCCCCAAGCCCGCCGGCCAGCAGCGCAGGGGGGGGAAATCCGGACGCTCCCCGAACAGCGGAGCGGCAGCACCCTCGGATGCGGGGCGGCCGAGGCGGCCTCGATTCTCCCTGGGCGAAAAGCCGGGTGCGAAGCACCGAGATCTCAGGGTGACCCCGGCTTCGAAGGAGCAGTAAGCAAAGACGGGGCGGCACATCCTCTAACCTTGTGCAGAAAGCTTTTGCGCTGCCCAAGCTTCGACGGATCAGATGAACATCTGGAGCCGCGGCCAAGGCTTCGGGGTCGCCTGCCCGGAGCCAGTCACCCTTTCGGACTCGCGACGGGCCGATTCGGGTTCCGCAACCCCAGCTGGGGATGATGGATGCGGCAGTCCGGCTGGCCGCTCTGAAGACGCCGCCAGCACCGGGAAGGAGGGACGCCTCCTGCCCCCTCCAGTCCGGGCGAGCGAGAAGGGCCTCGTGGGGGTTCCCGGGCATCGCCAGGCGGAAAGCGGGCTGGCGGCCCCCCTTCCCTTCCTCCCGGCGCCCGGTCGGGGTTGCGCTCGCTGCCCCAAAAGGAGGCGCAGTCGGCAGAGCGGTGACCTCGGAGCGGCGTGGAGGCGAAGCTGAGCCTGGGCTACCCTGCAAGGCTGTTGTGAACCTTCCCTGGCTTTGCCCGAGACAGGGCGCTGCAGAGAGCCCCAAAAGGGGACGGAGGCGCCTCTTCCTTCCTTTGGCGGCAGCTCCGTCGAGCGCGGGGCGGGAGGAGGTTCCGAGAAGCGCACCCGGAAGCCCTCCGCGCGGAGACCTTGGAGGCCGCCTCTCAATTTTCTTAGCTCTGTGGGAATTCCAACAGTACCGCCTAGGCTCCGCCCTTTGAGCGAAACGGGACCTCTTGTCCCTCGGCGGCCCCTGTAAAGAGACAGGAAGCACTGCCATGGAGACGCCCGGCGGCGCCGGAAGAGCCCGGACCGTTGGGCATTCGCGCGGAGGCAGCGGCGGGGTTCGGAGTGGCTTCGGACGCGCCTCGAAGGCGGCGAGCGCGGTTTCGGAGGCGCCGGAACTATCCTGCGGCGGCGTAGCGGGTGACGTCAGGACGCGCGGCCGGGCCTCTGCGTGACGTCACTGCGCCGCGCCTCCCCGGGCATCGCCGCCATGGACGTGTCCGCCGTGCCGCCGTTCTGGAGCAGCCGCAGCCGCGTCCTGGAGCAGCAGCTGGTGCGCCGGCGGGAGCAGGAGGCCCGCCTGCGCCGGCAGTGGGAGCTGCACAGCCGCTCCTTCCAGCAGTCCGGGCTGCACAGCCTCAAGCAGGCCGAGTGGAGCTCGCGCCGCTGCTTCCAGCGGAGGTGAGCGCGGGGGGGGCGGGGAGGGGGGCAGGCGAGGCGGGCGGGAGCGCCACGTCCGCCTCCCCCGCTCCTCCCTTCCCTCCCTCGCTCTCTCTGTCTGCCCGCAGTATGGAGGCGCACGGCCGGGAGCGCCTGAGGGCGGCGGCGGCGGCAGGCCTGGAGGGGCGGCGGCTGCGGCTGCGGCAGCTGCTGTGCCGGGAGCGCGAGGGTCTGGCGGCCGAGCTGCAGGGGCTGCGGCCCGGCGGAGAGGCCGAGCTGGAGGAGAAACGACAGCGGAGCCAGGAGCTGCGCTCGGCCAGGGAGGAGCGGCGGAAGCAGGTCTGGCCCCGGCTCTGGGGGGAGGGTTGGGGGGTGGGCACCGGTCGGGCGACGGGGCCGCGGTTCGAATTGCATCCCTTGCTCGGCTTGGCTCGCAGGTGGCGGAAGATCGTCTCTACGAGTGCTGGAAGAAGAACAGTGCTAAGCTGAGAGAGGTGGGGAGCCTTCTGGGTGGGAGGGGGGGAGAAGCAGCCTGGTGGGTCCCCGGGGCCGACTAGGATGCCGCTGTTTCTGCTGAACCTCAGGTGAGCTCGGAGCTGCACAAGAAGCACGTGGTGGAGGCCTGGGGGGACCAGCTGGCACAGAAACAACAGGTAAGCCCACCTGCTCCTTTCATACCTGCCCAGGAGGAGGATAGGCAGAGGTTAATGCCTGCTTTGCTTTCCTCCCAAACGAGCGAGAAGCGGCGGATCAGGAAGAGAAACTCCGCTCAGAGAACCAGTACGAGAAGGCCCGCAGAGAGGCCCTGGAGCGGCTGAAGCAGGCGGAGGAGCGCAGGAAGCAGGAGGAGAGGAAGCAGGCTGAGATGCTGCGGCAGCAGATGGCGGAGCTCCAGCTGCGGGACATGCAGGTGCGCGAAGGGCGGATCCGCGAAGAGCCCACTGCAGCGATCCCATCCCAGAGCATGAAGGGGAGGCAGCCTGTCCCATTTCTGGATCCGCAGATCACCTCCTTTCTATTCGGATTCCTCAGTTTGCTTGCCCTCCTTCAGCCCATAACTCCACACCTGCTCTGTTCTAGCTTTTGGGGACTGGAAAGGCAAAGGTGGTCAGAGAGTTCTCTGGCCCTCACTCTTGCTCCCCTTGTCAGGCCACCCAGCTGAAGGAGGAGGAGGAGCGCCTGCTGAAGCAGCATTGGGAGCTACAAGCAGTGGAAGCTGAGCGGAAGCTCAAGGATGAGCAGCGGAAGAAAGTGGAGCTTGGGTAGGTGATGAGGGGGGGAGAGGCAGCTTCTCTCCAGATGCTCTTGGAGGAGGAGGAGGAGGCAGCCAAGGAGGGGGCAGAATCCGTTGTCCAGCTGTGGGAGTTGTCTGCAGAGACATGGCATTTGAGAGACACATGAGAGCTTGTCTAGGAGGCTACACTGAGAACGCAAGGGGGGTTAATTGCCAGAGGGAGCCGCTCACCCCCACTGTCTAGTCTTCCATAATTCCATTATTATCTTCCATTATTGGAGCTGTTGCTGGGCCCAGCCAGCTGCGCTGTTTGCAGAGGCTCTGCTGGGAAGTGCAAACCTTCCCAGGGTCTGCTGGCCCAGGTTGCTCCCAGGGCCGTCTGCCCACTTATTTCATGCCTGCCTCTTTCCCCAGGCGCTTTCTGAAGCATCAGGTCCAGGGCCAGCTAAGGAGACGGGCTCGGCAGGTCCAGGAAGAGCTGGTAAACTTGTCCACCGGGGCAGGAGGCAGCTGCTGATGGGTTCTGCCTGCAGTAGTGGTCCCCCCAAAGATGAGGGATGCAATGGCTGCAAAGGCCCTTCTCTGCCTGCATGGAAGCCATAGCATGACAAGCCACAGTGGCTTCCTGTGGCCCTGTGATTCTAGGAGAAGGACAGGCAGATCCTCCTGTCCCTGTCTGAGAAGGAGGAGGAGGACCAGCGCCTGCAGTCCGCCCGGCGGGAAGAAGCCGTGGCCGCTGTGGCCTGGATGAAGGAAGTCATTGAACAGCAGCTGCAGTTGGAAAGAGAACGAGAGGCAGAGCTGGAGACTATCTTTAGGTGAGGGAGCACCAGGGCGGGGGGGGGGAGTTCGAAGCAAAGGCTGCCTGGAAGGGCTGAGCTGGAAGGGTCAGTTGGGGAACCAGGATCCTCATCTCCCCAAGGCATCTGTGGACGGGCAAAACGAGGGGGGGCAGAGACGCTGGAAGCCAAACCCCTCGGCATACACGAGTGCCTTTGGCCGCAGAGGAGGTTCTGGTGGGCAATGGGCATCTCCCTGTCCTTTCTTTCCCTCGCCTCCCCCAGGGAGGAAGCCAGGCAAGTTTGGGAGAAGCGAGAGAAGGAGTGGGAGAGAGAGCGGAAGGCCCGGGACAGGCTCATGGCAGAGGTGAGAGCAAGACTTTGGGGGGGGGAGCTCTTCCAAAGCAAGGAGGGGCAGGTCTCTGCTCAGCCCTCCCACTCTTCGGCTCCAAATAGGTCCTGGCCGAGAGAGAGCAGCAGATCCAGCAGAAGATGGAGCAGAACAGGCATGCCCAGCAGGAGTCCGTGAGGGTCCGTGAGCAGCTGATCCAGCAGCTGGAAGCGGCCTGGCAGCTGACGCAACGGGAACAGGAGGCAGAGGCTGAGCGGAAAACGGCCCGCAAGGAGGAGCAGCAGGCGCAGGTGGGGCCTCCTTGCCAAGTCACGTGGGGCCGGCTGGGCTGAAAGGTGCCCCGTCCCACACTGGCCTCCTTCCCCCTTCAGCTCATGGAGCGGCAGCGGCAGCAACAGGAGGAGCTCCAGGGCCAGCAAGAGGCGGCCGCAGAGGCCCGGCTGCAAGAAGAGCAGCACACGCGGTTGGAGGAGCTGGAGGCCAAGCGCATGGTGGAAGCTGGCTATCGCAGCAAGGTGGGAGCCGCTGCCGAGGGGACCCCAACTTAGGACTGCTAAAATGTGGCAGGCCAGAGGGCCCTCCAGGGGCGCTGCTCTGTGAGGATGAGTCTTGGGGCTCAGGGCTGCCCTCCGGGAGTTGAGACCCCCTCGGTGCTCTTTCCCAGAGGGAGGATCTGATCCTACGTCTGCCCCACTCCTTTCTAGTGCCACAGTTACCCAAAAGCTGCCTGGAGCTAAAGAAGATTCTGCCTTTCGGGTCTGGATGGCTGAGAAACTCTTTGCCAGCTGCTTGGAGCTGGCAGGGATGCTAGATTGGGAGGGTGGACTGGCTCACCCAGGAGTGGTCTTCCTGCCTTCCCCCAGGACGGAAGAGTGGCAGTGAAGATGGGTGGGGTGCTTAGAGGGTCAATAAAGTGCTATTTTCTTTTTAAATTGGATTTCTCTGGCCTGCTGCTGACCAGAAATGCTGACAGCAAGTGATGGGCAATCTGAAGATTGTTCTACCTATTTCTGTTCCACTGCCCACCCTACCCCAATAGCACAAAACTTTTAAGAAACAGAGCTACAATGAAATACCAGCATTCAAAATATTATGGCACTTGTTTTTATACATGTTAAGATTTACACACATACACACACACACACGTATACACACACTCCACAGAGTCTTCACTTAGTTGTGGTTTTAACATGGAGGTGGGGAGTTTGTCTCTACAGCCACGAAGCAGCTGTGCCCCCATTCTTGCAGGGCCTGAGCAAGCCAGGCCTGGGGCAGCCAACGGCTGCTCTCTGGCTGCAGGCGAGTCCTCAGGGCCAGGTGGCAGAGCAGCCCGTGGACAGGATGTCTGGGGGAAGGCCAGGCTGCTGGCTGCTTCACCCGTCATTCTCGGGGGCTGCTGGGCAGCCTTGGCCAAGCCGCTGCATTTGCTCGGAAGCTTCCAACTCTCACTGACCACTGGGGAAGCGACCCCCAACTTCTCCCCCAAAATGTTTTTTTGCATTGATTGGCCATTGTGCCTTGACCGTGTGCTTTCTTCATACTTCATACAAAAAGGCCTGTGCCGTAACAAATGGGGATGGCGTGGCAGACGCAGAGGGGAAGCCGGCACAATGGGTTGCCTGAACAGCTCTCCCTCCCTGGCCTACCTCCAGCTGCCAGTGGGGAGGCTGGGCGCTCACTGGCCGTGCTTGGCCACCTCCCCTGCACGGGCCCCCTTTTCTGGCCAGGCCTTCCGCAGGCACGCTAGAAAAGACCCTCATGCATCCGTATCAGTAGGGCAGGGAATAATAATAATAATAATAAAAAAAGAGCAGATACAAGAGCTTTCCATACTGGGGAAGGCACGAAGCCTCCCAAGGCATAGTTATTTTGCAAAAGCACTTTCCAGAAAGTCCAGCATGAGGAGCCGCCGGGGGCCTGCCTGGCTCTGTCTCGGATGCTGGCCTCCGGGGTGGAGGGGCTGCCCTTTGGCCCCGACAGGAAGGGAGGCTGTTCCTTCTCCCTTCCAATTGGAGCCACAAGCATCTTCCGCTCCCCAGACGGACCAAGCAGGAAAGTGGGGTTTCCTTCTGACTATTCCCTGTATCTCGAGAGATCGCGGGGTGCTCCTTAGTGGTTCAATAATGCCAAGCGACTGCACAGCAGGATTCCAGGGCAGGTACCTGAATTCTGATCTGGGCATCCGAGTTTGCAACAGGTGTGCAGGATTCAAACCTCCTTGTAACAGCAAAAACGTCCTGCAAGATGGTGATGGTTGACTCAAGATAAGACTTCCAGCGCACACGCTCCATGCCGGCAAATACAGAGCACCAAATAAGGCAGTGGATTATAGCAATCCTGGGAAAAAGTCTTCTTAGAAAAAAAACATGCAAAAAAATTAATACTGAGCTTCCTTTAAAAAAATGGTAACGCACCGCTTTAAATATTCCTGTAAAAAAGAGCATCCCCTGAAAACCTGAACACAGTTTCCAAGACAACAGCAGAAGCTGTGCCGGAGCCCGCTCAGTTGGCGTTCTCTTTGGTTGTGATGGTGACCAGCTGCTTGGCAGCCTTGGCAATGTCGTAGGCGCACTGGATGACCTGTTGGGTGACCAGCTGGACGTCGGCCGTGGAGCAAGACTCGGGCGGAAGGGCCTTCGTGCACTCGGAATGCAGGCGGAAGGCGCTGGAGGTCAGCAGCCGCAGAGGGGTGCGCACCAGCTCCGATGGCGGTTTCTGGAAAAAAACCGGGAACGCTGAACATTTTGGCCAATCTGGTTTCCCATGAAAAAGGTAACAACCTATGAATGCAGCCGAGGACAAAGTTGTCCTGTGGCTTTCCGCCATGCCAGCGATGGGGTGCCACGGATTCAGCTGCCATCAGCCTTCCCCAACCAGGGAAAGAGGCTGGACCGCCGGAAGGGCCTCCTTGCCTGCGAGGCTTTATGGGTGTTGCTTGATTTACACCTGACTATGCTCACCTGTCCTCTGACAATGTCCACAAATTTCAGGGATGCTGACTTTCAGAACTTTCTGCTCTTGCTGACCATCTTCCCTAGGATCTTCTCACCTCGTCTCCTGGGCCAGCCTTTGTCCAGGTGCTCCACCCCACGCCCCCTCCTTCTAACCAAACAAGCGTTACTCACTTTCGGAAAGAGGGCTGCCATCTCAGTGACAGCCAGATGAATCTTCTCCGAGCAGGGAACATAGCTGCAGGGGGGAGAGAAGGCAGATGAATCTTCCCAGAAAAAGGGGTCTTATTCCCAGCTGACCCAAACCGCAGATCGCCGGGCTCCAGCCTCCCCAGCTCACCTCTCGTGCTTGCTCTCCTGAGCCGCCCGCAGCAGCTCCTGGATGTTCTTGGTGATCTGCTCGGTCTTCCGAATCACATCTTCGGTGCTAGGGAAGCCAGTGCTGGGATGGGCCTCGGGGTCCTTGCCCTCTGGCCCGAGGCCGCTCCGCTGCCTTGCCTTCCTGATGAGCCTGCCAAAAGGCACATGCTGCAGCCCCAGACTGGCTCCCCCAGGCCCCTGGCTACTCCATCTCCTCCCCAGAAAGACAGAGAGTGACCCCGCCTCTCTTGGCCCAAGCTAGCATGTAAAGGCCTCGAGGGAGTCCTTCAGTGGAACCCAGAAATCACCGAGGGTCCCGGACACTCAAGCCCTGGCCCTTACCCTGTCTCGTCCAGCTCCAGGCCAGGGGCGGTGTTGTCGTAATCCCCCTCGGGCAAGCTGCTCTGTTTCTCCAGTCGGGACATCTGGAAGGGAAAACGAGAGGGGAAAGGTGGGAGTCCACCCACTGATGGAGGAGTCACCCCCCCCCCAGCTAGAGGCAGCCACGCTCTCCCTCCCTGCCGCCAGTCTCTTCCCCCCCGGGGGGGGGAAGCCAGTCCTGCCTTTTGCCAAGCTTTCTCAAGAGGCTGGGAAAAACAACCCCCCATCCACCAGATAATCACCAGGTTTGGTGGGCTGGGGGAGTCTGGAGCTGCTGGCCCCCTGCCGGGAACTGCAAAGGGCCTGTGGGAGCTGCCTGGGCTGGGGCAGCAGGGAAGAGAGCGAGGAGGAGCCTTTTCTATAGAGATTCCCCCATTTCCTAACGGGGAAAGCGCAGGCAGGGCTGACAGCTGAACAAAGGAGCTTCGGCAGCGACTGCAGAGAAAGCAGGAGGCGAGCCGGAAGGCGACAGGGCGGCTGCGTTACTCACGTGGAAGAGCTGGAGCCGGGGCGTGGTGTGCTCCTCGGAGCAAGAGGCTTCGGCTAGGGGCAGGTAGGGCTTCTGGGCAGACCCCGTCTCGTACATCGACATGGGCCGGCTGCTGCGCACGGAGGGGCGGCGCACGGAGGGCCTGTCCGCGTACTCGGAGCCAGCCGGAGCCGGGTAGGGGTTGGGGGTGGCCTGCCGCCGGAGGCTCGAGTTTTCGCTCTGCAGGGTCTGAAGCTGGAATGAAATGTGGAATCGTCCCACACGCTTGGCTTCGTTTTTAAAGAGGGCCACATTCAGGCCTCCAGACCAAAGAGAGGGAACTCGGCAGCCACGTTTCAAGGGCCGGGCTGGGCTCAGCAGCTCCCACAATGTCTCCAAGAGACGGTGGCTTGAGCAACACTTCTTGAGTGAAGGACGCTTGTGTGGAACGGCGAGGGACGAGCTGCAAGCCGGGAGGGGAAGTGTGGAAATGCCGAAGCCGCAGTGGGGGAGGAAACGAGAGAGAAGCTACTGGCCAAAGCAGGAGGCCCAGAGGCAGAAGGAAGCCGGCACACAACCCATTTCCTATAAGGCCTTCAAGCGGAAGGAGCCGACCAATGGGCGAGTGGCTACAGCGCCCAACCGCCAAGAGGGTCCTGCTCTGCCCACTAGGCTCCTCCACACCTGATGAAAACTTAATATCCATTGAGCCTTTAAAGAAACTGCCCACAGCCCTGGCAAGCTGCCTCCTCACTGAGAAAAAGAAGCAACCCTGTGGAGGACCCAGGGTGGGCTCGGAAGCGTCTTCTCCCCCTCTGGAAAGGCAACAGAAGCCCCTTCTCCAAGGCCGCTGCTTCGGGAGGCAGATGCTCGCTGGGAGGTGGGACTGCAACTCGAATGGGATCTCCCCCCACCTCAACCCCCTCCCTGCGTATCTGAAAGGGAGAAACCGGCCCCCGAAGCGTGGCCCAGGCGCCCTGCCTGTATCCCCTCTGGCAGGAAGGATGGGGGTGGCCTGCCGGGGGGGGGGCAGGGAGGAGGGTGTGCAGCCTGAGGAAAGACCCCCAAAGGGCCACCAAAGCACTTCCTGAAGTTCCCCATCTCCAGTGGGGTGGGGTGGGGCTGGGGGGGCTGGGGATTGCCATGCTTCCTCTTTTTCTTCAACACAGGAACCTGCAGCTCTGCCTGACCATCTGCTGGCTGCCCTGGGCAGGTCGTGAAGCGGCCTGAGACCCGGACTAAAGCTGGGCAGTTCTGGGTCCACCTCCCCAGAGGGCCACAGCCGGTCAGCTGGAGGGAGGGAGGGAGGATGGCAAGGCAGGAGAGGAAGTAAGAAGAGGCCGAGAAGGAGGGAAGAGCAGAGAGGAGGACCACAGCCCACCTGCCCTCGGGATACCAATGGCATCTGACCTCGCCTCCCATTCCAAGCTAAATCGCTCACCAGCCCCCTAAACATCACCCTCAAACCCCAGGCAGCCTCTGGCAACCCGAGGCTCCTCTAGAGGGGTGGTCTTTCATTCCCCATCCTCCCCGCCCGTAGAGTGTAGGACTGCACCCGCAAGGGGTGGTGGGAGCTCAGCCTCGGCCCGCCTGGAGGCCCCGGGAGAAACGCTGCTCCACACAGGCCACCCTTTTCCCTGCACCAGGAAGAACCCTGGTGATTCTGCTCAACCGGCCGGTGGCCGAAGAGGCGCAACCCTGCAGGGCGGGCAGGGTGTGGAGTGCAGGGCTACCTTCTTCTGCATGGTCCTCAGCTCATCGCTCAAGTTGACGTTCACCTTCAAAAGCTGCTGGATTTTCGCCTCCGAGGCCACCAGGGCGTTTTTCACCTGCAGGTATTCCTGGGCAGTGATGGGGCCGTCAGACAAGTCAGAGTCCAGGCTCTGCAAAAAGCCCGTCCCCCTTTTACGCCTGCACACGCATCCTCTCCTCCCCCCCCTCCCCGCTTAGAGCCATGTGCCCCAGATCAGATGGGGTCAGCTGAGGCCATTCAGAGATCTCAGGAGGGCTCTGGCTAGGATGCAAGGAGGATGGCTGCGTTTCAGAATCTCGGGGGGGGGGGGCCTCGCTCTCAAGTCCTTCCAGGGACTTTGGACAGAGAGGCCCATAACAAAAGGCAGCACCCCCAGAGCCTCTCCAGCCCCTCCACAGGCTGCCGTCGCCTTCACCCACCTTCTGCCGAGAGGCCTTCCCTGAGCTTGCTTCCAGATCGCCTTCTTCGTCGGAGGCAACGCTGTCGTAGTCAGGCTGGTCGGCCTCTGGACCGGGCTGGCAGCTGACTGACTTGAGGATCAGCTCCACATTTTCTGAGGCCAAAGAGAGCAATCCCTGCAGCGGTGGCCCCTGCTGGGAGAGCCTCTGCCAACCGCCTGGGAAAGCAGGAACTCAGGGAGGCCGTGGCAGAGTGGGGCCTTCTTCCCCTCTGCTCCGTTTTCCCCAGAACTGCTCCTGCAATGCTACTCCCGCAATCCCCCTCCCTCGCAGCCCTTTCCTCTGACCTCCAGGCCATTACGGGAGGGGGACCCTTGTGCCGCCCCCAGGACAACCTCTTGAAAGCTGGGCTGCAGCTCCCAGGGTGCTGGAGGGCTCACCTGTGGCACTTGGAACAGGGTTCCCCTGCTGCCTTCGCTTGGCGTCCCCCAGGATGTCAATGACCAGCGTGGCAAACTCGTGGGCGTTAAAGCGGGCCAGCTTCTGCCTTCCCTGGAAACACCAAGGAGGACAGCCCTTCAGGGGCCTTCAGGGCAGGCCGGGGCACGTGAGGCGACTGCTCCTCCCCACCCAGGGCGGGGCTGTTTTCTGCAGAGATTGGCCTTTCCAAACTAGCCCCTTCTGGCAGCCGACTCATTCTCCCTTCTTAACTCCAGAACCCTGACCCCGTTTCTAATGGCTGCCTGCAGCATCTTGGCATGGGAAGGCTGGCACTGAGGCCCCCGCCCCGGACGGATGGATTTGCAAGGCCCAAATGGACGACTGCTGCCATTTTTCAGCTGGGGGGAAACTCGGCCCTGCAAACAAGTGGAAAGGGGCGCTTGCTGCTGCTTGTAACTGCCGGAGCCCAGAGAAATCACCGGAGATTCGCACCTGGTTCCTCGTTGAGGAGTACTCCGGATTGACAGGAAGGAAAGGGACCACAGTTGTCTCGGTGACCAGAGTGCTGTGGTTCTGGGTCGCAAGCCACACTGTTGGTGCGAGAAGAGGGCAAGGTCAGGGGTGTGTAAAGTTCCCTTCTGCATTAGCTGCCCTTCCCTAAATCCCAGCCTTGCCCCTCACCAACAGAAAACCCCTCCCTCCGTTGCTAATCCGGACTGTGGCTTCAGTGTGGATCCCAGCAAGGCAAAACCGAGGGAGGGGGGGCTGAGAGGTGGAGTGGGGCCCCGCAGGAAGCTACCCTAGCTTGTGGGCAGCCCTGCCAGAGGGAAGCACCTGCGTCTGTCTCCCGCCTGTCCACCTCGTCGTAGACGTCCATGGCCAGCTCTTCAAACAGGTGATTGGTCAACTAAAGAGGGAGGGAAGGACCAAAGGGTGAAGCTGGGCCTGCCAAAGTTCCTGGGGACTGAGACAGGGCCGGCCTAGCCTTTGCGGTCGTCGGCTGGGGGCTTTACCGGAAGCAGCTGCCCCTCCTTTGGGAAATGTCTGAGAGCCAGGAGGGCAGCCTTCTTCTCCCAGGGCAAAAGGTGGGATGGGGGTCTCAGCCCCTCCTTTCAAAAGTGGACCTTCCTGCCCTCCTTCCAGGGCAAAGTGGAGAAAGGAGCAGACTCACCAACTGAAGCTTCTTCTTGGCTGCTTTGGCCAGCGCCGAGACATCTAAGCTGCTACGAAAACAAACAGCCCTTCAGAACAAGAACCCCTGTTCCCTGGAAGACCAGAGCCAGGCAGAGCAACTGAGAAAGCGTGCTTGCGAATGCAGAGATGATGTCAGATACGCTTGCTCTTTCTTTCTTGAACTTCACATCCTCCTTCTCAACTGCTTTATTCTCAAAACACCTCCACAGATTGAACAATGCTCCATGCCTCTCCCCCTCCCCCAAACAACCGACCCCCGCTTGGTCTGTTTCGGAGAGGTCTGGGCGGTGATGCTTCGCTGTCCAGCAAGTCTTATCTATCCACCCCCGACACGATGGGAAAGCAGCTCTCCCCTTTGCAGGGCATCACCTCCCCTTCCAACCCCCAGAGGAGGTCCTGAGACAAACCCTGGTCACACAGGAGACTCCAACACACACACACACACAACTGAAAGCGACTTTGGATTTTGTCTCGCTAAGTCATTCATTTGAATGAGCCATTTTATCTTCCTATCTGTCTCGTCTCCTCTGGCTCTTGGGTGGGCGGCTCAGGCTGCAAGTCAACGTCACCCAAAGAAGAAACATTGCCCAGGCAGGAGGCGGCAACCTAAGAAACACACTTCCCGTTCCCTCAATTCCCAGGATTCGGGGTTCAGCATTAACATGAAAAAGATTGTGAGATTATTCCTATGTTATTATTCTAAACTGTGTTTATTTTGTTCTGCCCAGCCTAAAGAGCTAAAATAGCCCTCCCAGTTCGATCCTGCTGGCTAAGGATAATGGGCTGGGGTTGACATACTAAGAGACCCCAGACTCGGCTTTGTTTCCAGCAGCTGAACAAAGGCACGTTGGAGCCACAATAAGGAAACCGAAAGACCCCCCCATTTGGGGCGTTGCTCTTGGAAATAGTTTTGCCAAACATTCTCAAGGTCCGAAGCCACGTTCTTACCTATCTGCCATCTGAGGTATAATGAAATGCTGCCGGCCTTTGTGATCTAAAAAGAACATTTCAAAAGCACATCAGGGAGGGGAAGCAGCAGGCCTTCTCTGAAGCTGCCCACCTGGACTGAGGGGCGGAGAAAAGGCGTGAAGTGGCCCAGTTCAAGCAGAGAGGAAAACCGGGATGATCCTGCCAACCAAAACATCCAGTTACCTGGTTTTCTGCCACAGAGATAGAAGGCCAGCCGATCGGTGAGCTCGTACTGTATTTCCACCAGGCGCTCGGCCAGCTCATGGTGGCCTCCTTGCCTAGTGGAAAAAGGGGCGAGAGGCACTCAGAATTCACTGACATGGGGCCCCTAGGGGACAACAAAGGGGTGGGGTGCTGCCTAGTTCTGTTCTTAATTGGACCCTCTTCTGCTATTCTTCCCAAACCTGCCCTTAGGGCAGCAGCTACCAAAAGAGCCCCTCCGCTGGCAAAAAAGGGCTCACCTTGCATAATCCACCGGTGTCTTCCCACAGGAGTCTGGGGTGCCAGGATCAGCTCCATACACAGCCAACAACTCAGCTTGCAAAATCTGCCCAGTCTTGGCAGCAACGTGAAGCGGGGAGTTCCCTTTCTCCTACAGAAGGGGCCAAGAGAGGCTGGCTCAGCTGCAGGCCCTCCACTCCAAACCCGTCTGGGGCTACAGAAAAGACCCTCCGCCGTTCTCTCACCGGGTGGAAGAAGTTGGCCTGTGCTCCCAACGAGAGAAGCCTCAAACAGGTCTCCAAGTTGCCAGTCCTGACACTGGAGTGGAGTTGCTGGAAGCAAAGGCAGGAGAGGCCTCAGCACCGTCTAACCCTAAGCCTAACGCTTCACTAATCAGCCGAAGCTACGCACGATGGCACCTGGAAGAGCCGGACGCCTCGGGCCTTCCCGCCATCTGCCCAGGGGCGACTCTACCTTGCTGAGGTCCTTGGCAGTCACACTGTCGTCATCCCGGCACGGCAAGCGATGAACAAAGGCCAGCATCTGGTATTTTGCCCGAATGAATTCTGCCTTGTTGGGGCTGCAGGACACGAAAGAGGAAACGGCTTCAACACAAGAGCCCAGGAAGGCCGAGGGGTCTCTCCTGCTACAGACCCGAGTGGCAGGGGAGGGGGCAGCATGCGGGGCAGCCAGAGACGGACAATCACGAAAGATCAACTGATAGAGCTGCGACCAAGCCAGGACCAACCCAGCCAAGCTCTTCATCCTCAGCGTGTTTATTTCCAGGGCATCCCCTGATTTGGTGCAGGTGGGATGGCAACTGAGTTTCTCATTGTGTGGAGACTGAACTTCAGACCAATCGCAAATGAAGAATTTGCACATTCCCAAAAGTGGCTTCGCAGGGTGTACACTTACTGCACTTTGTCCTGAGGGGTTGCTTTGCGCCGTCCGCTCATGACCGAGGCTGGGTCCAGCAGCGAATGCTCCCAAATGGAATTGGCGCCATTGTTATATAAGGTTTCCACCATCTGCAAGACAGAAGACAAAGCACAAGCTCTGGAGCTGCTCGCCCTCCACAGTGGCTTCGTGGCTGGAAGAGCTTTCTCTGAAGCGAGGCAGTCGGAATAGCATCGCTTGACGCTTAAAGAGAAGTACTAAAACGTGCTTCCTTTTGCCAGCCCCTGAAACTATAACATAAACATTTACCTGCCAGCTTAAGCACACAGAGTTTGGTGCTGAAAGGCTTTTCGTTTCGTATTGCAACATAAAACTGATTACAATATGTTACTCCATCATCCTCAGTTGTTTTACGCCATGCCCAGAAAAGCAGAGCCAGTGAATCTACTATTGCTAGTTGCACTGAATGCCCAAGACCAAGCGTGAAAGGAGAAAGAGGAACGCTGCTGCAGCGAGGCCTGGCACGGGCAGCCCTGTCTTCTGGGCAGCAGCAGCAGGAAATCCTCTCCACTTTCTCAATCTCGGTGACATGGGGGGGGGGACTTCAACTCCCAGAATTCTCCAGCCGGGACGGGTGGACTCCAGCTGTCAGGGGAGGAGGACTGGGAGGGTCGCCACCCTCTAAGCAGTCCCCTCCTCCCTCCCTCCCGGGGTCTTCCTGGGCCGGCCCTGCGCCCGGCTGTGTCCCCCCCCCATGTACCTGCAGCAGCGTGGCGGGCCAGGCCGTGTGCTTCAGGTGCCGCACCTGGGAGATGTGGCGGCCGAGGCTGCGGTGGACGCTGCAGCACTCATCGCACAGCAGGACGCCGCGGTTGACGGAGGCCCAGCTCGGCTCTGCCGGGAGGAGGAAAATGGAAAGCCGGCCGGCGGCGGCAGCACCGCCCCCCCCCGGGTCCCCCTGCCCGAGAGGGGCCGGGCCGGGCGCAGGGGACTCTTCCGCGGGGCCAGGAAAGCCCTCCGCCCCCCCGTCTGAGCACGGTCCGGGGGGGGGGCGCCCCAGAGATCCGGCCCGGCGCCCACACAGGCCGGCCGAGGACCATGGGAGTCGCAGTCCACCGGAGGAAGGGCGCCACCGCCCCGTCCCTGTGGCGGCCTCGGGGCGCTCTGCACAAGCTCAGGGGCCCCGATCCCCGGCAGTGATCCCGGGCGGGGCTCCTCTTCCCGGGCGATCCCCCCACCGCCTACCCGCAGCGCTGCAATCCGCGCAAACGTCGCTGCTCCGCAGCCGCTTGGACATGGCGGGCCGGGCCGGGGTCGCCGCTGCTCGCAGGTCGCCCTCCGCCCCGCCAGTCACGGAGCTGCCTCGCCGCGCACGCGCACGCCGTCGGCGCTCCTCGCTGCGCAAGCGGCGCCATTCGCCAAGACGCTTCCGTACGTCGCGCGGGCCGCTCCCGACGCCGGGCGAAGGGAGGCAGGCGCGGCCATCTCTAGAACGGGCAAAACCGCCGCTTGCCCGAAAGGAAGCGAAAAAGACCACCGGAAAGAGGAGTGGGAGAAATTGCCCGCAATCGAATCCTTAACTCTCCCTAAAACCGGAAAACGCTACGTTCTCTTTTCCCCAAAAAAGCGTCCCTTGCCAGGTCTCTTCGGGACCCGCTTCTGAGGGCTGCCCTTCTCCAACATGGCCGCGAGTGGGAGGAGCCGCGGCGGCCTTTCGCAATTGGCCCGCGACAGGCGCGGAGGCCGACGGAGCCCTTCGCCAACATGGCGGCCGCGCAAGGACCGGGGCGGCCGCTGCCCTGATCCAAGATGGCCTGCCGGGCGTCACGGGCCGCGGCGTCGCAGGGCGGAGCTCTCTCCTTCCGGGCCCGGCGGCGGCGAGGGCGGCGGCGGGTCGGGCGGAGGGCAGCAGGCGGGTCGGTGGTCACCGGCCGGGCCATGGCGGGCCGGGCGGCGTAGGAGTCCGGGGCCGCAGCATGAACGCCGCCGCCCGGTTCCCGCTGCACCTGCTGGTCTGGCAGAACGACTTCCGGCAGCTGGAGGCCGCCCTGCAGGGCCAGGTAGCGCGGGGGGAGGCGGGGGCGGCGCTCAGGTAGACTGCCGCGGGCGCCGGGGCTCGGCCAGGGTCGCCTCAGCCGCAGGTGCTCTTCTCTTGCAGCTCGCCCCCCGAGCTGAAGCCGGAGGCGGAGGTAAGGGGCGCGGGCCTCGCATGCCGGCCGCGCTCGCATCCGTGCCGTCCGGGCGCTCATCGTCTCTGTGCGCATCCCATCCGCCGAGAGCACACCCATCATCCGCGGCCGGGGAGGCCGCCCTCTCGCCCCCCCAAGGGTTGCCCGGGAACGGCGCCTACGGGGGAGAGGAAGTCCCCCCCGCCAGCCCTGGCCGCCCCCTCCCCAGCAGGGTCCCCCGTGGTTGGCACCTGTTGCGGCCGGAGGCGGAAGGCCCGGCTGGGGAGGAGCCGCCTTTTCCCAATCCCCAAATCCTCCCCAGGCCTGGCTGGGATCAGGAGGAAGAGGAGGAAGAACCCCCTCCCCCGTTCTGAGAAGCGGCTTCTCCCACTCCCCAAATTCTCCCCAATCTGGTTAGGAGGAGGAGGAACCCCTCCCTCAGCACCCCCCCTCGAGAAAGGGCTTCTCTTGGCCGAGGGAAGGAAAGCGAGGAGGGGTCTCCCAGGGCGCTATCTCATCTCTGAGCTTGCCTGTCTGTGTGTGTCAGAGCGAAGCAACGCCGTCGCAGGACTGGAGCTGCTTCCGTAGGTTTCATGGTGTGTCTGGAAAAGGGTCACTGTCCCGTCCGTGACAGTCATGGGCTCGAGGTCCTCAGAAGACCTCTCCCTCGCCTTTTCCCAGGATGTCGACCAGCAGGATTCCCGCGGGCGAAGCTTGTTGCACCTGGCGGTCTCCTTGGGGTACGCGGAGTCTGTCCGCGTCCTGTTGCGGCACAAGGCAGATGTCACTAAGGAGAACGCCCAGGGCTGGACAGGTGAGCCTCCCCCCCCCCAGCAAGAATCTGAGTAGGTGGCAAGAAAATGGAGGTGGTTGGAGGCCAGAGCTTAGTGCTGCACCTCCGTAGGGCCCAAGGCTGAACTCTTATAGATTGCAAGCGCTGCTTCTCTCTTGTAGACTTAGCTCTGTGTTTCTTTCTGCCAGTCTTGCATGAGGCCATCAGCACCGGCGATCCGGAAATAGTCCACATGGTCCTTCAACACCGTGACTACCAGCAGACGTCCACCACCCTTGGTGGTGTCCCCGAATTGCTTCAGAAGATCAGTGAGGTAAATAGAAGAGCAGAAAAGAATAAACAATCTGAGTGAAAACCTTTTGGGCCTTCCGTTAGCCTCCATGTTCTAAGGCTGTCTAGACATGCATTGCCCTTGTTTGCTAGGCTGATTTAATCTCTCCTGGAAGCCATAAGGCTTTTACCTACCCAAGAGTCAGCCTTTGGGCTAGTTTTGAGTACACATGTTCGGACTTGCACCATTAGCTGAACAATGTTTTCGTTCCCCAAAATGGGAGGTACTGATTTCTCATTCCTTAATGCCACAGGCTCAAACTGTAGAGCTCATTGCAAGCCAAATCATGCTTTCTCCTCCTCGTTCCCCTTTGATTCTTGTCTCATTTGCTCCCAAAGACTCCAGATTTTTATGTGGAAATGAAGTGGGAATTCACCAGCTGGGGTAAGTCTGAATTAACTTGCCATTTTTTGTTTGTTTATTTGCTCTCGGCCAAGTTCATGCTATCCCTCTCAGCCTGGGAAACTAGCATTCATTTTGTGAATTGTGTGGATTCCTGTGGCCAACCAGCATCTTTTAGCTCTTCTGCTCTCCCTGCATCTCCCAACAGTCCCGCTGGTGTCCAGAGTTTGCCCCAGTGATGTTTGCCGCATCTGGAAGAGCGGTGCAAAGCTGCGAGTGGATATCACCTTGCTGGGCTTTGAAAACATGAGCTGGGAGCGAGGGAGACGCAGCCTGATTTTCAGAGGGGAAGGTGAGAAGTGCCAGAGTTCCATGGGGTGAGGGGGGGAGGAACCCTAACCCTAACCCCTTCCCACTTGGCTTTCCAGATACCGGGCACTGGGCTGAGCTGATTGAGGTTAATCACGATGACAAAGTGGTGGCAGCCGAACGCTTTGAGATCACCCAGCAGATCAAGCGGCTGACCCTGGACTCCATGGTGCCAAAGAACAAGGAGGTGGAGCGACGGCTGACCTCTCCCGTCCTCAGCACTTCCCTGGACACCAGGAACATCGCCTTTGAAAGGTAGGACAGGAAGGGACCCTGGCTCCGTCGTCTCTTGTTGTTCTCTGGTAACCCACCCCCGGCCCCCAAGAGGTGCCCAAAGGGGAAGAGAGCTTGAGGAGCACTGAGTCGTTCCTGGGCCACGAACGTCAGAAGCCCAAAGGCCTGGAAACAGACGTTTGCCTTGCAGAAACACCTCTGGCTTCTGGGTCTGGAAGACGGAGAGGAGCGAAGTGGTGAACGACTATGAAGCCAAGGTGAGAAGCCGCCCGGCGTCTGGCACAGGTGCCCCCTTTGCCCTGCCAGCTGCCCTCCTCAGGGTCTCCTTTTGTTCCTCTGCTCTGAGGAGGTTGCAAGCAGGCTGTCCGGCTGCCTAGGCAGATTTCAGCTTCTTCCTCCTTTCTCCAGGTCTTCACGGCCAACAATGTGAATGTGGTGACCAGGATCCGGACAGAGCACTTGACCGAAGAGGAGAAGAGAAGATACAAAGGTAGCCTTGTGGAGGGTGACTGGGGGGGAGTGTCTTGGTGGAAAGGTCCAGAGTGGGGAGGGAGGGAGGGAGGCAGTTGGGAGTGACTGGCCACTCTCCCTTTCTCCTAGCTGACCGAAACCCCCTGGAGTCCTTCTTGGGCACCATTGAGCACGAATACGGAGCGCAGCAGGTGAGTCTCCTGGGGCCCCCCAAGCCCTGCCTTTGCCGTCCTCCGCCCCTCACCCCTCCTGCTCTCAGCCCTTCCGGGGGAGGGAGCCGCCCCTGAGGGCCCTCACGTTGCCCTTTCTCCAGGACCTCACGACAGAGTTTGCCTCGACCAACAACCCAACGGCTCTCACGCCAGAGGAATACTTCGACCCTGAGTTCGACTTGAAGGACAGAGATATTGGCAGGCCGAAAGAAGTGACCATTAGGACTCAGAAGTAAAGCCATTGGTTCACCCGGTTCTCTTTGTGGTTTGTCCCCCAACCTGCATATTCACCCCCCCCCCGATTTGCTCCCCCAGGAAGAGGCAGCACCCACTTGGAAGAGGGAGCATCTGGGTGGGGGGGCTCCTGTTTCCGCATGGCAGACGAGCAGCTCTGCTTTCATAAATCTCCCACCGCCTCTCTGGCTTGGGTGGGAGGCCCTTAGAAAAGGGTCCCAAGGGAACAACCCCCCCCCCGTAGGATTGGGCCCCACCCATGCAGCCATCCTGCCTTTCTTGCCCAGATTTAAAGCCAATCTGTGGATGTCGGAAGAGTTCCCGCTCTCCCTCGTGGAGCAGGTCTCCCCCATTGTGGACCTGATGGCCAGGACCAGCGCCCACTTTGCTCGGCTGAAGGACTTCATCACCTTGGACTTCCCTCCTGGGTTTCCGGTTAAAATCGGTATGGCCTTTCGGCTCTGCGCTTCCAATCCGGAACACATCACAAGCCCAATGTGGTGGCAAAGATGACTGGGGGCCCTGCTCCTCAGTTCTTCCTTTCTCCTCCCCACAGAAATCCCCTTGTTCCACATCCTGAACGCTAGGATTACCTTCGGACGCGTAAACAGCTGCAGCACCCTGGAAGAGGCTTTGCCCCAGGGCCCCGAGGGCCCCCAGGCGACCGCTGGTGAGGCAGCTGCTCTGGGGGCTGGGCTGGGAGAGTGGTCTGTAGCCTCCGGGCAAAGAGGGAGGCGGGAGCTACAGTCCGTTCGGATCCCCAAATGTGTTGGCAGCTGTCCTGATCAGAGCCCTACTCCTCCCTCCAGCTGCTCCGGCCTCCCCCTTTGTGGTGGACCCCTCCGTCTTCGAGATCCCCAAATCCTACCGGGTCCAGGACGATGGCCGGAACTTGCACGTGCAAGACGATGACAACGAAATCATGCAGTTTGCCATCCAGCAGAGCCTGATGGAGTCCGGCCACAACCAGGTGAGTTTCGGTCCCTGTCCTCCACGTGGCCAAGAGTGTGGCCCACCAGGCTGCCCTTTGGCCTTGCCATTTCCCTGAGGCACCCACGTCAGGTTTTATGTTGCAATCAAAGACCACAGAGGCGCCTTTGGGGATTGCCCTGAAGGTGGCCCACCGAAGAGTGGGTCATCCCAGGGATCAAGGCATCCTCCCTATTTGAAGCTGCAGGGAGAGTGGGATGAGCTCCCTGTGACCTCTGTGTCTTCCCAGGAGCTTTTGGGGCCAGCCTTGAACGGGGACGTCTCCTACTCCCAGGATCTCCATCTCCACTATCAAAGGTGAGGCCGAGAGCCGAAGGATGCTAGCAACTTTGCCTACAGTCCTCCTTAGGGTTCCCCAAGGGTTCACCTAGGCCAGCGAGGGCACCCCAGGCTGGTGTGCGGGAGGGGAGTCAAGACCCTCCTGGCTCTAGCCCAGCTCGCCCGCTTCCACCTGCTGACAGAGCCTCTTGGCAGCTGCCGCCTTGTCCATTTTGGAAAGGGCCTGGTCTGTCCCCCGTTTCCATCCCCCGAGTATCAGTGTTGGGGAAAATGTAGCAGGGAGACCCTCCCCCGAGTCTTAAAGTTGCTCTAGCAAATCCTGGCTAGGGGCACCTTATTCGGCCCGCCAGGCCCCGTCAGAAAGCGCTTCTCTCCCCCAAGCAGGGCCCTGCAGGAGAGCCTCCTGGCAAGCAGCGGGAACCACCCTCCCCTGCATGGTTCTTCCACCTTCGACCGGGATCTGCAGCTGGCCATGGTGCTCTCCCTTCAGGAACAACAGGACCGGGAGCAGCGGAGGCAGCAGGAGGAGGAGGAGCAGCTGAAGGAGGCTCTCCAGCGCTCCCTGCTGGAAAAGTAGTGGGATGACGCCTGGGGGAAGCAAGCGCCCGATGCCCGGCCCTCCTGGGCACCGCACGGGCAGGCCAGGCCAGGCCCTCTTCGGCAGGAAGGGGGCTCTTCCGCTTGCCCACCCAAGCTTTCCGCCCAAAGATCTGCCCGTCTTCCTCTGCGCTGAAGGGGGCAGCCCAGCTTCCTTTGCCAAAGCCTGTTCTGGAGGGGTGGCGGACTCTTGCCAGGCTCAAAGAGGGGGCAGTTGGGTAACCTGAGCCAAGGGAGGGGCTTCCTCGCCTACCAAAGATTTCAGCAACTGTCGGGGGACCTTTAATGCCCGCGTGCCTCGCCCACTGTCTGCCTACACCAGAGTGCTTCTCCTGTCCCTTCGTCTCTGTAGCCTTCCCAAGCCACCCCCTCGTGCCCCTCCTAGCAAATCGGGGGGGGTGGTGGTTGTGTTTTTAAATAAAGTGGGGGTAACTCCTGTCTTGGCTGAGCTCCTTACCTGAAAAAGAGGTGAGCTCTTTAGGTTAAACAAGAGCCGGTCTTCTGGAAAGACACTGTGGTTCTGAAAGGTTAGTAAAGAAAAACTGCCAAGAAGATTGGAAAATTTTCTGTCAAGCTGCAGTTTTAGGAGGGCATGATCCGACCGCAGGATCAGATGCTCCTTTCCTGAGAGCAAAAATTATCAACTGCAACATTGTTTTGGTGGTCCTGCTGGCTGAGTTAATGCCAGGTTCTCACAGGACTCGCCCCAAGATGAGCTGGAGATCCGCTAAGCAAAACCACAATGACAACTATTTTATTTTGGACCCCAAAGTAGCCAATACACACCAGGAAAATCCCGTTAGGGCATAAAAACAAAAGCATGGAATCACATAAGAAATGCCAGTAGCAACGTGGGCAGACGAGGGGGCGAGGAGCGTGCTTTCCCTGCACATCTTCAGCCTGCTGGAATCCGCTTGAGGGAGAGATGCCATTAGACTCCTGGGAATGGGGTACGGCGGTGGCGGCAGTCGCACAGCTGAAGAGAGGAGGGCCACCCTTTCAGACGGGGGGGGGGCGCTGGCATCAAGCAGGGCCCCCAGGCGGCCTCCCATCTCACCATCAGGGTAGTTCCGCAACGCTTTGCAGCCCAGGACCCGTTTTGCATCAGACCGAAGGGGGGCGGGCGCGGTCCTTCACTCGGTTAAGAAGGTCCAGTCGAGCAAGTTGCCGCCCCCCCAATCTCATCCAGCCCACTGGGGGGGGAGCACAGCAGCAGCAGGTAGGGTGACAGCCATGAGGGGTGGGCAGAGCAGGCGGAGGGAGGGAGCTTCCCGGGCTTCGGGGGCGCCTCCTGGGAAAGAGGCCACTCTGCCTCGGGTGGAAATGTCTGCAGAGCAGAGGCCATCGCGGAAGCGGCCCCCTCCCCAACAATCGACAGTAGGAAGATTAAGGCCCTCGGAGCCACCTGCCATGGACCAAAAGCCCTGCTGTGCCCAGGAGACATGGAGGAGGGGGGAGGAGACAGCAATTCCAGGAAAAGCGGGTGCTGGAGAGTTGACTTGGGAGGCGGCCAGCCCATCCAACTGTGCTTGGTTGTTGCCTGGAACCAGGTGTTCTTTTGGGGCGCTCAGCAAAGAACAGCCTGTGTTTTGGGGGTAGCTCTCCATCAAAAATTAAAGGGGGGCTGGCACGTCCACCATCTCCAGGGACAGCTTCCGGGTAATCTCTGGCCGAAAACACAGGGCCAGGCGCTGGAGGGGGGGCAAGGGGGGGGAGAGAGAGAGGTGGGGTTAGGGTTAGAGAATCGACTGGGAAAACACCCCCCCCCCCGAAGTTGTTAGCATCCTGTTTCTCTGACCTGCTTCAGAGATCCGGGGGTCCAGACCAGCTTGTAGACCATGTAGCTGGGAATGCAGAGGAAGGAGGAGGCCCCGATCAGGTGTCCCAGCCTGATGCTCCACGCGGGATACTCGTAGTCAAACAGCACAAGGGGGGGCTGGTCCAGGAGGGAGCTGATGAGAATGAACTGGGCAGAGCCAGGGAGGAGGAGGAGGAAGTCAGGTCCGGCAGGATGCCCAGGGCCTATCACGGCCCCCTCTCCGTCTTGTCTGCTTTACAAGCCCCCCCCCGCCATAAAACTCTTTTCTTCCACCCAAGGGGACATTTGTCCTTCCCAATAGCATCTTCTTTTAGGGTCACATTTTGTTCCTAATTCAGGGGGCATAACCACGCCTTTCCTCCTGCTCCCTCGCTCTTCCCCACATTTTGGGGATGTTCAGCCAAAAGTATTGGGAGGGGCAGCGAATGCCCCCCTTGTGTCTCTTTCAGCCTCAGTCAGCGGGCGACATAAGAAGCCGTGATGGACGAAGGGCCCGTTACGCACCGCTAAGGTGGCCGGACTGACCACTCTCCAGCACACTTGCCAGTACAGTCCCGGCCCAAAGCCCAGCATGGCCTTCACGTCGCTGCAGAACTGCTGCATTCCTAGGAAGGAAGTCCAAGTCTTTCGTCACTGGGTTGCCGGTTTCGGTTCTGGCAAAGCCCAAACGTTCAAGCCTGCACGAGTGACCTTGAAGGAGCTGGGCTCTCCCTGGGCCGTCGGGCAGAAATGCCCAGAGCAAACGGGGATGTTGATTTTAAAGTCGGAAGAGAGCAGGAAGGTTTGCAGAGACGATGGGAAGGAATTCTGCCGGATTTTTCTCTGAAGGAGACCCACAAAGGGGCCCTCCCTCTACCAATTTTGGGAAAAGGTACATCAAGCTGGCCTCGGAAGGTGGCACTGAAGCTCTTATAAAGGCTCTCTCCCCTGCCCCCCAGGGGCCACAACGCATCTCCTCACCGTAGAACCAGGAGACGGCAATGGCTTCCAGGAACACCACAGCTAAGATGGAGTAACCAGCCCCAAACTCTTCCAGGAGTTTCACGATGTAGGGACCTCCCTGGATTGGAACACCAGTAAAGAGCCTCCTGTGAAACTGGGAGGGGAAGGGGGGCTCTGATAGGCTGCAAGCCCCCAGAAGAGCTGAGTTGGGAGCAGCCTCTGAAGGTGGACAATACCACAATGCAGTGGTTGGCCTTTAGGGTGCCACTCTGACCTTTTGTGGTGAGTTCTAGTAGGGTGGAGTCCCACAATTAGCTCACTTGGGGGCTTCCAGCTTGCTTCACCCCACCCCCATAATAGAAGCAAAATACACTCTCTACCTTGCGGGACAAATAGTCAACCAACAATCTAGTCTGTCTCTTGCAAATACACACAGGAGAAGTGCTATTAGCCACCCTCTGCCTGGAGCTGTTTCAGGGTCCTCCAATATCCCAGCTGGCCTTCTGCATTAATCAGAGGTGTGCCCTGGGCCTGAGATCAAGGGGTCAAGGAATGCCCGCTGTCCCCATAACTCACATTGGTCAGTGTGGCCAGGGAGCCCAAGAAGCAGACGGCGCTGAGTCCCAGCACAAACAGCTGACGATGCTTGCCCAGCACTTGGGGATACTCGTCCATCAGGGCAGTGATCACGGCTTCCAGGCCCCCAAACTGCAGATACCCCCCAGGAGAACCCAGTCTGAGGCAGAGGCAATGCCCTGGGGACTCTGCTGGGGAGGTCTGGACACGCAGGGCTGCTCCGTTCACTTCAGAGCAATTCTGCCCTTCGAAAAGGTTGTGGACATTGAAGAGGAAACACAGCAGACTGCTTGGAAAGCAAATTGGGAGGTGCAGACTGTTTTCTCCATAATTTCTGCCTTGGAAATATTTCCACACGAGGCCTCTTTTTTAAGACCAATGGATGGGCGAGTGCCATATACTAAGGTACATCAGGAAGCAGCCTTCACGCAGCACGTAACCTGGAGCCCGACCCTGTTGCAGGACAGCAGTCGAGAGAGTCTCCTGGCCTGGCCTTACCGTGCTGTCCAGTCCCAGCGTGATCATCATGAGGAAGAAGAGGATGGCAAAGAAAGAGGATCCGGTCATGTTGGCCAGGGCTTCCGGGTAAGTGATGAAGAGGAGACTGGGCCCTGGAAGAGACCTTGGGATGGCACCACAAGCAGGCTTGATTCTGCACGCAGCCGATGGGCCAAAGGGAGGCTGTGCCAGAGCGTGGCACTCTCTCGAGAGCTCTCTGGGGCCTTCCCTGCCACCCACCACCCCCAAACAAACTCTTGGGTAGGTGCAGCGAGGGGACCAAGCGGGACCTGCTGGCTACAACGTGACCGAGATGCAGGGCTGGCTTTCTCCAAGGCAGGGAGCCAGATATAAGCCAGCCCCCTTGCAGCAGAGGGTGCCCCGTTCCTTGAATCCAGAGTTAATTCAATAAAGTCTGGTTAGGTCATCTCCGGCAAGCCTCTCCTGAGAGCAACGGGGCTCCCTGGGCAGGTGAGGAAGCGTTGCCCGCTCAGCCCAGGGACGCCAGCAGAGGGCTACCCTTGGTCCGCACCAGGAGAGGAAGCTGTTGCGGCCCCTTTGACCCCCGCAGGGGGGAGTGGCTGAGGCCCCCAGGAGGCCATCACAAACCTTGGTCCTTCGCAACGTCTGCAACTTCCATGTGCCGCATTTCGGCCATGTAGCCCAGGACGGTGAAAATGACGAATCCCGAGAGGAAGCTGGTGAAGCAGTTGACCAGGCTGGTCAGGACGGCGTCTCTGGAAAGGAGTGAGAGAGACGTGAGTCCCCCAGGCGGATGTGCCAGCTGGGAGAAGAGGAGGAGTGTGCCAGCCTCCTTGAGAAAGAAGGCAGCTGGCTGATAGCTGGGACCCACTCCGCCTTGGGATCCGCGCGCGGCCCTCTTCTGTGGCCCTGCACTCCTCTTTGCCCCCAGCCCAGCAACCCACCTGGGGCTCCCACCTGGCACAGGTGCAAAACGGCGCCCGGGCACACTGGAAAGCCTGGTCAGGCTGATCCCCTCCCAGCATCAGCCACCCAGATGTGCAGCCACCCAAGAGAGCAATTCAGGGGAGAAGCGAGAGCTGCTGGGCCTTGAACCCTCACCGGTAACAGTTGTTGTTGAATGGGTTGTAGCTGGCCAAGGCAAGGAGGACTCCAAATCCTGGGCCCAGGGAGAAGAAGATCTGGGCAGTTGCATCCACCCACACCTGAGCAGAGGAAGACACAATGGAGCCATAAGGTCCCCCTTGGAGGGAAGAAGTCCGTGTTCTGGCTGGCATGGGTTCCTGCAAGGCAGGTGCTGCCCTGGGACAGGCGTGGTAGGCAGAAGGAGGGCACCAAGAAGCCCCTTGGAGGTTCTGGCCAACCTCTCCCTCCCCGCCTCCCCCTTGGCGGGCGTTAGGAGAGGTAATTATGGGCAAGAAGTCCCTTGTCAATTGGACGCCCTAATCAGTTCCCAGCAGGCGGCAAATGATATGTGTGATTCAATTCCTGATCTGCATTTCAAAGGGTACCAAAGAATAGCAAAGGGGGAAAGGCCGGCTCCCCTACTCCCCTCCCGGCCTTCTGATCTTCTATGTGAGGAGGGGGAGTTGCCGGATTGGGGGCTTCTTTCTTGTGGATCTGCAGGAGAGGGAAGGGTGGGGAGGGGGAGCCACGGGGGGGGGCAGAGCCCGAGCAAGTGGCCCTTTGAAAGAGTGGCCCTTCACACTCAGGGCCCCAGCAGCTCCCAGCAAGTGCTTGTGGGGAGGCACCTAACTGGAGTAAAAGCAGGGAAAGGCAGGGAATCTGGGATCAAGTAGATCTCAACAGTACTGAAGGGAGAATGAAGGTCCGGCTTCCTTCTGATCCCCTTAGAATAGTCAGGATTGTGTTGGAATTGAAGAAGAGCCACTGCTGGGCCAGCCAAAGTTGCGGGTGGGCCCCCACTGCTCTGGGTCGGCTTCCTGACGCAGCAGAAGTGATTTTTTTTCCACTGACTCCTGCTGGGAAAAGCCAGAACTCTGTGTGCACTGAAAGCGGGGTGCTTGGTGTGTCTGTCCTGCATGCTGGCTGGATGGAAACCTTCCGTGAGCCCCACATAGGGAAGAAGAAGGAGTCCCTCTCTGCCTCTAGAGCCCGGGTCCTTTTGCTACCTTCTCTAGTACAGCTCCTGCTGAATTTCAGCCTGGGGAGAAGAGCCTGGCAGTTACAAAGCTACGTGCAGAAACGTACAGCCACGCTCCTCAGCTTCTGCCAGTCGGGTCGCAGGTAAAAGACAATCCCTCTCCAGGCCCCTGGGAGGGTTGCCCCACGGATCAGCAGGATGAGCAGGACGATGTAGGGCAGGGTGGCTGTCACCCAAACCACCTGGAGGGAGAACCAGGCTGTGAGGGGGGGCTGCAGGATTTTGGCCAAGCGGATCCCCCACCCCTGGCCAGAGCCCCACAGACACTGCCACGGGGCTCCTGGCTGCAGGAGAGAGGCAGAGGCCCCACACAGCTCGCACCTTCCCGGAGGTCTTGACCCCCTTCCAAAGGCTGAAGTAGACGATGGTGAAGATAAGGAAGAGGCAGAGCAGCAGCTGCCAACGGATCTCGCCCAAATCGGAGAGCCCGTGCGAATTCTGCACCTGCAGGACGTGCCTCCTGCAGCAAAGAGAAGCTCTGGGTCAGAGAAGGAAAGAGTGCCGGGAGAAGCGCCGTTGCTGGCCAAGCGTCCCAGGAGGAACCCTAGAAAATTCGCCCATGGGGATAATTCCATCCAGTGCCCGCTGTCTTGGCTCGTGCCGTGCCAGCCGTGCCACCTAAGGAACCGGGCCTGGCTCTGCTCCCCAAGTCAGCTGGCTCCTGTCAGGCCCCCCTTACATGTAAAACTCCTCGGCGGGGGACTTGGAGAGGTTGGTCCAGGACACGTTGCCGGCATCGAAGTAGCTGAGGCAGCTGGGGGTGTTCCAGGGGTTGCTGCAGCTGGCCCAGGGCAGGGTGGGGGCAAAGGAGGAGCAGAAGTAGAAGAGGGCCCAAGCGATGATGGTGTTGTAGTAGAAGGCCACGTACAGGTTGATCACGCAGATGGCGAAACCGATGCCTGCCAAAGGAGAAGACGGACAGGCAGAGGCGGCCCCCAGACCCTCCTCCAGCCCTCTTCGTCTCCAGGCGCCTCGTGGAAACCAACCAAGGGATCCAGAAGCCGCTTAGCCTCTGTTCCTCTCAAGCACCGATTCACATACCGTTCCGGAAAAGCATTGAGACTGCCTCTCACCTTGGAGGGGGGCAGCCCTGACCTCTCAAGCCCCCTCTTCCTTGAGGGATCCTCAATCTTTAGGCAGCCGTGCAGCCGCCTGCAAGTGCCCTGCCCTCCTCCCCTTTGGAAGAGTTTCTGCTCTTCAGCTGGCTGGTTACCTTTAAAGATGGGGCAGATGTTCTTCCAGATGGGTATGGCTCCAACCCGGTGGAACTGCCCAAGGGCCAGCTCCATGTAGAAAAGGGGCACCCCTCCGAAGATGGCCATCAGCACGTAGGGGATGAGGAAGGCTCCTAGGAGAGCAAAGGGGTAGGGAGGTTGGGGGGGGAAGGGTCCTCCCTTCTCTCTCTCTGGCCTGGAGAAAGAGCTGACCGGCAGGCTCACCCCCCCCCCCTCCGCCATCTCTCTTGGGGAACGCCAACTTCCAACTAGTCGTCACATTAAGAGGCTTCATGAAGCTGCCTGGCTTCTCACAGCGAGGTGCATAACAAATTCCTTTTGTATGTTTTAAAGGAGTTCCTCCCCGCCACCCCTTTTCTTAAAGCCCTCCAGCAGCCACTGAGCTACAATTGAAGGGATCCAGACTATCTTCTGATTTCTGTGCACTCATGTGGTCTAGAAACATGCACAATCATGGCACGTATTCTTATAGCACAGCCAAGGCAAAACAGAAAACCGGTGCAAGCTAAATTAAAAAGACGAGCTGAAAAGCACAGACACCCAGCAGCGAGGAAGGGGAACAGCCACCCGTGTCCTGGGAAGACATTCGGAAAGATACAGCTCTCCAGGCAAGACCCCCTGACTCTGAATAAAACTTACTCTGAAGGGCCCCCACCAACTCCCAGAGGTGAACTGGAAATGGCAGTTCAGGCTTTTCTCTCTCTCTCTCTCTCTCTCTCTCATTTACGCAGGGCATTCGGTCCCTTTTCTTACGCTTTTCCAGAATTTGTTTTAGAATGGTAAAACCTGTTTGCAATTTTACCACATTTTGGTTGATCTGCATTAAGCAGTGCCATATTTCAGGTTTTATTTTTCCAATGGGGGCCAAAGAGAAACCTTATTGCCTACCAATGTCTGTGTGTGTGTGTGTGTGTTCCCCGCAATGCATTTCAGTGAGGTTGAAAATAAATACCATGGACAGTTCCCCATCCCCAAAAGAGAGAAAGCCTTAGTGGCAGCTCTTTGTACTACTATATTATCCAGAGACTGAAATATTTGCGTGTGTCTGCCTGGAGGTTTTAGACCCAGGAAACTCTCCAGAAGACTCTTCCTACAGTGGCAGACTTCTCCAACGAAGAAGCTACATTGACACTTTCATGCTTAGAATTTCAATGGGAAACCCCCCCACCCCCCATTTTTCTGGGTCTTTCTTCCCCATTCTAAAATCCAGCCTTCCTAGTTGCACTGGCGGAGAAGGTGATCTTTAGGAAGGAACGGAAGCAGACAGACCCTCACCCAGAATTATAGCCCTCTTGAGGGCTGCCAGGGAAGGGGAAGGGGCTCCTTGCTCAGGGTGGAAAGTTCACCTCTGCCCCAAATCCGTGCCCAGCTGACGGACCTCTCCTTACCCCCACCATTCTGGTAGCAGACGTAGGGAAAGCGCCAGACGTTGCCCAGATCCACGGCGAATCCTATTACAGATAGAAGGAAATCCACCTTTTTGCTCCAGGTGTCCCGAGGGTCCCTCTGGTCAGGCAGAGAGCCGGCCCGGGGGGTCTCGGAGCCAGCTGGCCTGGCCAGGCAGGCAGTGGGAGAAGCGGACATCTCCCCCAGCACCCCAGCAGGGTCTGGGCTGAAGAAGTTGGCGGAGGACAGGCACACCCAGGAGGAGGGCCAGTGCACAGGCGCTGGGAAGGTTTGCTCGCTTCAAAGGGAGAAGGGCGGGGGGAGGAGACAGAGGAGGAGCCCCCCCCCGGTTCCTGCCCTTGTCTGGCTCCAGGAGCAAGAGAGGCGCAAGGTGGGTGGGGGGGCGTGGGTCTGCCCACACCCACAGCTGCGCAGCCTCTGTCCGGGGCCTGCAAGGCAAAATAGGTGGGTGACCTTTCCTGGGCGTCTGGGGCAGCTATGGGGCTTGCCCAGCTTGAGTGTTCCATTTCAGCCCACAGCCTCAGCCCCTCCGAGCAGGAGGGCCGCTGTGCTTCTCCACCGTGCTGGGTCCCAAACCCGCCCAGACGTAACTCTGATTCAGGAGCCAGGAGACCCTGGTCAGCCCCTGCTAGGGACAGCCTTGGGGGTCTTTTGCCTCACAGAACTGGGTCCCATCCTGGCCCAGCAGGGATTGCCAGAAGGGGAACGTGGGAGGAGAGCTTGCTTTCTTCCTTTTCAGAGTAACAGAATCGGAGGTCTTCTAGTCAAGCCCCTGCTCAAGCAGGAGACCCTAGACCATTCAGGACAAATGGCTGTCCAATCTCTTCTGAAAAACCTCCAGTGTTGATGGGGCACCCTCAACTCCTGGAGGGAGGCCTGGATGAGTTGCTCTTTCACGTCTGCTGACTTCTGGCACTTTTCTCCTGCGCAACCACCTTGTCAGGCAAGTCTTGGGGGCTGGGTTAGAGGAGCTGTCCTTGGCATCCATGCAAGGACGCCTAGAGGGCAGCTGCCTTTCCAGTTGGGGACCCTCCTCGGACCCTGCTGGGGATCCGGAAGCTGCGGAGAAGCATCTGGAGACTTGCCGGCAAAGGGAAGGACAAGGGCACCGGCTTCCCCTCCCTCTGCTCCGCCAGATGCTCACAGTGGCCTTGCTTTCTGGCAGCCCTGGACCAGCAGAGGAAGCGGAGCCCCATCGAGGGGTGACTTGGTTGCGCAGATGCCCAGGGCTCTCTGCTACGGCGCAGGCAGCGGCAGCACCTTTTCACGCCTGGGCAGCAGCCGGCCATTCAGCCACGCCTGGGCAGCTGCCTTCCCTTCTCCTCTGCCACCTGTCAGCCGGATGATCACGTCTCCCTTCAGCCTCGACAGCTCCCATGTCTGAACGTGTCACTCAGAGGGGCAGGCCGGGGAGGTGATGCCCTCTTTCCCCCCGCTGGGCTCAGTGTGATTTCACTGAGCGTGAAACCCTCGGACGCCCCCGGGACGCTCTGGCCTGGTCAGCCTGGGCCCAGGCCGGGTCAGCTCAGCTTCCTTAACGCAACGCGATGGGATTGACAGGTGTGGCCAAGTGGATGGGCATTTGCCTGGGAGAAGTGAGTGGAGAGGGGGTGGCGGGCACTGAGCAACTCAAGCTGAGAAGGGCAAAGGGCAAGAAAGCCCCCCTCTCCTTCCGCCCTGCCTCCTCCAGATACGCCTGTCCTATCCTGACGCAGGTGGCCTGCCCTCAGGGGTTGCAGACACCTGGAGACTCAAGTTTGGAATTACTGGGGGGGGGCTGCCCTGCCCCTCCTCTGCACCCCTGCCTGTCTGGTCCCGGGATCCGTTCCAGAATCAGGCAGAGGAAAGGGGGAAGGCTGCGCTTGGCCCATGCGCTCCCCAAAATGAGGGTTAAGGAAGGGCTGCCCTCACCTTCGGGCGGGGGGGGGCAACACTAGGCTGACCTCGAAAGAAACTTTTGGGCCTTGCCCAGTTTGTTCCACAAACCCCAATCAAGGGAACCAGCCAGGGCTCAGTCGGGGAGGGCGCAGGGACCCTCGATCTCCCTCCTCGCCCCAGCCTCGAGGGGCCGTCGGGAAGAGGGGAGGAGGCCGCCGCCGCCCCCTCCTCCTCTTCCACCGAAGCACCGAGCGCGGGGGGCGCGGGGAGCTCGGCCCGAGGGCGGGGCGAGGAGGGAGAGGGAGGGGCCCGGCGCCTCCGCCTCCCCAGCCCGGTGCGCGTAGCGGCGGAGGCGGTGGGGCGTTGCCTCACCTCGCCTCGCCCGCCCTCCCAGCTGCGTCCCCGCCGCCAGCCAGCCTGCCTGCCAGCCAGCCTGCCTGCCAACCGGGCAGCAGAGCGGGCGAGCGGGATGGCGGCGGCTCCGGCTGCGGGCTCCGGGCGGCGGGCTCCGGCGGCGGCGACCGGGGGCTCGTCCGCCCTGCGCGCGCTGGCGCCCGCCTCGCTGCTGCTGCTGCCCGCCGAGGCCGAGACCCGGCAGCGCCTCCTGCGCACCGCCAAGAAGGAGGTGAGTCCGGGGGCTGGAGCGGGCGGCGGGGCCTGGGTGCTCCGCGCCGGGCTGCTCCGCTCTGCGCTGCGCTCCTCCCGCGGCCGGCCCTGCGCGGGCCTCCCTCCCTGGAAAGGCCGCGGCCTCCCTCACAGAAGCGGAGTTGCCCGCCTCCCGGGCCGGGCTGCCGGCCGCGCCACCAGAGCCCCCTGCGCCTCGGGCGGCCCGGCCTTGCCGGCTCCCTGGGCGCAGCGTCGTGGAGAGGCCGGGAAGCACCGCGGCCCGGGCGGCTCTCCTGCGGAAGGGCGCTGTAGGGAGCAGGCTGGTGCCTGGCGCGGGGCCCAGTCGCGGGGGGCTCGATTATGGATCCCGGCTGGGCTCAGGTTTCCGCTCCGCTCAGAGGCCTTCAAAGGAAGCGCGGGAGGTGCCCGGCTGGCAGGTCGGGGGAGCCGGGCTCGCCCCTGGCAGGGTCCCTGGCAGAGGGGCCAGATTCTGAAGGGGACGAGGGGAAGAGAGGACGCGAGCCGGAACTGTGTCCCGCAATGAAATATGCTGGTTTAAAGTTTTAAAAAAGTTTTGGACCAAAATTTGGTCCCAGGAAGAAACTCCCTCGATGCCATGCCACCTCCATCCTGGTTAAGAGAGGACGGGGCCTGCTTCGCCCCAGCTCGTGGCAGGGCCTCCAAGCGGTGCTGGCCGTGCTGATTCTGCCACCGAGGTTTAAATGCCTTTTAATTCACTGGCCTGCCTGCCAGGAGCTTCTGCTGTTTTTATTCATTAATGATGAACCGGGCACATTATGCCTGCTCTTAAGGCCTATTCTTGGATCCCCTTTCTGGGGTGTTATTGATGGCCTGGCAGTTGATCTGCAGCCATTGATACTGTCTATCCATCTGCTTGCATTGTGGGCTTGAGGCTGGCAGAGGGGGATTAATTCCCAGCGCAGCCCCCCCCCCAGCTCATTAGCTGCCAAGCGTTCCTTGCATGGGCTGCCTGTTGAGCTTCAGGGAGACTGCTGGAGAAGCTGGCGTGGAAATGCTGCTGTACATGGCTGGCCAATTTGAGTGATGGTTTTAGCCAGAAAACGGGTTTCAAATGTTTACATTTTTAGTTCTTCTAAAGCTGCAGTGAGCAAACCCTATTATTAGAATTCGGCCACAGCCTCTCTTCGGATTATCCTTCTTCAGCAGGACCCCAGCACTCCTCTTCCTTTGGAAGATGGCAGCCTGGGCTTTCTGCTGAAGGAGCCCTCTGGGAAGCCCCCGTCCTCTTTCCCTGCCCCCCCCCAGCGTGGTGCCTCCAAGCCTTTTGGGGGGGGTCCCATGTCCCTGGCTCTTCTTCCTATTCTTGCCTGGTGGTGCAGATTCTGGGTTGATAGTGTCGGCCTGTTTCCATGAGAACGGCCGCCTTCTGACGAGGGCACCAGCCACGAAACAGTCCAGGGCCCAGAGTGCCGGCAAGCGCAGCCCTCGGAGGAGGCAGGATCTGGAGTCGTGCGTCATGCTTTGCAAGAGTGTGCAAAATTCTGTGCTCATGAGAGGCTTTGAGGAGAATCACGTCAAGCTAAACGACATCAGGCAGCCCCCCCCCGCACCAATGTGTGCCCCCAAAACGCAGCCGTTTGTGGGCGTGCGGAGGCCCGAGATCCTGGACCGGCTGCTCCCTCCCTCTTACAACTGCTTTGGATCTTTAGGTGCTGTGATTCTGAGCAGCATTTTATGCAAAATATGGGACCCTGGAACTTCTCCCCCAACCCATTCAGGGCCTTGTAAGTTCAGCTCTGTTGGAAATTGGAGGGTCTGTCCTTGGGTGTCTCCTTGGGAGAAGACTGAGAATCCGCTTCGCTTGTTCCTCAGCCACGTTATCATCGGTGTAATGCAGAGCAAACCAACTCAATGCTGGGAATATTGCAGGTGGTGTTCATTCCCTTTCGTCCCCCATTTTTTAATTAAAAGGATCTTGTTAGGTCCTGCGTCTGCAGGGGTGGCCTTTTGGCCTGCTCCTGCAGGATATTGGCAGTGCAGGCTGACGGACGGCTTATGGATAGACTTGAAAGGGGATTGCATAAGCATGCCATTTGTTAATCAGGACAGCAAATGGCCAGGAAAATCAGCCTTTGGGGCCGGCTAAACTGACACCCACTAAAGCGCTTCTCTGAGGTTTCCTGCTGTGTTGTGTGCCTGGGGTGCAGAGCTGCACCTGCTTAGTTGCTTTGGGTTCATCTAACGGTGCCTCTCCTGACCCAGTGTTGTGTGTCTTGACTGCAGCAGATCAGGGTCTCAGGTTTAATCAGGGTTGCGGAAAACCCAGCAGCTTCCTTCAAAATGGATCGTGGCTTCTAAAAGCAGCCTTGGCAAAACTCTTAAAATTGCCCCAGTCCCCCCAGAGGGTAAAAAGAGGGGCTCAAACATTTGCTCTTGCCCATTCTGGGGCCACAGGAGAGGGGCTGGTGCCCGTGGGCTGCAAAGTTGGCATGCCCCACTTGCCCTGGCCAGCAAGAGGGGTCTTGCCTCCCTCAGGGATGTGTTTCCTTTTTTAAAAGGCAGAAGGGTTGATGGGCAGGAAGGCCCCAGCCCATATCTAGCAACCTTATTAAGGTGTCTGTTTTACGAGTGATTCCAGAGCAGAGCCGGTTGGGAAATGCGGCAAAACCTCCCTGGCAAGATTTAAGGCCTTTTCGGCAGGACGGAGGTGCCTTCTGGGAGATGGACAAGCAAGTTCCCGCCTGCATAGCTGATGTGCACCAGGCCTGGGAGAGGCCCCAATGCATTGCATGAAAGGCCTAACAAAATATCGTTAAAGGCGAGGCCAAGGAATGTCATAACGGGGTTGCACTTTTCTCTGAGAGAGGCAGCTCACGTGTGGTGTGCGAGAGTGCTCTGAAGGGCCCAGGGGGCTTTTCTGCAGGGAAGGTCTCGGTAGAGGCCAATTCCTTCCTGTTCAGGAAGCTGGAAAAATCGCAGCTCTCCAGGTCTTAGTCTCTGCCCAGCGGCCATTTGCCTTTGGACTCTGGCCACTCGACTGGGAAGGGGATCGGATGGGGGTTCATCCTGCCGCCTCTCGCTCCAATCTGAAGCATGGGCCCCTGGTGTGGCTTTTGGGGGGAATTTGCTGCTGGAGAGGCGATTGATGGCCCTGCATGTTTGATCCTAATGTCCCATGCCTGCTCCTCCCTTCCTGTCTGCTGCTCCCTTTCACTCCGAGTCCACCTCTGTCTCTCTTCCCACGCAACAGGGGATTCAGCCTGGTGGAGGAGATGAGGGCCAGGGCTGCGGGGAGGGACTGCTGGGGAAGCTGTCCAGCCCACAGGGATGCTGAACGCCCCTCCCTTCCTCCTCTCCCTTTTTGCACCAAGGTTGCCATAGCAATGGGAAGGGATGCTGTGCCCGGAATAAATGGCCTGTGATTTTTTTTCAAAGGGTGCATTTGATTCTGGCCAGGTTGTGGTGAGACTTTGCCTTTGAGCGTCATTCAGGCTTCACTGGGCGAGAGGCGGCCGGTCACTTTTCCCCAAATCGCCCACCCGGCACTTGTTTTCCCCTGCCAGCATCAATGCCTCCGCGGCCAGGAGACTGCAAAGGGCAGGGGAGGACCGACTCATTAATTTCCCTTCCTGCTGTTAATGGCTTTAAATCCATTGCACTCTCCTCCTGCAGCCACATCCTGCAGACCATCTCAAAACAAGGGTCCTTTCAAGGAATATGGACGTCACGCTGCCATCTGAGGGGAGCCCCCCCCCTTTGCTCCTCCGCTCGCCCTCAAGAGAGGGCCCGATTTTCTTCCCTTCCGCTCTTTGGAAGACTATATTTGATTCAGTTCTGAAACACACCTGGAGAGAGAGGGTTTTGTTGAGTTTGCATATTGTCTTAATCCTACAACATCATTTGCGTACTGTGGGTTTGAGCTTAGTAGCTGTGATTCCTTCAGCCAACTATGGTTTGTTGCAGTATGGGAGCGTGGCTAAAGTGGGGCTGGCTCTGTCTCTTTGCGGGCCTGTGTTCACAAAGCAACAAAGAGGCTTGGACAGCAAATGACAGATTTTGCTAACAGGTTGGGAAAACAGGGTTGGGGGCCAGCGGTAGGAATATCTAGAGGCACCTCAGTTCTTGCATCTTCAGTGAGTGTTTTTCTCCTCAAATGTTGGCCTTAAATTTGGTTTAGCAGAGAAATATCTTTTCATTTATTAATTTTCTCGGAACGTCGTTTTTTGCAGGTAAAGCAAATAATGGAGGAAGCCGTCACAAGGAAATTTGTGCACGAGGACAGCAGCCACATCATTTCTTTCTGCGGTAAGCTGGATAGAGCCAAAGCTTTTCTGTCCTCCCCGTCGAGAGGCCCATCAAGGAAACACGGGTGGTTTTCCACCTGGCAGGTGGGCATCCCTGTTCCCTGAGATCCTGGCATTGGCTGCCATGCAGGCAAGCAAGCGCCTTGCAGGCAAATGGTTGGCATCTCTGAGCTTGACCTGAAAATCAATGGCTCATTCTCTCCGCCCGCGTCTGTACCTGGCACCACGGAAGGAACAAAGGAAAGCAGAAGAAAGGCACCTGATTATTGATTTATTTGACTTACACTCCACCTGCAGGGAGCACCCTAGGCAGTTAGCAGGGTTTAAAAACAAAAGCTGAATATAAAAAGTTATCGTTACAATTAAGAGCACGGTAAGTACTGAACACATTGAACGGTGAAATGTCCAGCTAAGGAGAGTCATCTTTTCACATTGCCCAGGAGGAGAAGCTGGGCAGGAAAGCAGCAAAGTGTGTGCGTGTGTTTGTGGGTCTTCCAAAGGCCTTAAGAAATGTTGGTGTGATCAGAAGGACAGCCAAGCTCTTAATCTTGCTCCACAGCCTTGGGGGGGGGGATCTCCTGGGAGGAAGCAGCTGGGGGACCCGAGAAGTCTCCAGCCTGTCCAGAGGAAAAGACAGGTTCTCGGGGGGGGGGGGAGGCTGGCAGGCTAAGGACAGACGTGGCCATTCCGTGCCTGATTTCACAAGGGGACCTTCGTCCGTCAGCTGGATTCCTGGCTTCCGGGGGGCCTCTCAGACCTGGGACTTTTCCTTCCAGCCGCTGTCGAAGGCTGCATCCTTCACGGGCTCAAGCGCCGGGCGGCCGGTTTCCTGCGGAGCAACAAGATCGCTGCCCTGTTTATGAAGGTGGGCAAGAGCTTTCCCCCTGCCGAGGAGCTCTCCCGGAAAGTGCAGGGTCTGGAGCAGCTCATCGAGAGCACGTGAGTCGCAGCTGCGCTTCCAGAAGGTGCCGGGGGAATCATCGGTCCGGCTGGTGCCGGGACAGGCCTTGCGGTTCATGGTAGATTTGGTGGGGCGCCTGTGTGTGTCAGCCAGATAAAATACACATGTAAAAAACAGGTTCCCCAAAGAGATAAAAACTCTGATTTTGGGGGGGGGTGATGGTAAATGTGGGTCTCCTCCTTCCCTGCCTCCTTCCAGGCGAAACCAGGGCTCCAGCCTGCAGGAAGGCCCTCGCAAAGCTCCGAGGCCCCCCGGCCTCTCCCCGCAAGCCATCAAGCACCTCTGGATCCGGACGGCGCTTTTTGAGAAGGTCCTGGACAAAATTGTGCACTACCTGGTGGAAAACAGCAGGTGAAGGTCTCCTCTGCCCTGGCGGTGCCACTTGGCGGGCACTCCTGGGCACTGCTGCCCTCTCGGCCGTTGGGCCTCTTGGACTCGCCCTGTGGCTGGGCCAGCCCAGCTCTGGCAGCAGCCCCCAAATATTCTGTAATATGCGAAAAAGTTGAAATTGGGGAGAAGGGCCTCTTATTCCCGGGTCTATCCAGCCGTAACCCTCTTATGTCTTCCTCCCCCCCCCACAGCAAATACTACGAGAAGGAGGCTTTGCTCATGGATCCGGTTGATGGGCCCATCCTGGCCTCTTTGCTGGGTGAGAGTCTGGAGGCTGCGGGGCGTCCCGAGGGGCTGCAGTCCACACCCACCCAGAGGGTCTTAACCTGTGGAAAGCTGGTGGGCTGAAGAAGGTGGGCGTGAGTCTGGGGGAGTGCGCTCTCCGTAACCGGCCCTCCTTCCTTTTTCTGCGCCCGCAGTGGGTCCTTGCGCCCTGGAGTACACCAAGATGAAGACGGCTGATCACTTCTGGACCGATCCCTCAGCAGACGAGCTGGTCCAAAGACACCGGATCCACAGCTCCCACGGCCGGCAAGACTCACCAACCAAGCGCCCGGCACTCTGCGTAGGTCTTGGGGAGGGTGGGAGTTGAAGGTCAGCCGGGCTGGGCTGCATCCTTGAAGCAAGTAGCTCTGGGGGGAGGAGGGAAGAAGGGGCTGCCTGGCGAAAGTACAAGGAAGGATAAAAAGAGAATGCGGCAAAGCTCCAATTCAGTTGGGAACATCAGCCTGGGTCGATTCGGGCACCCAAACTGCATAGTCCAATTATTTGGCCAAATAACTTTGCGTAGGGACAGCGATTTCCCCCTTTCGGTTTCCAGATCCAGAAGAGGCACTCCAGCGGCAGCATGGATGACCGGCCCTCCCTGTCCGCCAGGGATTACGTGGAGTCGCTGCACCAGAACTCCCGGGCCACCCTCTTGTACGGCAAAAACAATGTCTTGGTGCAACCAGTGAGTAGCCCGGAAGGGGCCAGTGAGTAGCCTGAGCTCCAGCAGGCTTTGTGGACGCTTTGACTTCCCCAAGAGCCTCCGTTGCCTCCTGCAAATTTGGGGTCCTGTTGTTTGTCTGTGGAGCTCTTTGCAAGAGCCAAGAGAAGGGCTGGAGTGCAGCACTGCAGGTTTTCCAGAATCTTCTTCTGATTGCTGTTTAACGTGAAGCTGCACATTGTCTGAATGCTGAAAATGTAACCCTAGAGAAACAACATCATAAATTGGTTCTGTCCCCTGTTTTCCCTCTCCCGATAGCGAGACGACATGGAAGCCATTCCGGGCTATTTATCCCTTCACCAGACAGCCGAGGTCATGACGCTGAAGTGGACCCCAAACCAGCTGATGAACGGCTCTGTGGGCGACCTGGACTACGAGAAAAGGCGAGTGTCCTTCCGTGCTCTTTTGCGCGACTTCCTCACAGCCCATCCAGCGCCTCTTTCCCGCTTTTGATGCGAGAGGAATTCACACGCTCCGTGAATCTGGCTTGTGCTTCCCTCCCTGGCTCAGTCGGGTCCTCTGAATGCTTCAGCCATCTGGGCGGGAGGGAGCCACTGTTAAGGTGCCCTTGCCAGGCGTTGGTTCTTCCCTCTGCAGCATTTACTGGGACTACGCCATGACCATCCACCTGGAGGACATTGTCTACCTTCACTGCCACCAGCAGGGTAAGGCGTCACCTGCCCTGGTGTGGAGCTGGCCCTCCGTAGCCTCCCCAGCTCTGGGGTCGCCCTCTCTTGCCTGGGCGAAGAGGGTGAGGGCGCATTGAGCCCACTCCTGCCTTTGCTCGGGTGGGTCTGAACTGAGCGGGGGAGAGGCCAGGCCTGCTTGAGGTAGCCCGCTTTCCCTTAGGCTCCCATTGGCCAAAGCTGTTTCTCACGCTGCTCTCTTCCTGCATGTCCTCCTCCCTCTTGCCAGCAGTAGACAGTGGGGGCACCGTGGTCCTAGTCAGCCAAGATGGCATCCAGCGCCCCCCGTTGAGGTTCCCGAAGGGGGGGCATCTGCTTCAGTTTCTCTCCTGCCTGGAGAACGGCCTGCTGCCCCACGGCCAGCTGGATCCGCCCCTCTGGTCACAAAGGGGAAAGGTGAGGCTGGGTGGAACTGCACCCTTGCAGCCGGGTGTGGTCCGAACGGGCTCCTCTGCACGTCATCCAAGATGCTGGTTCAAAAGCTGGAGCCTTTTAGGGGTGGCCTGAATTTTGGAGGCAGGAAAAACGGCTTTACCGGATGGTCTGGGGCGTCAGCTGCAGCACTTTCCCCTGCTTTCATTGGGCTGGTCCTGACCCACCAGCAGGGCTGCGAGGTTTCTGCTCCTGTGCTTTGCTTCCCGAAGGGGAAAGTGTTCCCAAGACTGAAGAAACGCAACCTGCAGGGGCCTGCGGAGCCGTCCTCGGACAGGGAGGAAGAGGAGGCCACGGATTACGTCTTCCGGATCCTCTATCCAGGCATCCAAGACTTCGGTAAGGGTTGCTCGGCAACAGCGACGGCAGAAGTTCCTTCCCCAAAGGTTGGCTTTCTGCCTGTTGGGATGCCTTACAGCCACACGTTTCAGAAGTGCAGTCCATTTTCCTACTATTTTAATGGGAAATATTTCTGAAATTGATTTTATTTTGTCAGCTGCCTGGAATGCATGGTCTAGTGGAAAAAAACGGCTTTGTTTATAGTAACTTTTTTGGGGGGGGGGGGAGAAGGCTCTCCAGTGGCAAAGTAGCCTAGGAGCATTTCACGATCCAACTCAGCCCCCCTTGCAGAAGAGGGGACCGGTTAAAGCTGAGAGTCTGGGGAGGTTGCTGGTGTGTGTGTGTGTGTGTGTGTGTGTGTGTGTGTGTGTGTGTGTGTGTAGGATCAGAGAGGTGAGAGCTTTCCGATGCTTTCTTTTGGGAGAAATCTTCTAATCCCAAGGCGTTTCCCTCTTCCGCCAGCCCCGGGAGCCTGCTAAAGAGGAGAAGGGATGTTTGCCTAGATAAATGTGATCACAAACTCTCTTTTTTTTTAACAGGATGGGTTGGGGTCCGTTTTTATATTTCCCCTTTTCTGCTTCTTCAGCTGTGGTTAATGGCTCTTGTCTTGCCCCCACCGCTGCCACCGTTGGTGCTTCTGGGCAAGAGACGATTTGGATGGCCCGGATCCCTGGCAAAGTGGTGGTGACCCCCAAATGGCCCCTGAGTCTTCCTGGGGGGGCCCTTCCTTCTCCCACCAGCTCGGAGTCCAGACAGCACTGCTGTAATGTTCCATTCACCCACTGGGGGGCGCGTGAGGCTGGGCAGCTTGCCGTCTGTGTTGGCATTTGTGACTTGGGAAGGCAGGGACCCTCTCCCCATCCTGTGTGTGTGTGTGTGTGTGTGTGTGTGTGTGTGTGCGCGCGCCCATCCTTCCAGAGGCAGAAAACCAAGGAGGGAAGAAGGGGCAGAGCTGGGCCTTCGATTCCTGGCCATTTTGGAGTGACTTCGCTAACTGCCTTCACTAAAGCAGCCCCAAATAAAAACGCTTCTCAGGTACGGAGAGATTAAGCAGAGTTAAGGAAAATAAGGAGGTTATGCTCTGTGGCACACCTAAAGCTGTTGACTTAATCAGCTCATCGGAGGGAAGGAATATTCCTTCTTCCATTCTTACTAGACGTCTGTCGTCATTTGCAAGTTGAGGCACGAAGACGGGAAGGTGGATGGAAGAAGGGAAAGCGATGGGCTCAGGGAAGGTGATCTTTGGAGGGACTCGGCCACCCACTGCAGATGCCATCACAGGCCACGCTCTAGGCTTTGCAAATTTTCCTTCTTGGATCTCTCAGTCTCTTCCTGAGTTTTTGCACGCCCCTCCCTTCTTCCTCAGACAAGGCAGTTCTCTTTTGTTGTGCCCTCAACTCTGTCTTTCCTTGCACCCGAAGGATGGAATGTCTCAATCTTGGGTAGGAGCAGCCTCCCAATCCAAGTTAATTTCTGGATTGGTTTGCCAGAGGGGAAGCCAGCTGGAGAACTGAAGGGCCGTGGTGGGCTCTGAGTGGGCCCCCAGCAGCCTCTTCCGATATGGCCGTTGCTTGAGGAGGCGAAGGCTGGTCCAGTTCAGGGCCTGGCTGAGGTGCTTGCGGGAGGCTGAGTGGAAGGGGGAGTCTTGCACTCTGCTTCTCTGGGGCGTCCCTTGATGGTGTCTCTACGCTTGGTGGACGTGTTTCCTGTTGATCTTCCTTCCCTGACTTTGCCTCCAAAGCCTTGCGGGGATGATTGGGTGTTAATCAAGGCCTTGACCGGAGGCCATACGTGAAACGGAGGTCCCAATCTTTCTGATGATGCTTTTTCCTCGCTTTCTTTCTCCACTCCTGACACTGGACTGCTCCTCCCCTCTTGCGCAATATCAACAGTGCGTTTCTGGCTCTTGCAGCTGCCCAGGATCTGATGGAGGCGCCAGGCAGCGCCCTCCCTTCCATGTGGCAGCCAGGCACCCACAAGGCCTCCTGCTCTTCCTGCGCCCAGGGGGGACCCACCGAGAGCGGCCTGTTGAATGGCTGCAACCACGAAAGGTGAAGGAGGCAAGGCTGCCTCGGGGTGGGGCGGGGGGATCCTGGGACTGGAGGGGGCCAAAAAGGAGGGTCTGCTGGCCCCATGGGGCTTGCAGCCACCGTCACCTTTCCCTGCACCGAGGACAACGCACCCCTCCTACCCGCATTGGGCAGCCTGGTGGCCTTTTGCTTTGGGGGAAGCGAGATAAAGAGTGGCAGGAAGGCAAACTCTGAACAGGCCTGGCAGGATTGAGGTCCAGCCCTGAGTGGGGAGGAGTGTGGGTCACTGCGAGAATATCATCATCTGCCTTTATGGGACGCCTCTTTGAAAAGGGGGGGGATGGGGAGGGGGAGAGAACAAGCAGGGAGCAGGCTGAAGGAAGGGCACTCGGCCCCCTCCCCTCTCTCTTCGCAGAGCCCCCCTGAAGCTGTTGTGTGACAACATGAAGTACCAAATTGTCTCTCGGGCATTTTATGGCTGTGAGTATTTCCCACGACCAGATCTTTCAAGGCCAAGCCGGGATCTCCTTCCAGATCCCAGAGCCGTGAAAATGCAGCTCTGGGTCCAGTGGAAGCGTCCAGCGTCCACATTTTCACCCCATCCTTCGTGGCGATGAACTGGGGTCTCTAGGCGGGAGCTGCTTGCATTTGCTTTTGCTCCTTCCGGCCTCCTCTCTTCCAGGGCTGGCCTACTGCCGGCACCTTTCAACCGTCCGGACGCACCTCTCGGCGCTGGTCAACCACAACATCGTGTCTCCTGAGGTGCCCTGCGAGGCCAGCTCGGGGCTGACGGCGGAGATCTGGGGGCGGTTTCTCCAGGACAGCACGGTAGAGGGGAGCTTCCTTCGGACCCTCCTCCCTCCCTCCCTCCCCCACCCCGTCTCCCCTCCCAGCGCATTTCAATGGTATTTTCTCGGCAGAGCTACCAGGAGAAGGAGCTCCTTCGGCTGGTCTACTTCGGTGGAGTCCAGCCTGAGATTCGGAAGTCCGTTTGGCCCTTCCTGTTGGGCCATTATCAGTTTGGGATGCCGGAGGCCGAGAGGAAAGAGGTGAGCCGGGTCCAAAACATTTGCGGTTCCGAGTTGTGTGCTAAGATTCCGTGGAAGGGCTTCCAAACGGAACCTCCTTTTGTTGAACCTGGTTTGGTTCCCCTTTGGGGGTCTTTGGGGGCTCCTGCCGTGCTATCCCCCGTCTCTCTGGCTGGCAGGTGGACCTGCAGACCCGCGCCCACTACGAGCAAACCATGGCTGAGTGGCTGGGCTGCGAGGCCATCGTCCGGCAGCGGGAGAAGGAGTCACACGCCGCGGCCTTGGCCAAGTGCTCCTCGGGGGCCAGCCTGGAGTCCCAGGTGGGGTCCCTGAGGCACCGCGACTCCACCATCAGTGACGGCGTGAGCATCTCCCGGGGCGCCCCAGAGGTTGCCGGCAAAAAAGTTTCCTTTAAGTCATCGAGTGCAACGGGCAGGTTTGGTCTGGGCACCGTCCGTCTCCCTCCCTCCCACTTTGGAAACGGGCCAGGCCAGACAGGGGTGGTTGTTCCTGCTTGAGTCTTCCCTCTGTCCACGTGGAAGAGTCCGTGGACACTCCAGCCGACTGAGGCTGCCTCTTCCCTCCCTCCCTCCCTCCCTCCCTCCCTCCCTCCCTCCCTCCCTCACAGTCTTCCCAGAGCAGCAGTTTTGGCCCTCAGAACCTCAGCCAGCTGCAGAGCGACTCCAGCGGCAGCACCCAGGTGAGGAAGGGTCCCCTGCCGACCCCACCAGCCAGCCCAGACCTCCCTTCCCTGAGGGGCCAGGCAGCAGCAGGGTGGTTTGTGAGCATCTGCTCTCTTTCTCCAGGTATTTGAATCGGTAGAGGAGCTGGAGCAGACGGAAGCGGAGTTGAAGCTGGAGGCCGGCAGGCGGGCGGCTCTGCCCAAGGGGGGGCTCCCTGAGGCCGGCTCCTGCTCCCCCAACTCCGGCCACCCTTCCTCCCAGAACTTCTCCGTCGCCTCAGCCTACTCGGAGCAGAGCGTCAGCAATGAGGAGGGCTGGCCGGAGGGAGGGAAAGGGGGGGCCCCGCAGACCGTCGGGGAAGGGCCCTCGTCTGCCACGGAAAGTGGCCCCCTGGACGGCAAGGGGGAGGCAGAAGGGCCCCAGGGGGGAGTCCCTGCGGCCAAGAGCCTGGACGCCTTCATCGGGATGGGCAAGGAACTGCCCGGGAAAGAGGGGGGCCCCCTCTCCGTGGCTGACCACTGGGCCCTGCCCGGTGCAGAGCAGCAGCCGAGTTCCATGGGGAGTGAAGACGACCTCTCGGAAGAGCCCGAGATGGAGAGCCTCTACCCAACACTGGATTCGCACTCGCTGGCTGTCACCGACCTCACCTTGAGCGAAGTCTCCCCTGTCTCCTCCTCGGGGGTGACCTACTCGGTGAGCCCTCCCCTTCCCGCTCGGCTCTTCTTCTTTGGGCATTTTCCACCCTCCTGAAGCGTTGGCCCCAATTGTGGCCGTAAGTCAAGACCCCCGCTGTATTTCGGTGGGGCTTGCGAGGACCGTAGCCCTCCTGGCGGAAATGGGACAGAAGCCGTGTCCCGGGGGTGGGTGGGGGTCCTCCCGGACCTTCGCCGGGGCGGCAATTCTGCGCTCGCTTCAACCTCCGTCTCTCGTCCGCAGCCGGAGCTCCTGGACCTCTACACGGTCAACCTGCACCGGATCGAGAAGGACGTGCAGAGGTGTGACCGGAACTATTGGTACTTCTCCCCGGGCAACCTGGAGAAGCTGCGGAACGTCATGTGCAGGTGGGGGTCCCGGCTCCTCCCTGGGGGAGGCTGCTCTCTGCTTCCCTCCCTCCCCCCTGCTGAAGCTCTGGCCCTCCCCTGGCTGACCTCTGGGCAGCTACTCACTGTGTCTCCCTCCTCCCCGCAGCTACATCTGGCACCACATGGACGTGGGCTACGTCCAGGGCATGTGTGACTTGCTGGCTCCTCTGCTTGTCATCCTGGACGAGGGTGAGTGGCTTTGTGCCCCTCGGCGGCCTGGGGGTGGCAGAGGCCCACCTGCAGTGCCTGAGAAACGGCCGGAAAGACTTTGGGGCCCTTAGGTCAGGGAGAGGGGAGCCTGGCTTCTGGGGCCAGCAGGCTCTGACCTAAGGGGAGAAGGCGACCCCTCTGGCCCCTGTGGCTGCAGATGGGGCTGGGGGCTGTGTGGCAGCAGCGGGAGGGGGGTCCTGGACATGGCTCTTTTCCGCTCCTTCGGCAGAAGCTCTGGCCTTCAGTTGCTTCACGGAGCTGATGAAGAGGATGAATCAGAACTTCCCCCACGGGGGAGTCATGGACACCCACTTCGCCAACATGCGATCCCTCATCCAGGTACGGAGGGGCAGCCGGCCATTCCTCATGCCGGGTACCTTGTGGCCTGCCTGGCCTGACTTTCAGGGGCAGGGGGGGGGGGCTTTTCATCTCAAACAGGCAGACATTCAACAGGAAAGGTGGGAAGGGAGAGAGGAGAGAAGGGGCTTCAGTTCTGGCAGGACATCCCACTGGGGGAGTCTGTGGGGAAGGGTCCGAACTGGACCCTCTTGGAAAGAGCAGGGGGGAAGAGGGGGTGTGGCCCGGCTCGCCTCTCCCCCAGACCCAAATGTGCTTTTCTGGCAGATTCTGGACTCGGAGCTCTTCGAACTGATGCACCAAAATGGGGATTACACCCATTTCTACTTCTGCTATCGCTGGTTCCTCTTGGATTTCAAGCGAGGTGAGCATGCCAGGAGTGGGCACGAAGATCCGTTGGGGGCCCAGAGGGGCTGGCTGGCTGTTGGGGAGCATGCTCAGCAGGAGGGTCCTTTGCTTGGCACAGCTCATCCCGTGGGCCCAGTTCTCCTGACTCGGGACTGTGTGTGGTCTGGGCCTGGGTGTATGGTGAATCCCTGGTGGGATAGGGAGCAGGGGCTTCTGGGGGCCCATGGGGGGGCCTGACAGCTCCCACGGCTTCTGCTCCGCCCCCCTCCCAGAGCTGGTCTACGAGGATGTCTTCACTGTCTGGGAGACGATCTGGGCAGCGGCCGAGGTCTCGTCGTCCTGCTACGTCCTCTTCATTGCCCTGGCCCTGGTGGAGGTGTATCGGGACATTATTCTGGAGAACAATATGGACTTCACAGACATCATCAAGTTCTTCAACGGTACGAGCCTTGGGGACTGCAGAGCCCCATGGAGGAAGCCTTCTCGCCTCACTGGGAGTCCTCAAATCAGCTCCGCTTGAGGGGTTTCCTGGCTTGGGGTCTGCTCTTTGGGAGGGCCCTCGCTTATCGGGAGACCCTCTGCCGGTCAGCAGGGAGATGTCCCAGTTTGGCGTTGTTGGGCTGGGACCTGGCAGGAACTGCCTGCTTTCATCTGCTGCCCAAGCGGGTGCAGTCTAAGGCAGGAGCCTCCAAACGTTTAAGACTTGTGGACTTCAACTCCCAGAATTCCCCAGCCAGCTATGCTTTTCTTTGGAGGCCCTTGGTCTAAGGTTTTCTCTGCTCTTTTCCTCCTGCTTCTCCCTTCCAGAGATGGCTGAGCGGCACAACACCAAGCAGATAATGCAGCTGGCACGGGAACTGGTCTCCAAGGTCCAGACACTCATTGAGAACAAATGATTTGGGAAGCCCTCCGAGGAGGACGGCCACCCCCGCCTGCCTGGCCTTGGAGGCTGAAGGTGGCCATGGAGACAGGATGCAACGGGTCCCTGGGCTCCCACCCCCTGGAAGGGCAGCAGATGAAAGCCTGGTCTCGCCAGTCTGCCGGGGAGCCGATTCTGACACTTAACCAAAGAACTCAGCCCCTCCCTCTCCTGTCTTGGTCAGGTGGGGGAGGCATTTGACCTGGCACGAAGCTGGTTTCGAAGGGGGGGGGCTTTGGAGAAGATGGCAGGAACTGGCCACTCCTTAGTTTTCCCCTCCAGATCTTCCTGCCATGCACGTGAGTTGGGGGCGTGGGACTTTCCCCCAGATCCGGTCCCACCCCGGTGGAGGGCCCGGGGGCTGGCTCTTCCCCTTCGGTCTTGGAATAGACCTTCTCTGCCTTCACGATTGGGCTGCTCTTTGGGGCCATCCCTGCCCTGGAGCTTTTCTGCTCGTTCCCCCGGCCTTTGTGCCAAATTCCTGCTGCCATATTGACTGATGGATTTCTGCTTTCGTGAAAAGGGACTTGGCTCCCTGCGCTGGTCTGGCAGGTTCCTGCATCGTTTCCTTCTGCTTGGGGCTCGGAGCCGCTCGTCCTCCCCTGCTCTCAGGGAGACCTTCTGCCTGGCTCCCTGTTTTCTGACAGAGCACTAGAGGGAAGCGTTTCTCCAGCCCAAGTGGCTCCATCTTTTCAGTCTGTGGCTGTCGTGGGATCGTGTCCATCAGCGCCCCCCGCTCATTCTTCTCTAAGGTCTCCCTTCTGAGCGACCTCTCAGTCGCCTTTGGAAGCAAGGCCTTGTGAAGGGGGCAACCCACTTGGTCCTGCCGGAGCCCTGCCTCTGCCTTGTCTTCCTGGCCAGCTCCAGAGTCACCAGTCAGCGGGGACCTCGGCTTCTTGGGAAGGGAGGAAGGGTTGACGGTTTGGTTTCTTTAAACTCAGGTGTTTTTCAAGAGGAGCAAAATGGGGCTTTTTTGCCTATCAAAATCTGCCAGAAAAAAGCATCCGTTTGAGCTAAGCAAGTACCTATGTTTTTGCTGTGAAAATGGTTTCCTGCAAGCCAGAAGATGTTTAGCCATAGCTGTTCCCCTTCCTTCCTTCCTTCCTTCCTTCCTTCCTTCCTTCCTTCCTTCCTTCCTTCCTTCCTTCCTTCCTTCCTTCCTTCCTTCCTTCCTTCCTTCCGAAGGACCCGTCTCCTGAACAGTGTTGCAGTTCCTCTGTGGGCTTCTAATCTTCCCATTCCATTTTGGAGAGGGAAAAGTAACACAAAGAGCTTCTGTTCTTCTCTGTTAGCTTGCGTGCATATGTGTTTGTGCATTTCTAGTACATATATGTGTGTGTGTATATTTAACATTGTCTGTTGAACCTAAGCAGAACATTTGGCCATTCTTGGCAACTTCTTTGCAGGAGATTTGCTGGACTTCAGAGGAAGGGAGGGCAGGTCTGCAATTATTGTTCATTTCTAGTTGCTATTTCTACAGTCGCTTCAAACATTTAAGTGGGCTTCCTTTTGCAAATCCCAGGGAAATTTAGTTGAGGAAATGGAAGTGGCTGACTTCCAAATTGTATAGACCAAGGAGGAAATACACTTTGCAGAAATATTATCGTAGGTAAATTTAGTTGAGGAGGAAGATGATGATGTTGAGGGGTGGAGGAGGCAAATTAGGCTCCCTTTGCACTTCCACAAGCTTTCTCAATAAAATACTTGTTGTTTCTTGTGGTTCTGAGAACAGCAAGGCCATCTTGGTGAGGGGGTGTAGACTGGGTGATCTTATTGGTGAAAACACAAGGAAACGCCTGCCCTGGCCACCTGGTCCATTCTTGGCCACCTTTTCGCTCTCTCATTCTCCCCACCCCGCTTTACAGAAAAGGGAGCATTTAGACACCAAGATTTCTGGATTTTTGAAACTAACTCCTCTTTTAAAATGCTTTCTCTGGGCTTTTTCTCTGGGCTATAGGTGGGCAAACTAGAATTTTGGATCATCAGTTGGATGTCCAAAAGATACAGTACGTGTGTGAGAGTGTATGTGTGCAAATGTGCATTTTAATTGTGCTGGGCTATCACATTTTGGATATTGCTCTAGTGATCCTTCTTTCTTAAAAGCACAATCCTGAGTGAGTGACCTTGTTCCTTTTGAACAAGAAAACTAAGCCAGATCTCTTTCATAAACGCCTGGGTAGGCACCCCCTGGTCGATGGGGATGGGGGCATTTCAGGCTGGGTGTGATGATGCCCCAGTCGAGACCAGCAGTGACTCTTCGGTGACCCCCCCCCCTTCCCAAGCTGTAGGGCAGCAGCTGAACTGTTTAATGTAAAGAGCCACCAGCGGAGTTCCTAGCAGGGGAGCAGCCCAGCTTTTTCCCCCCAGCCTTCACTTGGAGTGCCTGGCCTATTCAGAGAACGTTCAGTGCAGTTGAGAATCTCCCAGGGAGGCTGTGTTGGGCAACGCAGCTCAGGCCCCTGGGGGTGACTCTTGTAGGACTGTGGGAAGCACTTCTTCTTCCATTGCAAAAGCCAGCCCAGGAATTGTGCCTGGTCCTTGCTGCCGTTGAAGCCAGAGAGCGGATTATGACTCTTGGAGAGCAGGACCCACCCGTGTGCGCATGTGGGGGAAACAGTTACAAATGCAAGGGAGACATTATTTATATGTGTTTATGAATTCTGTGTGTCCTGAGGTCTGTGTGCATGAATTCCTATGCAAACAGAGATGTATTTTTTGTCGCCGTCTCAAAATGTATCTTGTAAACATTTTAGCAGGAAATTGTCTTGTATATAGCTACAGATTATACAGATAACTAGCTCATGCATATATATGTGTGAGCAAGTGTGTATACACGTGCATACGCACACACATGCATGCATGCATAAAAAGATGTCTGGATTAAGCAGGGCAGGGCAAGAGCTTTGGGTGATCTTGAGGACTTCCCTCCCTCCAGTGTGTGTTGAGGGGACATTTTTCTCTTTCGCTTTGGTGTCTGCAAAAGGAAGGGAGTTGAGGAAAGCTTTATCAGCTCATAACATTACTGTTTATTTATAACCGAAGTGATGTGCTGCTTCCCATAAAATATTGGGGAACAATTTATAAGTTACCTGTGGCCAGAGCATCTGTGTCATCAGGAGGTAGAGTCCATGTTTGAAGCAGCCTTTTCACCCCGAGATAAGCAACCTTCTGCCGGGTCGGTCCTGAAAGGCTTATTCCGTGGGCAATGATAGTTTCACTCCCAGGGAGAGGGATGGGCACCCGCCTCAGGTGTCCAGTAATTCTTCTGGGCTGGGAGGGGGGGCTGCGTGCTTGAGTTGCAGGGTGGGGGGGAGGCAAACCCCTCTTTCAGACAGGGATTGTCCTGGCTCAGCCTGGTGATCACTGACCCCTTTTTGCTGCATTTGTCTTAAAATAAAACTAATCCAGACTTTTCTGCCTCCCCTCCCCAGAAGGGGATTTGTGTACTAATAATAGTTTTCTGTGGGGTAAAAATCCAGGCACCCTTTGAAAAGTTCCTAGCCTTCTCTGCTTTGAAACTTGCTTCTCCAGCCCCCAGTGATGCCAGGAGGTTTTCAGAGAAAGCTGTGTAGCAACTGCTGCCCAACACACAAATCTGCTGCTGCTTGTATGTGTGTGTTTTGTGTGTGTGTGTGTGTGTGTGTGTGTGTGTTGGGCTTATTTCATCCCTTCAGGAAGTGCCTCCTGGCATCGTAGTTTCTCTGGTTCGTGTTTTGTCGGGTTTTAAAAACAAATGCTGATTTATTATTTTTTAAAAATGTTTGAATTTTACCCTTGTTCCGTTGTTGTCATTGACTCAATCATGCTTTGGAATTTTGTTAATTCTGACTGTAATTTGTGTCTGTGGGGCCAGAAAGAAAAACAAAGAGAAAGTTATATATTGCCTATGGTTCTATGTATTTTCAAATGCACAGTAAAAGAGGAAAACGCATAGGAGTTGTGTGTTCCGCAGCTCTCTGAACCGCGACCCCGAGAGGGGATACCCGGGGCGGGGCTCTCTGGCCTCCAGGGGCCGCTTCCGTGCAGTTCAGCAGGACCGAACGTGGGAACCCGGCCTGCAAGGGCATCAAATGCGTGTCCAGAATTACTTCTGCGCGGAACCCCCGTTTCCCAGCGGGAAACGGCTCTTTGCAAGGGGGCCCGCAGGGAGCTGGACAGCGCTTCCAGGATCAGCCCGTCGCTCAGCCGCGCCGCCCGCGGGCTTCTGGGAGTTGTAGTTCCACCTTGGGGGAGAGCAGCGCTGGGGCTCCGGAGGTGGGGCAGCCTCCTCTCTTCCGCGGGGGGCTCCACGCCCACCGTGGGGGCGGCGCTCGCTCCAGGGGCGGCCGGGCCCGGGCTGTGGGGACCCCTCCGGGCTGGACTGCGGAAGGCCACCGGAGGGTGGGTGGGCGGGCGGGCGGGGAGGAACCGGTTGAGCGTCGCCCTTAATGCGAGGCTCCGCCCCGCGCGGTCTCGCCCCGCCCGCTCGGGACGTGGGGTCGCCATGGCGACGGAGGTGCTTGCCTCGCGCAGGCTTCGGGCCGGCGAGCAGGTTAGGTTGCGCAGGCCCCGCCCTCCCGAGTGGCTGAGGCGGGGGCCACGCCCCCTCGTGGCGCTCTCGCCTGCACCGCTGAGGGGAAGGCGCGATTGGAGGCGCGGGAGGCTGCTGCCCGACCCAGGTGAGGACTGCGGCCCGGTGGGGCGGCGCGGCGTGTACCTGCAGGACCCTTCCCCACCCGTGACCCCCCCGGCCCCGCCACCCGGGAGGAGCCGAGGCCCTGTGGGGTCTCCGCCCCCTGCCCCCCCCGGGCCTGGCAGGTGCTGGCCGGTGAGCACGGGCGTTGTTGTCCCCTCAGTCGGGGCCCAGCGCGGCTTGGTCCCCTTCCCGGCCCGGGGAATGGGGCTCCGGGGTGGGGAGCAGCCCGGCGGATCCCTCTGTCGGGAGGAGGAGTCCGGGCTGTGTTACGGGAGAGCCGGGGGTCTCTCTGGGCTGTCCGCCCTGCTCTGCCGGCCTGGATCCCGCTGGGCTTCCTGAGGCCAGCCGGGGTCTGCGGGACCTTCGGGGGCGGAAGCGGAGAGGTTGGGCTGCCCCGGGGTGCCTCGTCCCAGGCCGCGAGAGGGGGCCTCGCCCTGGGCCGAAGGCGCCGGGTCTTGGATTGGCAGGTGACATAGAATAGAGCTGGAAGGGACCTTCGAGGTCTTCTAGTCCAGCCCCCCCCCCGCTCAAGCAGGAGAACCTATTTCATTTGGTCTCCCCGTGGGCTCCTCTCCTCCGGGCAGGCTTGCCCAGGCTTTCCGTTTTCACCGGCAACCAATGGGCAAATCGGAGGGGAGCCGGTCCATTGTGCCAGAATAATTTACTCTGGATGGAGGGGCCCTCCCTCAATATTTGCTTGCATTTTCCACCTGCAAAGTGGGATTAGCTAAAGTCCTTGGCAGATGGCAGGACTCAAGATAACCAGACTGGCTACATCCAAGCCTGATTCTTTCCGACATATTTTCCCACTGCTACGTCTTGGGGTATGAAAATTGGCGGTAGAGGTTCTTGGTTGCTTCTGCCCCGGGCCTTTTAAAAGTTTCAGATCTGCTCAAAATTGCCTGCGGAGTATAATAGTTAACGTGGAAATGCCATTTGGGGATTGTAGTGCATGACTACTGGATGGGTCATAAATCTTTTTTTTCCTTAGAGGCAACTATAAGGTCTCATTTCCAGAAAAAAAAATAAACAACCTGATCCCAAAAGTCTTTCTGCTCCAAGGAGTTGTGCTGGAAATGTATGCCCAGGAGTTCTTCTCATGTGATATGTGCAAACTGAGAGGTGTGCCCACATAATAATAGTTATGAATAGAGCTTCTTAAGTAGCTTTAAACAATGCATGTTTACAAAGGCGATGATGAAAATGCCTTTCTTTGGAAGCTGGCCAGAGGAACTAAGCTAAAGTCGTCAGGATTCTTCACGGGACCCAGTGATTCTTTGGGGGCCCAGTGGAGGAGAGCACTGCTTCCAGGCTCTTCTTTGGCATCCCAGGCCAGTCAGAGTCAGGTGGTCTGCAAGGTAAGCCCCAAGTTGTGGGAGACTTTACTAATAGGAGGTTTATTAGATGGAAAAAGAACAACATTACTGAAATTGCACTGAACAGCAGTTTGTTGAAAACAGGCTCCAATCCCCTACGTGGTGAGGCTAATGTAGAAAAAAGGGTAATTTAAGTTGTCCTTGGTTTGCTGGGGAGGTTTTTTTCCCTGTAAATTCTTGTGAATATATTTTTATGTAGTCTGTTTCAGGAAGAGAAATCCTGGCATTCTTCTCCGTTATGACAGGAAATAGAGCAGGTAATTGGAAAAAAAAATCTGTATACTTGTTTCTGTTGGGTTTTTCTGGCAAAGCTTCTCTTTGAAAGAATGGTTTAACAACTTAAATACGTGCATACTGTTATCCCGGGATATATCGATTAAAGCAGTTGTTTTTAGTTTTTCCAAGGCTGGTTGCCTTGCTGTGATGGAAGACTTGACACATGATCCCACTTCCTGGGTTGCAGGAAGAGCAAAGCTCCCCAGGCCTTCTTCAGATGGCTTTTGTTGCCCATCCATGCAAGTCTTCCAGCCATGCCCTTCCACCTAATTGCTTTAAATTTCAGCCTCGGTTTTCCTGCCCAGCACCGTGCACCTGGACGCTGCTGCATGAGTGATAACTTACTCATCAGAGCAGGAGTTAATTCACCCATTAAGCCGTGTGGACGGAGTTCTGAAGGAATGCGGAGGCTAGTCCAACCAGTTTAACCAGTGAGTGAGTTTAGAGTCATCCAGGCAGAGGCCGTCTCTCCTCAGCGGTGAGCTTTGTGCATCTTCTTAGGTGGTGGTTGAGGCTGTTCTAAGATGAGTATGGTGTTGATTTGGGCTTAGAAAATAGCCAGCCAGCTACACCTTGTGGGTCCTGGAGCACCATGTTTGATAAAACAAAAATGAAATGGTAATTCTGGAGCTTAAGGTTTACTAGAAGGGCGCTCTGTTCTTAAAGAATCTTGAAGGCGGAGAGAAAGAGGGGAAGAGACCGGAGAAGAAAGCACTGTGTGTTGAGCCAAGCAGCTTCTTCTGCTGTACTTGAAGGGGAGAGTTCCTAAGCTGTGTGGCCAACCAGTTTGTGCTTGCCTTATTTAACGTGGATCAGTAAAGGCAAACCTTACAGTACTTAAATGGGACATTGCTGTTCCTGTCTCATTCCTGATGTTCACGGTAATAGAATATTGAAAGAATAGTTGCAAAGTGCATCTTAGGGTGAGGCTTAGAGATTATAGCTGGGTGAACCTGGCTGCTCTTCCTCCTAAGCTTTGGGGCTTCAGCGCGAGGCCTTCTGCTTCTTTCTGAACCGTCTTTTCACGGAAATGCCAACCCCGGAATGGCAGGAGGGGGGGGGGAGTGTACGTTCCACGTAAGTTAATTGAAACTGATGAAACCCTGCCTTGGGAGCTGGGGGGGGGCAGGCATTCTCAACACTGGTTTATTACCTTATTAATATAAATCTAAGTTAATAGGCGGGGCAAAGGAGTTCTGCTTTTAAGTAAATAGGTTCCTGAGAGATTAGGTTTCTCGGCTTTGAGGACTGAAACCAAGAGAGAAGCGTAGCAGAAGGTGTGACCCAGGAAGCTGCGTGGGCTCTGTGGCTGAGCAAGCGGTCCATATCCTGCCCGGTTCCATAGTCCATCTTGGAGGGTGGGGGGCTGCTGTGGGGATTGGGCTCCACTGCTCGAGAATGGGGCCGGTGCCAGCTTCAGAAGGCTCTGAGGAGAACCAGCTCTAGGCAGAATCTCGGGCCAAAGGTCGGCACAGCACGCCAGGCAAAGTGCAGTGGAGCAGGTCTGGGCAGGCTGCTGCCAGTCCTCGGCAGGGGTGGCACCGTTTACTGGCTCCGTTGCAGCAGGTCCTTTGGGTACAGTTGCTAACGAGGAGAACGCAGCCAAGGCCCAGAGTCTGCCTTGGCTCAGTAGAGTCAGGTCCTTGCCCAGCGCTGGGGTACCTGGCTCAAAAGGTGGGTGGCTGCTTGTAGGTAAGGCTGAGGTGCCATTCCGAGGGAGCGATCAGGCCTTAGGTTGGCAGCAGGCCAAGATTCCTTTAGGTGTGTCCATGGGGACCGACGAGGGCTGGTTTCAGTGCCCAGATCCCTTGGAGGACTGCCCGTGGGCCGGGCAGCTGCAGGCAAACATCAGCCTGGTGTCCCTGGAAATAATTAAGTGCTCGTAGTTTTGGTGAAATAAATCAGAACTTGTGATCGTACGTGGTGGATTTTGAGGGCAGTGAAAGGATTGTACAGCCAAACAGTTGCTCCCTTAGCACCAATGACACTGGCTGGGGGGGGGGGAAACAAGGGAGGACCAGGGGAGTGGGTGTGACCACCCCCTGGTACAAGAGGTCAGGCCTTTGAGTAAGACAGGAGGTTGACCTACTTGATTTGAACAGCTTTCCTGAGTTGCAGCCCTCCTCGGTGGGCACCCAGTTGGGGAAGGACAACAGGCGAGCCACTAGTTTCACCCGTGGGGACCCCCTGGAGAGAAGCCTGGCTTTCTCGGGGAGTTTCTGGGCTGTGGGAGTGGGGCCTCACGGCATGTGGGGCTCTCCCACTTGGTCGCAGCCGCCCGTAGCTCGCCCGGTTCTCCCATGTGCTGGGTGCCAGGAATTGTGGGCTGTGTGTAAGAGCTCTTTGTTTGGCTGCCCGGAGGTGCCGCCAGTCCTGTGCCAGCTTGCCTTCCCCTCCCTGCCCATGGCTCCGCGTTGGAAGAAGCAGCCTGAGAAACAGCTGGTACTGAGAGTCTCTGGGGCAGCCTGCTGGAAAGACTCGGCACCCCTTCTCTGAAACCGAGGGTCCTGTTCCTGGGCTCTGCTGGCTGCCAGCTTCATTTTCCTGAGAGTGCCAAGCATGAGGGCACTGGGGCCATTGCTGCGTTGCTTTAGAGGGCAGAAATTCGAGAGGGGATTCGGTTGCAAAGCGCAACGTGCCTGGTCTTGTCTTCTCAGGGTACCTGCATGCATCTCCAAATGGGACCCCTGGCGTTTAATGGCTTGTTGGTAAGGACAAAGAGGGTCAGTTTTGCCTCGGAGGATCCCTGACATCGGTGGGTGGGGGGAGCAGGGGCTCTGCCGAGGACGCCCCTGCCTTGAGGGCAGGCAGCTTTTGCAGGAGGACTGGCTTTGGCCCTGAAAGAAGACCCCCCCCCCCCTTGACCCAGAGGCGGCCTGTCTTCTCCAGTGGCTGCTTTTTGGCTCCATGGAATTAGCACAAAGGGGCTGATTTGCCCAAGGGATCTTCCTCGGCGTGAACAAAATGTATTCACCTCTTTGTCGCACTTCTGTGATGCTGCCGCTGCTTTGTCACAACTCTTTTTCCTGCTCTGTTTGTGTGTTTGCATGAAGAGCTTCCCTTTGGGTCTCGAGCCTTGGAGGTGGGTCTGAGACTTGGGCAGGGAAAGAACTGCTGGAGCTTGATGGCTGAGCCTTCCAGCCCCGGTCTTCAGCAGGGTTAGCTCCAGTGCAGAGAGGCCCCCTTGGGCTCCTTTTGGGGAAGGGGCTCTTGGGCTCAGAAGGTTAGAAGAGGAGCTCCTGTGGGGTGGATATCATTCTACTCTGCATTGCTGGGGCAAAGAGCCATGGCTCGCCATCCCGGGAAGGCCGCTCCCATGTTCGGGAGCCTCACAAAGACCTTTGCTTCCTGACGTAACGCCCTCTGCTCGGCACCTTGGACCGGAGGCGCCTTCCAGAGAGGGCCAGGGTTTTGTCTCCAGTTAGCTTTGGGCCAGGGTCTGCACGAGGAAGACCAGGGCGGGGAGCAGGAAAGAGCCACTCTGGGTTGCTGCCTGAGGAAGCAGCCTCTGCAAGCTGAGAGGGCCAGAGGCGTCGCTGCTGGATGATGGAGCGCCAGCTTTTAAGTCAGCTTGAAGAGATCTTGGGAAGCAGGTGGGACTGGGATCTGGGGATTCAGACATCACACAGGGCAGACACCAGGCGCTCACTCCCTCGTGCCCAGGGGAGTGAGGAAGGAGCCTCGCACGATGGGTCAGCAGCCCGTGCATCTGGCCGCTCAGAGGCCTCGTAGGACTGCCTGCAAGGCGGAATGAGGAAGTGTCCAGGGGATGAGTCAGCCTTGCTGTGGACCATGGGCTTGTTCGCTGCTGTCCAAGAGCCTTGCCTGCAAGGTTGGCTCTCTTAACTCACCCCGGTTCCCCCTCTGATCGTGTGAGCAGGGCAGAGTTGGTGAAATTGGAAGCGGCTGCAGGATTTGATGGCTTTTGCTACGGCTGCACGAGGGCAAAGATCTGGACGAACCACGTTGCCACATCCATTCAGCCTGGACAGCCTCCCGGGTGCAGAGGGGTTCTTCTCCGCTGAGGGGAAAAGGCAGGCCCCGGTTCTCTCTGTGCATCCCCTGGAGAGGAGGGTGTCCAGCTTGGTCCGTGACAGTCCCATCTCTACCTCCCCCCTCCCCCAATATTTTATGATAGGTCCTGGGAAGGTCTGCTTTTCTGCATCTGAGTGGATGGCCTTTGTTTTCCCCTGCTGCAGGATTTCAGCCGGCCTGGGGGATGATTAAGGTCTGCCGTTTACTGTAGAGCCCTCTTAATTGCTCTGCCGTAATTTCAGGGTCCAGCCCACAAGCCTGCGTGATTATAGAGACGTGTCTGCTTATAATACACTCCACAAACCACGGCTGCCTTTTGGTTAAAGCCCGAAAGATGGCTTGTTTCCTGTCTGAGCCAACAGACAGTCTCTCCGCACGGCCGTTCTGACCCTGGGAGGCAAAGAGGGGGTTCCCTCCTCTTGACCTAGCCAGAAGGGTGTTTTGCAGGGAACTCCGCAAGGTGGGTGCACCTGGGAGCTTCCAGAAAGGTGCCTGGAAGCCCAGGTAGGTCGTGCAGGTGCCCCCGGCCCCTTTCCGAGCAGAGGAAGCACTTGGGAATTGCGCTGAGTTGGTTTGGATTTAGGGATGTTTCAAGGGGGTTTGTTGTGCAAAAGAAATGCTGGCAGAAACGCTAAAGCAGAGCCACATCCGGTTCCTGCTCCGGGAATTGCCTAGGAAGTTGCTTGGACAAAATATTTGAGTACATCCTCCCCCCCCCCGTTCCCCCCCCCCCCAAGTCCTGGCCTTCAAATCCCTCCTGGGAAAAGGTAGCTGTTATCCTCAAATCCTCCCCTCCCCCCAGCTATTTGCATCCCGATAATCAGCTCTTTCCTTTGGAATGAAATGTTCCGCATGCAAATGTTGATTAGTTGTTTTTAATTGGATATAGAGGCTTTCTTTTCTTTTCTTTTTTAACCAAAGCCAATTAAATTCCTGGATCGTCAATCTGGTTCCCAAGGAGGCGACCTGTGCTTGCCAAAGCCAGAAGCAGCTCTGTCTGTCTCTTCTCTTGGGGGCGTGGAGCAGGCAGGAGGCCTCCCAACTGTCCACTTGGAGGGGCGAGGGAGGAGTCCAGTTGGGCTCCAGGTCATCAAGAGACAAGAATTCTCTTCCTCGGCCACCGAACCGTCTTTTCTTTTTCGTTCACAGGACCTCTTGCCTTCCCTGAATCCTTGAGGCTCTTTTTCTCTCCAGCTGTTTTTGTGGATCCCTTGAGGAGGTCTGCTTCAGAATGATCCTCCCTCGAGTCAGCTCCCTTCCCAAGTGGAATCCTTCTGAGACGGGTCAGGACACTCAGGTTGTGTGAATGGGCCTGTTGGGAAGGGAACCAGGTTGGTGTTGGGAGCCTAATTGCATAAAATGCATCTGCGGGAGTGTTGTAATGATGAGGGAGCGTGTGCGTTCACACGCCTGTGTCCGTGTGTTGGGACTCAGGACGAAATGAGCAGAATGGGGCGAGGATCCCTGCAGGTGCCTTTTGGGGAGAGCAGAGATCCAGAAGCCTGCTGGAAATCTTTTTTGTGGGCCTAAAAACAGCTGCACTTTGGAACATTTCTGTGGGAATATAAACAGCTGCTCAGCATCATGTTAATGCCTGATGTTTCCATTTTTCGCAGGGTGCTCCTTCTGGCAGGACCCTCGCCGTCCCAATTCCGTGAGGCGCTTAAGGAGCGCAATGGCCACACAAGTGGAATTCGGCTCTGCCCTGACCTCCCTGGCCGGCATAAGCGAGCCAAGGAAAGAGGCCATCTTCCGGCACTCCTTCACCAGCCCGCTGTCTGACACTGGCCCCAGTTCTTTGGCCCCACTCATCCTGGAGGGCAGGAACAAAGTGGGGAATGCCGTGGGTCCCACCACCATGCCCTCCGCTGCATCCAGGCCACCTTGGGCCCCCAGGCCGTTTTCCCGGGAGGCGTCTACCGACACGTTTGCTACGGTGAAACCGCCCATCCCGGCACTCAAGCCCAGCAGCACTGCACCAAAGTCCCCCACCGTTGCCCAGATCTTTGAAGACGCTCCCAGGGGATCCACTGGAAATGTCCCACCGCTGCTGGATCAAAACTCAATGGAAAGCCAACCCCCCAGGGAGCCGGTCGCCCACCTGCCCGTCTGCCTGAGTCCTCAGGCGAACACCGTCATCCTCTTTGAAAGCAGAAGCCCTGCGAAGGGGGGGCCCAAAGAGGGAGGGCCCAAGGCCCAGGAGGGGCAGCTGCTACGCTCCCAGTCAGAGAAGTGGCCCCGAAGGAGGCCCTCCCTCTCCACGGACCCCAAGCCGCTCTCCTGGGCCCCTCACTGGAGGGAGGCCATTGCGGGGGCCCCCAGGGGTTCAGCTAGCAGTGTTGAGCCACAGCAGCGACCGACTCTGGCCGCTGAGACGCATTCCCAGGCAGGAGGGAGACCAGCGGCCTCGGCTGGCTTTCGGGAATCCTGGCAGGAACAAACGCAATCGACTCCTCCGGCGGCTGCTTCCGGCCCAGGGACCCCAAAGCCGAGGCCGCTCCCCACCGATCTCACAGGCAGATTTGCATCCCAGGAGCTCCCCTGGCAGAAGAAGCCTTGTCTGGCTGAAAGCAGAGAGAAGAGCGACCGGGCCCTGGAGGCCACGGGAGCGAGGAGCGCAGCAGCCGGCTTACGTGGGGCTGCTCCGGGAGTGCAAAGTGCCAGCCAGCTGGCTGAGTCTCCCCAAAGCTGTTTGCCCTCAGCTGCAGCTGGAGCAGCTCCCCCAGGCCAGGCTGTCCCGGAAGACTTGGGTCAAAACTCCCGAAAGGAGGAGACGGTGCCCTGGGAGCTCGGAATCCAGGGGAAGCCCAGTGTGGGGCAGCACAACGCTAGCACAGGCCAGCCTTTGGGGGAATGGGGAGAGGTCAGTCCCCAGGAGGCCGGCTTAAGGAACACCGATGCCTTGGATGGCAAGCACGGCGGCTGCGGTAAAAAGACGGTCCCTCTCCTGGACCCATCAGCAAAGCCTTGGGCTCCCAGCCCGAGCGAGTCCCTCTGCGGCAGCCCCGGACAGGAGCTCCGGATACTGAATGTCCAGCAGAGGATTCAAGTGCTGACGGCAGAGAATGCAGGTTTCAAGGCAGGAAGCCTGCGTGCCTCGTTCCGCTCACGGCCTCTTTCCACAGATTTGACAAAGATGTAAGTGTAAGATGCAGCCTTCCAGGAAAGCATCCTCTGGGCTTGGAAGCTAATAATGGCCCCGTGAAGGAGGAATCTGTAATGCGAAAAAGAATAGAACCCAGAAGCAATAAAATGGGGGGGGGGTCCAGTAAGGTTGAAGCTTATGGATAATTTTATTGGCTCTGTCTGCATCTGAATGATGAAAAAAGGGGGCTCAAGGGGGTCTTGTTGGCGTGTGGGCAGGCCGATTCCAGGGGGAGGAATCCTTTCCCAGTGGCCTTTGGAGGAGCCCAGCGCTAAGATTTTGTACACGTCTGAAAATTATAGCTGACTGCATTTCAGCTTCAAAGGCTGGAGGGAATTGCACAAAGGCCTGTGGTTCTTCTGAGTTTTTTCCTCTTTAACGGTGTGGAATTTTTGCAAACAGGTTTTCTGGCCCCGTGACTGCAAGTGAGCTGAAGCCCAAGAGGCAGCCTGAATGGAACAGGAAGCCTGCTGGTGAAATACGAGATGCTCCAGAGGTAAGGGGGGAAACCCCCAAATCCATTTCTTCCCTCAGAGAGAAACCTAGACATGGCTGGGATGGCTCAGCAGGAAATGGGCCCTTCAAGCGTGGCAGAGTCCTTAAGGGCTGATGCCTTTTGGGATAGCCCAGAAAAGCGTGGCTTTTTTTTTCTTAGCAACACGTGCTTTAAGCCTCTCTCCAGGATCCTAATAAACTGTGGGCTTGTTCCTTTTACCAGTAAATTAGATCACGCTTGTTGTTATGCCAGTCTTCCCAAGCTTAGGGTTCAACTCCCATAATCCCTCAGCCAGCATGTGGATTATGGGAATTGAAGTGCCCCAAGATTCAAGAAAGCATCACACCTTTTTTCAGCCTTTCTAAGCAGCCTGATGGCCGCAGGACTTTTGTCTTCCAGCCCTTTCTGGAAGGTTCTTAGACATGATTCATTGATCTGTCGAAGGGTTATGCTGGTTAACTGGCTGTATTCTGTGTAAGTGAAAGTGTATATGTGTGTAGCAGGTTGTGGTAGTTTTGCTTGTATAGCCAGTTTAATAAACATTTGCCACAATTTACACGTTTTTGCAAAGCTCTCGGATACGTTTGCTGTGAAGCCTGCTGCAGTCTCTTGACAAAGTTTGCTTTGATGAGATGGACCGTTCTTTTGACGAGCCAGTGCCTGAAATTTAAAGACATCGTTTAAATTAAGGGGCAAATACCCATCCACGTTACTGGGTGGGTGGTGGAGTATAACATCCTTTGTATTCTTTTCTGCATTTAAAAAAAATTAATATACTGCTAGGAACTATTTAAAGAAAAAGACTGAGGTGTTTTAACACTGTGTTCCTGAACGCTTTCAACTCTTACTGCAAAAAAGAGAGAGAGAGAGAGACCTGATCCGTCAGATACCAGTGAAGAGGGCCCCCCAACGCCTTCTTAATGCATGCGTATTTCTGCTTGTTTCAGGATCTGCCCACGGGAGGAAAAGATGTTGGAGAGGTCAGCATGGCTGGCAGTCCCTGGAAGCCCCCGCTGCTGGCAAAAACACCGTCCACAGAGGGTCCCCCCAAGAGAGAGGGCACCCTTGCCAAGGGCAGGCCAAACGCTTCTTCGCCTGGGAAAGACCCCGGCTTGGTCCTCAGCTCCAAAGCAAGAACGTTCTCCAGTTCTTCCACTGAAGATGCCGGCCCTAAAACAGTCAGAGCCACCATGTTTGAACATCACGTGCAGAGACACAGCGTGGTGACCAGCCAGCTTGGCCCTGAACCGGCCTTGCTGTCACTGATGCCGCCCTTTGGAGACTCGCCCTCCCGTGGCCGGGAATCAGGGTCGGAGAGAATGCTGGGAGATGGCCAGTCGGGCAAAGCCTCCGCCCGGGGGGCCGATGCTTCAGGGGGGGCCAGAGGATCCAAAGATCCCAGACCTTTAACAGAGGACGAAGACTCTCCACTGTGGGCTGAAGAGCCCTCGAGGGAGAAGGATGAGCAAAGTGCTTCAAAGGGCGTGGAGGATTCCCTGCTGGCTCAGAGGATCGAGCCCAGGTACGAGGTCCTGCACACCGTGGGGGAGAGGGCCCAGAGCGAGGCGGTGGCCGCCATCTCCGGAGGGAAGGCCATCACTCTGCGCCGCCAGAGGCCTTTGAAGGAGAACCGGAGAGCCGGTGGATATGGCAGGAGCAAAGACTGGAGCGAGGCTCCTGCCCCGGGAACTGGCCTGTTGAAGGACCTCGCTGCCTTCAAGAACCAGGGTGCTTTCTCCAGGGAAGGAACCGGAGCGGACAGAAATCGGGCCGGACAGCAGCCGGCCTCTGAGAAGGCAGCGTCCTTCAGGATGAAGGAGGACAGAAACTTTGCACCGTGGCTGGACACCGAAAAGGAGAGGTGGCTTGCTCCAGCCGGTTTGAGGGATCGCATCCCGCGGAGGGCTGGAGCCAGGGTGCCCGGGGCCGATGACTGCGAAGGTCAGAAGACGAGTCCGCTGCAAAGTGGCAGCTGCCCAGGGCTCCTCTTTGGCCTGGACCTGAAGCCCCCTCAGGGCTCCGAAGGACAGAAGCTGCACTTGGCCGGATACGGAGTCCAAGAACAGTGGGAGGGCACCACGGAAGGGAAGGAGTTGCGAGGAGCCGGCATCAAAGTGAAGTGGGTGAGCAGCTTCCGTAACGTTTCTGCCCCAAAAGGTTCAGACCGGTGGCGAAGGAAGACTCTGCCCCACAGCGCTGCCAGGCTTGAGGGCCCGGGGGAGCCCCCTCAGGACCCTGCCGAACTAGCCAGCAGAAGCGATGCCCTGCATCTGATGGATGGTGCAGCTGCAAAGAGAAGCCCCCAGGCCCTCCGTGGACTAGGCCCCAGGCAGGCGGAGGTCACCTGTCCCAGCAGCCCAAGGAAGCCGCTCCCTCCTTCAGAGCCCAAGGCCACGTATTTTGCAGTCACCTGCCAAATCTCGGAGGAGGAGATCAATAACCAGCCTGGGAGAGCTGCGGCTGTAGCTCCTCCTGTGAGCGCTTCCAGGAGAGCCGATCCCTCCGATTGCCAGCACAGGGAGTGCTTTTCGGAGGGAGGGAGCTCTGCAGGCAGGCCTCTTAGCAGGCCCAGGGGAGAAAGAGCGGCCTCGGACCGTTCGGTGACGGGGGCGTCTCGGGAGCCACTGACCGAGGCCAGAGACCAGGGCCAGGAGCTGCTGCAGAGACAGCTGGAGGCGGCATCTGAAGGGCGTCTGGCCAGAGCTGACCCACCCTTCTGTCCTGGGACAAGGTCTCCTCCTTACCTGGCACCCCTCCAGCAGGATAGCCAGCGGAAGAGATCCGGTGCACTCGATTTTGGCAGAGCGGAAGAGAAAGCCCCCGATCACTACAGATCGAGAGTGGTTGACATTGATGAGCTGATGGCAGAATATGGGGGAGAGTCCCAGAAGCTTTGTGAGTGGGAGGGCCAGAGAGAGAGCACTTTCCTTCCTTGGGAGAAATGGCCCCCCAGGCACAATTCCTCAGGGAACCTTCCCTGCAGCTCCGACCAGAGAGAGAAGAGCAGGGTCGGGCACTCCCTGGGCAGCAGAGCGCCAGGCACCGGGGCCAGCAGTGGTGAGGGCAGCCATGTGCATGAGGGCGATGCGCTGGAGATCCACCCCCAGGAGTCAAGGGCCAGAGAGGAGAAGCGCAGCCCTCCTCAGTGGGGCAAGCCAGACACAGAGAAGGCAAAGCCCTGGTCTGCAGAGCCCCCCGGGCCAAGGACAAAGACAGCCTTTCTTGTTGGCAGAGAGGAGGGAGAGGGCACCGGGCAGGGCCCCCAGAGTGCCAGAGATGCCACTCCTGGCCCCCACCCTGCCTGTATGGACCTGAGAGCCTTGTGGAAGGAAGCCAGTCCAAAGAAGTGGGCGGTTCTGGCCCCTGCTGGCGGGTGGTGCCCCAGCAGTGACTGGGGTGGCAAGACTGGGTGGAAAGCTGAGCCCCAGGCCGGAGTCTGGGAGAAGGACTCTCCTGCAGCGCATGCTGGAACAGAACGGAGCAATTCCACCGCATCCCTGGGGACAGGCACCACGCCAGACCTGAAGTGTTCCTCCTCTGAAAAAAACCATCAGAGCCAAGCAAGGCCCAGCTTTCCTTCGGAACCAAGGCTGGATCAGCCCCATGTCTGCCAGAGGTTCACTCCTGAAAGGCCCGGGGTCTGGCTGAGCGAGGGAGGCCCGTCGCCGAGGGACTGCTTCTCTCACGGAGGGACAAGGGTACGTGACGGGTTTCCGAGTGGGAAGAATGAGGCAGAGAGGGTGGGGTGGGGGTCTGGCTCCCTTGGCAGTTGACATCCAGGGATGAGGACAAGGAGGGCTGTCAAGACCTGAGCAAGCGCCTGATTTTGAGGGGGGGGGCTTCTCCATCTGATGGGTCTCCTCCTAACAGGACCTTGGGAAAGAAGGCCTCACCGTGGACCATGACGATGCCACAACCACCAAGCGCTCTCTGTACCTCCTTACACAGCGACAGAGTTTCCATAAAGAGAGGAGGACCGACCACTGGTCAGGGGTAAGTGCTGCAGCCTCTCCTCAGCTCTTTGCCAAGCCTTTTCTGGGCATCTGTAGGGCTGGTTGTGTGCCCAGCAGCCCGTTTGCAGAGGTCTCCCTGGGCTGCCGTGGGTCGGTGGTTGGTCCTTCCAAGGAACAGGCTACGGTTGGTCTCCGCCTTGGTTCAGCAGAACTCGGCAGAACAGCTGGAGGAAAATGGCCTTTGGCCCCTCCATGCTTCAGCCACCGGCCAGAGGGATCCTTGTGGGACGCGGCCCCACAGCCGATTCCCCAGCAGAGCAGGAAACCCCAGGTTGTGGGGTGTGTGGGGGGGGGGAGGCGGGATGTCTTTACCCTCCTCCCAGGCTCTGCGGCTTAGCAGCGAGGCGAGACCCGTCATTGTGGTTTATGGCTTAGCATTTGGCTTGAACCCGGTTGGTTGTGGATTATTGAAGAAACCGTGTTTCCTCGTAGAGGAACTGGGCTTGTGTCATCCTTTGTTGTCCTTGGCGTTTCCTTCTGTCGGCCTGGGACTTTTGCTTGGGTTCCCCGCCGGAGAAGGAAAGGTGCCCCTGAGGTGGACGCGGACAGGGCTCCCCTCCCCAGCCGTGGCTGGAGGTCAGGCCTGGCCTTTGAGGGTGTTGCTGCGCCCAGGGCAGCCACAGACTGCCCCTTCCTGGGAGGCTGAGAACCAGGGCTGAGGAATGGGCAGAAAGGAGTCCCTTGCCAGAGAAGCCAGGGTGGGGTGGGACCGGGCAGTTAAACCCCCTCCCCCGGGGAGGGGGCGATGGGAACCGAAGAGTCTGGGAAACGGCAGAGCTTCCTCTTCTGCCCGATTAGAGCTCTGCGTATCTGCAATAAAAGTCACTTATTTACCTGACCCTCGAGTCCTTCTGGGAGGCTCCCGGGGGCAGGGTTGGGCTCCAGGGAGGTGTTCTGGGTGCAGCTCTGACTTCCAGACGGGGCCCCAATCCCAGCCAAGTGACCCTCCGGCAGTGGGGAAATGGGGGCTCCTGCGCTGAGCTGAGCCCCCCTCCCTGCCTGCTGTAAGCTAGGAGGGTCCCGTGGGGAGGCGCCTTGGCTGGGAGGGATGAGCCGGGTCTCCCTCTGAGGCTGCCTCCTGGTCCTGCGGGGCAGCGGCTGGCAGGCGGCCTCCTCTCTGGGAGCCTGGGGGGCGCCTGTGCACCTCTTGCCTAGGGACGAGGACCCACGTCTGCTCGGGGACCGGGAGCCCTTTGGGCGGAATCTCAATGGCAGCCTTGCTGTCCAGAGATGGAGTTTATCGGGGGCCTGCAGCCTCCATCCCCCAGCTCCCCTCTTCAGCTCTGCTGGGTTGAGAATTGCCATGGGCTTCAAGGCTCCCCCCTGAATTCCCTGCAGCGGCTCCTCTGGTTTCGTGGAGGAGGCCGGGGGAGGCCTGCAAATGACCGTGGCTTCAGGGCTCCCAAACGCTGGCGGGACCCTTCCCTCCCCTCCAGGTGAATCTGTCTCCTTCCCTAACTGGTGCGGGTGGGCCCACCGCCAAGCCCTTGGCTCCACCGGGGTTCAGAGTGCAGGAGATGAAGGCTTCCCAGTTGCTGTCCTCGCAGGGGTGACCTCTGTGTGTGTGTGTGTGTGTGTGTGTGTGTGTGTGTGTGTGTGTGTGTGTCTGCCGAACATGTTCTCCTGCTGCCTTCCCTTCTCGGCTGGCTTGCGATGATTAGCTTCTGCTCCGGAGCTGGAATTCAGCCAGAGGGTCTTTGATGGAGGGGCAGAGTGGTCGAGCCGCTTTGGAGGCATAACAGAAGCAGATCTTCCTGGTGGGCCCCTGTCCTCCAGATTCAGGATCCCCCCCCCTCCTCACCGCCTCTCACCGTTGATAAGAAGCCTCTGGTGACAATCTGAGAGAGGCTGATAAATAATTTGCAAGTTCTCAGTTGGTTCTGCATTCCAGATGAGGGGAGGCTGCTGAAGGACTGCTTGCCGTGGGAAGGTTTTCTCCTCCCATTTGCTTTTTAAAAAGCGGCTCCTTTCTCCTCTCCTCTGGCAGCTGAAGGGGGAAATGAGGTCATTTGTCACCAACAAGGGTGGTGACCTTGTGCTGCAGCCTCTTCCCACTTAGCAACCCGTTGGGTGCCTGGGGAGCCTGGGGGCGAGGAGATGGGCCCCCTTTTGGCCTCGGAGCAAGCGAAGGGCTGCCTGGTCCTCACACTCCCCCGGGGCTGCTCTCCCTCCGTGGCCTCCTCCATCCGGGGGAGCTGAGCTCCAAATTATTCAGGCCCCCTTGAAGGGGCTCGGCTGAGAGGAACAGGGTGGGGGGCTGCCTGACCCGGGACATGGAGTTTTATTCCTGTCCAAGTTGCTGGAAACGCCTGTGCAGCCTCTGGGTGAGTAAGAGCCCTTCTCCCGCTTTCTGATCCTTTGGGGAGGGGGGCACTCAGTTTCCTGGCAGGGAGGGGGTCTCGGCAAGAGAACCCAGACTCTGAACAGTGGTGAGCAAGGGGGCTCTTGGGCCCCCTGGCATCTAGGGGGAGAGCGGGTCACACAGTGGGGTGGGGGGAGCTGCGCCCGCGGCTCCGGCGGCTCCTCCAGCCCTCTGCAGAGCCTGCCAATTGTAGATTATTTAAAATTCATAAGTCTCTCTTTAAAACTTCTTAAATCCAAAGAAGGTACAATTCACAAGGTGTCAAATTAAGCTCACCGTTTTGAAAGGGGTTAAAATGAACACTTAGGAATGTGGTTAGGAAGGGGTTTTGTCCGTCTTCCCGTCCTTAGGAAAGGCTCGGTGGCTGGCGAGAGCAGAAAGTCCCAGAAACTCTGCTTCCCTGGGGCTGCTACAAGATTTGGCCTGGTGGCCCCTTGAGTGTGGAAATTAGGGGGTGCCTCCACCGCCACGGGGAAGAGGGAAAGGGAGGAGGTGCTGTCCCCCAGCCCGTTCCACCTGGCACCGAGACCCCAGGTCTCTCCCTGGCAGAGGGTCACGCCAGCTCTCCCTTCTCACCTTCCCAGGGCCATTTCAAGGAGTGCTTCGGCCGGCCATCAGCAGAGGCCAGGGACACCGACGTCCTCGTGCAGGAGGCCGACAGCAGGTATGGCACCTGGGGCGACCGGCGGCACATGGGAGACAGGTGAGGGTCTGGGGGGGGGGAGCAGTGCTGTTGCTCACCCATTTCCTCCAAGCCAGTTGACAAGCAAGAAGGGCAGGGAGCCACGACGGGCCCTCCCTGGCGCCAGGCAGGACCTCAAGAGCCAGCTCTAGTTGGGGGTGTGTGAAGTGGCATGAAGGCTTCCCCCCCCCCCAGCTGCTTTCTTCCTGGGAAACGCAGCCCACAGCGCCCTCTGCTGCTCAGTCAGCTCCTGGCCAGTACACAGAAGGGGTGAGCCCCCCCCCTTGTGCTGCAGCAGGGACGAGGTCAGTCCTACAGTAGGCCAGGTGGCTTTGTGGGGTCTGGGGGAGAGAGGAGGCTGGTCCCCCCTCCCCATTTACCTGAGCTGTTAGAATCCTTCCCCTCCCCAGAACAGGCTGCTCCCTTGCCCCTGGCCCAGGTGAGGGAAGGGTCCTCGCAATCGGTCATGCTCCAAACTGCCATTCGGGGGCCTAATTCCACCCCCTGCTTCTCCTAGTTTCACCCCGGAGTCTCCTTCCTGGGAGGGCAGCGTGGCCCCTGCACAGAAGCTGTCCCCCGTCCACCGAACCTCCTTGTACTCATCTCAGAGGGATCTGGCCACTGCCGCCGGCCAGCAGGATTCATCCGGGGAGCAGAGGAGCCCCAGCCTGGCTGATTCCAGCCCAGATGCAGATTCGGCGTCTTCCCCCGCAGAGAAGGCCAGCCCGGACTTCTCCTTCCTGGAGGTGGGTTGCTGGGCAGGTCCTCCTGGCTTTGGGGGAGGGGTCTGAGCGTCCATTGCGAGCAGTCTCTTCTCTCCCAGCAAACTCCCCGCCTGGACTCGGGGACCCTGAAGAGCCGGGTCCTGCTGGGCAAAAGACGGCAGCAGCCCCGGGCTCCCATCTCCCGCATCCTCAGGAGGAGTGCCAGTGGAGCCACCCAGCCGCCCCCGTTCTCTGCGGCGGAGGGAGCAGCCAGCGCCTGGATGTTCAGGGACTCCACAGGTGGGGCCTGTGGGAAGGGAGGAATCCCCCAGCCCACCCCCTGCGGGCATCTCGAGGGGGCTGGGAAGAGATCTGGCCTAATGGGGGGCAGTCTGGCCCCCTCTCGGCCCTGAAGCCTCTTGGTGGCTCCCAGGTGCGTGTGTGGGAGGGTGTTTCATTCTGGCATGATGATAATTCTGCTCCCCCCCTTCATGGTGAAGAAGAGAAGCCCCCCAGGAGGACCAAAGAGGAGGAAGAGGAGCCCCCTCCAGCAGAGAGGCAGCTCCATGCCCAGCCGCGGCTGCCGCTCTTTCCGGGCCTGGCCCCCTCCGCCCTCAAGGTACATCAGAGAAGACCCCCCCCCAGGAGAAACCCTCCAGGTCAGCCCTTCCCAGGGCCAGCCTGGAGGCTACTGGAGGCTGTTGGGGGAGGGGGGCCCTCCGCCCCCCCTGTTGGCCATCAGCTGCTTCCCAATTTTCTCCTGAGTGGGATCTGGGGCTTCCTCCACAGACTCAACTCAGGAAAAGGCACGATTTGGAAGGGGGCAGGGAGGAAGCCCCCCCTGCGCCCCTCTGCAAGTCGCCCAAAGGTCCGTTTCTGGCACCGGCGGCCACTCCCGAGAAGGAAGGGAGGTGAGAGAGGGGACGAGATGGGGAGGGGGGAGCGGGAGCCACACAGCCCTGCAGGCCAGAAGGGGAGGCAAGGTTGCCCCTTAGTTCAGCAAAGCCTCCCCCACCCCATGTCCTGTCCCCCCCCCATGGCAGGGGAAGCCCCTCCAGGGCGGCTGCTGAGGCTCTGCTGCCTTTCAGGCCGGAGGATCTGCCCCCCCCATGGCTGACGGAGCTGAAGTCCAGGAGGAAGCAGGGCCAGCCGGAGAGCCCCCTCTGAGGTGCTGAGCGGGAGGGGGGGCATGGGGGTGAGGGGAGGGGGCTGAGGCCTGGACTAGAGCGGGGAAGATGGGCTCACCTGCTGACCTGCAGGGGCCAGACTGGAGGGGGGGGCGGATCCTGGCCCGGGAAGTTTCCTGGGTAGACTCTGGGTGCCCAAGCAGCTTCCCTGCCTGCCTGCCTGCCTGCCGGGGAGGGGAAAGAGGCGGCGGCAGGTTGCCCGGGAGAGGCCCAGGCTGGCCAGATGCCCTGATTCCCCCCTGCCCCCCTCTTTTCCAGGTCGAAGCCACGACTGGCCAGAGGAGGAGCTGCCTTAACTGACCGCCCCCTTCCCCTGCCCTCCTCCCGAGTCTCCTCCCGCCTTGACCGACTGCTCTGCGCTCAGTGCCTTCTTCTGGGGCCTGCCTGGCTCCGGCCCCAGGACCTGTGGGAGGCCCCCCCCCCGTGGCCAGGGCTGCCCCCAAACATGACGCCTCCCTGCGAGAAGGGAGGGAGGGGCTTCTGCCTTTCTCTCTGCCGAAGTGGACGGAGGAGAAGGAAAAAGGGCCGGTTGTTCTTCCAGGATCCATTTTTGTGGGTTTGCTGTTGGACAGGTGGGGGGGGGGTGTGCCGTGGCTCATCCTTGTTGCTGTTCAAAGATCAGAGGAGGTTTTATTGTACAAGTTTTGTCGGGGTCCTTCCCGAGGAGAGAGAAAGCAATAAGGCCAAGCCGCCTCCTCTCGAATGGCTGCAAATCCACTTCGTAAAGACGGAACTGGGCCTCCATCGGCCTCAGGATGTCTTTGTCTTCACTGTAGATATTCTTGTAAACGTTCAGGGAAAGGAGTCCTGTGTTCGACTCCAGTCCTTCCAAATGTCCGGATCTCTCCTGATCCCAAGTGTGGGGATATCGGTCAACCAATGAACATGCCTCTGCCTGGCGGGCAGGTGGGGGGGGCAGAGACCCTCACAAGCCATTTTCTGCTCCATCCTGGTCAGCTGGAGAAATCCCAAATTGGGTGTTTCTGTGAATGCTCCCGTGAGCAATGGGGCCCAAAGACCTCTGAAGACCCCTTTGGTTATGCTGTGGGGCGGACGGGGGTCCCCCCCCCACCTTTTGGAGGCACAGTAGCTACCCTAAGGCTGCCTCTGGCCCTGCCTGGCTGGTGAGGCTGCTCAGTCAGCCCTGTGTCCAGCCTCGGGGTCTGCATTCCTGCCCCCCGAGACGCTGCTGTGCTTAGAAACTTGCATCCCCCCCCCAATAAGTGCTCTTCTCAAACTACTCTGGCTTCCCAAAGGGTTGCGCCAGAGAGGACAGCGACAGCCGCGCATTGGGCCTGGGGTGAAACAGCCAGCTGCCTCTGTTTCTCCCAGGTGCCAATCCTGGATCAGGCTTCTTTCTTTCTTTCTTTCTTTCTTTCTTTCTTTCTTTCTTTCTTTCTTTCTTTCTTTCTTTCCTTCCTTCCTTCCTTCCTTCCTTCCTTCCTTCCTTCCTTCCTTCCTTCCTTCTTTCTTTCTTTCTCTCTCTTCTCTTTTTCTTTTTTTTTCCTTCCTTTTTTTTTCCTCCCGGCCAGGCAGAAGGAAGGCCATATGCTTCGCCAGGCCTCCAGCCCTCGGGCATCCTGTCCCTTATTTGGGGGAGATGCCCCTGCCCCCTGTGCCACTTGGAGGCCGCTCCTGGCAGTGCCAGCAGGAACTCTGGGCATATGCACCATTTCTGAGGCTGGGAGAACTTGGCTGGCAGATCCCTGGGAAGCCGCACACGGAGGTTCTGCTCCAAGACTTGTTGGCCTTGATCGTCTGATTAAAAAGCTTGTTCAGAGCAACCCGTGTGGCTGAGGACTTTTTTCTTCTCTTGGGGCTTGGAAGCCCCCCTGCCAGGCTCTTCCTCTGGGAGGACGGAGTGGGAGCATGGACATACAGGGGGGCGGGGAGGGTTGCTGCCTCCTTTCCACATCAAAGGGAGCAGCTGTCCTGGGCTCACCTTGCACCCTGCCAGTCACGCTCCGGTCACAGACTCCCTTCTGTTTGTTGCCACAAGGGGGAGCTCTCGAGGCCTCCTGTCTCCCAAAGCCACTCACTCCCTGCAAAGACCCCAGAAGACCCCGGAAACCTGCATGGGGCCACCTTCTCGCTCTGCTTGTTTGGCTGCCCCTCGCCAAATGCAGCAGACCACCTGGGAGCCCTCTGACTACAGGCTGGCCACCCGTAGCAGCCGAGCAGATGGGGCCCGCCCTGCCCAGGCTGCTCCACAGCTCTCCGGACAGCCCTGGGCTGAAGTCCTCAGGGAGCTGCTGTGGTGGTTTTCTCCCCCAGAGAGGTGGGACTTTCTCAGGGCAGGAAATGTCAGCGGGCAGACCGGGAGCCTGAGGAGCATGAACGGAGGCAGCAGTTTCAGGAAGGACCACCACGAGCCCTGGGGGGGGGGGCTGCACTTGCCCTCCTCTCCAGTCTGACTGGCCCATGGGAGGAGGGGTCTGTTCCTGGACTTGGGGATTCCCTGCCTGCTTGTAAGCAGAGATGCCTGCCTGAGCCTGATTAGGGAGTTTGGACCTGGCTTCCCAGGGAGAAAGGCTGCTCGGAGCCCTTTGTGCCGTGGAGAAGCCCACCTGCCCACCCGTAAAGGGCCTGGTTGCAGGGACCAGCTCCGGCTGGCACAGCCCCGGGGCCACTCGGGAGGGGGGAGGGGTTTTGCAGCGCCAGACCCTGGGTGGCTGAACCTGCTGAGCTCAACAAAACTGGGCTCTCCTTGCCCACGGAGCTGAGCCAGCAAAGCGGGCAGCTCCAAACTGAAAGCTCATGAAATAACTCTCCCAGGACAAAGGGAGGCAGGGGGGGAGCTGACTCTTGTTTGCATTATACTTTAATCCAGCATTCTTGGTTTGGGTCACATGCTGATCAATACTGCTGGCCTGGGACTCTGCCGCCCTCTATAAATGGCGGGGCTCGGCGGCGGGTTTTCAGCGGCAGAAGCAAATTTTTGGTGCAACCGGTAGGCTTCTTCCGCTTCACTTTTTCTGGGGTTGACGGTGCCTTTTGCGTGGGTCTCTTTCCAAGCAGGGTTGAGTCTGATAGAGGAAAAGGGCAGATTGGAGGAGCAGAGGCAGAACAGAAAGATGGTGGGAAGAAGGACAGAGACTCTGCAGTGGGCAGAGAGAGGAAGTCTGGCCACTTTCTTGGCCAGTTGGCTGCAACCTCTCCCCCCCCCCCCGTCCCTGGAAGCGGTAAATGAGGGTTCTCTTTTGGCTAAATACGCCAGGATCCCTTTTCTGCTTCCCAGGATTTTACTGGGATCAGAGGAAGTGGCTCCTCTCCTTTTCCCCTTCCCTCTTGCAAATGCCCCATGCTTCCTTATTATTGGCAAGCCCCCCTTGGCAAGTCTTCATCCATCCCTCTTCCCATGCCAGTCCCGAGCCGGGCGATGGCCCAGCTTCTCCCCTGAGCTGGAGAGATGCCAAGCACCCCCTGGAAGCCCAGAGGTCCCCAAGATGGGAAGATGGGAGGGGTGGTGGCCCTTCTGGAGCATACCGGGTAGATAGGGTGGGGGCCGTGGCGGGGGCAGCTGTGTGCCCCGCCTGGTGTGACTTCTCTCCTCAGGGAGCAGCCCCCTTTCACCATGGCCTTGGACCATCAGACCTCGAAGCAGCTGCAAGCCACTTCCAAGGTCAGTGGGCCCACCCCTAGACAGCTAAGTGTGGGGCGGAGAGCAACCTGTGTGGACAGGCGGAGAGGAAAAGACCCTCTGCCTGGGGGGCTGAGGGAGGCAGAAGCCATCTTGCTCCCTCCTCCATCGGACGGGCCCCGATGCAGAGGATTCCTTCCCCTCTTGGTGCGGGGCGCCCCAAAGGCTCTCACAGCCCCTCTTCTCATCCTCCCAGATTGCCCTCTTCGAGCAGGAGAACTTCCAGGGGCGCTGCCAGGAGCTGAATACCCCCTGCCCCAACTTGAAGGAGGCCGGCATAGAGAAAGTCAGCTCCATTGTGGTGCATTCTGGCCCGTGAGTGCCAGGGAAGGGGGCTCGGAGGCAGGGAGGCAGGGAGGCCGTGAGCCGCACTGAGGCCGTGGGCCTGGGGTGACCACGACAGACTGCTGCCTCCCGTGGATCGGTTTTCCCTCCCGCTCCCCCAAGTGTTTCAGAGGGAGGGTGGCAGCCCCAAAGCTCTAGTGGGGTTCCTTGGGGGGGGGGAACTTCCGACCAGGGGTTCACCCTGGTCTCTCTTTGCTGCCAGGTGGGTGGGATATGAGCAGGCCCACTTCAAAGGGGAGCAGTTCATCTTTGAGAAGGGGGAGTACCCCCGCTGGGACTCCTGGACCAGCAGCCGCAGGAGTGACAGCATCTCCGCCCTGAGGCCCATCAAAGTGGTGAGTGCCAAAGGGGGGATCTCGGAGGGGAGGGAGGAATGCTTGGCCTGGCAGCCAGACCCTGGGCTCTAGCCCAGGGCCCCCTGCAAGCTTCCTGCCACTGTTTTCTGCCATGGGGAGGGATGGCGATGGTTGCCGGGCAAGGCCACCAGAGGAGGGGGTAGCCACGAGAAAGCCGGGGGCTCAGCAGGCACCAAGGGAGAAGGGAAAACGTGCACGGAGAACAGCTCTGCCCTGCCGCTCTGTCCCGACGGGCTATAGGGCGAACCCGGATTGGGAAGCACTTAAGAGTGTTTCAGGTTTGGTCCTGGACCCCCACCCGAAGCTGGGGCCCTCCCTCCGCTCCCCTCCTCCCCTGCCTCCCTGCAGGACAGTCAGGAGCACAAGATCGTCCTGTACGAGAATCCCAGCTTCAGCGGCAAGAAAATCGAGATTGTGGATGATGACGTGCCCAGCTTCCATGCCTACGGCTACCAGGAGAAGGTGTCCTCTGTGCGAGTGCAAAGTGGCACGTAAGTCTCTGGGCGGGAAGCAGGACCCTCCCCTGGGGAGGCGCCCTAGGCTTCCCTTCCTGGTTTCCCCTTGCATGAGCCGAGGGTCGAGCTCCCTGCCCCCCTGACCCTGCCCTCCTCCTTCAGGTGGGTGGGCTACCAGTACCCCGGCTACCGTGGCTACCAGTGCCTGTTTGAGAAGGGCGACTACAAGGACAACCTGGAGTTTGGAGCCCAGCAGCCTCACATCCAGTCGGTCCGGCGCATCCGGGACATGCAGTGGCACCAGCAGGGCGCATTCTACCGCACCAGCTAAGCCCTGGCTGGGCCCCGGAGTGCCCCCCTCTGCCTCCCGGTCTTCCTCCGCTGCCCGGCCGGGCCCCCTCTCTGCTGCTCGCTCGCTGCCTCTGCTTCTGCTTCCCACCCTGAATAAAGCTTTTGTCATCTGAAACGTTCTTCCCGGTCCTCCTCCTCCGGTCTGGTCGGATCCTCGGCTTCCTTTTCTCCTGGGGTTGCCCCTCCCCCCCATGGGGCTCCAGGCAGATCAGGCCAGGCTGCCCTCGGTTTGGAGGTGCCAGCGGGCAGCCCGGCCACTCCAGAGGCCTCTGCAAGCTTTACGCCTCCTTGAAGGGGAGGAGGAGGCAGCCAGGCCAGCTGGACTCCGGGAACCTTTGCCCTCCTCACAGGCCTTGCTCCCCTCGCCCCCATTTCCCTCTCTTCCCCACCCTCCCCCTGCCCGTGCCAAAAGGTCTTTGGCCTGGATTGGTGGGCTGGACACTGAGCAGGGCAAATCTTTGGGGAGCCTACCTTGGCCTACGCAGGAAGCAGTGACAGAAAGGCTGATTCAGCTGGCTATTGGCAAGCCTCCCCCCCTCCTCACTGCCCAGCCATGTGGGACCTGATGGGATTAACTGGTGCCAGTGGACGAGAGTCCCTGGGAGGGGAATGGCTCAGTCTGCCCCCTGTCCAAAGATGGCAGAAAAAATGTAAGCACAGGATCCAGGCATTGATTGGATCGCTTTGCAAAATATTTAGATGTTTTTAACTTCTGCACAACAGATGAAGGGAGGGTTGGGGCAAAGTTGCTTTTGTATTGCCGCCTGTGTTCTCTTGCTCTAGGGGGGGAGAGGGGAAGGGGCCTAGGCCTCACACCCCTTTGGTTCTCCAGCCTGTTACGTTCTCTGCGCTTTGGCACGTTTGAGACATCTGAAGAACATCTGGCATCTTTCCCCTTCAGTTCCAGGACACCCAAAGGCTGTAACTGCAGTCGCCTCTGCGCAAACCTGCAGAGATGGGTGGAGTCACTGTGGGTGCCTGGCAATCGCTCTCCAGGCGTGATTGCCAGGCACCCACATCCCCTGCTCCGTTTCCTCTGGCGCCACCATGTCGCCTGCTCCCCTCCTGCCCCTTTGCAGGACAATCCATCTGGAAGATCCCCGGGTCCTCTGTAATTTTCCCCAGGAAGGGGAGGGGAGGGAGCGCTGCAGCTGCCTCAGTGCCCATGTGGGCAGGCAAGAGAGCCTGGCAGTTTGAGCAACGAGACTGAGTTTTTCCCCTCCCAATGGTGTATCCGAAGGTGGCCTCGGCAGGAGAACTTTTCTGAATCCGAGGAGAACCCTTGGAGTGCCGGAAGCTTCTGGCAATCCTTGCCAGGCTACAGCCGAGATGCCCCAGCAGAGATTTGGGGAGCGAAGAGAGAACAAAGACAGCTGCAAGAGGTAGCTGTGTCCCCCAGCCCTGTCTCAGCAGGAAGAGATTTGCTGGGGTTTGCAAGGCCCGTCTTTGGACAAGAACGGGAGCATCTGGAGGCCTTCAGCATCGGCCGTCCCAGAAGGAAAGCATTTGGGTCTGCAGAGAGTCTGGCTCCGTACTCGATGGAAACCCTCAACTATGAAGGGGCCTAGAACCAGCACAAAGGCCCTCCTTCCCTGCAGCCCTTCCGGTGGCTCCCGGCAGTCTCCTCCTTGCTCATTGATTACTTTTAGGGGAAAGAAAACCTGCAGAGAGCCAGGTGATTATGCTGCTTTTGTGGCCTTTTAAATTCCTGCTTGGAGGGCCCTTCGGATGTTTTGCAAAGCAGGTTGATTGTGGCAAAACAGGAGAAAAGGGCAGCCACTTGGCATAGTTTTCTTTAAAATGCTTGGCGGCCATTGCTGAGGAGGAGATCAAGGATTGTGATTGGGGGGGGGGGGAAATAGGCCTATCTGCAAATGCCTAATGAAAGATCCAAAATATTTGGCTGAGTCGGATGGGGTCTTTGATGGAATCGAAACTGGAAGCTCTGCGGAAAGAGACTTCCCAATTTGGCTTGTGACCGAGGACCCTCGCCAAGGGGGAGCTACCTGGACAGATGGGGACCCTCAGCTGCCAGCTGGCTTCCGTGTGCTGTGAGGGGCAAGCGAGGGTGTTATTGCAACTTAAGGAAAGGATTTGTAGGTAATAATCACAGAAACAGCCCCAGCCAAAGTTAATTTTCCCCACGATTGTCCGATATTTAACGTTTAAAAGGAGGTATCTGGTGAAGCAAGCGATGCCGGGGCAGAACCTTCAGTGAAGACGCTTCTCTGCTGCCAGAAATGCCCTCAGCTCCAGCTTTTGGAAACATGATGCAATTTTTTCTTCGGCACAATAAAACAAATGCAATTAGAATGAGCTTGTTGTTTTATTCAATTGTTTTCAAATTTACTTACTTGAAAGGAGAAACAAGGAAAATGATCCTCACTCTTTTTTAATTTAGCTGACTCACGTTCACAGCATTATTTTATTCCTTCTAAATTCTTTTAAATGCACCAAACATAGGACTAACACAAACCAAATCTACAGCAAAAAAGAAATCTTCTGGTGCACCATTTGGTTACTTTGATAGCCGAGACCGTCACCGAATGAAAGAAGCCGTAATCGACCCAATAGGTCGCATTACTTAAATCTGCATATATTGGCATACTTCCAAGCGTGTCTTTTCTGTTCGGGGGGGGGCCTCCTCTTGGGGCAAGCCATGCCTCCGCCAAGGCTCGAGGGGCCTCGGGTTCAGCGGGTCATGAGAACGGAGGAAGCGAGTTAGGTCAGGGAATTGGAGCTGAGGGGCAGCGCAGCAGGGACGCCTCGCTCCCCCGCCCCGCCCCGCCCGGAGACGCAGAGCAGCGCCGCCGCTCCAAGGCCGCCGCCCCTCCCTCCTCCTCCTCCTCCTCCCCCCCCCCCAGCGAGGCGCGAGGCGGCGGCGTGCAGCCGCGCGAGGAGCCGTTGCGCCGAGGACGATGCCGGGGCGGCGCAGCGCAGCCCCCCGGCCTTCCGCCGCCTAGAGCCCCGCGGCCGGCTGCGCTGCGCGGGCCGGGCCATGCCCCCCCAGGGGCGCCCCTGCTGCGGGGCCGGGCCGGGCCGGGGGCGGCGCGGGCGGTAGCCGGGCGGGCCGGCGGGGTCCCCGGGCCGGCGGGCCCCGCCAAGATGGCAGACCTGGAGGCGGTGTTGGCGGACGTCAGCTACCTCATGGCCATGGAGAAGAGCCGCAGCTCTCCCGCGGCCCGGGCCAGCAAGAAGCTCACCCTGCCGGAGCCCAGGTGAGGCGGCGCGGCCCGGGCGGCGGGGGAGCGAGCGGGACCCGAGGGCGGCTCTCTGGGCCGGGAAGCCGCCGTGCCAGGGCCGGGGGAGCCCTCTTTCTCGGCCCTTCAGAGACCCCCTCTCCCCCCCTCAGCAGCCTCCATCTTGCCGCCTTTCTGGTGCCAGCAGGGAAGGGAGGGGAGGGCTGTCAGCCCCCTCCCCAAGTCCGATCAACAGCCTCCTTCCCCGCATCCAGCAGCCCCCCCCGGGAGGCGCAAAAGGGCACCTCTCCTCCTCCTCCTTCAATGAGCCCCCCCGGCCCTCCGAGGCAGCCCCCCCCGGAATTGCCCCCTCACCCTGGGACCGTCCCATCCTCAGGTCGCCCCAAAGGGGCTGAAATCCAGGGGGCTCCCCTGGGGGGCAAGTGCCAGGTCTCCAGGTGGCACCACACCCCCTCCCCAAAATTGGCCTGAGCAGTCCCAGACCAGCTGCTGCTTCCAATACTCGGCTGTGCCTTTCAATGTATCTGAGTGGATGTGGACGTATCTTTTCAGGGGGGGAGGCTAAACTTGTCTATTGGCCAACTTTTTTTACTCCAGGGAATGTGCAAACACTAGACTGACCCCCCCCCAGATTCAGGGTGGTCCCCTCCCTGACTGGCCACCCCTCTTAGCAGTCCCTCATGCCGCTTTGCTCTGAGGCCTCTCTGGATCCCCCAATGACCCCTGCCAACTGCCAGTGGTGGAGTCAACCTCTGGCCCTAAGACCCGGTTGGCTGAGTGTCAACACCAAGCCACAATTTATGGCTTATGAGTAAAGGCTGGCTTAAAACCCAGCCTGTTCAGCTGAAACCCAATAATAGGTCTTTGGGAGGTGTGTGAACTTGGGTTAGGGGTCTGGCCTTGGGGTCTCTCTGCTGCTGCCCCCCCACCTCAGTTCTTAGGGGTTGTCCCCTGTTGGTCCTCAGGGGAAAGGTCCTGACTCTGGATTCCCAGCTAAGAGATCCATCCTGCATTCCTGGCCAAATCGTTACAAATTTGAGGCTGTTGGTCTGAGCCTGGGCCTGGCGTCCGGCCGCAAGGCCCCTGCAGGGAACTCTGGCTGAGCGTCTCGGCTTTGTCCCTGCAGTTGGTGGTCTGAGCATCCAGACTGATGGCAGACTGGCTGTCGTTTGGCCAGTGAGAGCAGTGGCAGGAACAGCGGGCATTCCTTGATGCTCGCTGGTGGGAGGGCCCCAAGAGTGGGTGCTGGGAAGGAGCCCCTTGCCTGCATAAGACTTGGGGGGTCAGGATGGTTGGCTGTGGGCTGAAATGTCTGCTCTACATTTGCTCCTTTACCATTTCTGTTCTCCGCCTTTCAGCATCCGCAGTGTGATGCAGAAGTATTTGAAGGAGAGGGGAGAGCTGACCTTCGACAAGGTCTTCAATCAGAAGATTGGTAAGTCTTGAGGTAAATTGGGGTGCAGGATCACGCAGGGCAAGGCCCATCCTGAGTTTGGGGAGAAACCATAACTTTGCCTTTCTGGGATCACTGGGGACCAGAAGCCAAGCGGTACCTCCAAGCGCTTCAGAGGAGCGATTGTGACCGTGTGCAGTTGTCTGAGCTGGTGTGGAGGGGGTGGCTGATCCGTGGCCTTGCCGGATAACCCCCTCTCCTGCCAGCAACATGCACAGACCCTCGTGCAGCTCACAGGAATGGCTGCCGGGTGTTCTGGCTCAGGCACTCTGCTTTGGCCAGCTATGGCAGCTCCCTCAACAGGCTCGCCCAGCGGGACGATGGTGCCCAGACAGGCAACTCTGCGGCAGAGCTGGACCCTTGCCTGCTTCTCACCTTCAGGATTTTGCTTGCAACGGCTGAAGCTTTCTGGAGGGAGCTTGATGTGTGACTCTGGGTGTTCGTGTGGCACGGCAGGCCTGCGTGTGTGGGTGACAGGCAGTGCAGGCTTAGGGCTTGCTTCCTGTCGGGGTTTACCTCCAGCAGCTCAGTTTGTAGAAATCCCGGGAAGGGTTGCCCTCAGAAGTGTAAACAATGCCAGACAGATGCTGAGCTGGAGCGTCTCATGCCTGCCAAGCCTAATCCCTGAGCAGGCTTTGTGAGTAATCCAGCCAATTGCTCCAGGCGCCTCACAAGGGGAGATTTTCCCCATTTCATTCTTTTTCCAATGTGAACAGATTGGGATTTAAAAAATCACGGCCTCAGGGTGAGATGGGACCTTGAGGCTGATGGTAGGAAGTCTTCTCTGGCGCCTGGAAAAGATGAAACCTTTATTAGCCGCTTAGATCAGGGGCTCGGATTTGAAAGCGGCCCTTCCCGCGGTTTCCTCTATGCAGACATTCCCTAAAGATGCTTGTTTCGATCAGGGGAATCGCTCACATGAGAATTATTTAAAACTTGGTTTGGACTTTGAAATGCTTATCAAAGTTTGGGCAGCTGCTTGTTTGGGCGATGGAGAAACCCCAATGGTTAGACAGGATGAAAAGTGACTGAAAGTGCTTAACTGAAATCCACCCCTCTTCTTACAGTAAGAGGAGAGGGATTCTTAAAAGGATGTTTTGAAAATGTGAAATCTTTTAAAAATAGCTGCTGCTTGCTTGGCTGGGGGAGATTATTGTCAGCTTGAAAAGGCTGAAGAAGCAGCTGTTGAATACGTTGTGCTGTTACCTTGTCGGTTGTACTGGATAGCACCACTTGTGGGTTCCGGCTAGGCCAGGGGTAGGCAACCTTGGCTCTTTTATGACTCGTGGACTTCAACTCCGGAAGCTCAGGAATTCTGGGAGTTGAAGTCCACTAGTCATAAAAGAGCCAAGGTTGCCTACCCCTGGGCTAGGCAATGTTGAAGGCCGCGCTAGACAGAAAGAATAACTTTGAGGAACAGGAGGAAGAGACGCCAGCAGCACAATAGTCGGATAACAGACTCCTCTTGAGTCCTGAGTAGAAGCGCAATCCGAGAAGGCCTCTGGGACTTGACCTGCCCTGCTGCTCATGCAGACGAGGGGAAGAGCCTTAAGAGCTGCATGGCGTTGGCACGCATGAGGCTGGTTCCCTTGTCTGGTCTCCCCCAAAGGGCTGATAGGCAGGCAGGGACCGTGAGCCCCTCCATTTAGGAGACCTCATGCGGTCATGGTAGATCCATAGCTGACTGGGATCGCCTGCTGGTCTCATTGCCTGTTTTCAAAGGTTGAGTCTTTCTGTGCTTGCTTTGCTATTGGGATAACAAGACAGAAGACGCGGCCTTCTAAAAAAAGACAACAGAGAGGAAACCCGGCTGCTAAGTGAAGGAAGCAGATGTGAAAATAAAATGTGTTTAAAAATAGTCCTGGCGTTTTGGTAAAGGATGCTCACTTTCAGATTGAGACTCATCTGCTGATTAATCAACTCTTCTCCTGTCCTGGCTGTAGAAGGCCGACTTCTCTGGCCATTTGGTCCCTTCTCTGGAGGGACAGACACGGGAGATGAACACTGCCCCCCCCCCCATGAGTGATGAGGCATCCTGCCTGGGATCAGGCCTTCTGCTTCTTTCACTTGTTTGTCTCCTAGGATTCCTCTTGTTCAGAGACTTTTGCCAGACCGACGTTGAGGAAGGCGTTCCGCAGCTGAAGTTTTACGAAGAGGTGAGAACCTGCACTTTTCTGATTCTCCCGGGGAGTTGGAGGGTTTTTTTAAAGTGATGAAAAGGATCTTAGTGTGTTTAAGGAATCGGTGGAATGATGGTGCATTTAGGCACTGAGTAAATCTGATCAGAGGACTGTGTGGCAAGGAGCAGAGAGAGAGAGAGAGAGAAGGAGAGAGAGAGAGAGAGAGCCTCCGCACTCCAGGAAACTCATCTGCTGCTCTGTGAGTCACACTGCAAAGTGTGTTTTGAGGAGTGATTCACCCCAGTGTCAGTTAACGGCTGCTTTCTCAGGATGGCTTTCCAGAAGTTGTGTAGGCTGGTGTTGAGTTCTGCAAAGGCTCTCTGTGGAAGGCTGCTGGCTGAGCCGGTTCCACTGCACCCAGTGGGACCTGCTGCAGCCGTCACTCGCGCGACTGACTTCCAGATGTCTCAGGCTGAGTCCTGGAAAAGAAGCATCTGGAGAAGTGGGAGCTCTGGAGCATGTCAAGCGCTTCGGGGCTGGAGGCGCAGGGGGCGGCCGTCGGGAAGCCCTGGGGGGGGGGGTGTCAGGGCTTGGCATGTCCTGAATGGCTGTTAGGCGGATTCAGGCTGCTGGCAGTGCCTTCTCTGCCAGCCCCCAGGACCCAGAGCCTGCGGGGCCAGAAATTTAATCGGTGGCACATGAATTGGGGGATGCCAGGCGGGCTCCCTGCTGGGATGCTGACCTTACAAGCTAAGCAATGCCTCAGCCCCAAAGGTTAGGTGGGAGGCGATGCAGGCGTTCCCCAATGACTGGATTCAAGCAGCCCTTCCTTACCCCCCCCCCGCCCCACCCCCAAAGCTCCTTCTCCCGATCTCTGCGTGGCTGCAGACCTGAGGCAAATACCGGTGGGACTTTTCCATGGAAACTGATTAGAGGAATAAGCAGATGGAGCTGAGTCCGTTTTAAGCTAAGAGGCTTGATGGTCACTTGAGAGCCTCCGGCCCATCCTCCAGAACAAGGAGAGCTTCTAGGGTGTTCCCAAAATAGTGCAGGGTGGGTCAGAAAGGGTGGCATGATTGGGGGGGGAGGGGTTTCTGGCCAGACTAGCAGATCTCTGGCTCTCTGGAAGAAGAGAGTGAAAAGGCTGTCTGCTGCTAAGGCAGCCTTTGACCGCTCAGCTGATTGTGACCCCAGAGAGAAAGAGAGAAACATGGAAGGAGACTGGCCGGTCTTGGAGGCCCTTTTAGGGTTCAGGATGTGCACCCCACAGCCCTGCAAAACAGCCCATCAGCCTGGGGTCTAAGCGGAGGACAATGAAGTGTTAACACCCCTTCCCCCCCTTCCCTTCAAGAGGATTTCAGCGAATCTTGGAACTCGTTTTCTAAATCTATTCCACCTTGCCCACCCCGGGCTTTTCACTCCCGATCTGCAGCCCTCCCAGAGGGACCCAGAAGCGCCCCCCACCCTTGGGCAAAGCCTGGGCTTAACCATCCCTTCGCACTGTTGGGTCTTGCAGATCAAAGAGTACGAGAAGCTGGACTCTGAGGAGGATCGTCTCATCAGGAGCCGCCAAATCTACGACACCTTCATAATGAAGGAGCTGCTGTCCTGCTCCCACGTGCGTAGGAACACGGCCATCCCACCGCAGCTGGGCCCAGGGGCAGGTCCCACTTGGAAGTCTTGTTCCCTGAGGGGGCCTCTGTTTGGCTTGGGGTGGCTGGGACCCCATGGTTTGGGCTTCATTGAACAAAGGGGCTTCTCCTTTGTGCTTCTCCTGCCTGGAAGGGTGAAGAGAGGCGCCCCAGTCATGCTGCAAATGTCCTCAAGTGTTTTCTGTCCCCAAAATACCTGAATGAATAAATACGAGTCCTTTCCCTACAGCCCTTTTCAAAACAAGCCGTCAGTCACGTGCAGACCCGCCTGGCCAAGAAGCAGGTCCCAATCACCCTTTTCCAGGTGAATGTGAGATTCGTTTGTTTTTGCAGAAAGCAGAAAACAGTTTAATCAATTCACGGACTAAAGTGACTCACTTGTGCAGAAAGCAAGGAATGGTTAAGATTCCGTTCCAGGAGAGAGAGGGACTCAGAGTCTAGATCAGTGTTACGCAATTTGATAGCCTTAAAATGTATTGAATTCTGAAGCCCATCATCCTCAGCCACTACAGGCATAGCCCCAATTGATGGACTGAGCAAAGTTGGTTTTATTCCTGGGTTTGTGGTATGGAAGCCAGTGTGGTTTGGATAATTGCAATATTCTTGGCTTTTTCTCCCGTAGCCCTACTTGGAAGAAATCTGTGGCAGCTTGCGAGGAAGCATTTTCCAGCTCTTTCTGGAAAGGTAGGGCTTGGATGGCGCCTTCCTTCTCTGCAGCCCCCCCCCCATCTGATCGCCCTTGGGGGTCTCTGCAAAATGAGCTCAGGAAGGAGGAAATGGCCGGTGGGCCAAGATGCTTTGGGTGTTCTGGGAGGGTGTAAGGTGTAGCTCAGCTGTGGGAATCCCAGCGGACCTTTTCCAATGTGGGTGGCCTCCTTGGGGCTACATGCTCTCCCAGATGTTTCCTGCAAAAATGAACAACAGGAACCTTTGCATTGTATTGGGGGAGCGTCTACAAAGAGACTTCAGAAATAAACACTCTTTTCAAATTAAAAACTAGAGTATTGAGTTCTCTGAATTGCAGTGTTCAGTTTTTTTCCCCCCTCACAAGTTATTTCAGCACTTTTTAAAATGCTTTTCTAATAGAATCGTAAGGGATTAGGAAATACGGAAGCTTGATATTCTTTCAGCCGCGACTTACTGGAATCTCTCCTGCCTTTTAGGGGAAGCATCATAAGCTATTCTCATTCCAGGGCACCCGATTAGGAAAAAAATAGCTGATCAAGAGACCTTTTTAAAATCAGAAACTTGATTTTGTTTTGTTTTTCAAGTTCATCTTAGGAGAAAGTTTTGTTTTTACTGCGGTCATGGACTATAACTTTTCCCCCTTTTTCTTATTTCCAGCGATAAGTTTACAAGATACTGCCAGTGGAAAAATGTAGAGCTGAACATTCACGTAAGTATTTTCTGATCTTTGAGGCATGTTTTATTGGATGCATGTTTATAAAGCCAGGAATGGGCAGATTCATGGCTGAGGGTTGTTTCAACAAGGTCCATCTCGGAGGGGCTCAGTGTGATCCAGAAATATTCTTTAGCCAGAGGGCCAGTTTGGGATGACCCCACAGTATTGGGCCGCAAGTGTTCAGCATGTAATTGTGTTTTGCAAAGCTTTTGCCAAATGTGTCCCTGTGAAGTTGAGAAGATTAGGGGGAGAACGGTCCTACATTGTCGCCCTCTTCTCTTTGCAGCTGACCATGAATGACTTCAGTGTCCATCGGATTATTGGGAGAGGCGGCTTTGGAGAAGTCTACGGTTGCCGTAAAGCGGACACAGGGAAAATGTCAGTTGCGTGGCTTGTGTGTATGATGAGAGAAACGTGAATTGTCCCAGACAAAGCCCTTAGAAATCAGAGGGGGTGGGGGTGGGTTACTGCCTTATGTGTTTAATTCTCCCAGTGCTCCAAAAGTTGGAGGAAGATTTTCTCTTTGAAAGGACATCTCCCCCTCTTGTTTGAGTCGCGCTTCAACTGTGGCCCCTACGTTTTCTCGGTTTTTACACCGAAAAAGTTAAAAGGCAACGGATTGCTTAACTGTGGGAAAGCTTGTTGCGCTGGTGCTGCCCACGTGGACTCAGGCACAGCGCCGGTCAGGACAAGTCAGCCAAACTCTGAATGGAGAGCGCGATTGCCCTGCTTGAGAAATCCCTGGCTTTCATCCTTTTAATTCGTAAACCAGCAAATTGCAGAGCGAGTCCTGGAAGGCACCTGGGAGCAAGCGAGGACGCAGCCTGACCCTTTCGTGCCCTGGGGCGGCCTCAGCCTCTTTGTGCAACTTCTCAGGTACGCCATGAAATGCTTGGACAAGAAGAGGATCAAGATGAAGCAGGGGGAGACCTTGGCCTTGAATGAACGCATCATGCTCTCCCTCGTCAGCACTGGGGTGAGTGCGCGGTCCTCGGGTCAGGTCGCAGCGCAGGAGGAAACGGGGAGGTCTCCCCCACGGTGGCTGAGCCACCGTGGGCCTGTCTGGATTTACCAAGGCCTCTTGAGGGAATGTGTGGCCTTTTTGAAGCAGCCGGAAGCTCTGCCGCAGGACTTGGCTCTTGCAGAAACCCTGGGGAGTCACGGAGCAAGAATGCCACCATTGGGCCCCCCGTTTGGTCAATTTGTCTGGAGCTGGGCAGCCCCTCTCCTTCCCTGCCCGGCTCAGGGCCTCTCTCACAATGGGTGGGGGGCCATTATGCCTGGGAGGGCCTCTTTGCATCATGCCAATCTCGGTCTCCCCCCTCCCCCCCAGGACTGTCCTTTCCTTGTGTGCATGACGTACGCCTTCCACACGCCCGGCAAGCTGTGCTTCATTCTGGACTTGATGAATGGTAAATGAGTGTGTGTGGGGGGGAGTGTCTGACTCTCTGCTGCTGGCTGCAGGGAGTGGGGCCGGGGGGGGGGGGGTTCTCTTGGACACGTTTGGAGAGGAAGGCCCAGGCCACAGAGACTGCCACAGCAGGGGCTGTCCGGGGGGGTCTGGAAAGGCCATCCTGAGGACTCCTGCAGGGCGCAGACGGTGCAGCTTGAACCTGGGGATTTTCCGCACAGAGAGCTGCTGCTGAGGTTGGACCTTCTTGGCCTTAGGTGGAGACCTGCACTACCACCTCTCCCAGCACGGGGTCTTTTCGGAGAAGGAGATGCGCTTCTACGCCACCGAGATCATCCTTGGGCTGGGACACATGCACAGCCGCTCCGTGGTCTACCGAGACCTGAAGGTAACCTCTGCCAGGAGGCCCGAAGGCTCCAGGGGAGGACAGCGGGGGCTTTGCCAGGATGCCCTCTGTAGCCGGCGTCCTGTCCCCGAAAAGGGCTCATCCTGGAGATCCGAAAAGGGAAGTGGGAAGGAAGCGGCAGGATGGTGCTGGGAGTGGCGGCTGTCACAGTTTCTGCAAAGGGCACAACGGGCCCCGTGGGTCGAGGGGACTCTCTATCGGGCCAGCGCTGGTCAGTAGCAAAGTCTGCCGGGTTCTGGGGCTGTACGGAGACCTTGCACCTGCCTCTTGCCCTCCCTCCCCTCTCCTCGGGATGTCTCGGCGAAGGGCTCAGAGGAGGGCTGGACTCCACTCTCAGCCCGTCCGGCGTGACTTTCTCTGCGTTTGCACTCGTCCTTGGCCGGCTGCTCCACCTGGCAGAGCCACAGGTGCCTCTGGGTTTCTCCCTAGCCGGCCAATATCCTTCTGGATGAACACGGCCATGTGAGGATCTCCGACCTAGGCCTGGCTTGTGATTTCTCCAAGAAGAAGCCCCACGCCAGCGTGTGAGTAGAGAAAGGAGGCAGGCTCTGCAGGGGAAGCCTGTCAGCCGAGCCCCGAGTTTGGCTGCCCCCCTCAGCAGCTCCCCCTGGATCCCTTCTGTGGACGATGGCAGAGCTTGAGCCTGGGGCCCGTGCTCAAGGAAGGAGGCGGCTCCCCCTTTGCTGCTCCCAGGTGTCGCCTCCCCCCCAGGCCTGTCCCATGTGTGCATCCCTTTTCCAGTGGAACTCATGGCTACATGGCTCCGGAGGTGCTGCAGAAGGGAACGGCTTACGACAGCACGGCCGACTGGTTCTCCCTGGGCTGCATGCTGTTCAAGCTTCTCAGAGGGTGAGTCCGGCCCCCTCGGGTGGGGTGGGGGTGGGAGCCCGGGAGATGAGCAGCTGGGCGTTAATGTAGGGGGCTAATAACCTTCCCCCTCTCTGCCTTGCTGAGTCTCGGCTTGTGCCTGTGTCTCCTCCTCCCCCTCCCGGCAGGCACAGCCCTTTCAGACAACACAAAACCAAAGACAAGCACGCGATCGACCGCCTGACGCTCACTGCAGTAAGTGGGGCTTCCGAGTGGTGGGTCGGGCCCCGTATCTTTGCGTTCAGTAGGTGCCCTTCCTCATCGACTGCGCCCAGCAGTTTTAAAGACATGAAAAAAAATGCAAGAACCAGCAGCGCAAGAGGCATTTTATTGCACTGTATTCTGGAGCTTGGAAGGAAATGAACGGTGCAGTTAAAGCCGCTGGCTCCAGTCTGGATGTGCTGCGGCTGCCGCTCTCCTTGGGGAGGGGGAGTTCTGTCCGGGAAGCCTCGCGGGGCCCTCCAGCCCTCCATTCTGGGGGAGCCTAGGTCTCCGGCACAGGAGATCCGCTGGGTGCTCTTGGAAGATCGTAAACCTGTGTCTGGGGCAGATCCAACTCCCAGAGCGCCTCTCCTTTGCTCCCCCCTCCCCAGAACGTGGAGCTGCCGGATTCCTTTTCCCCTGAACTCAAGACTCTCCTGGAGGGGCTTCTCCAGCGGGACATCACGAAGCGGCTCGGCTGCCAAGGTGGTGGGTGAGTTCCCACTGGAAAAGTGGAGGAATGAGGGCTGTGGGGATTCAGTTGTTTACCTAATCTAAAGAATCCTGCGTTTATTTTGCAAAAATCCTGATGCTCTTCCATGCAAGCAGTTCAAATAGTTGCAGAGAGGGAAAAGCCCCATCGACAGCAGATCCGCTCCCCGCCTGCAGCTGAAGCCCTCCCCTCCCCTCCCTTTTTAGCCAGGGCTGAGCCCAGAAAACAAAGGGGCTCCTGGTTGGGCCCCTGAGCCTCTCCTGGGCCAAACTCCTCTGCCCGGCTGGGGAAGGAGGTCCCAGTGGCTGGCGTGGGGCTCTTTAGGGGACCAGAGTTACTTATTCCAAGGCCGACTCCTGGTCTGTCCAGCCCAGATCTTCTCACAGCCACCTGCCCTGCCTGCCTACCCTGTCAGGTGGATGCTGGCATGGCGGGCCCCTGCGCTTTGATTGGGCAGTGGCATTGAGCTCCTGTCCCTGGCATTGGTCCTTGCAGGTGGTTTATACACCGGGAGAGGCTGGATCCAGCCCCTCGAGGTAGGAGACGGGACAGCCGCGCGGCTTTGGGGCTGTGAAGCTCACTTTGTGTTTGTGCTTCATCCCACAGTGCCCAGGAGGTCAAGGCTCACCCTTTCTTCCAAGGAATTGATTGGCAGCACGTTTACCTACAAAAGGTAAGCCCAGCGGTGATCCTTCAGCACACAGAGCCCTTTACCCAACAGACAATGATGCTATAGAAATTCTGAATGAACACTCTGCTGGTCCTTCATTGCTGAATTTGAACCCGATTGCAAAGACCTGGTTTATGTTGAAGCCTCTAATGTCGCCCAAATAAATAAATAAATAAATAAATAGCCAGGATTTTCATCTCTGCAGGGAGCCCGTTTGTAACTCTGCTCTCCTTGCCTTGCCAGTATTCACCCCCCCTGATCCCCCCCAGGGGAGAAGTCAATGCGGCGGATGCTTTTGACATTGGCTCCTTCGATGAAGAGGACACAAAGGGCATTAAGGTGGGTGGGGGGCTTTTGGGGAGAGGGCGGCCCCCTATCTGGGGGCCGATGATGGGTGTCTCATAAAACATCGGGGCAGGAGAGGATAAGGCTGGTATGGCGCTGGGCATCCAGTACTACCTCAGCCTTACGACATGGTGGAATGAAGGCTGTTTAAGGCCAGGGGGTCTCCTGAGGACTAGTGTGCTGTTGGCTCCTCGAAGTGCTGCGGATGAACTGCGTGTTGCTTGCAAACCAGGGGATGGTTCTGGAAGCGAATCCTTTCTCTCCTCTCCCTTCCTGCCGCCAGCTGCTGGACTGCGACCAAGAGCTGTACAAGAACTTTCCCCTGGTGATTTCTGAGCGTTGGCAGCAGGAAGTGGCCGAAACGGTGTTTGAGGCAGTGAACACCGACACGGACAAGGTGGAGATGCGGAAGCGAGCAAAGAACAAGCAGCTGGGCCATGAGGAAGGTACCCCTCAGCCACCCAAGGACCCGGGTGCTGCCGCCTCCTGCCCAGGAAGGGCAAAACTGTAACTGCTGGGCTTCTTTGCCAGCCATGCGTTCCTTAAGAAGGGTGTGCCCATCCTTGGCGGTGGCTCTCCCACCGGGCAGTCCAGACAGTGTCTGGCAGCCCCCCCTTCAACTCGGGGGCACCCCAGCCCAGCCCTCCTCCTGCTTCACTCCAGAAGCCGGCCATGCCAGCTGTGGGGGATGTCCAGACGGGTCCCTTCTGCCTTCCCACTGATGGTGGCTCCCCCCCCCCCGCAGATTACGCTCTGGGGAAGGACTGCATCATGCACGGCTACATGCTGAAGCTGGGGAACCCCTTCCTGACGCAGTGGCAGAGGCGCTACTTCTACCTCTTCCCCAACCGGCTGGAGTGGCGAGGGGAAGGAGAGTCCCGGGTGAGTGGTTCCCCTCCCCGCTCCCCCCCCCCTGCGCTGGCTGCTCCCAGGCTGGGCAACCTCTGGGTTCCTTTCGCCCCTCAGCAAAACCTGCTAACGATGGAGCAGATCCTCTCGGTGGAGGAGACTCAGGTCAAGGATAGAAAGTGCATCCTGCTCCGGATCAAAGGAGGGAAGCAGTTCGTCCTGCAATGCGAGGTAACCGGGGTTGGGAGTGGGGAGGGGTTCATCCCCGGGAGGAGTTTATTTGTTGGGAGGGGCTTTGGGGCTCCTACCTGACCGGCAGATTGAGCTGCTGAAAAAGTGATACCGTTTTCCTCCCTCGCACCTGGTCTGCAATCCTGGTCAGCCAAAGAGCAAGCCGGGTTTGTTGGGGGCGGAGGCGGCATCCTCTGCTGTGTGTGGCAGGGATGGTGGGTTCGTTCTGTCCCGGGGCAGCCCGTCCTGCCGGGCGCTGAGGGTCTCTCCGGGGTGTGTGTGCTGCAGCCTCCTTTGCTCCCTCCTAGAGCGACCCGGAGTCCCTGCAGTGGAAGAAGGAGCTGACGGAGACCTTCACGGAGGCCCAGAAGCTGCTGCGAAGGGCGCCCAAGTTCCTGAACAAGTCCCGTTCTGCGGGGGTGGAGCTCACCAAGCCCCCCCTGAGCCATAGGAACAGCAACGGCCTGTGACGGCTCGTGGGGAGGAGGCCGGCTGCCTCCCCCCCCCCCCGCTGCTCCAGAGTGGGGTCCTGCAAAGGGCAGCGTCTGGGCAGGGGCCAGGCAGGGAGACGTGCAGGGACAGGGCTCTGGACCGAGGGAGATGGCCGGCCTGGAGGAGCCCAGCCATCCAGCCCTGGCATCGGAGAGGGCTCCCGCCTGCTTCATGTTCCGGCCTGGGGCAGGGATGGCCCTTTGGACCTTTGGGGCTCAGTGGGGATTCCCTGGCTGCGTCCACCCGTCCGAAGGGACCTCTGGGTCTCACTGGGGCCCTTCATACACACGGACCAACTGAAGACATGTTTTGTGTGGCTTCCAGTGTTGTGCTGCTGCCGCTGCTGCTGCTTTTCGGCAAAAGTATCTCTGGACTTTGGTTCCGTCTCCCTCACCAGCTGCCCAGCCCGTCCTGCCAGCGTCTGCTGTGGGCTCTGCTCCGTTGACCTTGGGCTGGACTGGTGCAAGTAGAAGCTTGGCTGGGGAAACATGGTGATTGTGTGCTTGTGTGTGTGTCTGTCTGTCTGTCTGTCTGTCTGCCTCTTCTCACACATGAGTTGCTGGGGAGAGCCACATGGCGAATGCTTTTGTGACTTTCCTTTTAGTGGCACTTTTAAAAAACACTTTAAACAAATCCAGTAACTAAACGTGGAGCATGTGAACGCTAGAATTAGCCTGCAGGCAGCCAGGAGGCCTGGCTCAACTCTTGCGGTTTCAGGATCGCTCCCCCTGCTATTTCTGTCCCTCGCAGATTGCTCTTGGGAGCCTGGGGTCTGCCAATTCCGGTGGTCTGAAAGTCTGTGGAAATTTGCTCTTGCAAGGGAGAGACACCCCCCCCCCAACTCTAGAACTGCAACGTGGTCTGAGGGTGAATTGGCTTTTGTGATGGCACCGTGCCATCTCCTCCTTCTCCTCCTCTACTTTTGCTTGGGTTTAGTGGAACTTTGAAGCTCTAAATCCCTCTTTACAGCTGATGGGATTTGGAAGCGCTTTCCAGGGCCCTCCTTGGAGGGGGGGGTCTGAGCTGCAGCGCCCTAATTGCAGGTGTGCATGTGCTGGTCCCCAGTAACGGAGCCACCAGCCTCCCCTGCACTTTTGTGGGGAGCGGCTGGAAAGGAATGAGGGGCCTCCACAGTCAAGAATTTGGCAAAATGGCCCTAATGCACGGTGTTTTAGCCACGTTTGGGGGGGGGGGTTTCCCCTAGAGATTTTGTGAAGAGGAAGATGCAAATTGGTTGCTTTTAAGGGGCTGGAGAGAATCAGAAAATGTTGCCTGGCTGAGACTGGCAGGAGCTGTGTTGCTGACTACCCTCATCTCAGGGTGGCACAGATTAAGCTATTGTTCAGATTAGCCTAGATATTTTAGGGGTGTGTGTGTGTGTGTGTTCATTCCAGAGGCAGCTGAAGGGCACCTGATAGAAATGGGATGAATCCTATGTGGCTTCAGAGCTGCCACCCTCCAGACTGTCTGAGAAGTTTGTGTTTTGTGTGAATATTTATTTTTTTTTAAAGGATAAGCAATTTCATTTCCCCCGATGCGTGGGGGGGGGCCTCTGGGTACATTTAAAAGCTGAGGAGGTTGGGCAAGAATTCCCCTTCCTTTCCTAGTTTTTGAGATCGAGAAAAGAGTGTGGTCCATAGCTTCTCCCTAGGCTGGAAGAGGGACTTCACAGAGGCACACTTGGTAAATTACTATAATAATACAAATTATTATCAATTTACTAATGATAATTAGTAAAGGAAGCATTTCGCTGGGACGTTTGATTGGTGGAAGATGGGAAGTAAGTTCTGAAAACAAAGGTTGGCAGAGTCCTTTTTAAAATTGCCTTCCCCGTGTCTGCTTGAAAATCCGCCCTCGTCTCTTGCCCATCCGTAGCAAGTTGCAGCTCCTGAGGGGCTTCCGGCAAGACCAGCCCTTGGCGGGGGATCTGGCCGTGGTGACGATTCCACCGATTCAGAGGAGGTGAAGGGCGCCAGGAAGAGCACACCCGTGCGGCATCTCTTGAGGGCAAATTGCAGTTTACCATTCCCCCCCCCCTTCGGCAATGCACTGCTATGTTAGAGGTCTGTTTTAGAGCACCTTAACCATCTTGAATTACAATATATGCATACTCTTTTTGAACTGTGCTGTAGAGAAGAACTTCTAGCTAAAAACCGATAAAAATGTTGGGATAATATACATTTTTGGAGATCTTAAGATTATATTGCTTACTTTCAGTATTACACAAAATGGGAGAAATATATTTAAAAAACACTGAAAAATGTATGCATATTTAAAAGAGCATAAAAATTTTTTTGTGCCTGCTGTCATGTTCCATGATGTAAATATGTGGTTTAGCACTACTGAATATTAGAGCATCTGATAATTTGTTATTTTTTTAAAGTGTTAAACTAATAATCAAAGTTTTATTTTGGTACAACATTAAGTTACTTTTATCCTCAGAAGTAGTTTAAAAAAATCCAAGAATTATGTTTTAACTAAGAGGCATTTTTACGTTATTTATTTTTAAGTCTGGACACCTTGGTTTACTTAATTCCCTGTACAGTTTTTTTTCCTCATCTTATGTATGTTGTTTAAGTAACGAGGATCCTTTCCCAGTTGAATTCAATAATTTTTTATTACAGTTTTCATAAAATTGCTGTTCAAACCGGATTTTCTTTGTCCGACCATCCCCAATAAAACAAGTTCAGAGAAAAAGGATCTCTCTCATTTTCCCCTCCTCTGGCCTCGGGGGTCTTGGGAATGCACTGGCCTTTTCCCACATGGGGCCGGGGTTTTGGGGTCCGTGTGCCGCCTGCAGGTCTGCCAGGCCGGGCAGGCTGGTTCTTGAGGGCCAGTCTGCAGAGCTGAGCCTGGGCAGGGCATACCCGGCTTTCAGGAAGAAATCGGAGGTGGCCGCCTTCCAGGCTGCTAGGGAGAAGGCCAGATGGAGGTCCCACGAAGTCCTCAGGAGGGCAGCCCAACAGGAGGAAGACTTCCCCCTTCTGCCATTCTTACCACAGCAAAATCACCAGAGGACAGAAGAGGAAGGACGCCAGGCCAACAGATTGGACAGGGACTCCCAGCCTGCCTTTGAAAACGTTGCAGTCCAGCCTCTCCCTGACTTGAGCCAGTGAAAGATGATCCGGTTGGTTTGTTTATTTTCCAGCCTTTCTGCCTCGGTGTGCCTTGAAGCACGACTGACCGAGCGGAGGAGTTTGGGGCTGCGTCCCTTTCCTGCACTAGGTGAGGAAAGGTGTTCCATCTGGAGGTGGGAGCAGGATCAGGAGGTCTTCCCTGCAGGGCCCTGGCTTCAGGTGGCTTCCCTGCTTAAGGTGGAAAGGAGCCCGGGAGAGCAGTTTTACCCAGGTTTCTCTTCACCCCAAAGTTCATATCTGCTGCCATCTATTGGATGATTTTTTTTTTAAAAAAAATCACATTTTCGCATGAAAATGAGCGAGGATGGAAACCTTGGGAGGACTGAGATCCTAATGACCACAGTCACAGCCTTCTTGTCACGTTCCCCCTCCACCACCCCAGGGTCTTCCTCGGGGCTACTGAAGTTTGCCCAGGTGAGAGTAGTGGAGACGATTGCGGGTTTTCTATCGCCGTCCTCCACTGGGGCACTGGAGACTGGACCAGGAGGCCTTTGGCCGGATCCACCAGGGCTACTCTTGTTCCCATCAGAGAGTCAAGCAGTTTGGTCAGCTTGGCCTTTTTAGTCACCAAGTCGTAGATGTTTTGTCCTTTCGAACCAGATCCTGAAGTTGACCAGTGCCCCGATTGTGAGCATTTAATGGAGGGACGGCAGCTGGTAGCCAGTTGCGTGAGCTTCCCAGCCAAATTCTTTCAACGTTCCTCCCCAAAAGCAGGTGATGGCTCATTTTTTCAGGGTATCCGGTGACCACAGATGTTATCGGAAACATTTTCCTCCACAGCTCTTTGGAGCTTAAAGAAGAGAGGAGATGTTTGTGTAAGTTGGAAGACTAGAAGAAGGAAGTTCTTGAACAGCCACCTTTAGGAGACCTCAGTCCATCCTCCTTTCCTTCTGAAAGGAAAGTGGAGCATTTTCAAGACCGGATTTACATTTTTGTGGTACGTAATACTTGCTGGCATTTCTGGCACCGTACGGGTGGCGTTTGTGTCTGCAGCAGGGCTGTTTTTAAGGTGGGTCATTGGTCTTCCTTAGAGGATGATCCCCAGGGGTGAGTGGCCGCGTTGGGCGTGGTGGAAGAGATGACGCCAGATGGGCAGCAGAAGCAGCACAAAGACTCCTGGGAATCCTTGGAACCACATCTGGATCTTTCAGGTAAGTCATCCTTATTCCTAAGATTGTGCTTGTTTTTAGTAGTAATGGCGGCCAGAGTCTTGAGACTCATCAAGATTGTGATGGGGTGAGCTGTGTTAAAAGGTTAAGACCTTCAGATAAAACTGTTGTTACACACATGGGAGCTGGGGCCTGTCAAAAGTGCGGCAACCAAACACCTCCAGCCCAGCAAAAGTGGGCAAAGCCATATTACTCTATGGTGGGCAAGGCTGGTCAGGAAAAGCAAGCAGCGTGGGTGCCGGTTGGGCTGTACCAGCTGACGGCCATAGAGGGGGCTTGGAAAAGGATCCAGGGATCTTCTTGGCCACTAACCAAGACTTCTGGGCAGTAGCCTTTGGGAAAAATGGAATATTCATTCCCCTCAGTGCTCTCGGAGAAAGTAAGCTGCCTCTTTGGAGTGAGATCTAGGAGTTGTGGTTGTGCTGGGTGATATTATTCAACTTAATGTTTTGTGGTTAATTGGGACCCCTGACTTGCTGGCTGGCTGGGGGGGTGGCCCCTCTGAGCTTGGTAGGATTCAGCCTGGATGGCAGAATTCATACTCCACACTCAACCTGTGCACCCCTGTTCTTCTGGGTGGGTGCCCCAGGCCACACATGCAGATGCTGGCCCCCCGAGTGTACCCAAGGGAGAGGGCACCAGTCCCCCCTTCCCTGGGCCCAGCTGGTTGGCAGGGTGCCTCTGTCTCAGGCAGGCAGGCAGGCAGCCTAACACCCGGGTGTATTTTTAGCCATGACATGTCCTCCTGTTCAGCTGCTGGCTCTCATCTGGGCTGGGTGGGAGGGAGGGGAGGGGTCCGCTTAATCACTTCCCCCGTCCTCCTCCTCCTGCTTTTTCCTGCCTGCTGGGAACCTGTAGCTGCTGCTGGGGCCGTTTGTGTAGGAAGCCGCTCACCTGTTGTCAGCCAGGTGGCTGATAGAGAAGGTAGGCGCCCTCTGGGACTGCGTGGGGAGGGGAGAAGGTCTGGGGTGGGCGCCTACCTTGAGCTCCCAAATGCCGGCCTGAGGGTCAGCAGGTGGCTATTTTTAGCCAGGCTCAAAGAACAGCCTGCGGGAACGTCGGAGAGCAATGGCTGAGCAGGGCCTTTCTTCAGCCCAGGCTGTGGGAGCAGCTCAGCTGGGAAGAAGGTCCCATCCTGGCCCCCTTTCTCCCTAGATGATTGTCCACCAGAAGTGGACTGGCCTTCTTCTCTTTGCTCTAATAGAGATCCCCGAGGAAAACGGGGCAAGACCCTCATTTTCCGAACCCAGAGAGATTCCTGGGGAAGCCGTCCCGGGAGACCACCCTGGGCAAGAACAAACCAGCTCAAACGCTGGGAAATTTAAAAGGGGGGGGGGAAACTGGAGGTGCTTCTGAAGATGTTAATCAGGAGAGGCCTTTGGATTCTTGAAGGGCCTTCCTAGGCCGGTCTGAATCCTGGCCAGATTTGGGCCTTCAGCCGCTGATCCCAGTTTGGCCTTTGAAGACGATGTGGGTGGCAGGGTTAGAAATCAGTACGATGAACTCTTAAGCGATCAAACTTGCTTTTCCTTTGAAACGTTATTTTAACATGTTTTACGGAGAAACACTGGGGATGTGGGTGCTCCTCTCTTGTAGAAAGGGGCCTTTCTGAATCCCAAATCTGGAGAAATCAGAATCCAAAAGGTGACAGGTGCAGCGATTGTGTCTGTGTATAAAAAGAATAAAGTTGCTAGGAGGGGGGTGCTCATGTACCAAAGAGCCCCGGGTCTTGTGGGCACAGAGAGTGGCAGAATTGGGTTTTCAGGATTTCTAGTGATGGCCACCAAGTTTTGTCTGGATAACTGTTTGCTTTGCTGCTCCGATGTGGCAGGAACCCGCAAATCAGTGTCCACGTCTTGTTCCCCTGTGGGGGCTGACCTGCGGCCAAAGGCCCCCCTGGCACAGTGCCAAAGTGTGATTGGATCTTGTCAACGGATGGAGCGTACTTTGTTTTGAACCGATACAGACGCCCAGTTAATGAAATAAAACAAGGGTGATCCAAGACACTCCTTTGCTCCCCAGGAGTGCCTTCTCATGAGCCAAGTTGCCAAATACTTTGGGGGGGGGAGTGAATTCCTGATGCTGTGTGTTCTGTAAAGATGGAAAACAGATTAATCCAGAAACCAAACGAGGCCTTTTGTATCAACACCGTCTGTGTGTGTGGCAGGTCCATGCCTCGCACCGGGCCGTGTCTGGTTTCTGCTTAGGGCGTTTTGTGAACTTAGGCCTTGGAGGGTAAACCAGGATTGGGTAAGCAATGGCGGCTTAGTCCAGAAGGCGGGAGGAAATGGTTACGGGAGTCCAGAAATCAGAGAGTTGATTCTGGGCCCTGGGACCTCTGCGCAAGGTGGTTGAGAGGGACGTGGCTGGATCTGAGATCGCAGAAGTGGCCACGCACAAGGACACGTCCATGTGGGTCTAAGAGAGCCTCAGTCTGGACGGAGCGGCAGTGGCCTCCCTCCACGGTTTCCAGCTGGGCGCCCTGGTTGTGGGTGGAGGCCAGGCTGTGCGCTGGGTGGCCAGTGCAGCAAAGGAGGCCTCGGCCATGTGGCGGCTGGAGAGGTGGGCCGGGTTCTGGCCAGGCAGGCTGATCCAGACTCCGCAGAACGGTCCGACTGGCCCAAGGCAGCCCCTGCCAGCTTCTCTGCTGGGGAGGAGGGATCGGGTTTCTGGAGAAGGCCCACCTCTCTCGCCCACCGGGCAGCTGTGGGTTGGCGAAGCTCCGATTTCAGCCTGTCCAGAGAGAAGAGCTGGAGGGGGCAGCCCAGGGCAGCTTTGCCAGTGGGCCAAGGGACGAGGGCAGCCGTGCCCGGGTGCCAACGGGGCTTCTTTTTCAAGTTGTCATTCTTGCCTGCACTGATTGTTGCTGCTTTTACTGTAGATGTGTTTGAACTGGATTTCTGAGGCGTTTCGCCTGTGGTCGAGGGACCCAGCCAGCTGGCAGTTAAAAATGTCTCCATGGTTACGGGGGGGGGTGAGAACCACCAAGAACACATTTACATTTACGGTAGATTTTAGCACTTCCCAATTGCCTCAAGACACACTTGGAAACAGAGATGGTGGGGGAAGCTGCTGTCCTCTTTGTTCTCTGATGCATTATTCATGGGTGGGTGTACGTGTGTATATAATAACAATAATAAGCATGCCCCTGATTTAGAGGCTCTGGGAGCCTGGAATGGTGCGCTACATTCAGCTCTTGTCCACAACCCCCTTTCCACTTCAGCTTACGTGGCCGCCAGCCAGCAGGAGCCCTTCTTATCGTGTCCTTTGCGCTGAACAAAATGCAGCTTCTCCTGAGGCTTCCTGGGGCCCTTAAATAAAGGCCAGAACGATTCCGAAGCAGAACGGCTTGAACGAGAAGGCGCTCTTTGGAAAGCGGCTCAGCAGGGCTTGGAGCTGGTGGTGGCTGATGGGTTTGGGAGGATCCCCGGGCGTGATCCAGAGAGAACAGTCAGCGGCAGAGGTGACCTCCCCAAGGGCCTCCTCTTTCCAAGGGCTCTTGATAAAGCCAGGCTTTAATCAGGGTCTGTCCCAACCAGTGGGAAGCATTTGAGGAATTTCTCTCTTGGGGGGCCCCCAGCTTGCAGGCTAAGACTCAGGCCAGCCCGACCTCACTGTGTCCTGCAGGGGCTTCTTTCTTTAGGTGGAACTGGGGAGTTTTTATGCCCCCTCCCTCCTTCCCTAACTTGCCCAAGACGTCAGCCAGGTACAGCTGGTGACTATCCTGAGGCATTGGAGGGGAGGAGAAGCTGTGAAGGCTACATTTCCAAGAGGTCAGCGGGAAAAATCACCTGTTGTCCAGGGAACCCTGTCCCAGACACGTGGAGCTGGGGGATGAGGGCTGTGTCGCTTGGCATGGAGTCCAAGCTCAGAAACCGCCTGGAAGATGGCCTGCTCAGCCGGTGAGGGTCCCTCCAGGGATCAGGGCTTCTCATGGTGGAGACCTCAGCTGGGGGGGTTGGGGGAAGGGGAAGCCTTATGTCTGTTTCCTCAGCCCCCCCCCCCGCCGGAGTGGGAAGGGTTGGCAAAGGTGGTCCCTGTGAGAAGGAGCCAACCAGTGTGAGGACCGGGGTGGCCGTCTCTCCTTCCAGGGGTCTGGAAAAGCAGAGGCTCAGTCTAGGGTGCCCTGCCCTGCCTGGGCCTCCGAACAGGGCGAGGGGGTCCAATTGAGCCTGACCGGTCTCTCCTCTTCTTCCGGCCCGTCTGGGTGTGCGCTCCATCCGGATGCAGGCTGCTGTTCCGGGTCTCCATCCGCCGTCCTTCCTCCTTGTCTCCACTCGTGAAGCTCTGCCCCCTCTGAGCTGCCTGTCAGCATGGCCATCTCGTCACGACTCGCTCTCTGGGAGCAGAAGGGAAGTGGATCTCTTGGCAGATGCAGCCCGCATGAGGCAACCTGGAGAGCGGCATGAGCTGGGGGGGGGGAGCTTTGGTGCCCTCAAAAGGCCCAAGCAGAGCCCCGGTGGCTGCTGAGCTGCCCTCCTTGCTATTAACGGCTTGATTCCTCCTCTGCATTGTTGGCTTCTTTTCATGAGCTTCTCTGCTTTTGACTAGCAACTAATTCGAATTTTCACCCCAGAGTGGAAGGCCGCTGAAGTATCACATCTAGCCAAAAAAATTGGCAGTTTCCTGTATCCTGAAACTTGCAAATGGGGCGGGCATGTGTGTTTGTGTGTCTGCATACGGATGCACAGAGCAGTGCTCTTCTGGAAGCATCTTTAGTTCAGTTAAAACCTCCGGAGCATGTGCAGAGCCCCCGCCTTGCAGCGTATCTGGGGTTTCGGCTTGGTCTCCGAGCCTTTGTAAGGGGGGGGGGAGTTTCTATGGGTTGGGGGTCTTCTGTCCCCTGAGGCAGGGCGGTTGGGGGATATGCTGCAGTTGACATCTTCCATTTTCCTTGAGTAACGGAACTCTTTGGTGTGAACAGATTAGGGAAGAGGACCGGAGCCTCCCGTCCGCCTCCCCGCCTTTGCCTTTCTCCATCATTCCTGGGGGGTTCATCAAGCAGCTCGTGCGGCAGAACGAAAAGGAGTCCAAGGCGCTGAGGCTGAAAGAGGAAGTTGCCTCGGATTCCCAGGAAGATGTGAGTGGCGGGGGGAGGGGGGCTGTTGTTAAGCTGGGGGGGGAGTTGGTGGAGTGCCAGCTGCCTTGGGATCTGCTCTAAGGTCGGGGCCCCTCTGGAAAGGAGGGTGCCCCGACAGCCCTCCCTGGGGGCATCACGTCCTTGCTGGGCGCACGAGCAGAGCCAGACTGGATCTCCCTGCAGTGTGTCGGGAGCCCCGGAGGCCTCCCAGTTCTCAGAATCCTCGGGGAGGGGGGCTCCTCTGCATGGGTTCCCACCTGCCCCCAGGGAGAAGTCTCTGCCCCCTTGGTGCCCTTCGGCCCCCTGGAAAAACTTCTGACGGGCTTGGCTTGGCTTTGCTTTGCAGCCTCCCGGGAAGCCGGAGGTGGGGCCCGTGCAGCAGTTTGTGATCAAGGAGGACGACCGCTTGGAAGAGGGGGGCAGCATGACCAGCAGCAGGGGGCAGCTGACACAGGGCAGGCTGAACGGGGAGAAGCCATCGGCGGAAGGGAGGGTTGCCCTCCCGGAGAAGAAGACGCTGCCCTTCAGGATAGGCCCCCCAAGGAGGAACGCCAAGCTCTTTGGGCCCGATCCGGCTCCAGCTGCTCCCCCCAAAGTGGAAGAGAAGGCCCCCCTGGCCGCAGCGCCTGCTGCAGAAGCAAGCGAAGGCCCGCCGGACTCCAGGCCTGGCACGGCAGCTGCCCGGGGCAAAGGCCTCGAGAGCCCCAGGAAGGAGATGGCCCAGGGAAGGACCAAGCCGGGCAGGGGGGCAAGAGGGACGGGGAAGAGGAAAGAGACCGGGGCAGATGGAGAGGAGCTGGGAGAGGAGAGAGGGAAGGGAGAGGGGGAAGGGGACGTGGCCGAAGGCAAGAAGGGGCCAGGAGAGGCGTTGGCAGCTGCCAGCCAGGAGAGGGGAGATGCCAGGAAGGGGCCTGAGGAAGCCCAGCAAGCAGAGGCTCCGGCTGGAGGAGGGGGGGAGCAGGGACCCCCTGGAACAGCAGCAGGGGTTGAGGGGGGCCTGGAAGAAGCAGCGAAGGTCTTGGCAGGAGAAGGACGAGAGGATCCGGAAGAGAGTCCCGATTCCAGCCAGGTGAGCCTGAAGCTGCCCGGTGTTTGGGAGCCCTCCTTGCGTTCTATGCCTGGCAGGACCAAATGCTCGGAGCGCCTTGGGCTGTCTCCTCCCCAGACTGCCCACCTCTTGCCCCCCAAAATGGGAAACGATGCTTAGAATTCTTCTTTTTCTCCTCGTTTGAATTTCCTCTGCAGCCCTCTGGCTCTCCCCATCTGCCTTTCCTCCATTAGGGATGCACTTTGCATCAATAAAACATGGCCACTGATGCCCTTGAATCCTGCTGTGATTGCGGGTGTGGCCTTTTTGTCCAAGAGTTGAGAAATAACAAAACAAAATCACAGCAGTTCAGGGCACTGGGAGTCCTGGGGAGACCCCAAATAGGGGCCGAAAAGGGACACCCCTCTTCTGCGGTCTTTAAGTGGGGCCAGGCCTTCAGGGGCAAAGGGGGCGGGAAGGCGCAGGCTGGACACGCCTCAGATTGCAAAGGGTCCCTGAGGAGCTTCCAGTCCAGCTTTGCTAGAAAACCAGTGAAATTGTTCACTCCCCAGTTCAAAGTGGGAGCGCTCAGCCTCCCTCCTCCTTCACAGGTCTCTGAGGACATCTGGTTTGAAACGGAGAAAGTCTGGCTGGTTCAGAAGGAAAACTTTGCTCTTGGTAGGTTTGGCTCCTGCAACTGAGGGGCTGGTGGGGGCAGCGTAGCCTCTCCAGGCAAACAGGAGCAGCCCCCTCCCCAGTAACTTTGGAAGGATGGGAAGAACGGAGGGACTGAGTTCTTGCCTTATGTCGTGTTTTATGCTTTGGCTTATTTTATTTGTAAGTTTGTCGCTGAGATAGTTTATTATTTTAGGATTTTATGATTTAAGATTTTTTTTTGATGTTTCATGTACCGTGGATGTTTTAATTAATTTTTCATATCGTGAAAGCTGCTGAGAGTCCTTGAACTCTTGTGGAATATCAATGTGATAAATAAGTAAAACGCAAAGATTGTTCTCCCCTTGCTGTTTGCATTTGTGACTGGTGTGTATGTGTGGTTGTGTGTGTGTGCGTGCACACACTGTCCCAGCAGGGAGAGGAAAGTGGGCAGGCAGGGTCCCTGGGGGAACCACCAATGCCTTCCGTGTGGCGGCTCCTGACCCAGAGCAGACCCCGGGTAGCCCCCTACTCACCGGCTGGGAATGGGGGCTCCCCTGAGCTGGGGGAGGTTGGCTGCCTTTGCCGAATGGGGGGGGGGGTTTGGCCTTATAGCTGGCCTTCATTTTGCAGCCACTGAGCTGAGGCCAGACGTGGGCACTCCGGAGCTGCCTCCAGGAACCGTGCGTGCTCGCCTGGACGCCGATGGCTCCATTGTGGAGGTGGACGAAGAGGAGGTCCAGAAGGTGGGGGCTTCTATCCTTGCCTGAAGGCAACTGAATTTAGGGGGTCATTTTGGCACGATCCTCTGCCTGCCTTGACTCTCTGGAAGCATCCGGTTGGGGTCTCTTTCATTCCTTTGGCTGCTGGGGAGATGAAGAGAACCGGGCAGCTGAAGGTGGCTTCCTTCTGTGGTCAGATGTTCCACCTCCTCCCCCCCTCTCAACAGGCCAATCCATCCAGCCTGGACTGCACCGAGGACCTGGCTGCGCTGGTCAGCCTGAATGAGGCGAGCGTCATCCACGTTCTCCGCCAGAGGTGCCAGGCACAGCTGCCGTACACATTCGCTGGCCCTCACTTGGTGGCCCTCAGGCTGGCTCCCTCTTTGGCCAGCAGCTCCAGAAAGGTATAGAAACCTGGCTGTTGGGCAAAGGGCCGGTTTGCCCTCTAGGTCCTCTGGCGGGGGACCAAGTGGCTGTGCGTGGAACACACACAGACACGCACCATAATTTCCCAGGCCTTCCAAGGCAGGAGGGATAGGATGTCTCCGCACATCTTTGCGGTGGCGCACAGGGCCTACTGGCGCATGCTGATGCAGAGGCAGGACCAGGCCATTGTGCCCCTGGGCAGAAGCAACACGGGAAAGACGGCCGCTTGCCAGAGCATCCTGGAGTACCTTGTGGCCACCGCAGGCAGCGTGGACAACCGGGTCACAGGTAGGACATGCGCTGGGCAGCCCCCCCAACCCAAATCCCACCAGCCCCCATGGCCGGAGGGAGGGGGTGCTGAGGGACACACCTGCGTTCTCCAGAGTGTTTTCGCTTTGCAGTGGAGAAGATCCAGGCCGTGTTCACGGTGCTCAGAGCCTTTGGCACAGTACCCGCTGGGCCTAATGGAGCCTCCACCCGCTTCTCCATGGTCATGGCGCTGGATTTCAGTGCCTCTGGGCATGTAACGGCTGTCCATCTCCAGGTAAGAAGGCTGGAGGTAGCAGTGGGTGGGGCTTTGGGGGCACAGCAGCTCCTGCCTTCCGACATCCTCAATGGGGTGGCCATAGCTGTGCCCAGGTGAGGTGCTACCTTCAGGAAGAAGCTAATCAGGAGTCCCCCCTCCTCTCTCCTGCCCAGACGATGCTGCTAGAAAGAGCCCGGGTGGCGCAGCAGCCCGAGGGAGAGGGCACCTTCAACGTCTTCTCGCAGATGCTGGCAGGGCTGGACTTGGACCAGAGGTGGGCTGCCAGGCTGAGGTCAGAGGGTGACGGCAGGGTGATCTTCAGGCTCCCTCAGAATGCATTGAATCTGGGCATGGCTGGGGGGGGCACATTGACCTCCTGTGGGACCTGGGCAAGGAAGTGAAGGTCAGTTAGCCACCACCAGGGCCTCCTCCTCCTCCTCAAACTCAGAGTGCTTGGGTATGGTTAGGAGGGCACTGACCTTTCTAGCCTGCCCTATCTATGTTTCCTGATAAAATACATGGGAAAATCCCAGAGGAGGAAAATTCCACTTAGGGTTAGGGTTAGGTCACCATGAACTCATAGAGCAAAATGGACATCGCCAACAAACTCGGAGTGCTTGGTATGGTTTGAAGGGCACCTACCTTTCTAGCCTGCCCTATCTATGTTTCCTGGTAAAATACATGGGAAAATCCCATAGGAGGAAAATTCCACTTAGGGTTAGGGTTAGGTCACTATGAACTCATAGAGCAAAATGGACATCGCCAACAAACTCGGAGTGCTTGGGTATGGTTAGGAGGACACTGACCTTTCTAGCCTGCCCTATCTATGTTTTCCTGGTAAAATACATGGAAAATCCCATTAGAGGAAAATTCCACTTAGGGTTAGGGTTACGTCACCATGAACTCTAGAGGAAAATGGACATTCAACAAACTCAGAGTGCTTGGGTATGGTTGGAGGGCCTGACCTTTCAGCTGCCATCTATGTTTCCTTGTAAAATACATGGGAAAATCCCATTGGAGGAAAATTCCACTTAGGGTTAGGGTTAGGTCAGCATGAACTCATAGAGCAAATGGACATCGCCAACAAATTCGGAGTGCTTGGGTATAGTTAGGAAGGCAGTGACCTTTCTAGGCTGCCGTATCTATGTTTCCTGGTAGAATACATGGTAAAATCCCATTTTAGGAAAATTCCACTTAGGGTTAGGGTTAGGTCAGCATGAACTCATAGACCAAATGGACATCGCCAACAAATTCGGAGTGCTTGGGTATAGTTAGGAAGGCAGTGACCTTTCTAGGCTGCCGTATCTATGTTTCCTGGTAAAATACTGGAGAAAATCGCATTGGAGGAAAATTCCACTTAGGGTTATGGGTAGTCCATAACTCATAGAAGCAAATGACAGTCGCACAAACTCGGAGTGCTTTGTTATGGTTAAAGGGCACTGACCTTTCTAGCCTGCCTATCTATGTTTCCTGGTAAAATATCGATGGGAAAAATCCCGCTAGTAGGAATTCCACTAGGGTTAGTGTTAGGTCACTATGAACTCATAGAGCAAATGGACATCGCCAACAAACTCGGAGTGCTTGGGTATGGTTTGAAGGGCACTGACCTTTCTAGCCTGCCCTATCTATGTTTCCTGGTAAAATGCATGGGAAAATCCCATAGGAGGAAAATTCCACTTAGGGTTAGGGTTAGGTCACTATGAACTCATAGAGCAAAATGGACATCGCCAACAAACTCGGAGTGCTTGGGTATGGTTTGAAGGGCACTGACCTTTCTAGCCTGCCCTATCTATGTTTCCTGGTAAAATACATGGGAAAATCCCATAGGAGGAAAATTCCACTTAGGGTTAGGGTTAGGTCATTATGAACTCATAGAGCAAAATGGACATCGCCAACAAACTCGGAGTGCTTGGGTATGGTTTGAAGGACACTGACCTTTCTAGCCTGCCCTATCTATGTTTCCTGGTAAATACATGGAAAATCCCATAGGAGGAAAATTCCACTTAGGGTTAGGGTTAGGTCACCATGAACTCGGAGAGCAAAATGGACATCGCCAACAAACTCGGAGTGCTTGGGTATGGTTAGGAGGGCACTGACCTTTCTAGCCTGCCCTGTCTATGTTTCCTGGTAGAATACATGGGAAAATCCCATTGGAGGAAAATTCCAGTTAGGGTTAGGGTTAGGTCACCATGAACTCGGAGAGGAAAATGGACATCGCCAACAAACTCAGAGTGCTTGGGTATGGTTAGAAGGGCACTGACCTTTCTAGCCTGCCCTATCTAAGTTTCCTGGTAAAATACATGGGAAAATCCCATAGGAAGATAATTCCACTTAGTCTAGGGCCTCCCCACTCTAAAGTGGAGGCTGCTGTACAGTAGCTGCTCCTGGCCGCCTTAAGAGGCTTCCCTTCCCCAGCAGAGGGGGCCAGAGAGCCAAGAAAAGCTGCCATGCGTTGCTACCAGGGGGGGGGGGGGCTTCATCATTGGCAGCACCCAGCAGTGGATTGCTCTGGCTGCATCAAAGATGCTGACTGGCTCCTAAATATTTGCAGGCCCACTGGGCATCAGTGCTTTCTGCAAGTGCTTAACTCTGTCCTCTTCTCCCCCAACCTCTGCCAATAGGTCAACTTTGCATCTGCATCAGATGGCAGAGAACAGCTACTTTGGCATCAGAGCCAGCCTCAAGGTAAGTAGCTCCGTCTCCCGCTCTTCCCCCTGGCTGGGTGTCCCCTGAGAAAGTCTGTGGGTCAGGCCGGTTCCCTCCTCCCCGCCCCCTGCGCTGAGAACCTGTTCCATCAGAGTCCGATTCTTGCTGAGGGGAACAGGAGGACCCGCAAAGGCCTCTCTGGGGCGGAAGGTGCCGCCCCCTCCCCCCTCATCTTGGCCAGGCAGAATCTCTTCCTCCAGCCCACCCCCAGCCGGTTCTGCCTTTCCCTGGATGGAGGGGGGCCTGTGGCTCCGGGACCTGCCTTGAGGCTGTTGGGGGATTCTGGAACGCTCTTCCTTCTTGCAGGGAGAAGAGAAGCGGGAGGCTGTGGCCGCCTTTGCTCAGCTCCAAGCTGCGCTGGGCACCCTGGGAGTCGAGGCGGCTGAGCAGGAAGCGCTCTGGCGAGTCTTGGCTGGCATTTATCACCTGGGGGCTGCCGGTGTCTGCAAAGGTACAGCCAGGAAGAGGGGGCAAGAGCCCCGTGGGGCGGCCCTGAGATGCTGCCCAGGGCATCTCTAAGAGCCAAGGAGAGGGGCACGAACAGACTGGGCGAGGCTGGTCAAGCGGCTCCTGGTCTCTCTCGAGCTGGCCGGAAGAGGAGCAGTTGCCAGGGCAGATGGCCGTAGAGTCCAAGGTCTCCCTGTGCCCCGCTGTGGGCTCGGAGTGGGCTGTGTTTTGGGAGGGGGGGGGCTGTGTGTCCAAAGGGTTATAGAGGTGTTCAAGTGCCCTGTTGGATTCCGTTGCCCTAGCTCTGAACCCCCCCCCGCCCCCCTCTGGCCTGCCCAGCCATCTTACTCCTCCTTCCCCTGCAAGTTCCTTGTTTCTGGGTCGGAGTTAAACTGGGGAGAGACTTTTTGATGGAAACCCTGCTGGTTTGGGAAGCCCCTTAAGATGCACAGAGAGAGAGAGAAGCTGTGAAGTTGCTCATAAATTCGTTAAGGCTGCCCGCTTTCCTGCAGTAGTCGCTCCTGACGATTTATGCACTTCCCTTGCAAAGAGACAGGCACACGCAGGGCCGGGGAATCTGCTGGGGTTCCATTCATAAACGTCTCCCTAGCATGCACTGCGCCTTAGGGTAATTTCACCCATGAATCAATGATTAATTATTAAGAAATTAGGAAGTTAGCGCCTCAGTCCGCCAGGCACAGTCATTTTGCCCCTGCCAAGCTTCTCCATCGAGGCAAAGAAAGTTTTAGAAGAGGCACAGCATTGTTCGCTCGCTTTGGGGGGGCCCTCGGGGCCTCTCATTGTGGCCTGCTTGGCCCTTCCCTGATTTTGAAGGCCAGGAGTTGGGGGGTGTTGGCTATGGGACTCCGGCCTTCCCATTTCATGCCCACTTCAGCAGAAGAGTCTTTCCGGTGGACTTTGCGCAGGTGGCCCCTCCGGGCCTTTGCAACTGAGCTGGGAGCAGCAGGGAGGCAGGTGGAGGTGGGGAGCAAGGATCCTGGTTAAAAAGGGGGAGGCTTCCAGGCAATTGGAGGCAGGCGGGAGGCGGCGGAGGTTATGAACCCCAGTGAAGCTTCTGCAGTGGGATGCCTGGGGCGACTCCTCTTTCCTCGCTTTTGAGGGCTGGGCCTCCCAAGGGGCTACTGAGGCCTCCTTCGTTGGCTGACCTGGGCGTTGCATCGCCAGGCGCGCTTGGCCTTGGGGAGGTCTGTGGGCACCCCAGCCACGGCTCAGTCCCCCTCTGCCTCCGCCCTCCCTCGGGCAGCCTTGTCCCTTCCTTATTTCTTGGCCCTTCCCCTTTCCCTCCCTTCTCTCCAACCTTCAGAGAAGGCTTCCACCTGGTTTCCTGCCTCCGTGGTGGCTGCTTTCACAACCAGGCCTGTTCCGCCTCTCGCCTGTTGACCGAGGAGGTCAAATAGCGATTCAGAAAAGGCACATTGTGCAGCTGGGCTTTTCGTGGTGGGCGGGGAGGGTCCCGCAAGGACAGATTCAGAGGGGAGGGGGGCTCTGAATGCCCTTCAAAGCCAAGCCCCATTTCGGCAGGGGAATCCGCAGCGCTGCTGCAGCCGGAGAGGGAAGGTGGCCCTGGGAGGCAAAGGAAACCCAATGGCTGCAGTCGGGCTAATTCTACTCTCTCCTTGCGAAGGGGCCATATCGAAATTGCAGCTTTCACCCTTTGACTGCTTCCCTCTCCTTTTAAAGAAGGTTTTGCAAGCAGAAATTGGCCACCGATCCCCGGTCCTGGTGCTCTGCCCTTGCAGTGATGGTCCCTCTTCGGCTGCTCTTGGGGGGTCCCTGGAAAGCCAAGATGGTGAAGACACCACAAACCTCTATGGCTGTTGTGCTGCCGGGGAGCTGCAGCCAGGGCCCCGTGGTCGGGGGGCATCGCAGGGCATCTGAGACTCAACCCTTGTTGGGCTGCCAGACAAGTCACTGCACTTCTGGGTGCTTCGGCAGAGGGAATTCCTCAGCCTGCTGCTAATCTTGGTTTGGATAGCAGCCGTCAGAAGGGACAGCCCTGCTCCTGTTCGCTCCGTTGGGGTCTGTAGAGGGCCTGAGGCGGCTCCCTTGAGCCTGGCCAGGTGCATCGCCATAAGGCAGGGGGCCAGCACGGCTGAAGGGCTGAAACAGGACTGGGCCACTCAGTCCCAGCCCCTCCCAAGACAGGGGAGTGGGAAGGGGGGCTGGGCAATCCCGAGGGGGGGGGTTTCTAGATGGCTCTCCCGCTCTTCCTCCAGTGGGCAGGAAACAGTTCCTGAAGTTTGAGTGGGCCAACCGGGCAGCGGATGTCTTGGGCTGCGAGGCGGAGGAGCTGACCACGGCTGTCTTCAAACACCACCTGCAGCGGATCCTTGATCAGGTCACCACTGGAGCCGGCCTGGAGGAGCCATCCGATGGTACGGCTGCCCCCCACTGTTTTTGATGTGCCCTCCCTCCCCCCGTGTGATTTCTGCTTGGTCTCCCTCTCTGCCCTCATGAGCCCCCTTGACCCAGGTGGGGCTCCAACCTCTGCACCTTGACCTTTTGCAACACAGGGTCTGTTCTTGTTTCCTCAGGGAGACCCCTGACCCTTTCTGCTTTTCCTCCCTGTCCCCGAGTTCACACACACACACACACACACAGAGCGCCTTTGAGGGCTACCTCCATGCAGGAAGACAGTTTAGAGGTGTGAACAGAAAGGAACGAAGGGGGCAGCCTGGCCGGCCCCCTCCTCCCTGGGCCGAATCCCCTTCCCCAGCTGCCTGTCTACCCCCTCCCCTCCATTAGGCCTGGGTTTTGCACGCTCTGCTGCCACCAGGCCTGGATTGGGACTGTTGCCAATTGGGAGGCAGCCAATAAGCCTCCGACGGTCTCCTAGCAACCGGACCAGGTGCCAGGTGAGACCTGCTGGGCTGCTTTGTTGCTGGCCCCTTCCCTTTGGAGGAGAAGGCAGGGGCCTTTCTGCCTGGGGGGGCTTTGTCCCCTCCCTCGCACGGCCAGTGCCAGGATGGGCAGCTGCTAAACTGGGATGGGTGGTCGGCAGCCTAGAGGCGTGGAGCCTGTGGCCTGGCAGCTTCGCCAAGACGGCGCCTGCTTTTGGTTGCGCCTGATTCCGCTTGGCAGAAAGGCAGGGATGGCGGGTGCAGAGAAGGGAGTGGGTGGGTTGTCCCCCCATCGCCCGGCTGGTGTGTCGCCTTTTCTTTTGCTCCCTATACACTTCCGGTCATCCGTTTATCCATGGTCCCATCAGGTCAGTCGCACGCTCAGTCTAAACACCTGTGAAAAGCCTTAAATTCTTAGTTCTCCTACATTGATGGCTTCATAATAAAAATGTGGGGGGCCACCTGCTGCCATCATCGCGTTCTCCCAGAATATTTTCATAGGACACCCCAGCTTTTCTCCACTGAGATAAAAGCGAGGGTGTCCTGGGAAAATGTCATTAGAGAGGGCGATGACTGAAATGGGTTTCCTGGCTTTAGCAGTCCAGGGCAAGGCCTTTCATCAAAGACGTGGGAGCCACCCAGACCCATTTCCTGGGGTGGGGGGGGAGATTTATGGGGCTAGCCATAAACCAGCAGAAGCTGCGCCACAGTGGGTAAAGGGGGATTCCAGAATGACTGCAATAAATCTCGGTTGGAGGCATCCACGGTTGAGGCCGATATCAAAACTGAAGCCCCCTCTGATAAGAACTGGAATCTGCTATGCTCCCCAGACGCCTTTTGTTCCACTCAGGTGATAGGCGAGGGGGGGGATCTCTTTGGGGGGGCTGAGCGGATTCTTAATGTCTTTTGCTCTGCTCAGATTTCACAGGGACTTGTGGGCAGAGGGGATCTCCACCCATGAGTCCTTTTCTTCCTCAGGACCCAAGCTGAGTGGGGTGGAGTGCCTGCAGGGCATGGCTGCTGGTTTGTACGAGGAGCTGTTTGCAGCCGTGGTGATGCTGATCAACAGGTGGGCTCCCCTTTGGCACCGGAGGTGGTGAGGGTAATAATCCATTCAATGGGTAGGGTGCCTGATCCCAATGAGCCCTCATTGCCTTAAAGCCAATAAAACCAAAATTAGGAAGTCACATAAGGGATAGGGGAAAAACGAGGGACAGGCAATCAGGACTCTTCTCCCCCGCCTGGGGCCCCTCCCCTGATAAAGGTGGGGCTTCCAGGTAGGGGGGACTATGACACCTATGGCAGGTGTGCAGGGGATGGGAGGCGAGGGGAGGGGGGCTGCTGCTTATTAATAATGGATGTGACTGTGGGATTCAGGCGAAGGTTGCCGGTATATTCAGAGTCTGGCTGGGAAAAGCAAGCAGACCCCACCCCACATTGCAGCCCCCTGACTGGGGCTTGCCTTACTCCAGGGGGCAGCGAAAGCCCAGGAGGAAGAGGTTGAGGCTGGTCCGTGTGATGCCCGGGCATGGGGTGTAACGGGAAAGCCGTTCTCCTTTCTCGCAGGTCCTTCTCCTCCAGCCACCTCTCCATGGCCTCCCTGATGGTGGTGGACACCCCCGGCTTCCTCAGCCCCCGGCACCAGAAGGGAGAGCGGGCAGCCACCTTTGAGGAGTTCTGCCACAACTACGGGCAGGAGCGGCTGCAGGGGCTCTTCTACACGGCCTCCCTGGAGTCCGAAGTGGGCAGATACCGGGAGGTGAGGCGCCTGCCCTGCTGCTCCCTCAGCTGTCCAGCTTTGCTCCCAGGAGGGTCTCCCAGACCGGTGGCAGTGGGGTCTCCTGCCCCAGGCCTCCTGCCCTGAGGCTTGCTGGACATTGGCCTCACGAAGGACTTTGGGGAAAGGCCACGGAGAGGTTGAGGGAGCGGCCTTTAGCTCATGGAAGCTCAGAGCCTCAGGAAAAGATGGGGGCCAGTGGGGAAGAGCCCCAAAGGGGGGACTTTTTCCACCCGCTTGCCTCCTAAGTCCCACCCCCCCCATCCATGTTCCCCAGGAAAGCGTTGAGGTGCCTTTTGAACTGCCTGAACTCTCCCCAGCCGCCACGGTGGCCCTGGTAGATCAGCACCCGTCCCAGGTAATTCAGAGGCTGGCGGGGAGGGCAGCAGCTTGCTGGGGGTCTGTTGACAGGCTAAAGCTATCCTGATGCCAAGGGCAGGGCTGGCAGGAAGCGTGAGGGGCGGGTGGGTTGGAGGGTGGGGAAGATAAACCCCACCTAGAACAGCACATCTGGGGGGAGCTCTGGGCCTTCGACCCAACCTCAAGGATGCCAGTCCTTCAATGACAAAGTTATTGGGAGGTGACAAATTTGCTTCCCCCTCTCCTACCTGGAACTGTAAAACTGCAGATTGCTAGGAGGAAAATGTAATATTTCCCATACAGATGGAATTGTATAATAATACATATGTAGCCACTGATAAATAAATGATAATTAAAATCAGTAATAATTAGTGATTAATAAAATACAGGAAATTTGCTTCAAATCTCAGCGGGACAGGAGAGTCGGGTGGGGAAGCCGTGTGTGTGTGGGGGGGGGGTTGGCCTGGTGCCACGTAGCTGAGCCGGTCTGTCCCCCTTTAGATGCTCCTCTCTCCCGGGGGCCCCTCGGAGGGCCCCCAGGGCCTGCTCTGGATCCTGGATGAGGAGGCCCTGGTCCAGGGCTCCAGTGACAGCAGGGCCCTCGACCGCCTGTGCTCTGCCTTCGGGAAGGAAGGTAAGGCCGAAGGGGAGAGCTTGGTCAATGCCAGCCGCGTCGGGAAGGGCAAAGGAGCCGTGAACTTGCTCTGCCCCACCAAAGGATGCTTCAGAGAGGATGGCTTTGGGGCCTTTCCGTGTCTCTCCTCTAAATGGCATTTCATGGGTGTGCTGCCCACTTCATGCCCAATAAGGCCGTAGAGCAAAGACTGCTTGGCGTCGTTGTCCCCTTCATCCTCTCAGCCCCAGCCGCCCCCCCCCCCGCAGAGCAGCTAAGCTTTACTTGGTCTCTTCGCTGCAGAGCAGGGAGTCCTGCGCAGGTGTGAGCAGCCCCTGCAGTTTGAGGTTGCTCACCGACTGGGCAAGGACCCCGTCCGCTACGATGCCACCGGCTGGGTGAGCAAAGCCAAGTGGAACCTCTCTGTGCAAAATGCCATCCAGCTGCTGCAGCGGTCCACGATGTGAGTGAGGGTGGGGGGTGAGGGTGGGACGCCTCTCCCTCTGGGTGGAGGGGGTTGGGGCCAGGCCCGGCTGCCCTGCCTTCTCCTGCCTCAGCTGGCCTTGCCGGGAAGGGTTTCCCGCACTTCCTTTCCCGAACAACCAGTTTTGTTTGAACTGGGGCCGGGGGGGGGGGAATCAGCCCCTCATTTTTAGAGCAAGCTCTTATTATCTGCATGGCTGGGGAATGGTGGCCGGAGGGCAAGAATTAAGTGGTGGGTGGGTCTCCCTTCCCAGAAGACCCAGGCGGCCCCCTCGACTCTATTCCCACAACAGCCCTGCAAAGTAGGCCAGGCTGAGAGAGAGTCGGATTCACCATCCAACAGCTGAGCCAAATTAGAAATCGAGGTGCCCCTTTGGGTGGATTTGGGGAGGCCGGGAGGGGGGCCTCCTGCTGACGACCCCCCTTTCTTCCCCACAGAGGGTCTCTGAGGAAAGTCTTCCTGCCACGCGCTCACGTGCCCCTGCTCTGCCGGTCGGTGGCGGGCTGGGAGGGCCACTCGCAACAGGCCCTGCAGCGCATTGGCTGCGTCAGGAAGACCTTCACCAGCAGCTTTGCCACCATGAAGAAGAGGTCGGTCTGTGCCCAGATCAAGCTGCAGCTGGTGAGCGAAGCGCCTGGCCGGCTCAGAGGCCGCTTCCTGGCAGGGGCCGTCCAGGGCGGGCTGGGCTCCCTTCCAGTTTTGCCTGATTTCTCCCTATTGATCCATTTGGGTCCTGGCTGGTCGGTTTGCAAAGGCAGCTTCCGGCAGGGAGAACCGGGGGGGGGGGAAATGGGAGATCCTCCTTTGCTTCCAACAGATCTTTTCACACAGAAGTCACTTGTGAATGTGGTTGGCAAGGGAGAAAGCAGTCTGAGCAGGAGTTTTCGGAACTGCAGGAGCTCCCAGATCGGCCTTAGAGACAGGCGCAAAACCCCCTGGGAGGCCGTGTTGAGCCACCTGGAAACAAAGCCTCTGCAGGGCACGGCTGCTGCTGTTGCTGCTGCAGTCGGTCGAGGCCTCAGGAGAGGGAAGGGGGGTGAATTGCTGAGGGACCCCTCAGAAACCAACTTTCCTCCCACCGCAGGACGCTCTCAGCAATCTAGTCAAGCGGTCTCAGCTCCACTTTCTCCACTGCCTTGACCCCGGAATGCCGGAAGAGCCTCGACCCCCCACCGAGGCCTCGGAAGCCGCCCCAGGACCGGCCTGGGACATTCCCACCCTGCGCGCCCAGCTCTCCGGCAGCCTGATCCTGGAGGCCCTGCGGCTCTACAGAATCGGTGCGGAAGGGAGGGTTTCTGGGGGGCCCTGCCGAGCGCAAGGAAGGCACCGTGCAGGGTGGGGAATATCAGCCCCCCCTTCCTGGATAGGGCAGTTGAGGGGCAGGTTAGACAAAAGGCGACTGACGGATTCAGGAAGTGAGGAAGTTTGGCTGGAAGCTGGCTGTGACACTGATCACACAAGGAAGCCGAGAAGCATCTGAGACCAACAGCCAGGCTGGCTGGGATTTCTGGGCATCGTAGTCTCGAAAGAACTGGGGGGACATTAGGTTGCCCTCCCCCCCCCACGGCTTGCTGGTTCATGCTGCCCTGAATCTGTTCACTTTGCGAGCAGCTTGTTAGTATTTGCGATGAGAAAATGCCACTTCTCTGTGCTTGTTTGTTTTGGGGAAATTTATAAAGTGTGTTTCAGCACATGGTTCCCAGGACAGCGCACTCTTCAAGATAATAAGTGCAAACACAATGAAGTTCAATAAAAGAGCAGCGTAAATCTCAAAAACGGCTATAATGTCAATAAAATCCGGCAGAAGCCGTGCAACTGACAGCCCAGAGCTAACCATGTGCAGGCCGTTGGGCAAGTTACAGGGACTGCGGGCCTGGGAGCTCTTTCCCAGTTGGACAGGATCTCAGGGCCTGGGGGGCTGCAAGGCCCTCCGTCAATCTCGCCCCCCCACACCCCTGTTTAATTTCCAGCTGGGGTTGTGGCGGGATTTCTGAGGGCTCTTTGGGGTCGGTAGACAGGTTAAACTGAATGCGCAAGATGGGTCTTGGGGGGAGGGGGGCACCAGGGTCTTGGGGGTCTGTGTTGCTGGTTCTTGTGCGCCAAGCACCTCACCTTCGTTCCAGGCTATGCGGATCGCATGGAGCTGGCCCAGTTCCGGCGGCGTTTCCAGGGCTTGGCTCAGCCAGAGATGAGGAGGTTCACCTCAGCCTATGAGCTGACGGATGAGAAGAAGGTCAGGAGGAGAAGCCCCGGAGGAGGGAGGGATGAGCCCCGATGGCCGCTGTAGCTTCAGCCGCTAAGAAAGGAAAGCCAGCCATTGCCGGCCTCCTCCTGGGGTCCCTGGGAAGGACGTGGGCTGCCTCGTGTGACGGAAGCAGCTGCCCCGTGGATCCTGTCAGCGGGGCTGGGGGTGGGGGCGTTTCAGGCTGAGGACTGAACAAGAGGCCCCTGACAGTGGGGAAAGGTCAGGCCTGCCACGTTGCGCCGCGGGGAGACTCGTCTGACAAGCGCTCTGACTCTCGTCCGCCCTGGGGGGGTCTTGAGTTCTGGAGATCTGAGTGGCAGAAGGAAGGTGGGGGGCAGGGAGGGACAGGGAACCTTCTCAAGGTCAATTCCAGTGACACTCGAGGCTGCTTTGAGCCAGAGTCTCCCCACAAAGGAGCCCCCAAGAGATGAATTTCTCCCCTGTTGTGTACCTAACAATCCTGGGTCTGCGGATCCATGAAAGGGAGAGAGAAAATCTGCCTCTCGGCTTGGGCAGTTCCAGCTGAATGTAGCCGTTGGAGACCGTGATGCCGGTTGGGCCCAGCGGTCAAGATGGGGCAGCCCGGCCATTTGTGGGGCTCGTGATGTGGGGCAGCCTGAGACGTCTGCCTCTCCGGCGGGGCTGGCGGGACGTTTGTGCTCTTTCCCTCTGCAGGCCCTGGAGGAGCTCTTCCGAGCCCTCGACTTGGAGAAGAAGAGCCTGGCGGTGGGCCACACTCAGGTACTGGAGCCAGCCGCCCTGGGCCCTCTCTCCTGCCTGCTGGGCAACGGGCGCTTTCACCCTCTCCGTCCCTCTTGGCAGGTCTTCCTGAAGGCCGGCGTCCTTCTGCGGCTGGAGAAGCAGCGAGAGAAACTGGTGTCCCAGAGCCTGGTCCTGCTCCAGGCGGCCTGCAGGGGTCTCCTGTCCCGCCAGAGGTTCCAGAGATTAAAGGTAGCCCTGCTTTGCAGTGGAGAAGGGCAGCCCTGGGGCCGGGGAGCAGGGCCGGGGAGGTGGGGGAAAGGACCAACAGGCTGAGCGGCTTTCAGCAGAGTCCCCTGCTGAGCAGAGGAAAACTGGGTGCCTCTAGCGGCCCCTTCCTGCTCCGATCCCGTCTCTCTCTGGTCTGGGAACCCCCAGGCTACAGCGCTGGGAGCCGGCTGGCGGGACCCCTGGGAAGCCCGGGCTCCTACTGGTGGTGGTTTGAATCCTTTGGCCCTGAGCTATCCCTCCTCTCCTCCTTCAGATTCAGGGCCTGGCTGCCCGATGCATCCAGAAGAACCTGGCCGTCTACCGAGCCGTGCAGAGCTGGCCGTGGTGGCAGCTGATGTGTGGCATCCGGCCACTCCTGACCATCAGCCTGGCAGAAGGCCAGCTCCAAGTCAAAGAGGTGCCCGAGTTGCCAGGAGAAAAAGCGGTCAAGGCTGAAATCCTGTTTTTCCTTAGATGCAGCAGAAAGCTTTCCCTGAGCTAAATCAGTTCTCTAAAAAAGATGTTCTAGCAACTTCCCCCACCTGACGCCCCCAGATATCTTGGCTGAGGTCCCCAGCCCAGTGCAGACCGGCAGCGTTCCCTCTCGTTGGGGCGATGGGCATCGGCCACCTCCTCCAGGCAGCCATTTGGGGAGGTTCCTGGGCAGCCTCTCCAGGTTCAGTAGTCCTCAACTCAAGGTTGCAGATGGTGAATAAGCCCTGAAGAAGTTCCTCCCTCCCTCCCTCCCTCTCAGGAGGAACTTGCAATGCTCCAAAAGAAGTTGGAAAATTCAGAAGTTTCTCGCCAGGAGCTTCGGCAGAACACCGAATTGCTGGAAACCAAGGTAGGACGTGACGTTGCAACGGCAGGTCCAGGAGATGCTTGGATTGCCAGCTTGGAGGTGTTCGTGTGAACACGGCGTTGGGGGGAGGGGAATCTTTCAAGCTCTTTTTCTGGCGTGGGAGGGTCTGTGGGAGCACCAAAGGGCAGTTATGGAGACGGTGCCAGCATGGACCAGCTCTGCCCCCACAGGTTTCCCTGCTCTTGCATAAATAGTCTGAGGGGGTTTTCGCTCTCTGAAATACCAGTCTCGGGGGGGCGGGGTCTTCCTGCTCCTGCCCCTTGATGGGCTCTCCCCCCCAGATCTTCCTGAGGCTGAGCATAGCTTGGCTCCCCTGCCCCTTTATCTGGGCCCTCCAAGCCCCAAAGGGCCAGCCGGTGTGGGTGAAACGTTCAGGCCAAGAGGCTGGCGTGCTCCAGGTCCGCTTGGGAGCAATTTTGGCCCCTTTCTTGGCAGGCGGGTGGCTTGCCCGGCCTCTCCCTCAGCTGGATGGGGGTGGGGCGTTTTCGGTGGTCTTGCTGAGTGCCAGGGTCCCCTGCCTCGGTGCTGGGCATGTTCCACTGCTGCAAGCAGGTGGGATTCAGCATGGAGAAATGCCATCCTCAAATGCTTAGAAGCCCCCTTTTATGCAGCCCTGCAGGATGGAAGTGCCACTCTGGGCAGGGCTCTCTTGGAGTCCTTGTTAACTTGGCTCTCTTCAAAAAGAGGGTTATGGAGCATAAAAGAGTTGTGCTTTGTTATTGTTGTTTAAAGCATTCCTATCAGGTTCTTTATCAAGCCTGACTCCAGAACAATGGGTAGATTGGTAAGCACAGAGCAATTGCAAAATGGTGTAGCACAAAAGGGGAGGGGAGGGGAAGGGGAAAGGAAAGGCTCCTGAATGCTTGCAAACGGCCCTGGTCACAGTTTAAGAAACATCGGAGGGTCTTTCTTGCTCTGGTCTCGAGAATTTTTGCACCTGGCCTCTGCAGCCCTGCGAGGTGGACCGACTAGGGGCTCTGGGGGCAGAGGAGGGTCCGCTCCTGAAAGCCTTCAGGTGGCTGCTCCGTGCCCCTCGCCCGCGCTCTCTGCCAGGGCCAGCTGGGCCCTCCTTCCCTGCTTCCTGCTGAGATGATGGAGTCTTGCCAGATCGGCTTCCCAGGCTTTCCTCCCCCCCATCCCCCACCCCGCCCCGAACTTGGCAGGCGTTTGTTGCACATTCGGCTGTGCAGGGAATTAGACAACAGTTGTTTGGCACGTTCCCGCCAAAGCCTCTTTTCAGCAATTAATTAATTAACACTATCATTATGCCCTGAGCACCCGGGAGATTATCAAATTGTCTCAGTTTCCAATAAACTTGCAGAGAGGATTTGTGTGAGGCAAGGAAAAGTCCGAAGCGACAATCCCAGCGCTGCATCCTGGCCCAAAGCTGGGATGGGAGCCCAAAGGGGCAGGCGGTCCCTCTGTTCCCCCCCCCCCCCCGCTGAATGGAAACCGGTTTTCCCCAAGTGCCAGCCAGCCTCTCAGTCATTGCTGTGCAGCCACTCCGGAAGCAGATACTGTGGGGGGACTCCAACTCCCAGAATTCTAGAGGTCCACCCATCTTAAAGCTGCTGAGGTTGGGAAACACTGGTCTGTCTGTCTCCCTAACTGCTCTCAATCCACACAGGGAACAAAACAATATGTGGCTTTCCTTAAGTCTCCTATTTGTTTCCTTTCTACCAAAGTATCCCTGCAGGGGGGGGGGTGTCCTTGGAGAAGGCGCCCTCTCACCGCTTGTTTCTGCTCCGTTTAGGTCATAGACCTCACGGCAGAGCTGTCGGATGAGCGCTTGAAAGGAGACGTGGCCTGCCGGGTACTGGATGCAGAACGGGCCGAGAGGCTGCGGGCATCGAAGGAGGCCAAAGAGCTGCAGGTCCGTGGGGGAGGGGGTCGATGGGTGCAGAGAGGCTGGCAGCGGTCTCCATGCCTGCCATCCACCAAGACAAATTGCCCCCCCCCCCCAGCAATCCTCACCACCTCTCCCTGCAGCCGTAATCTCATCCTGCCACTCTCGCCCCCCCCCCCCGCAGCTGCCCTCCTTTCCATCCACCTGGGGTGGGTTCACTTCCTTTGCAGCTCCTCCCCACCACTCTCGCCTCCCTGGGAGACTTCAAAGTGGAGCCTGCCGAGCTCAGAGAGTTTAGCCATTCGAAAGCAGCCGTGGGGCCCAGTGGAGACGGCCCACACACAAACAGCCACAGTGGTGATCCAAGAACCCCTCGCTCTCCATCTTCGGTCTGGAGCAGCTGCTGGAAAATCAGCTGAAGGGCTCTGAGAGGAGGAAGCAGAGCTGACCCATTTCTCCGGGGGGGGGGGTGGCGGGTCAGGCATCGCAGTCCCACCACAAGGAGACCCTGCTTGGACCTGCCTTTTCCTCCCAGAGAGAGCAGCCCAAGGTCTGCTTCTTGGCCAGCCATGCAGGGAGCCTCGCGGAGGTTTGTTCCCCACGGCCCGGTGCGGCTGCAGCTGAGGGGGCAGAGATGGCGGTAGAGCCCTTCGCCCCAGAGCAATTTGGCCGGAAGGAGCCTCCTGGGAGTGGAAGAAGTGGGGCGACGGGGGCTGGCTCCCAGACCCCTAGAGCCCTCCTTGGTCCACCCGCGCAGACCAGCCCCAGGCTTCCTCCAGAAGGCCTCCTCCCTTGCAACGGGTTCAAAGCCGGGGATCTTCCAACCAAGGGACGTGTTTCCAGCCTCTCTTGAGAACTTTGCATTTCATAATATGACGTGGCTCTTCCCTTTCAGGGCAAACAGCTCCAGCTCCAGAAGCGGCTGGAGGAGGCCGAAAAGCAGCTGGGGGAAACACAGCAGCAGCTTCAGCTCCGTGAGATCGAGGCCAACAGCTCTGCAAAAGGTGGGAGGCAGCCCCCCCACCCCCAAAGCATGTCAGCAGGGTCTGGGGAGGCCCTGAGCTGGTGTGGATGGGTGCTGCCCTTCCCTTCCCCCAACCCCCAACCGGCTTTGGCCTCTGAGGATTGTGGGGCAAGGATCCCAGGACGTCCTTGAGGCCGCTTCTGGGGTGGAGCAGCGGCACCCCCTCTTGCCCCCCCCCCCGCTCTGCTAGATTGGGCTGTGACGGTTCTCCGAAGCGACACCTGTCTCTCCCGTCATTTTGACCGTGGGGGCCGTTGGGGTATGTCAGTTTGAGTCAAGCCACCAGGCGCCTCTGGCTGCCCAGAATTTCTGCTCCAGATCTGTCAGGACGTCTTAGGAAGTCTTGGGAGCCGGGCTGAGTGCAACATGGAAGGTTATCGCCAGCGTGGCGTGAAAGGCACCCTGCTCCCTTTCTCTCCAGACGCCTCCGAGGAGGACCCGCCTGCGAACGCTCGCTGAAGGTCCTTGCCCCTGGGGGCGGGGGTGGTGGTGGTTCAGCCCAGGCTCCCCAGGGCTTTACTCTAGAGGAACACTGTGCCAGCCCCAGAGCTCCCTGGACTCCGTGTGGTTGTGAGGGGTGAGGCGTCCTCAGTCAGCGAGGATATCCCTTCAGCTGGGCGGCCCTTTTCGCTCTGGGTTCAAAGCGAGCGGTTCAGGTCTGGCTTCAGAGGCTTCAGCACTGGGGGGCTCTGAGACCCTTTCAGCCTCATGAAATGATTTCTCACTTTGGATTTCTGATCCAGTAAACAGCTGTAGATATAACCCACGTGAACCAAAATTTCTGGGGAGTCATTTTTAAGGCTGCAAAGGGGTCCCGAGGCCAAAATGCTTGAGACCCACTGCTCTAGTGGATGCCTGAGTCCCTCCAGCCTTTGGGCCCCTGCTGCATGTGTGCAAGCAGCCCGCCTTGGGGTTGGGCGGGGCGGGCAGGCCGTGCAAACGCGGGTCCTTTTGCACTGACAGGGGACGAGTGGCAGATGCGCCTGGACTGTGCAGAGACCGAGACGGCATTTCTGCGGAAAAGGATCGCCCAGCTGGAAGAGAGGCTGCAGCGGGAGCAGCAGTCCAAAGCGGACGTGGAGCAAAAGGCAGGCCACGGAGAGGGCAAACGCGGGTGTAAACGGGCCTGTGGGAATGCAGGAGGACCGCAGGACTCGGTCACCTCACAGGGCCCTCCCCACCACTGCCCGGCTGCTGCCTTTGGCCTCTCGGCATCTCTGCCTGGGCCTGGCTGGGGCCTGGTGCCAAGCCAGAGTCTGCTTGACCACCAAAAGCGCTAATCCAGCGCAGTCACACCGCAGCAGCCAAACTCCTCCTCCGCGCCAGGGACGACACGCACGGGCACAGGGCAGCTTGGGAGGGTTTCTGAGCAACCCTGTGGTGGTCCGGCATCCAGGGTGTGCCATAGAGGGGACGGCTGTCCGGCCTGCCCCCCTCTTTTCACGGGGACCTTCCTGCTTTACAGCTCAGCCAGGTCCAGCAGCTGTACGGGGAGGCCAGGCGGACGGCCCAGCAACTGAAGCGGAAGTGCAAGCAGCTGACCTGCGAACTGGAGGACACCCGGGTGCTGATGGAGAACCAGCAGATCCGCAACCACGAGCTGGAGAAGAAGCAGAAGAAGTAAGAGTCTGCCGGAGGGGCAGCACAGGATGCCCCCCCCCTCCCAAAGTCCCCGGCACTCTTTCAGGAAGGCAGTGACAGCCAAGCGTATTGATTGGGTGGAATGAGGCTGGAGGGTGGGCTCTTCTCCCCCCATTATGGCAGGATTCTCTCGTGAGCAGGGTCCGAGGAGAAGGGCAGACCATTGTGGGAGGCGTTCTCCAGGGGTGTCTTGCCCCAGGGCTTCCCCAAAATTGGACCGACTCCAAGGTTTATTCCTGAATTCCGTGTGCCCAGAATGTCGTTTTTGCCCTTGGTGCTGTGACTTTAGTTCCTCCCTTGCTGGCGGAGCAGCCAGACTGTGGCCCCCGGAAGGGGGGGCTGAGCCCCACCAGCTCCCAAGCACCCGAGGCCTGCCAGCGCAGGCCCTACCCCCCAAAACCCATGTTTCCTTGCAGGTTCGACCTGCAGCTGGCCCAGGCGCTGGGGGAGTCGGCCTTTGAGAAGAGCCTCCGTGAGAAAGTGGCTCAGGAGAACTCCAGCCTGCAGTTCCAGCTGGGCAGCCTGCGGCAGAGCCTGGAGGCAAGGCCCTGCTGGGCAGAGCGGAGAGGGGCCCCCAAGGAGTGGGTGGCTGGCGTGGGCACGGCCGGCAAGGCCTGTGGACCTCAGACCAGACTCCAGAAGAGGCCGGCTCCCCAAAGTCTCCTCCAGACTGGGAGTGTGGGAGTGCCCACTTTCTTGCTCTCTTCTGCCCTCCCCCCCCCAGCGAAAAGAGTCAGACAACAAGGGCCTCGGCCAGCGGGTCACAGCGCTCAGCTCCCAAGTGGAGGGGCTCAGCAACACAGCCAACCTGGATGCCGATGGCCCAGCCGCCCTGCAGAAGAAGCTGTGGGACCTCGAATCCAGGGCCTCGGAGCAGCAGCAGGAGCTGAGCCAGCAGACAAAGGCTGTTCAGCAGCTGGAGCAGGTGAGGCCCCTCCTGGCCACCCTTTGGCCACTAGTCTTCCTTTTCGGAGTGGAAGCCAGCTGAGGGGGGGAGGCCCACCCTAACATCTGCGCCCCCTCGTCCTGGTCCTTCCCCTCCAGCTTCACCTGAGATTGGAGCTGCAGCTGGAGCGGGCGAAGCAGATTCACCGGAAGGAGCTGGAAGATAAGGAGGAGGAGCTGGAGGACACCCGCACATCCTGCCAGAAGCGGGTAGGGCCTGCCTGGGGGGGGTGTCTCGGTGTGTGTGTCCCCTCCCAGCCTGTGACCCCCTCTCACGTCTCCCTTTGGCTTGGCTGCAGCTTCGCCAGCTGGAGATGCAGTGGGAACAGGAGTGTGACGAGAAGCAGGCCCTCCTGCGCGAGAAGCGGGATTTGGAGGGCCTGGTGGCCACCCTCTGTGAGCAGGTGAGGGAAGGGCAGCTGCCCGCCTCTAGCATGGGGGTCCTCCGCTTGGCTCAACCCTGGCAGAGGCGCCCAGAGGCTACACACTCTGCAGGCCAACTGCAAAAACGCACAAGGCAACAGCAGGCATGGATGGCATCTGGGGGGCCCCTTTCACCATGAAGAAGAGAGCCCCCCCAATAGAGAATTAACAGAGAATGCTCCCAGTCTGCTCCTTTTTCTCCTGGATCTTTTGCTGCATCAGGTGGTTGAAGCATTTGCTTAGAAAAAGTGGATGCAACAACATTTACCATTTTTGACATGGTTCTCTGCTTTGGGCACCCCACATAAAGGCCAAATACAAGCCTCCCCTCTTTCTTCAGATTGGCCATCGGGACTTCGACGTGGAGAAGCGACTCCGGCGCGACCTGAAAAGGACCCACGCCTTGCTAGCCGACGTCCAGCTGCTGCTGGAGACCTCCGGGGCAGACCCAGGCCCATCAGGAAGCCAGGAGGAGTGGGCCAAGCTCCACAGCCAGGTGAGGGGTGGGGCCTCCGGGAAGAGGCTCAGTGGCCAGGCGGTGGCCAGAGATCCTTTGGCCTTTGCCTGGATGGCCTCCGCATCACGGTCGCATCACGGTCGTGAATCAATCCTAAGCTTCAGTTAAAAGCTCCAGGCTTTGCAAGCTTCTTCCAGCACAACAGATCAGGAGAGGGCGGCTCAGCCGATCTTTGCTGAAACTTGAACCCTGAGCCGGTCCATCCCCTTTTAAAGCAGTGTAGAGAGGAAGCTTTCTCCGGAGTGTTTGGAATGTAATTAAGGCAATTTGTTTAATGGAGGGTGTTCACTGGTGTTGGTCTACCTGGTGATAATTACCAAGCCTTGCGCTCAGCATCTATTCTGGGGGGGGGGCTGGGGGCCCTCGGGTGTAGCTGCTGGGAAAGTGGTGGTGGAGGGGGCAGAATTTGGCTCACAAAAGTCACCTCCAAAGGGTCCGGGGGGGGGGCCCTCAGGGACAGACAGAAGGGTGTGGGGTTGTGGAGGGCTTGGGAACCTTTCCCAGCAAGGAAGGAGGCCAGTGTGGCTGTTTGGGGATGGAGAGGCAAAAACTCCTTTCTGGCTTCGGGTGCAGCAGCGGCGGCGGCAGAGTGGAGGGGCCCAGGGGCCAAGGGCTGGGTGGGAGAGAAGCCGAAAAGGAGGCAGCCAGTCTTGAGGAGGGGGGGCATGGCTGGGGACCCCCAGGAACAGTAATTCCAATTTAGCTGCACAAGCATTCTGGAACCATTCAATAAATAACCCCCCTTGCTTGTCTCCATTGAAAACACGCCATTCCGGAGATGCGAGCAATTACAGCGAGCGCAGACATTGGTAATTGGGATAATAATTCTGTGTAAACAGCATCTGTGAACTGCAGATGTTTCTACCTGGTTTGGCAGAAGCAGGGGGGGGGGAGAGTTGCAGGTCCTTGGCTGTTGCCCTGCTGCCCTTTAGGCACTGGAAAGATGCTGCACTTGGCATGGGGGGGGCACTCCGGGGGCTTTGCCGATAATAACGGGGGGGGGGGAGAGATTGGAAGGTACCTGAGCCTGTCCTGGGCAGCTGGGGTCTCCTCTCCTGAACGGCGGTCAGAGGCCATCGCCCAGTCCTGAAGAGCAGAGGGATCATCTCATTGGATGAAACCCCAAGGACTCTCTTTCTGATAGGTGCCTTTAAATCCCTGCCATTGGGTGTTGCGGAGATAGCCTGTCCTCATCGGTCCAGGTGGGGATTAGGGGCACACTGCTCCTGGACTTGGAAGATCCACTTATTCAGAAGGGGGGAGATGAAAGGCCCCATAGATCTGGCTGTTGCTGTATAGTCTCAACTTGCTGATGCCCAGGATCCTCCCCTTTTCATGCCCTCTAGACAGGCGATACGGGGGAGGGAGGCGCAGGCCGAGCCCTGGGCAGCAGCCCTTCTTTCGCTGGGCATGAGAGTGGCGTGAATTTCAGGGGCCCCCTGGGGGGATCAGTTTCTCCTTTCCACCATCCCCCCGCCCCGGGGCGGTTTAAGCAGCAGGGAAAGTGTGTGTGTATGTGTGTGTGTGTGTGTGTGTGTGTGTGTGTGTGTGTGTGTGTGTGAAGGAAATCACCCCCCCACCCCCATCCTGGGCTGCTGTGAGGATTAAAAACCAGCCCCGGAGATGCCTTCCTCCCACTCCCCAGCAACGGAGCCTTTGGAGAAGGGAGCCTGGTCAACTGGCAGAAGAGGCATCGAACAGATGGTCGCGCGCTGCCAACTTAACACATTTGATCTGTTCGTACATTATGTGTCATTTTTGATGGGAATTTCAGTTTGTTTGCTCCCAAATGGGAAAAATGTATGCAGATTTTTTTGAAAGGAGAAAGGAGGAAGCAGGGCAGACAAATGAAGGGCTGGGAGGGAAAGGGAAGGGGGGGGGCTATCAGACATGAGGAGCTCTGGGGTTTATAATCTGAATTACAGGTGCAGAATGAGAGGGCTCTGTGTTGTTCCAAATCTGTTTCCCCTCACAAATTGGGACAAGCAAGACTGGAAAGCAGAATCTTTAAACACAACTCAGAGGATTGGTGGGACGTGGCCACGGCCGTCCAGCTGTACCAGCTCTTGGATTAAAAGGAGGGTGAAGTCACCTCCAGGAGAGTCCTGGGGGACAGGAAGGAGCTGCTTGGGCATGGTTCACCAAGGGGCCAAGAGGGCCACGGTTTTTACTCCAACAGCGGCCGGCCAGCTTCCTTTCAGAAAGACCCCGTGAGGTCCTTCCCTTCTGGAAATGGGGAGGGGGATTGGCCAGTAAGCGTTAGGGGCCGCTTCTCGCCAGTTCCGTGCAAAATCCTCTGACCCAGGGATGCTCTTTGCTTGCAGCTCAGGGCTGCTACCACCCGAGTCCCTCCCTTGCAGAATTTTCTGCTGCTCTTTCAATCCCCGTTATTTAATATTGGTTAAAGCCACCCCCTGGGTGGGAGGCTTTAATTATCCTCTCCGAAGCCTCCACATAAAAGGCCGATGATGCTGGTTTTAGGGTAAAATTTGGCCACTGAACTTTACAGACACTCAGCTGCAGACCCAGCCTTTTCAGTCAGCAAACAGGCAAAGGCCCCATAAGGGGTGGGGGAGAGCGGGGGGGGGGGCGCAAGGATTGCTTGGAAGCTTCAGAGAAAGGCCGACTGGAGCTGAGCGTGAGCGCAGCAAAGGCCCAGCTTAGCGGGCACAGTGGGCAAGACCAGGTGCTGGCAAACGCCAGGAGTGAAGAAGACAAAACAGGGAAACCGGGTGAGGAGGGGGGGGCTTTGGGCTGCCCAGCCAGGCCTGTGTGGGGGTGGCAGGGGGCTGTTCCAGAGCAGAAGGCCTCCTCTACCCGGTGGTTGCAGTCGAGGCTGCTTGAGAAACAATCGTTTATAAACTCTGCCTTGTGAATTGCTTTAATCTCTGCAAATTGGAGGAGGTTCACCTCATTGGCTAATTAATGAGCCCTTGCACCAGGGGCTAAAGCTGAACTTAGTGGTGTGAGAGCCAAGGGTACAACAGAGCATTGTTTAAAACCCGTGCGGGGTCCGGGGGGGTCCCCTGATCTCCTTTCCTCCCTGCTCTGCCAGTGGGAAGACAGCGCAGCCAGGTGTGCCGAAGCCCTGGAGTCTCAGAAGATGTTGTCACTCGAGGTGGAGAATTTGCACTCGGAACTGGAGACGGCCACCAGGAACAAAAACTTGGTACAGAACTGGATAATTGCACCTTAACCCAAATGCCTCCCCCCACCCCGATGAGAAGCCCCTGCCTAGAGGACTTGCTGTGTTTCGTGCAGGTGGACGAACAGCTGTACCAGCTGCAGCACGAGAAGGCCGACCTGCTCAAGCGCATCGAGGAGGACCAGGATGATCTGAACGAGCTGATGGCGAAGCACAAAGCCCTGATTGCACAGGTGAGGGGGGTGGGCGGAGGACCCCTCCCTCCTGAAGGGGCTCCGGCCTGCTATTCAGGAACTGGCCTCGCCCCCTTCCTTCCACTCTCTCCTGTGCATAGACTCCAGATCGCTAGGCTTCCCGCCATGGGTCCCATAGGAGCCGGTGCTCCCACCTGCCCACAGAACCCCCTCCTCCTCTCCCACTGACCCCCTTTCCTTTTCTGAGGGTGCTGCTGTAATTCAGCAAACTACACAAAGGGAAGCTCTGTGTTTCCAAGGCCTGCCTTCTCCCCCCCCCCACACACTGCTCAGGGAAAAGGCCAGGCTGAAGGGAACATCCTGGTGGGAAGCAGGACTGATGTTGCTGGCCAGCTCTCTGGTCAGTGGCCATTATGGCCACCATGCTCTGGGGTGTGCTTGGAGAGATTGCCTGCCCTTGCTCTCTGGGGTGTGCTTGGAGAGATTGCCTGCCCTTGCGGAGGGTCAGCAGCACGTCCTCCCTGTCGGGCTCCCGCCTTTGACCTGCCCCGCTCCCGGCCTTCCCCCCGGGGCCGCTCTGAGGCCTTGGCTTCTCTTCCTCCCTGCAGTCGGCCACAGACCTCGCCCAGATCCGAGAACTGCAGGGGCAGCTGGAGGAGGTGAAGAAGGAGAAGCAGGCCCTGCAGGAGAGAGTAAGAGCAGGAGCTGCATTCTGGGGGGGCTGAGGGGGGCTGGCCAGGAGGTCAGCAGGAGCCAGGGACCTCAGTGCCTGTCCAGCTCTCGGAGAGAGGCGCTGCCAGTCTGCAGTGGTAGTAAAATTAGGTGGCGATGGTGTGGGGAGGCCCCGCCTGCTCCGTCCTGGTCCATGGATTGATGAAGCTTTAACTTTTAATGCTTTGCTGCAAGACCCCCTCCCCACGCTGCCCCTCCCACCCAGAGGTGTGTTTGGGCGGGACAAGGTCCACCTTCCCTTCTCTGCAAACAGCTGCAGGCGGCCCAGGCCAGGCTCTCCTACCTGGAGCAAGCGATGGTGGAGCGCTCCATCGTCAGTCGCCAGGAGGCCCTGATCTGCGACTTGGAGAACAAGATGGAGTTCCAGAGCATCCAGGTCAAGCGGTTTGAGGTACAGCGCTGATCATACGGGGGAGGGGCTCCCTGGACAGGCGTCGCTCAGCTCCCCTGAGGTGACCGTCTGTCCCCCGCAGGCACTGGTGCTCCGTCTCCGGGACCGCGTGATCAGGATGGGAGAGGAGCTGGAGAAGGCGAAGGAAAGCGAAGCGCGCGAGAGGGAGAACGCCCACTACTGCCGGCTGCGGCTGGAGGAGATGAAGGCCGACATGAGCGAACGGGCGCAGAGGGAGCTGGAGGCCAGTCGCAAGCGGGTGGACCTGGTGAGAGCAGGGGGGAGCGTTGTCCATGCGCGAGAGGCCTGGCCTTGACGCAGAGGTCTTGCAATATGCGCTGCCTTTATTGACTTGAGAAGCTAAGATCCCTTTTCCTTAGCAAACAAACACACAAATTGTGGTTTGTGCCTGTTACGGTCTGCAGTTTGGCAGCTGGGCTGGTTTCTTTGGGGCTGATTGGGGCTGGGCCCCAAGGCCTGTCAGGCAAGGCCCTTCCGGGAAGCTAAACAGGCTTTCTTGCCCCCGGGGTCCCACCTCTTTGGGCCCAGCGCTCAGCCACACCCAGCGCCAAGAGGTGCGGCTGCAGAGTGCCCGGTCCCTCGGGGGCCTCTTCTGTCCGGTCCAAGATCAGGGCTCGGGGGGGGGCGGATTCTGGTGGCTTGGCACCCTCCTTGCCAGAGTAACTGCTCAGTGTGGAGGTGGCAGAGGACTTCCCAGGTAAGTGTGTCTGCGGAGCAAACGCAGGGAGCAGGATCGTGTCTCTACTCCTGGGAAGGTCCAGGAAGGTTGTGCCTTGAGCTCCCAAATCTCGCTAATCTTTTTCTGACAGTGTGTGGAAAAGCTGCCTGCAGCAGATCCTCCTGATCTGGGCACCGATTAAAGGAGCCAAGGTGCCTTCCACACAGCAAAGTGGCAGTGCCAACCTGTGGTTGACTGTTTTTCCAAATTGGTTTTGGTTTTTCCCTTCTGGGTGGCTGCAGCTCAGCCTCCTGTTTGCTGCTTTATGGTTATTTCTGTTGGTAGGTTGGCTATGAAAAGAGGGTTCTCCTTCGATGCCCGCTTCAAAAGTTCCTGTGCCGCCTCCTCCTCCTCCTCTCCAGCTTCCTCTTGGACTGCTGAGGTTCGGTCTAGGGAGCTCGATTGGTGCACCAACAGAATTGATGGTCTTTAAAAATATACATATTTGAATTGTAGATGGGATTGTTGAAGTGATTTTACGTAAGACACAAACCTAGTCTTGCTATCGAGGTTCAGAAGCTGTTATGAAAAATCCTCCTCAGTGAAATAATCCGTCCGTAAGTGGAAACAAGGATGCTGCCAGGTTTCCTTCACCAAAGGGAGGAGGTCTCTGCCTTGCTCCTTTGGGAGGGGGGGGGTTGGCCTCCCCACTTCTTTAACCAGCCGTTCCTCACTGTCTTTGGAGTTTAAGATCTGTCTTTGAATTACTGGGTATTTTTTTTTAATTAATGGCATTTATTTTAACAGAATAATACATAGGAAGGAGTTTGAGAGAAGGAGGGGTCTCCACTCCATTTGCCCCTTGGAAGTCTGAAATTGGGGTTGCCCTTCAGCCTGGCTTGCCTCACAGGACTGTTGGGAGGAGGCAGCGGGTGGGGGGAGGGAAGGGCCCACCTGCCACCCTCAGAGCGCCAAAGGGAGATTTTGAACAGGTTCGAGATTTCAGGGTGCACTTTAAAATAGCAAAGGGCAAAAAAAGAGAGGGAGAGAGAAAGATATCTTTAGAAATGTGCAATTATGCCCGCCCCGTCTCCCTGTCATCGCACGCGCGTATCTTGGTGCGTTGGCATTAAAATATCTCTCGTTTGCACAGTGACCGCCTCCGCAGGCCGAGTTTCCAAACCACCCACAGGAAACAGGAGCCGCCTCTTTCCGATTCCAAGTCCTGAAGCAGCCACAACCAGCAACACAAAACCACCACAAGGCCTTCCCTGGGTGACCATTTCCATTCACTTGGCCTGTCGGTCCCTTTTGACCCTCCAGCCCCTCTGCAGAATGCCACTTCCCAAGCCAGGCAGGCCGCCGAAAATCCCTAACCCCCTCCCTCCCTCCCAAGCTGAACGCTGCCCCCCTCCTCCAAAGGGCAGGCAGTGTTGCATCTCCCCCCGCCAGCTCTGGCCCTCAAGGAACCGTCTCCCATGCTTGGGGCAGGTGGAAGAGGCAACACCTGCGCAGAGGGTCAGGAGCTTGTGCTCCTGCAAGGTGCCCGAGGGGAGGGGTCTTTCTGCCCATCTGCACCTGGCCCATTTTTCCTTCCAGAGCAAGTGGGGCCTTGGTCTTCCGCACGGCCCAGTGGTTGCATCTGGCCCTCCGTCTCTCCCTCCGTCCCGCCCTCCCATCGCTGGGGAGTTCTGCAACCAGCAGGCCCCCTTCGGGAGTTTTCTTCTTCCGCACTCTGCATTTCATGTGCTTTTTGTTTTTTCAAATCACAGTTCTGTTTCCATTTCACTCATCCAGCCCCCAAACTCCGGGCCTTCTCTGATTTACTCTCAGGCCTTCACAGCCAGGACTGCCACTCTTTGCCTCCGTGATGATGATTTGATTGCTGGCAGCTTCAGTCAAGAGGGATTGCTGGGCTCTGCCACACTGGCGCCCCGACTGCTCTTTTGCAGGGAGGGAGGGAGAGAGGGAGGGATCGGCCAGGTCCCGTTTTCTAAGGATACAAAACGGGGTTCAGCTGATGCAAATGCACGAGAGTTCCTTGTTCTGAAATGCTTTGGCCCAGTGGCGCCAGCGGGCACTGGGGACACAGCTGGATTGGCGCTGCTGCTTCGGGGCAGAGCAGACTCACCAAGGGCCCTGTGCAAACCAACCATGTTGCTTCACTTATGGTCAGCATTGGGGGAACTCAGAAAATGGGTTAATGCAATAACTGAGTTGAGGCTGTTGGGAGTCCTGCATTGTCTCCCCGCATCCATCACTGAAATAGCTTTGAGGGCCTCACAGCCCACCCTTCTTGCCTTTGCCCCCCCCCCCGAATCCCTCTCCCGCTTCCCCCGGAGAAGCAAGTGGACGAGCTCTCGGCGGTCAAGCAGACTCTGCAGGCGGACCTGGAAACCTCGATCCGGCGCATTGCAGACTTGCAGGTGGCTTTGGAAGAGGTGCAGTCGAGCGATGAAGGCGAGACGGAGAGGTGAGTGTGCCAGAAGCCAGCCCTGCTCTGGGCTCCTCTGTCCCTGCAGTTTGCTTGTTTGTGGGGCTGACCGTTCAGGCCAAGACGCTTCTCTGAGGGACCAGAAAGAAAACCCTTTTCGTAATTTCCTGGACCCTCCTGGTGATGGTCAGGAGACGATGGCGGAGGCGTCGCTGTTTCCCTCCACGTCCGAGTGCGGCCGTTCCTCCGCCGTGACGTCAGTGCAGCTCAGAGTGATTAAGCCTGTTAATGGAGCATTAGCAGCCCTGCAGGATGGCTCATTATCCCCACTTCAGTCTCAAGTTTTGAGGAGGAAAAGAGAGAACCGCGGGTCAGTTTATCTAATATTAATAATGCCAACATCCAGTTCTTCGTACAGAAAAAAACCGACCGCATCTGGATTTCCAAAGGAGGCGTTTAGAGGGTTTAAAGAAAACAAAGCCAAGAGCCGTGTGTGAGCCCCTGGCCCTCCCGGGAGGCGGCTCTCTGCGTCCCTGGGTGAATGTTGGTGCCTGCATGTATTTCCAGAGAGGCCCGATCCTGCTTTCTGGGGGTCCTTTCTGGGGGGGCAGCAATCCCTCAGACCGGAACTGATTTCTCCTTCCTTGCAGCATCCAGACAGCCCAGGATTCCCATGGTGCACGGCAGGAGACGTAAGTCGAACTGAATGGGGTCCCGGCTGGGGCTGATGGGCGGCTGCAGCGTGAAGCCCAGTGATCGGCAGCTGTGAAAAATGGGCCTTGATGAATAGAAGCCGATAGAAAGGAAGGGCAGATTAGATTCTCATAGATTTTGGATTTATTCCATCTTGCACTTCAAAATTCACACCTCCCTTCTCCCTGCCTGTCAGCTGCTCCCTCCTGAGAGCCGGGGGGGGGGAGGGGGCTCTCTTGCAGTTCAGGGCAGTGATGGCAGAGCTGGCTGGCCAGAGAGGCTTTGGCTTTCTCTGAGCTGCACGCTGGGAGGGTGGGGCCCGTCACTGGCCGGGATGCCCCTGGGGGCGAAGGTGGGTCTGCCCTGAACGTGCACCATTCCCGGTGCAGGGCCCTGCAGGGTCCATCTTAGCTGTTGTGGGATGCCGTTGGGTAGGTGCCTTAATAGCTTTCATGTGGACTTCAACTCCCAGAATTCCCCAGCCAGCATGAGGGTGGTGCTCTCAAGGGACACAGCGCGCTGCCTGGGGAATTCTGGGAGATGAAGTTCACATGGCTCAAAGTTGCTGAGGTTGAGAAACACGAGTGCAGATGCCCAGATGTTTGCGAGCCTTTTGCCCGAAAGCCCCTCCCTGCCCACATCTTGGACTCAGGAACTTAAATCACAATCACAATAGTTCATTAAGTGTGTGGAGGCGAGCGGCTCTTCCAGATGCTGCAGGTGTGGGATTAGCTCCGTGTACAACCCTTCCCTGCTCTGCCTGTCTCCTCGGAGGAGGCCGAAGCGGCAGCTCTCCTCCTCCTCCTTGCAGGGAGAGTCAGCTGAGTCTGGCTTCAAGTTCATCGCTGAGCTTAAATCTGGAGTCTGAAGGAAGCGTCCGGTCGTGGCTGGAGACGGGGTCAGGTTGGACGTCCCCATCGGCTCCCAGTCTGGCTGGAAGCAGCTCTCAGCTCTCGGTGGACGGCCGGAGCCTCCCGAGCCTGAGGTGAGAGTCATTTTTGCCCTCCGGCCTCTGCGGCCCCTGAGCAGGAGGTCCCCCCTGGAAAAGGAGCCCCACAGCCGGAATCAGCTTTAAGAAGCTTTAGCCGGAATTTCCCAGCCTCTTCATGACCTTCCGGCCACTTGCTGGGCTGTGAACAGTGGGGGAGGGGGTCAGCGTGGATCCGGAGGGCCTGTGTAACCAGGAGGGTGTAAAGGCAGGTGGGGAGCTCCCTGCTCAGCTTGAGGAGGGGGTGAGTGAGAAGCGAGGGCCCGCAGGAGAGGTTTTCTGAGGGAGGGGACATTGTGGGGCCTGGGTGGAAAGGCGGGAAGGCCGCAGGGGAGGGCAGAGCATTGAGCTTGGGAGGATCCCCCTGAGGGGGGGGGGTTTGAAGAAAGAGCAGAAAACGACTCCTGGACAGGTGGGAGCCAAGCAGAGCCCAAGGAGAAGCTCCTCCTGGGTGGGGCGCAGCAGCCCCCCCTCCACCCGTCCTGTGGTCCATCTCTGGCCTTGCAGGAGGTGAAGCAAAACAGTTTTCCAAGCTCCGGAGGAAGATCTGGTGGCAGCTGGCACACGTGTGCCCGGGATCTTCCGATGCCACCGGAGGGTGGAAGCTGTGTTGTATCCCAGGCAGTGCTGGCTTTTCTCGACCGCACAAACCAGCATCATTTCAGTTGGTCCGTCCTTCTGCGCAATTGCCGCTTCTCTCCTTTTGTCTCTGGACATGCTCTGTGTTTCAATTCAAGTACAGATATTATTGCATAAATTATTTCAACTAGCATAAGCATAATAATCATCCTAATTGCTGTGTAATCTTCACTAATTACTGTTGTATGTCATTTGTTTTGGTGCGGCTCGCAGACTGCAAAAATTCCACTTGGCTTAGGGAAGCTTTCGGATTCTCCCCTCGGAGGCTCCCTTAAAAAAACCTGGGGAGGAAGAGGGAGGAAGGAGAGGCAGGGCAGCCTTTGGTTCCTCAAGGCAGCATCTGGCGAGGAGGACCTTTTCTGTTCCAGAAGGTGGAGCTGCTTCTCACTGGCCTGCTTCTCCCCCGCAAAAGCCGGGCTGCAGAGGGTCTCCTTCCCCTTTGCCCCAAGGCCCACTCCCGTGGAGCTACCTGCAAGGTGGGAAGGGGTCTTGCTCGGCCACCAAGCCAGTCAGGTGCAGAGGAACAAAGGTTTCTGCCGGGACCACCTCCTCCTCCTCCCCCCCCCCAGCTTCCCTCCTGCAAGGATTCCCAGTTGCTGGTGGTCTCCCTTAGGGCGGAGGCAGGGGTGAGGATCCGGGTCTCCTCGCCCAGCCCATCAGTGGGCGAGCAAGGTGATGCTGGTCTGTGAGCCAGGCAGGAGCAGCTTTGCCTTGGCTGGAGAGCAACGAGCCCTGTCCTGGTGGCCTCTGAGTAGGGGTCTCCTGGGCTGCATTTGGGAGCCATGTGCTGCCCATTTAGGGGGGCCCAGGGCAAGTGTTTTCTGGCTGAGGGGCTCTAGTGGAAGGAGAGCCCTGGGCCTCTCTTCTGCCAAGCCTCCTTTGCTGCTCTCTTTGATAGACTCTGTGTGTGTGTGTGTGTGTGTGTGAGAGAGAGAGAGAGAGAGAGAGAGAGAGAGAGAGAGAGAGAGAGAGAGAGAGAGAGAGAGAGAGAGAGAGAGAGAGAGAGAGAACGAGAACCCATTTCTAAGGCAACAAAGGTGCAAGGAGTTTTTGCCCTGGACCTTCCTGGCTTGGCTAAGCAGAGCGACCGGACAGGCAGGCTGGAGCCGTAGCAAAGTGAGCCTGGGTGCTTTGGGCTTCCAGAAGGGCCCGGGAGCTCCTGGTCCTTATACGAGGCCTGGCGCCTGAGCCCAGTCCAGGGCCTCTGCGTGGTTCTGATGTCATTTCACACCACACTCTGGAACTCTCTCTCCCACCCACCCCCAAAGACGGCCCAGGCGCTGTGGGAGATGGGGAGGCGGGTGCCAATCCAGGGTGCCCACCCTTTCCTGTAAACACATTCTGGGATGCTAAGCAAGCAGGTGGGCAGGATCCGGGCTGTGCTGTTCTTTGGCAGGTGGGCAGTCGGGAAAGCAAGTGACTCAAGGCGCCCGCCAGCAGCCTTCCAGGGAGATGGGTGGAGCGGCCGATGGACCGAGAGGCTGTCTTGAGACAGGGCAGCCTGGCTGTGCTCTTGGCTCTGCAGATTACAAGCTGTGGAATGTTGCTATGGCAATGGCATCCCTTCTCCTTAGCCAGAAGGGTTTATTCCTGCCAGGCTAAGGGTTGTTAAAACGTGTAGTTCTCAAAACAGAGCAGAAATTGGGAAAAAGAAAGGAACCCTATGCGATTTTTCAGCAGGACCTTTCTCACTTCTCACTCCATTTGAGAGGCTTTTGTGTGGCCAGCTTTTGGGGGGGAAGGTGTTCTTTACCCCCCAGCAAAGGGCAAAGGAGAAGGAGCAGCCCAACTCCCTGGCAAACTCAGTTTGGGATCCCCACCCTTCATGCCCATGCCGGGGGAGGGGGATTTAGATCACCGTTCTGGCGGTCCGGGGGCTTTCCTCTCTCCGGTTGGCCCCGCAGAGTTCCTTGAGCAAGAGCCGGAGGGAGCCGCTGGCCTTTCTCAGCTGCGACCCAGGCCTGCGTCCCACCAGATGGGGAAGCAGCTTCTCTAACCTCAGGTTTTAAGTGTAAATATGTATTTCCTGGGTGGACCCGGGTGGGGGTGTTTTCTCAACCGCTGACTGGTGTGTGAAGCTTTGGCTTAGCATCCAGCTCAGGGTTTCTTGTCCAACTGTTTCCTCGTAGGGCGAACAAAGACCAAGAGAAAAGCTGGCATTCAACCTCCTTGCTAAGTGCGAAAAGGAAGGGCTACGGACGGTGTGGAGGAGACCCGGAAAGCCCTCCCGTTGGCTCTCTGAGGCGTGACTCTGGGCGGCCCCAGGGCGGCCCCAAGTCAGAGGCTGCTGTGTCCCTCTCCGCAAGGAGGCCGGTGTCCTCTCCGGCCCCAGCCAAAGAGACGCTTCCTTTCTCTCCCTTCCCAAGCAGAAAACTCTCTCCTTCGGCGGAGGAGGACCGGCTGCCCCTGTCCTCCTCTGCGCTCTCTGAGTACGTGGAAGGGCTGCGGAGGGAGCGGCTGAAGGCTCAGGCGCCTTTGGAGGAGGCCTCCTCCTTGCCCATTTACCAAACGACCGGGGCTCCCTTCCTCAGGAGACGCAGGACCCTGAAGGACAACGAAGACTTTCAAATCGACCTGGAGGAGCTTGGTGCAAACCCTGGAGTTGACCTGGTTCGCTCCTCCAGTCTGAGAAGCATCTCGTCGGATTGTGGGCTGCGGCCGTCCTTCTCCCCAGTCCTGAAAAGGGCCTCCCGCTTTGGCTCCTTCGACTCCCTCGTGCAGAACACCGAGGACCCTTACGCCAAAGTTGCCTCTCCGATCCTGGGTGGGGACGTGGTCGGCCCGTCGCGGCCGATGCCATGGAGAAGCTGCCTGGAGCCCTCCTTGGAAGAAAGCCTGGATTTCGGGAAGGAGCCCCTGACGTTCCAAAGCAAGAGGCTGGGGGAGATTCCAAGTGAAGGAAAGGATCCCTTTCCTTGCAAAATACCAACGCTAAGTTACGAGCGAAAAACAGAGGCTGACTTGGACGACTTCCTGCCTGCCATCCGGAAAGCTCAGTCCACCAGTAGCCTGTCCAGAGGCCCCAAGGAGAGGAAGGAGGGACAGCGGCCCCCCAGTGTCCATTTTGAAGACCACATTGCCCCTCAGCGCACTTTCCTGTCTGAGATAAAGACCGTTTTATCCCCACAGTGGAGAGCTAAGGAGGAACCCGGCAAGCTCTCCGACTCCGACTCCTCTTCTTCAGGCTCGGCGATGTCTTTCAAAAGCGCCGACAGCATCAAGTGCCGGCCCAGAGTCCGAAGGCAGGACGGGGAAGGCTGCGTGGGGGGCCAAGGGAGCGTGGAAGGGGTGAAAGTGGACCCACGGTCCGAGGCCGAAGGGAAAGAAGACGATGTGACCAGCATCATGATGAAATACCTTGGAAAAGAGTAAGGTAATCAGTCCGTGGCCGTGCCTTCTGCTTGCAGCTCTGGTGGCGGAAGGCCCGGCCAGCGGAGATCCCTCGTTCACACCGTCATGCGGCTAGTTTAGAGGCGGGTCCCTGCGGCACAAGTCATGCTTTGCGTGAAGATGTTGCCTGGCCTGATCCCCCCAAAATTTCCTAAGACCCCCTCCTTAAGATCAGCTGAGCCATTTCCCCCGACTAAGACCCAGGACCAGGCCTCCTTCCTTGGCCATAGATGGGGAAGTTCTCACCAGCTCTGGGGGCTCCTCAGCTGTCATGAAAAGAGCCCCTCTGCAGCTCTGGCAACTCGCCCCTGAACACGCAAGCAGCTCCTGGCTCCTCCTAGCATTGCTTTCCCCTCTTCTTGGGGGTCTGACAGCTGTCATTCAGCCAGCCAAGCTCTTAGGATGGGCTGCTGCCTTTCTCTTATGCTTTCCCTGCCTGGCCTGAGGAGACAGACGGCCCACCCAGAGACAGAGAAAGCAAGGAAGGACCGGAGGGAACCTTCGCAGCCATTGCCCTCCTAAGTCCATGGGAGATCCCAGTCTTTTTGCAGCATCTATCCTCCCCCTTCTCCTCTACCACCACCACCACCACCACTTTATTTTGGCCTCTTCTTTGCCAAGCTGGAAGATTTTGCGTTTTGGCCTGTTCCACTGACGAGTGAGTGGATTAAGAGCCAATTAAGAGACTGGATGGGAGCAGCTCAGCCTTAGCAAATGTCCTCTTCATTTATCTGCAAGTTGTGTGACGTTTCCAGGGTGGCTTTTACCTGAGCAGGTTTCTCTAATCCGGGGAGTCGGCTTGGGATGTTGGCTGGGCCTGGGAACTCCCCCGGGTATTGTTCCGAAGCAAGGCAGGCTGAGGGTCTGGATGGGAATGGGCCCTGTGGCGGGGGGGGGAGGGTGCCAGCCTAGAGGGGGAACTGCAGACCCACATTTCCTTCAGCCTGCCCTCTTTCCTTCCTCTTCAGGGCTTCAGCAACGGCATGAAAAACGGATCTGCAAGCAGGTTTTCTTCTGTGGATGATGGTTTCTCCCCCACTGGTGCTGCCAGAACCATAATGCACAACCGTGGGTGTGCCTAGGTGTGAAAGAGACGAATGTGCAGGCCTTCCCCATCGGGAGCCGTTTGGGGAGCTCTCTTGGATTGACGCCAAATAAAACATTTTGGTTCTTGGAGAGGAGCCTCTGTGGGTGGCTTCTGTTGAGATATCCAGAGTTGGACTAGGTAGCCTTAGGAATATTAGGGGGGGGGGGATTGTTCTGGGTCTCTGGGGGTCTGTGGTAGAGGCAGGCAAAGGATGCTGCTGCTGCCCCTGTGAGAGGAACGGAGGGAGGGAGGCGCCTCTTGGCACCAAGAAGGAAGAGGGAGCCCTTGGCCGGCTGGTCCTCCTCCGGACCCCTCCCTTTTTTCTTCATACACATAACACACACCTGGGGTCCAGCCAGCTGTCCTTAAGGGGTCCCTTTGGCTGCTGCAAACGGGATCTCTGCTTTGCAGCTGTTTCAGGGCTGGGCTGTAGCCGGGGAGTTTTCCTCCGAGGAAGCAACAGGCTGTTTGTTTAACTAGTGTTAGCCCTGAAAATAATGTTTCCGTTTATAGCTTTCTTGTAGGAGTTTAAAAGAATCCTGGAACATAAAAATAAAAAAGTAACTGAGTGATGGAAACAAAAGAAAGCAAAGGAATAAACCCAACACAGCCTGGGGGAGAAGCAAAGAAACCTTTTCAATGAGTTTGGAACAAATTGCAGGTATTGTGTGTAAGCGCATCCGTCGAAGCTGACATGCGTTGCTAACAGAGGAGGCGTTGATGGAAGACGGGAGCTGCGCCTGATTCACGGCTGAGACAAAGAAACGAGCCCCTTCCAGGGACTCCCTTGAACTCCCCTCGGTGTCTTCCACTGCAGCCGCCCCTCCTTTGAGACGATGGGGGGAAGGGGGGCTTGTTCCTCTGACAGTTTTCTCCACGAAACCCCAGCAAGCTGGGCTGGGCCGAGAGAAGCAGACTGGCCAGCGTGACCCAGATGGCTTCTGGGCCTCAGTGGGGCCGGGTGGGGGGGCTAGAGCCCCACCATGACCCCAAGCAGGGCCCGAGAGGGTCTCTTTTGTCCGTTGGGGGAGGGCCGGGGGGCCTGGCTGCAGGGGCCCTCCTGCCTCTGCCAAAGGCTGGCGTCCGTTTGCTGATCAGCAGGGGCTCCGGAGGGCCCCCCCAGTGCTGGAGACCCCGCAGGCAGAATAGCGCATCGGCCCGGATGCGAGGAGAGGCCTCAGATACAAATGAGCCCAGAGCCCCGGCTTGGCGCAGCCTCTCCGGGCGCTGCCAAGGGCAATTTGAGAGTCGGACTTCAGACCATCTGGAGGCCACCTGAGTGGCACACACACACACACATACACACACTCAGTGGCACAAAACACACCGGCTCTGCCTGCGCCGCTCTTTTCAGTTGGGCCATAGCCAGAGCCATGGGGATTGGTGCAGCCTAATCATCTTGCCTCTCTCTTTAAATCCCTATTTTAAAGATTTTTTTAAAAATTCTATTTAACTATGTTAATTTATTCAAATTCACCTCTCTCCAGCAGTAAAATTCCTTTTGTAAGCTCAGTCCAGCCAGGTGTAGCCACGAGCCAGAGAACCAACGTGGTCCGAAGTGGGGGGACTGTCGTTAGCGGAGAGGGCCCCAATGAGACTAGGGGCTGGCTGAACTCTTCGGGCCCGGACTCCCCTGTCCCAGGGCCACAGCCTTTTCCCCAGGTCAGAGGATGCAGGAGGCCTCTCCCCTTCTCTTCCTGCCCCCCCCCCCGGCAGCCCTCTCACCATTGGGGCCCCAAGAGTTCAGTGCAACTGTTTCCACTGCTGAAAACCACCCATGGGCAGCTCTGGCTTTGGACCCCCGACTTTCAAGCTCATGGAGAGGCTGCTGTAGATTCCCCACCCTTGCTTCTTGGGCCAGCTGTGTCCCCATCTTGGTGGGGCTGGACCCCACTTAGCAGTGCCCGAGCACCACCACCCAAAGGGTGGCTCAGATTCCCCCTGCCTTCTCCTGGGGACCCCCACTCTTCTGCTAAGCTGACCCCAGTGGCAGCTCCAAGCCCCCCCCCCCGAGCAGCCCCGCGCCGAGCAGCCCCCTCCCGTTTCATGTCCCTATTTACATCCTCTTTATGGCTTTATTAAACTGCTAGCTGTGCTTCAATTAAAGGAGTTGCTTTTTCTGCGACTGTAAGCACATTTCATCAGAATAAATGTCATTTGTTAGGCAAAAGTGGGGGGAGGCTCTTGACTGCAGCTGCTGAGGGGGGGAGACTGCTGAATACACCCCCACACTCGGGCTGATGCTGAGATTCCCCTCCCTCTGGAAAACCCTCTGCCACACTTTCCACAAAACCTGCAACTTTGAGCACAACTGTCCCCAGGCAGGTAGAAGGCAGGGCGAGCTCAGCTGTTCCCCCCCCCCCCCAGGCCAGGAGAGTCTGTGCTCCTCAGCCTGGGTCCCTCTTCCTTGCTTCTACAGTCCCAGGTTCTCCCTCTCCCCCTCCTCTTATTTGCAGGAGGAGCTGGAGGGGAAGAGTGTTAAAAATAGAGAGGCTGGTGGGGGGGGGAGCGAGATGCAGGTAGAGAGGCTTCTAAGGACTGTGATTTTGCCTGCCCAGCAGGGTGTCGATCCCAGCTCCATCCCAGGGTTTAGGTGGGCTTAGGAGGTGTGGAGTCCCCCAGGTTCCCAACAGGCTGTCTGATGTCTCAATACAAGTCTGCCTTGCTCAGACCCAGCCAGGCTCTTTCTCTCCTTCACTCCCTTCACCCTCTGGGGATGGCCCTGCCATTTCCTCCTGCATTTGGATTGGGGGGGGGGCTCCTGATGCGATGGGGGCAATGGTCAGTTGCCCTCCTGGGCTTGAGAAGGCTGAGGAAGGGGGACCCCCCCCCACTGCCTGCCTGGGAGGGGGTGCCAGCTTAGGGTGGCCAGGATGGGGGCTCCCTCCTTCAAGATGGGGGGGGGGAGAGGAGAAGGAAGCAGCTCACGAAGCGGCATCTGCATTCAGAGCCACAGATGGTCCTGGCGCCTGGTGGGGAAGACGTGTTCGAACAGTTTGTTCTGAAGCTTGATGGGCTTCGGAGCACAAATTTGGAGGCTTCTCTGTGCCTCTGCAGGGGTGCTAAAAATAGAGCACCCCCCCCATGGTGCTTGCTGGGGGAGGGGAGCCGGCGGGCAGCGGGTGGATCCACCCCACCACCGTAGCCCAGCCCAGCCCAGGTGTAACAGGTGGGGCAGAGCCATCCCAGGGCCACCCACCCCACTCTTGGCCTTCCTTGCCACCATGCCAGGTTGGCCAGATCCTGGTTGCCCAAATGCCTCGGGATGCCCTCCTCTTCCTCCTCCGTGGCGCTTGAGGCCAGCCTCAAGGAAAAAAATCCAAGATGCTCTTGGACTGATTTGGGGATGCGTCTTTTGTCTTCTGTTTTTTTTAAAAAAAATTAAAAGCCGTAATGCATTTATTCCATCCTGATGAATAAAACATCCACTCTTGTGAAAGGGAAGCTCAGCTTGCCAACTGATGGGCCCACAGCGAGACCCGGCCAAGAGGCGGCTTGACTTGTGCCAGTGGGGGGCAGAGCTGGCCGGAGGCTCCTGCCCTTCCGGACTCGGCTTGCAGGAAAGGAAGCCGGGATGGAGCTCCCTCAGCCTTTGGACGGGTCCAGGCTGGAAATGCATCGCTGCCCCTCATGAAGACCCTCCCTGCGGGTAAGGTGCCTCTGGGTGCTGTTGGGAGGCTCCGAGGCCGTACCCCCTCTGGCTCCTCCTCTCTCCTGACCCATTTTGCCCAGGGGTGGAGCAGGATGGCTGCTTGCTGGCCGTGGCTGAAGCCGTCAACGAGACAAATGGAGCAACTGAAGTGATGCAGCAGCCTCCTCCCAGGCGGTGCTCAAACAGGCTGAACGGACGGAATACAAATTTGCAGCTCTCGGCCGCTCGCTCGCTCGCTCGCTCACCCACTGGGACTGCTGGGGGCAGCGCGGTTCTGGAGCAGCAAAGACAAAGCCCCCAAAGACGCACACTGTGTGCAGCCCTCCCCCACTCACCCAAGCATTCAGCCAGCAGAGCGGGAAGGCCAGAACCCCCAGTTATGTGCTAGACTTTGGGGAATGACCGGGTGGAATGTAACCTGAAAGGGGCTGATCCTGCCTGCTCGTGCAGGTGAGGGCCCACGGACTCCTGGGCCAAAAGGGGGGTGGTCTTCAGGACACCCAGTTCCCTCTCCTCTGGCTGGCTGGCTTCTGAGACACACTAGATGCCCCTTCTTCTTCTTCATTAAATAATTGAAGCTAGCAAGCGAAATCCAGGTGTTCAGAGGCCTCCAGTGCATTCCTTGTCCTCTGCTCTAACTGGCTGGGGGTCCATCCATCCTCTCTCAGTTGGAGCTGGAGCACGTTCTTTCCTCCTGGAGTGAAAGGGGTCTCTCTCCATTTTCCACTGCAGGAATCATTTACTCTGATGGAGAGATGGGTGGATCCAGAGATACATGTGGCTCTTCCCAGGGTTCACTTCAGAAACCCTTTCATATCCCACTCCCCCCCCCCCAGATTCTACAGAGGTCCTTCCCCCACCTCCTTTTTCCTTGGACCCAGAAGGGTCTTTCTAAACAAACATCCCCATTTATATTTTTAGAAGAGGACAACCAAGTGGTTAAGACAATTACAGCAGAGATTCTGCAGCAGTTCACTTGCCATAACAATTAAGCTGATAATGCCAGTGATTATGTTTTTTGCTTCTTGCAGGCTTCTTCCTTGTATGTTCTGAATTCTCCCTTTCTTAATGAATTCCAAATTGCTGGAAGACTGCAGTGTCCTGGGGCTTCTCTGCTACAGGGCTGTCTCCTGTCCCTGCTGCGTTCCAGAAAATTTAGGCTAAAAGGGAGATTACAGAGCTGGCCGGCCAGCCTCCGCAGGCTGAATGGAAGGGCTCCCCAGGCCACTGGAGTTCCTCCTATGCTCTGTTTACAGCTCAGTGGTTTTCTGTACCCACCATAAAATAAGCTCCCCAACTTCAGCCTAAGCTGGTGGATGGAACCCAGGATCTGTTGGTCACCTGGGCAGGCAGCCTTGACCACCTGTCTGCAGGTTTTCTTTCCCCTTCCGTTAAAAAAAATACTCACAGGGAATCACATTGCTCCATCTGGTTGGATGGGCCCAAAGTGAGGCTTATCCCAGGGAAATGTCTGTGTGTGTGTGTGTGTGTGTGTGTGTGTGTGTGTGTTGTGTGTGCAAAACAGAGCACAAGCTTTTGCAGAAGGATGAGAGAGAGGAATAAACTCCAAATGTTATAAATCTCACCTGCTTGGAAATGTCAGGTTTGATTGGAAACATCAGCAAATGACTTGAAATCCAGCCAGTGGCGCGGAGATCAGCCGCTGCTTCGTTTTCCTGATGTTGGTGTGCAATCAAAACGGGTGTGGTAGCAGGTTGAAACAACAGATGTGTGAATTGTAGTGTTGACATGATTGCCTTGAGATTGTACAACGTGGACCATAGTTAGCTATTTGAAAAATGTCCCTGCTAATCCAAAGTGAGGATGGAACCCCCCATCTGTTCCCCTGCTGCCAGATGCAGGAGGTCTCAAGGTCACTTCTGTTGCCTTCAGCCCTCCGAGGCCTCCTGGAAGCCGAGAGACATCCCCCCCCCCCCAGGCTTGGAGCAAAACGTTATTCCTGTCCGGTCTTTGGGTAGGGGGCACTGGGAAGGGGGGAGCCATCTGGGAGGGGCCCTCTTGTGAGCAGACAGCAGAGCTTGCTGGCCCCTCTCTCTGCAACAGGTGCCAGTCCTCCCTGGCCGATCTGCACGGTGGCAGTGATGGGGTTGCCATGGGAACCGCAGCCGTCCTTGGAGCGGTCGGTCCTCGTGTAGCTGCAGCCCCAGAGCCGACAGAGCTGCCCCACCGCAGAGAGAGGCTAGTTGCTCGGTGTTCCCCTGCTTCCTTCCCCCCTAAAGTCTCTGCCCAATGCGGGCCTTGGGGGGCAGGCTGAGTCCCTCGAAGGTTCTTGCAATGACGGGTTGGTCCCAGTGCTAGCTAGCATCCCTCCCTGTGCAGCTGCTTTTCAAAAATCTGTGACTTCATTAATTGGTATCAAGGCTTGTTACTTCCATTCTGGCTCTTCTTCCTCTCCCTCTTCCCCATTGCTGCCCTTGCTGAAGGTGTACTGCTGCTGCCCGTCTCCTTATTTATAAACCTTAAATTGGCACCCACACGGCCTTTTTTGTTAAACAGATTTACAGTCCACGAGACCAGCGGTGGATGTCAGCCAGCACCGGAGTGGCCTGCAGGAAGCTCATGTTCGGAAACAGAGGATTAGAAGGTAGGAAGGCAAACAAGCCCCAACCCGTCTCAGGTTTGAAACGTGATTACAAAACAGTTTTACCATCTCCACCGCCACTTCTCAGCACCAGTCCTGGCTCTGCGTGTACAGGGCAAAGAGTCAGCATTGTAAAGGAGGCTGCTTATTGCAGCTCCTTGTTCCTAGCTGGAAATAAGAAAGACATAGTTGCTTTGTTTCCCCCACCCCACCCCGTCCGCATAGGGGCTTTGTCATTTGGCGCTGGAAGTTTTCCATGCCCTCCTGCCCGCCCAGCCTTCCTGCTGCTGACGCCTTGGTGCTCTCTGAGCTTGGTTGTTTTCTTGCAGATGTTTCATTACCCAAACTGGGTACCATCATTAGTGCTGGCACCGCTAGCTAGCTAGTTAGCTAGTTTGGGAAATGAAATGTCTGCAAGAAAACAAACCAAGCTCAGAGAGCACCCCTCATTTCAACCCTGAACCGCAAATATTCTTCACTTGTGCTGCTGATGCCTTTCAGAGGAGCTGGACCCCCACCCCTCTCATCCCCTTCCAGGTGCAGGAAATGGGGAATGGACTCCACAGCCCTTTGGACGGGTCTGTGACAATTCACTGTGGCCAACCCACCACAGGACAACTCGTTGCACTAATAACAAAGAAATGGAATAGAATCCTTACAGAAAGGATGCAAAAGGAGGGACAGAATGAAATGCGATTGACAAAAATTAAAATATTTTTTAATTTATTTTAAATCATTAAATAGAATGGTTAAATTATTCCGCAGTGAGTTGGCCGTGGCAAGTCGTCCCGTTCCCCTTCGGACTGCCTGGGGCCCCTCCTTGCCTTGGGGTGCGTTGCCAGAAGAGAGAGGCTCCCACAGGACCCCAGGGCGATTGCAGTATTTCCCAGCCCCTCCCCTCCTCCTCCTCTCTCTCTCCCCCTCCTGGGAGGGCAAGAGGGGGGGTGTTAATGGGCCACATTAAATAGCCAACCAGGCAGAAAAGGGCTTCCCTTTGGGAAGATGGAAAGACCTTTTGCCTGGGAGGATCGTTCTGTGCCGTTTCCGGTACATTAACTGAAGCCATTTTGGTTTTCCAAAGTATTTGGCATCAGTGCTTGTCTCAGTCACTCCTCTGCGTTGTTCTCTGCTCCCCTCTCAACTTCTTCCTTCCTGCCTGGTTTTGCCCCAAGCCTTTGTTGCAATTCTGCCCAGAGGGAAGAGGGAAGCCACCTGCCAGAGACCTCCTCTTCATAAGACCCGTTAGGGCTGACATTTGCCCACAGGCTTGAAAACAATTTAAATTCTTGGCCCAGCTGGCCTTCCTGCTCACCCCTGGCTCTTTGCCAGTTTTCTCCCTTCTGACCCGCTGCCCCCTTGGTGGCTTCAGAGTCAATGAGGCCCTGGAAAGAGCTGCCCAGTGGCCTCTCACCAGGAACTGAGCCCACCGTAACCGGTCTTGGGTACAATTTTGGCTAAGCAGCTGCTTAAAGTAGGCAAAAGAGTTTTGAGGCTCAGATGTTTGGCTTTGGTGTGTGGGGATGTGTGTTTGTGTTTATGTGTGTATATGCAAAAGAATAGCATTCCGGGAGGGGTGGGAGTGTATCACTGTTCGTTCTCAGCAGAAATCGGGACAAAACCCAGCAAGGGTCCCGAAGGAAGCAGGGGCTGGACGGTGGTTGTGGCCGAGCCGCTGAGCTGCCCACGGAGGCAAGGCCAGCAGAGGTTCTCGCGCATTGTGGCCATTGGTTTCCTATCCCTCTTTTCTCTCTGGCTGAGCTGGCCGGATTTTAAGGAGGAAGATTAGGACCTGAGGAGGCCAAGCAGGGCCCCGTGGTCAGCAAGCCTACTGTGGCCCTGAGTGGGGGGGCAAGGAAGGTGTGGTGAGACTGAGGGGGGCACAGCCTCGGGACTGAGACCCACGGGATGGAGTTGAGCAGTTGAGAGGGGAACCCTTCCCAATACCCCCTCAGCCCTCCACCACCACCCCCAGCAGCTGATGTGTCTGATGGTGATTTGGTGCCAGTATGGAAACCACTTGCCGTGTCTTCTTGTGAGTGGTGTCCCTCTTCCAGGGCTGCTTATAGCTTCAGACCTTCCTTGTGGTCTCTCATCCAGCCCTGCTATGTGCTTCTGAGGTCAGCTGTGGTGACCTGGGGTCTCTGCAGCCTGAACCGGGGCTTGTCCTCCTTTGGGCCTCTGAGTGGAGAGATTTCCCCGGAGTAGAAGCTTTGGTCTTGTGTGGCCGCAGCTGCCTTTGCTAAGCGCCTTCTGCTCCCGGCCCACGGGAGGGAAGTGGGGGCCGGCCATGCTTTGGGGAGGATTTTGGTCACAAAAGACCCATTTCTGCCTTCTGGGGGCCTTGAGGAGGGGGGAGGCTGGCTGTCAGCCTGGGCCCAGGGAGTGAGAAAGGGAAAGGGTTTCTCCTCCTCCTCCGCTCTGCGCCCCCACCTCGAGCAGAGGGTTGAACTGCGGCAGCGGGCGGAGCTCGGTACATTCTGCACGCGCTCAGTGGCATCCTTGCCTCTTCTTCCTTAGATCGGCTCGGTCGCGAAAAGCTCCGGTTGAGCCCCGTCTTTTTTCCGCGGGGCGGGCAGGAGGCGGGGCAGAGCGGCGACCCATTGCTCCCCCCGCCCGCAGCGCCAGCTCGGATTGGCAAAGGAGGGGCTTCCTTGCCGCGGCCGCCACCGCCACAAGCCGGGCTGCGCGAAAAGGGAGCGGCCGGTCGGAGAGCAGCTCGTCTCGAGGGGCGGGATCCCAGCACCATGTCGGGGCCCCGGGGGCTCGCCCTTCTCCTCCTCCTCCTCCTCCTCCGCCTGCCGGGCGGCCGCTCCGAGAGGACCCGCCAAGGTAGGGCCAAGGGGCGGGGGCGGAGGGAGAGTCCGTTCGTCTCCTCGGGGAAGCAGCTGCGGCGGCCTCTTCGGCTGAAAAGGAGCCCCCGGAGCCTCTTTCCGACCGCAACTTGGAGCCCCGGAGCCCCAGGGCGCGCGGGGGCGGCTTCTGCGTCGCGGGCAGCCTTGCCCATCCCGGGCGCAAGTTCGTAGGCGAACATCAAAGCGGGAGGGGGGCAGGCGGACCGGGGAGGGGCGCCCCCTCCCTGAATACGGGCTCCCCCCCGCCCTGTGCGCGCGTGCTTGTGGGGGGCCCTCGCCGCCGCTCCGGGCCGCCTGCCTTCAGCACCACGGCGCCGGACAGCTCCTGCCCGCCAGCTCCGCCCCGCCCGGCTTGCGCGCCCGGGAACTTCTCTGCCGCCCCCCCCTCCCCGCTGCCGCCCGTCCAGCGTGTCCCGAGCCGCGCAGGGGAATCGGCGGGTCGTGGCTCACCCGGGATCCGCGCTGATGCAGCCGCTCAGAAGGCAGCGCGGGCGAAGGTGGCGGTGCGCGCACTCGGGTGGGCCGCCTCCGGAACCGGGAAGTTGCGCGGCCTTTGGGGTGGCTGGAGTGCTGGGGGGCAGCGGAGGCCGGCGGCGTCTGGATGCCGAAGGGGCCACTGTGTGCGTTTCTGTGGCTGCCCCGCCCGGAGAGCCAAAGGAGGCCGGAATTCGCCGGCGTGCCACCTTGGACCCCCATCCCAGGCAGCAGGGCAAGGGGGCAAGGCAAGGGTGGGCTGCAGGGAGATGGGGCCGGATTCTGCTCCTCCGGCTCGGAGGGGGGAGCAACAGGCTGACGCAGAGGATTCCTGTCCCGGGTGGAGTGTCTGTGGTGAGAAAACCCAGATGAAAGCGGAGGTAGAAAGGATGGGCAGGTTGAAAAAAGGAGAGGGAGGCCTGAGGACCTTTCACCCTGTCCCACCCCCTAAATTGGGTCCTGGCTCCAGAGAAGCCACCTTCACCGAACTCACCAGGCAGACAAAAGTCCGCCTAGCCCATCTCGGATTCTGTGTGTACCTCAAATCCAAGGCCTTGCTGACTCCGGCCTCTCCTTTCTAATGTTCCCGAAGGAATGTCCAGTTCATTTTATTTCTTTTATTAGATTTTTGTCATTCTCATTAAACAGGAGACATTCAAAGCTGAGGCTGGTATTTTGGGGCACCTTCCACCCATAGGGAAAAGGAAGGGTGGGCTGGTCTTGCAAAGACCCCCAAATTTGTCCTTTCTGACAAAATTCTTGCTTTGGTTCTCCCTCCTCCAGGGATGTTGAAGTGCTTCTGTGGAGCTTGTCCAGGCAGGGCAGGTTGCAGCCCTTTGCAGAAAGTTTTTGATGAGCTTAAATGATCTGACATGTTTTTAAAATGCGTGTTTAATCACATTAGCCTGGTGAGTCTGAGCACAGCAATGTCAGGAGGAGGAGAGTAAGAGGATTTGGGAGGGAAGGTGGGGGTCCCAAGTCAGTTTGTCTCCCTCTGAGCTTCCTCCTTGCCTTCAGTGGCCATTTCTGACCGGTTGGCTTCCTGCTGCAGGGCAGGAGCCGAGGTGTGTGTGCGTGCATGTGTGTTTGTGTGTGTATGTGTGCCATGAAGCGGCAGCAAATTGCAGGTGGCTGGAGTTCAATGTGGCTCACAAAGAGATGTGCCTGGGGTTTTCAGAAGAAGATGACTAGCTTTGGGGCTGTGACCTGGGCAAGGTGCCTCCTGGCAGGATAAGGCTGCTCATCAGGAGTCTTCAGTTGGAGCAGAATATGGCAGTCGGGGAGGGTCCTGGAGCCACCTGGGGGGTGTTTCCGTGCTGGTTATTCTGCAGTCATGACACTGGCAGCCTCTCAGCCCCTCTCCCCATTTAAAGGGCAGCAAGTAGCCGTTGACCTCTTGAATACCCAGGTTGAAGGGTGGAGGGGAAAGGGAGGAAGAGGAGGAAGATCAGAAAAAAATTAAATGTCCATTTCTGTGGACAAAGCACGCCACGTAATCCATGTCAGGCAAGAGACGGGTTTGATTCTTCAGTTCGACCCCTTCCCATTCCTTTCACCAGATGCACATGTCAGAGAGCAGGAGGGCTTATAGGAAGCAGAAACACACCCGGTGAGACTTCCTATCTTTTAAAATCAAAGGGCCGAAGGAGGGAAACGAAGGTGGAGGCAGGGAGGGATGGGGGGCAAGAGCAGCTGCTCACCAAATGGAGGAAATTGACGCAAGGGTGAGCAAACCAACAGTCACACAATAAAGTGATTGAATGTCTCTGGATCAAAACGCTGCACAAGAATTTCAAATGGTTTTTTTCTATCTTCCTTGTATGCAGGCCAGAAACAGGGAAGGGGTGCAAAAGCCGCCCAGAGGGAAGCTGCTGTCTTGTGTGGCTGCTTGGTTTAGATTGGCTTTGCCCGGGACACTGGGCCTCCCCATCCTGCTGGGATCCCTTCCTGGGACGCCAAAGGTTTGGGGGGAAGCCAGGACCTGCTTAAGGTCCCGCTGATGGAGAGGCCAGAGCAGGAACTGGACCTGCCCAACCGTGGGAGGCTGGGCAGGCAGGGAAGCCACCAATACCAGGCCTGCTGGGCCTTTGGGAAGAGGGCCTCCTGCGCCCAGGCCTGCAAAACTGCTCAGCTGCCAGGTGAATCAGCTTCCATAGGCGTTTTTTTAAAGGCTATATAGATTGGCTGCTGCTGTCTCAGCTGGAGCCAGGCCAGCTCTATCCTTAGCCTGGGGAAAACAATTGCTTCAGACAGCAGCTCAGCCCTTTCCTCAGAACACCCTGGCCAGGATCAGGGGAAAGCGGGAAGCCCCCTCTCCCCCTCCCAGGGACTTTTGAACACCCGGTAGCCCACTCCCGACTTTGAGGCGTTCCCCTGGTGGCTGAGCCGAGCTGAGGGGCAGGACAAACTCTCCAGAGCAAAGGAAGCTGCTGGGGCACCAAGTTACCTGCTTTGGAGAAGCTGAGCCCCTCCTAGAGTCCCATCCCCCCTTTGCCACCTCCAGATCCAGCCCAGCCCTCCTGATGGAGCCCCTTCCTCAGGCGGCCGGCTGATCCTGTCTGCCTGAGAGTCCACTGGAGCCCTCCGGCCGAGGCCCCCAAGAGAAGCCAATAGCCAGGAAGGTGGGACAAGGAGTGGGAAGCCCTGCTGGAGTGGCCTTGGCTGAGTCCGGCTGGCAGATATTAATGAGGTGCTTCAAAGACTTGGTTTTGGCAGCTGGGCTGGAGAGGTGGGGGGGCTGCTCTTGGGCATGGTGAGAGGGCCACTAAGAAGGGCCAGAACACCCTCTAGGTGGGAGGCTGGTAGCCACTTAAACTGAGTCCTGTCCACAAGCGCTTGTGACCCAAAGAGTGGCTGACGGGGCCCTTCCCTCGACTTTTCTCTCAGGAGGCCCAGCTGCCTCCAGCGCTTGGCAGTGGGGAACCGGCTCCGTCTCAACTCCCGCCAGCCACAAATACTTATTTTCCCCGGATTTTATCCTGCCGAGGAAGACCTGTCAGCACACCTCCAGCTGTGAGTCTTTTCTGTGCAGGCATCTTGGCTAAGACAGGGGGGCCCTCTGGATGGGCTAATAAACGGTTAAACGTGCATTTCATTGCTCCTGCAGCAGCAGCAGCACCAGCACCGGAGTGGTGAACAAATAACCCAAAGTCCCCTCAGTTTTATTAATACACGGAACACCCTGCAACCATCTGCTTAATAGGTTTTTATCTCTGAAAGCCGCTGCAGGCTCTGTGTTGTCACTAGGAATAAACCCACTTAGCACCACTTTGTAGCGCACTGGGGCCATTGCTGGGCTGCCAGGCTTATTCCTTAGGACTGGGGGCCTCCGAAGAGGCTGGTCTGCTCCGCGGCTGCTTCCAGAGAGGCGGCCCGTCCCAGAGATGTCTCCCAGCTGGACTCTGAGCGTAAGGCCCACCCCGTGCTGCTCTTCCTCGGGAATGACCGGGGCCTTTTTTCTCCCAGCCCACCCACCTCACCCTGTAGTACTTTTAATCTTTATCCAGGGGGTCTTCATTGTAAGATCCCAGAGCCCTTCCCTCTGCTTTGTCTGGACAGTTTCAGGAACGAGAGCGGCCTTTCCCAGCTCTTTGTCAAGGACTGTTGCAATAGGTAGAATGACCCTATTCGGTGAGACCCTAGCCCCGTGCCTCTTAGCAGCTGAGTAAAAACTATTCAGCTGATCTTGTTCATATCCAGTAAGGAGATAGATAGATAGATAGATAGATAGATAGATAGATAGATAGATAGATAGATAGATAGATAGATAGATAGATAGATAGATATACACATAGATATAACCTTTAAACCCTTTTCTGTCTCCAAGGAACTCAGAGCAGGATACCTGTGGTCTTTTCCCTTCCTGTTGCAATGTGACAATCCTTGTAAATTTCAGATTTAGACGTGGCTGTGGGCCCCAAAAAAGGTGTTTTTTTTCCTAAAAACTTTAGCAAATTTCATAAAATACAAAAAAGAAAAAAAGAATTTAAAAAGAGGGAAGAAGAGGTGAAAAACAAAACTGATGATTGCTGACAAAAAGGGAAAAAAGCTAATAGAAAGAAAAGCAAATTTTCTTCAGTACAAATAAAAACCTAAAAATCAATGAAGCAGACTAAATCAGAACAAACAGTACTTCTATCATCATAACAAGTCTAATCATCAAAACCCAAGTTAAAATTTCATTTCTTTCCAAGCAGAAAATAAGGTAGGCAAAGTCTTCTCTTTAACCAAAGCAGTCGACCAACAAAGCTTCAGCTTGACTGAGCTGAATTAGCTCAGCCCAAAGGCCCCCCCCCCCACTGAAAAAGAGCGTCTATCCTGCAGGGCATTTAACAGAATGTCTTCAGCCCTTTAAAAACGCCTTCCTTTCCGGCAAAATGCAATGCCCCAGACCAGGATTTTAATTTACCAAGGTGAGGAATCCTCCCTCCGGGTTTACCAGTCTGGGGACAAGAGAGGCTTTCTTTCTCCTTTCCTAATTTTGCAAGGGGGGGGGCCTGGAAGGAGCTGCTAAGAGTCCCTTGAAGTCTGAGTCACTGTCAGATTTTGCTCCCCAAGAGGGATGTGGGACGATTCTTTGCCTCCCCCCTTCTTTACTGTTTCCCTTATCCAGTTACTTAGTCTAGCCAAGAGAGCCAGGATGGGAAGCTCCCTGCCTGCGGAAGGCAACAGGAATGGGCTGACCTAGAAAAATCTCCTGCAGAAGTGGCTTTAAGGGCCCCTCAGCGCAAGGAAGGAAGAAGGCTAATCTGTTAGGGTCTCTGAGTCTTTCAGTTTCCAAATTGCCATCATATTTCATTCTCTTTTTGGAAAAATGTGCAGAAGGACTGTGTAATAGCCGCCCACTTTCAAAGCGCAGCAGCCTGTCGGGTGAAGAGAGCCTGGAAGAGACAGGCGCTCCCTTTGGCAGACTCTTGGGAGTCAAGAGGCCTGCGCTGAAAAAAAATACAGATCCCCCCCCCCCCCCAGGAATGGTCAAATGCAGGTAAACAGGATGCAAAAGTGTCCTCTGCTCCTGTCTGTGCCTGGCCAGGCTCCATTCAGCCGTCCCTGCAGCCAGTGGAAATGCCGGGCCCTGGTCAGCAAGTTCCCAGTCATTGTCCGAAGGGCTGATTCAATGGGAGTTTTTGTTACCGGATTGCATTTTTTAATTTCTTTTCACAAGGGAAGGACCTCTTTCTCCTCCTTCCCACGATGGCCTTCTCAAAACCTGGGCAGGCTGCACAGTCAGAAACACTAGGAAATCAGATTCTGACCCTCGCTTGTGTAGCAACTCCTGGACCGAGACCAGCCTCTGCCCTCACTGGGTTCTCCCCCTCCCCCTCCCTCCAAAGGAGACAGGAGTAATCTATGGCATTGTTTTCCAGAGATAAGCAGGAACAGAAGATCTATTAGTGGCTGGAAGGCAGAGCCAAGATTAGGCCCTGCAAGACTACCTTAATTATCCCTGGCAAGAGAAACACACAGCATTTATCAGGGAAGGGGGGGGGGAAGGCAAGGGAGGCTCCCCCAGCAGTGGGAGGGTTTCCAGCGGCTCACTTCGCTCGCCTGGGGGACTGACACGTCCCCTTTTTGGCTAGACAATCAATTTGACCTTTGCCTTCACCTTGTCTGCCTTGCTTTGTCACTTGGCCACACTTCCCAACTATTTTGTCCACGCTTGCATATCCAGGCAAGTAAAATCAGCACTGCCATCGATTCCTGGAGGATAAGCCATCAACAGCTATTAGTGTGGGGGGGGGAACCTCTGTGGTTGAGGGCAGCTTGCCCAGGAGAGCCAGAGGCGGGAAGAAAAGGACCACTGGGGGTTCCTGGGAGTCCTCCTGCTGGCTCCGGATAGAGACAGCGTGGATGGACCCTCTGGACATCTGGAGGGCAGAGGCTGCCTTGGAATTGGGGGGGGGCGAACCAGACCCATCCACTGAGCAATAGAGGTTTGAATGGCTGGGGTCCCACCCTAAATAAGGGCGAAGCAAGAATGCCAGTGCTGCTACCCACCTGGTCAGACTATGAAGCCGAGAAAGATCCACTTGCTGGCCCAAGGGAGGGGGCACCTGACGCGAAGCCTTGGCTGAGTGGGAAAGAGTATTGTGTGTGGGGCTGGATGGAGAACAAAGAGTGCAAATGTCCCCCTCCCCACACACGTTCCTAATTGAAGTGTTCAGGAGAACTCACAAATCACCCATTTGTCTTGGGTGATGCTGTGGCTGTTTCAGCCAGCCGAACAGGTTGCGGGGGCTCTGCTCCTCTGTTCACCTTCCCAGCCGGGCAAAGTCACGCCCCCCCCAAGGGATCCAGGGCTCTGTGCCCATCTCACAGGAGACATGGGGAGCAGTGCCCCCTCCCTTGAGAGCCCAGCTGGCTCAGAGGCAGTGAAAAGGGAACCTGGCTCCGGACCGGCTCTCATTTCTGCCTCCTTGAGCTGGAATTTGTGTGTGTGTTTCCCCCCTCCCCGTGAGAAATTGGTCAACTTGCCAGAGGCAGTTATTCTATCTAAACAATAACATTCACTTTTTAAAGTTGTCACACAAGGAAGGAAATTATTTTTACCTCCACAGGGGGAAACCTCTTTGTGTTCGGGTATATTTTTCCCCCACCCCTTTCTCAAAAATAAGATCATAATAACTCTGCCCCCCTCCCACTTTAATCTCTTTTAAATGCACTTAGCAAACGACTCTCTGAGGATTGCGATTTTTAGCACGCAAAGTGTGGCAGTTTAGCTGTAATTACTTCACTTCCGACAGAGTAATTGCATGGCGCCCCCTGCTTGCAGTTAGAGAAAGGCTTGGCAGCGTTGCCCCTCGCTGAGCGTGAAAGGCAGCGCTGGAGAAAACCGGTCGCGGGGGTGGAGGGGCTGTTCCCCCTCTTTCCGGGGTCTTTGGATTAAAGGACAAGGCCGGGAGGGTTTAAGATGCCACCTTTCCTCAGTGGACACACTGCACCTGGGCAAGGGCCTGAGGGAGGAGGGCCGCAGCAACAAACTGCCAACTGTGATTTTTGCTAGTGATTTTTTGGGGGGAGAGACGCACACTTTACCTCACTTTCCCAAGCTAGCGAACTCGTGCTGTGCTGTTCTTTCTAGAAGTTTGTGCCCTTTGCCATCCTGTTTGCCAGATGAGGCCTGGCGTGAAGCCGGTTACCAAGCGAAGGTGCAGCACAGCTGCAGCAGCTGTTAAGGGGCTCCGGGCCTTCCCGGCAGCAGCCAGGCCAGCCCAGCTCTGGGCTTGACCGTGCCGCCCCCATCACCTCTTCTTTCCGCAGCCGACACCTCTTGCTTCAAGGGCTGCTTGTCCCCAGATAAATCAGGATTTCATAGCAATTAATCTCCGGGCTCCCCCAGCAGCGATCAGATTGCTCTGGAGAGGTTTCATTAAGAGCCTGCTTGCTCTAATCAGGAGCACGTCGCTGGCTGGCTTCCTGCAAAGGGGCTGCGTGACTGTAACCAGGCTGCTCTCCCCCCCCCACCGTGAGGTAGCAGATTCCTGGAAACCACTCATGGACTCTCTTTGCCCATAACCAAGAACAACCTTTTTCAAATCTTCCACCTGCCCGCAACCAGGAACAGGACCTGGCTGGGCCCCTCTGCCAAAGCTCTGGAGCCGGAACCAGCCCTGCTTGGAACTGCTTAGCTGCCCACAGGAGACCAGCGTTCCCCTCCCCCCAAGATTTCTGGTGCTGGTTTATCTCCAGTTGACGGGTTGCCTGCTCTTCTCCCCTTTTCTGCTCCAGGTATGAACTCTGTGGGGAAGCCCACCGGCTCATTTTCCCACTGGGAGGAGCTCACAAACAGCACCTTTCTCAGGAGGAAGACAGCACCCTCCAGATACCCCACCCCAGAAAGTCCGGAGCAGGTGCCAGAAGAGCCCCTGGATGCCCTGACTCCTAAGCTGGCCTTGCCCCCAAAGGGGGCCTCAGGGCCCACCGCACGACCAACCCCTCCTGCCAGGAAGAAGCAGGGGAATCAGCAGCTGAAGTCAGCCACCAGCCTCGGACCCTTTGTGGAGAGCTGGCAACCCCTGGATGATTTGGGGGAACGTCTTCCCGGGTCTCTGGAAGAAAACCCCATCGTGCCTGGCGGGGACAGCAGGGAAAGCAGCCACAACGTGACCAGCCATTCCTTGCTCCAGATCTCTCCTTTCACAGTTCCGTTGGTGACCCAGGGTCCTGGTGCTTCTCCTCAAGGGCTGACCGAGACCCTTGAAAAGAAAGTCGGGATCCTGCCCAGCAGCCCCTCCCAGAGTGCCAAGGGCGGATCTTCCTCCAGGGAAGAGGGCCGAGAAACAACTTCTGCTATCGTGAACCCCCCGGAGCAGCTGTCGAGTAAGTGAGCCAGCCATTGCACTGCTACTGTCCCTGCCTTCTTGCCAGTCTTTTGTTTCTCCACCTGCTCTGATCTTGGGAAGGGATGGATGCACCTTCCAATGCATTTTGCCTCAGCCGAAGGGTGCCCTTCTCCTTGGCCTGCCTGCCTCCTCCGAGGTGTGGGCTCTCAGCCCAGGATTCTCCCACACTCAGCAAGGCTACCTCCAGCCTTGCTGGGGGGCTGATCCTGGCTGCACTTGGCTGCTCTCGTGCACTCTTGAAGAGGCCAGATGAGGGAGCTTTCGGCTGGCTTCCCTTCCAGGTCTCTGCAGCATGGATTTCTCTGAACCGGAGGGTTACATCGACTCAGCTGAGGCTCCCCTGGTGCCCCAGAATGGCTTCCTGGAGTGCACCTTCCGGGTGACGGTCTACACCGGATACGGCGTGGAGCTGCAGGTAGGGAGCCTGCTGGAGGGCTGGCATGGGAGGGGGCTGCTGAACCTGTGGGTGGGCTTGGTGAGCCTTCACTCTTGAACACACCTAGCTATTACGGCTAAGGAGGGCACCCTGGGCACCTGGCTTCCCACCCAGCAGCAAAATGAAGCCTTGAAGTAGGACCCAGAAAAATTGTGCCTCAATCTGGAGCCTTTTGGAGGGTTGGACTACACCCTCCCCCTCCCCTGTTGCTCCTCCTGGGAGTTGTAGTCCTTCGCCACAGCTAGAGGGAAACAGGGTTGGGTGAGCTTGTTCCAAAGGAAATATCTCACAAGTTACATTCCTATGAGGCACCCAAAGACTCCTCGGCAGACTCCCTCATGCCATCGTGGCCCCGAGTACCCTTCCCCACCGCCCGTGTGGTTCATCTTCCAGAACGGGTTCCTGATGCTGTGCGGGGTCTCCATCTTTGCTCCTATTTTGCTTTCCTGCCGAGCCAGGCCATCTGGGGCCTGGTGGGAGCAGGCGGCTTGTGAGGAGGTGGCAGTGGGTAATTCCTGGGGCTGTTAAAGCAGGACGTTTGAGGCGGCAAAAATGCCAGCCTGAGCAGGAGCGACGCTTTCAAAGGTTGCTATTCAGAGCATGAAAACCCTTCAGGTGAAGTAAAGAACCATGGGGCTCATTCAACAGAAAAGCCCCCCCACACCTCCCCATCTATTGGTTTGGTAACCCCAAGGCCCTTTATTGGGCTGCTCCACCCCAGGGGGACTTGGCAGGCCAGGCACCTCAGTTCAGGGGATAATCATGTCCACGTAGTGGGAGCTGTCTCCCCACCCCACCCCCAAGTGGAGCAGCTCTGCAAGGGTGAAAATTCGGACTCCGCTCATCTCCCTGATGTGAAGGTGAAGAGCGTGAACCTGTCCGAGGGGGAAGTGCTGGCCATTCGCGGTGAGGAAGATGGCCACTTGGTCACACTGGCCAACCAGACCCTCTTGGTAGAAGGCCAGGTCATCCGCAGCCCCACGAACACCATCTTGGTCCTCTTCCGAGCCTTCCCAGATGACCGTGGGACTTTCCAGCTCCATTATCAAGGTACGCCAGCAGGGACAGCCCCCTCCCCATCCAAGATTCCCCCCCTCTGGCTCCCTTGCAGGACTTCCTTTCCAAAAGCAGCAGCTGCCTCCTGCCAAAGCTGGAAGGGCCAAAGAAGGCCGGAGTTGCCGTACCAGACGTGCCCCCACCTTCTCTGGGAGAAATGGGACTGGGCTTCTCGCAGGGCATGGCCAGTGCCCTCCGGCCAGGATAGGGCTGTGGGCTCAGGCCAGCATTAGGGCCTCATCCAGCAGGTCTTCCAGCACCCAGAGAGTTGGTGGGCAGCATCCGTCCGTTCCGTGCTGCTTGGCGAGCACCTCCCCCACCTGTCGTTTTAACCTCATCTGCGCACTTTTCCCAACAGTATTTATGCTGAGCTGCAGCTTCCCACGGAGGCCCAATTTTGGGGAGGTGGCCGTCCTGGGCCTGCACTCGGGGGGCCTGGCTCACTTTCACTGCCACCTGGGCTATGAGCTGGAGGGGCCCCAGAGCCTGACCTGCCTCAACGCTTCCAAGCCGCACTGGAGCGCCCCAGAGCCTAACTGCTCAGGTATGGGGGACTGGCGGGCAGGGGTGGCCGGAGGCCGACAGGCTGCGCCTTGACCATCTGGGCTCCACTTGTCTCTGCTTTCAGCCCCCTGCGGAGGCACCGTGCGCAACGCCACCATTGGCCGCATCTTGGCACCAACCTTGCCGCGGAGCCCCTCGGGCAGCAGCGTGGCTTGTGTGTGGACGGTCAGTGCCCCTCAGGGCCAGAAGCTCCACCTGAACTTTGAGAGGCTGGTGCTGGGGGACAAGCAAAGGTGAGTCTGTGGGCTGATTCTCTGAGAAGCAACAACAGTGGCAACACAAAATGTCTGCTGTGATTTGTAACATTAAGCTGTGTGCTTCAAAAATAAAAGCCTGGTGCTCTTTTCCACCAGCTTGTGCATCAGCTGTCCAGAAATAAGGATCCTTCCCCAAAATACATCTGGAGCATTTGGCTCCCCAGCACTGTGAGGCTCAAAGCATTTGAAGTGGCAGGTGCGGGTACTTAAAGGAGCAGCAGTTCTAAAAACAAAAATTGAGGAATTGGTAGATAGACAATAAAACAACTTTAAGAGCTGTGCTGTGATCTCAGGGTAAAACACCTGCTTATGACCACAGAAAATATGGCAGATTTCATGGTGTGCCTTGGCAGACCTTGCCCCTCTTGTACCTGGAGTCACTGTAATATGACCCCAGGAATTGTAGGGCAGCTTCAAAAGTGTATTGTTTGAAACAAAAATGGATCCCCTCCCCAGCTGAACTGGGAGCAAGGGCAGTGAGGTGACTCCGAGGACCATCCTCCTGGGCGTTTGCCCTTATGCACCACCTCCTGACCACGATCTTCTCCTTGTGCTCCAGAATGGTGGTCTATGATGGAGAATCGAACCGCTCAGCCGTGCTCTACACCTCCCAGCAGGGCAGCAATGTGCCCTTCGAAGGAGTGATCAGCGAAGGGAGCTCCTTGCATGTCGACTTCACCTCGGAGGACCCCAACGCAGAGCCCACCTTCAGCGTTCGATTCGAAGGTGATGCTCCTCATCCTATTCCTCAAACTCATTGGAACGGGGTGATCGGATGGGGGGGGGAAATGCTGTGCTGCTGCTAAACTTGAGAAATTAAGGCAAGAGCAGGGATGTAAACCTCCCTGTGCCAAAAGGGGCAGGTCAAGGCACTGGAGGGGCTGCTTGCAGTGGGGCCAGCCCTCCCACCTTGGTGCTGGAGATCAGGACCAACTGAAGGCTGCCCATTGGTAGACAGGCACAGGTGGATGAAGGCACTGAGGGAGCCGAACTCTCTCTGCAATGCTTGCCAGACCGACCTTTCCACAGGTCTCATGGGTGTGTGCATATGTGTGTGTGCATGTGTGTGTGTGTGTGTGTGTGTGTGTGTGTGAGGCAATTCTTGAAATCCTCCAAAGGATGGATTCCCCCCCCCCCCGATGACTGGAAGGGAGCCCTTCTCAGCTCCTCTGCATGGCTCCTTCTGCCCAGCACGGGAGGAGCAGCTCAGCCTCTCTCCCGTCATCTGGGGGGAATCAAACAGAGAGGAGCAGAGAGAGCTCCCAGCTGCTTTGGGGCTTCTCAGAAACAGGAGCAAAATGTCTGGAGAAAAAGCAAGTTGCTGGAGATGAAATGAAGTTTCTCCTCTTTTTTGGTGAATCAGGAACCCTCGGGCAAGGATTCTTACCTCTCTTGTGCTGGCTGTAGAGCACTGGTTTTCTGGCCTTTGCTGCTGTTTATTGCTTACTGCACCATCATTACTGCTCCATCCTCCTTTTTCATCTTTCTCTCCACTTAAATTCTGCCACACTGAACGTAATTTGATTTTGCGCTGTCTGCAGGCTGCGTCTTCCCACCCAATCCAGCCTGGAGCCCCCTTCCTCTTCCCCTGGTCTTTCCCTGCCTGCCCCAGCAGCCGTCAGCCACTCAGCCATGCCCAGGGATCTGCTGGGACCCACATGGTGCCCTGCAGGACCGCTTGGTGGGAATCAGGACCTTGGAGAGCTCCCGCAGCCAGGCAGGCCTGACTCGGCCAAGCAAAGTGCACAAAACCTGAAGGGTCCAAAGCCCTGAACAGAGCGGGCAGATCGGCTCAATTTCCCAGATCAGATTAGAGTCAGAAGATAAAAAGGTCTCCTGCACATGTGCAAAAGACCTTTAAAAAAAAAAAAGCTGAACCCAAACAGTGAATAAAATTGATCCTCTTTGACAGTTTAATTCAACTTGTGGAATCAAAACATGAATTGAATCCTTCTAATTTTCCAGCAAAAATTGGGTTCACTTCACACCCCCATGCAAAATAATTGCCCCCCAGGCTGTTTCCTGGCTGGATTTGGCTCCTTCCTTGCACCAAAAGGACACATCGGGGGGCAGAAGGGGGTGCTGGGGCTCTGCCTGTGCCAGTCCTGCCCTTCTGTGTCCTTCCCAGCTTTTGAGAAGGGCCACTGCTATGAGCCCCACCTGCAGAATGGCAACTTCACCACCTCCGACGCTACCTACAACCTCGGGACCATCGTGGAGTTCACCTGCGACCCCGGCCACACTCTGGAACAAGGCCCAGCGGTCATTCAGTGCATCAACCTCAGGGACCCCTACTGGAACGACACGGAGCCCCTGTGCCGAGGTGGGTCGGGGCAGGGCGAGGGGCTTTGCCTCGAGGGGGGCTGCTCCTGGCGGCAGGGGCGTCCTGACTCTCGGCCTTGCAGCCACCTGTGGAGGAGAGCTCTCCATAGCGGTTGGGGTCATCCTGTCCCCCAACTGGCCAGAGCCCTATGCCGAGGGCGAGGACTGCATCTGGAAGGTCCACGTGGGAGAGGAGAAGCGAATCTTCCTGGACATCCAGCTGTGAGTATTTGCCGCAGCTGTGGGGGGGAATTTCGTGCATTTATCCTCAGCATTGGGGAGGGACAGTTTGCACTTCCAAAAGGCTGTGGGGGGGGAGTTGGGCTGCCTGCCTGCCTGCAGAATGAAAGTGGGGCTGCGTCTGGGATGGGGGAGGGGGCACAGGCAGATCTGCTAGGTGGTCTCCCCTGACTGGAGTTGCCTGTAAGCCACAGCCACAGATCTGGCTGCCTCCCGCAAATGCATCCAACCATGCAAAAGACAGTCTCTGGATTTGCAACCCCTGGGAGCGCAAGCTCTTCCCGTCTCTTGCTTTTCTCTCTCTCTCTCTCTCACACACACACATACAATGCGCACACATATACACACCCCACAGCCAATTAAAGCCTCACTTGGGACTTGTGATTCCTCCCTGCAGAAGCCTCTGTGTGCCTCTTGATAATCCAGCTTGAATGACAGATACTTTGATCATGCTTTCTATTCCACCTACAGCAGCACAGAGCATTGGGGGGAAAGTCTGCTAAAACTGCTTTCTTCTCCGTTGGTCTCTAGCAACACAGCATTCCTGATCTTTTGGGGATGTTCCTCTTTCCCCCCCCCCTGCTCTGGATTAAGAATGGATCCAAGCCGGGAAGAGCCCGTGGCCGCCTCTGCCGCAAGGGAAGAGGCTGCTCTTTGAAAGGGAGCATCACTGTCCCGTCTCTCTGGGTTTGGAAATGCTTTGGCAGAACTGCCCACCCCTCGCTTGCACCCCCCAATCCTTGTGCTGCTGCTCAGAATCTGCCAGCCTCAGCTGGTGTTGGAGTGTCCGGAGGAGAAGTGACGAGGGCACCAATGCCAGTCCAGCAGGCTCTGTGCTCCCTAGCCCTAACCACTTCTTGGCACAGAAAGGCCCAGTGCAGCTAAAGAAATGGGGGAGGCTTTCTTTAGTCAGCTGGCAACCTCAGGTTTCTCCCTGGGATTGCCAGCTGACTAAAGAAAGCCCCCCCCACACACACACACAAAGTAAAGATTGGCATTGCTGGGCCAGCAGTTCCCTCTGCTGGCCAGCAGAAGCATCGTGGAAGTGAAAGCAGAAGGCAGTGAGATAAGGCAGAGTAAAAAGTCTTCTGCTCACTTGGAGCTCCAGGCTCCAGTCTGGGCTGTGGATCATGTCCTCATGCAAGGAAAGGCTGCCATGGGCCGCTGCTTGTGCTTGCAGCATCTGAGAGCCCTCCTATCCAGGAACAGTCTATCTGTTGGCAGCAAGAGCAGAAACGGTACCAGGGATTCTTTGGAGGGAGGTGAGGTCCAACACTTTCAGCTCCGAGAGGTGGCCAGCAGCTGCTGATCCCAGGAGATCCCCACAGATCTCAGCGGGGGCTCCCTGGGCTTGGCCCAGCAGGCTCTTCCCCCTCCCCTCGTCTCTCTCCCTGCAGCTTGAACCTGAGCCAGAGCGACATCCTCACGGTCTACGACGGGGACAATCTCAGCGCCCACATCCTGGGCCAGTTCCTGGGCAGCAGTGGGCCCCAGAAGCTCTACTCCTCCACGCCCGACTTGACCATCCAGTTCCACTCGGACCCGGCTGGCCTCGTCTTCGGGAAGGGGCAGGGTTTTACCATGAGCTACATCGGTGGGTCAGCTTGGACTTTCCTGGGGTACCCCACCTTTTGGGCAGGAACCGGGCCTCTCGCACCCTGCCCGTCCTCACCGGGGCCTTTCTGGCTGCAGAAACCTCACGGAACGAGTCCTGCTCTGACCTGCCGGAAATCCAGAATGGCTGGAAGACCACTTCCCACACCGAGCTGGTTCGGGAGGCCAAAATTACCTACCAGTGTGACCCGGGCTACGATATTGTTGGCAGCGACACCCTCACCTGCCAGTGGGACCTCACCTGGAGCAGCGACCCCCCTTTCTGCGAGAAAAGTATGGCCCTGCCCAGATTTTATCCCCTCTGTGGCTGCGAGTTGCACTGAAGACAACCTGCTCTTTTTCCTGTTCTGCTCCGGTGACATTAGCCAAAGTTTCAGGCAGAGAAATTCAGTTTTTAAGCGATTCCTTCTTGGTTCCTCTCTCTGTGTCTGCTGTTACGAACACAGGAGCTCGGCTGGAAAAAGGATTGGCAATCCCAGGCTGTGCAGGATAACTGGGGGAGAAGAAGGGCAGGCTGTCTCTAATATCTGCAGTAGCCAGTAAACGAGGAGTCAGTCACACACACACAAACCACACATACACACCTGAATAAGAGCCAGTGCTGTGTTCGCAAGGAGCTGCTTTTAAAGAAGCAGGGGACACGGCTGCTTTGACCCTGTTTTATGGGGTCAGGGCTGCACTGATGCAGAAGGGGGGGAAGGTGCGAGATGGTCTGGCTTGAGCCTGCAGCATGTTGGGGTGCTCCAGCCTGGCCTCCTGCTTTTTGCCCTAGTCATGTACTGCACGGACCCTGGAGAGGTGGAACACTCGACCCGCTTGATTTCGGACCCGGTGCTCCTGGTTGGCACCACCATCCAGTACACCTGCAACCTGGGCTTTGTGCTCGAGGGCAGCTCCCTTCTCACCTGCTACAGTCGGGAAACGGGGACCCCCATCTGGACCTCGAGGCTGCCTCGCTGCGTGCGTAAGTCTGGAGCTCCCCTGGGGATGGCGCTGCTTTTTCTGTGTCTGCCACTTGGGACGTGCTCGCTTGTTTGTGGGCATGCAAGCTGGGGGTGGTTAAGAGGAGGGTCACTGGGAATCACATGGAATGGGTTCCCACTGGGCCGGCCCCCTTGCTAACCCGCTCCCCAATTTCCCCCCATGCAGCGGAGGAATCTCTGGCCTGCGACAACCCAGGCCTGCCCGAAAACGGGTACCAGATCCTGTACAAGCGCCTGTACTTGCCGGGCGAGTCGCTGACCTTCATGTGCTATGAAGGCTTCGAGCTGCTTGGGGAGCTGACTCTCAAGTGCATTCTGGGACAGCCCTCCCGGTGGAGTGGGCCACTCCCCACCTGCAAAGGTAGCTGCCCCGGGTCTTGCGGGCTCTGGGGGACTAAAAGGGGGGGGGAAGGCATTTTGCCGGGGAGGGGTCAGAGGCAGGAGCCCAAAGCCCAGTTCTGCCAAAGCTCTGGGGAAGCCACCTGATTCCCTGCTTCTCTTCCAGTCAATCAAGACAGCTTTGAACATGCCTTGGAAGGTAAGTCTCAGCCAGTCCCTCCTCTGCCCGGGGGATCTGGGCATCTGTGCCAGGGAGCCCTGCAGCCTTTTGTCTCTTTAGTAGCAGAAGCTGCGGCAGAAACGTCCTTGGAGGGAGGCAACATGGCGCTGGCCATCTTCATCCCCATTCTTGTCATTTCCTTGCTGCTGGGGGGCGCCTATGTCTACGTCACGAGGTAGGTCTCGTGTCGGCATGCACAGCCACCCTGCATGCCCTCCTAGCTTCTGGCAGCTTTTCCCTCTGGAAGCTCCGGGCAGAAGCTGGGCCGACCCACGGAGGCTTTGCTTCCTCTCTCCTTCAGGTGCCGCTACTATTCCAGCCTGCGGCTGCCCCTCATGTATTCGCATCCATACAGCCAAATCACGGTGGAGACGGAGTTTGATAATCCAGTTTACGAGACAGGGGTGAGTTGCTGCCTCTCCTCAGCCCAAGGCAGAGCTGATTGGGAGTGAAACGGGGACTGCTGGGACATCCCCGGACTCGGCCTTGAAAAGCCACCCTGGAAAGCAGCAGGTCGCTGCTGTCCTTCCTCCAAGAAGACCGCTGGATGTGTTGTGAAGCCAGATCCAATTCAAAAATGGCTTCCTTTCGGCTGGGTGGACCCACAGTATCCTTGTGGCTGGGGGAGGGGTTTCATCCAGGTGCCCTAAGAGTGGCCAGAGCAGGAAAGGGACATGGAAATTAGCATTGGGAGGGTTACGGAATCGCCATTGCTGTTTCCCCACATGGCAAAGCCACAACGCCCGGTGACTGGACATTGGCTCTGCTGGTGTTTAAATCAACAGAATTAGCCATTCCATTTCCCCAATTTTCTCCTGCGCAGTGAGAGAGAACTGAAAAAATGCAGGGGATTCTACTAAGCCTGTAGCTGGCGGTTCTCCCAAAGGTAACCCAGCAAGGGATGTGCCAGTTGCTCCCTTCTTCAGGTCAGCCTCACAGTCAGATGTGGAGACGCCCCTCTCGGTGCCTTTTTCGCCAAAGTGTTGAATTTAAACTCTCGGGCATTTAAACCCGAGAGCTTCCCTGTAAGAAGGTCATCTGCGAAGATTCGTCAGTGACTGGCGCCATCTCTCTCCCCATAGGAAACCCGGGAATACGAGGTGTCCATCTGAAGCAGCCCCCAACACACACACCGCCTCAACATCTGTCCCCAAAGCCCACTTGGAGACGTGATGGAATCTCCTGAGAGCTGGAACCCGCTGCTCTCCTTTCACTTTCAATCCAGGTGTGCCCACTTCTTCCTCCTCATCTTGGTGGACCCTCCCTCAGTGGTTTCTCAAGTCTCGTGGCAGGTGCTGGGCTCAGGCTTTGCTGGCATGGAGCTGAGCCCGCTCGGCAACACAGCTGCTCCTGCGGCCAGCCACAAGGGACACCCTCGCTCGGTTCATCTTCTGGGTCTTGTGGATGCGTTTTGAAAACCTGTGGCTGAAAACTGAGGCTGCCTCTGGCGAAGGAGTGAGATTTGGCTTGCCTCTGTGGCCAAGTTCCGACCGCTTGGCAGGGCTGCTCTTCTCTTGCCCCCCTCCCAGGCACAGCTGGTGCAACTTCTGCCTCTGCCTGAACTGGGGGCCGGGGGCGGAGGAAGTGGAGCCCTCACGGGAAAACACAGCAGCCCTGGGACTCGGGGGCCACTGGCTGCCGGGGAAGACCCAGAAGCTCAGCCAAGGGAAACCCCTACCAAGGCCTCTCCCCATTTTTATTTTGAGCGTGAGGTATGAACTGCAGCAGCCCCTTAGCCAGGACGAGCGAGGAAGAAGATGCAGCAAGGCGTCTCCTGGCGATGGAGGGGTCTCAGACACGGTCCTTCTGAAGAAAAATATCCTTGGCTGTTGCAACCTCTTGTGTCATCTTGGCCCTGATCAAATGCTGGGTCCATGCAAGCCCCCTCTGCAGAGGAGCACCCCTTGCGAGCTTTGACAAAGGCCACCTCTGGGGTCTCCTGTCAGCCAGGACGGGGAGAGGAGGTGGACTGGGCCATTGTCCCACCAACAGAGTACCCTCTGTCCCAGCCATCCACTCACCAGGAGGCATCAGGAGCCCCCCCCTGAACCTTCCCGCCTTGCGATCCTACAGGTGGCTCAAAATGCAGGGCTGGTGTCCTGCTGGATGCCTCTGCTCTGGGACAAGTCGGGCTTTAAGGAGGAGAAAGGGAAGAAGGGCCAATGGGCTCCGGCTGCTCCTCTTTCCATGGAAACGAGATGAGGACAGAAGACTTTGGCTTGTGGAAGACATGTCCCTCCCTCCCTCCCCTCCCCCCTTGCCCCCCCCGCCTCCTGATCAAGCCCACTCTTGTTATGTGGATGAACTGAAGGAGGCAGATATTTGGCTGATTTATTCCCATCTTTGTAAAAACCGTGAAAATGTAACCATGACAATTTTTTAAACATGTCTGTTTTAGATTAGAAATCCAGGCTGTTGCATCTCTGCAGTTGTGAAGGATTTGGGAGTGTGCGTGTGTGTTTCCCCCTCCTTTTAAAGCATACAGGCCAGACCCCTCTTCCTCCCCCTCCCACGAGAGTGTGTTGTGGTTTGCAAAGGCTGGGAAAGGTGGTGGGCCAAAAAACAAACGTACACAACTTCTCTCCTCTTTTTATAAGTGTGATGGGATTAAATATTTTTGAAGATGACACAACCTCTTTGGACAGGGCCAGCGTCGAATAAGGCCACCGTCGACGGTGCTGGGTCTTCAAGTGAGCACGAATGCGCTTTCAGTGCTTGTGGCAGTCCTAACAGCGGGATTGTCGACACCTAACAGCTTGGGTGTTTTTGAGCCAGTGTGAAGACACAGCAACAACACGGCTTCTCAGCTGTGATCTTTTCCTCTTTAGCAGGAAACCCAAACCTCGCAGCCGCCAGCCGTTCAGGGCTTCCTTGTCCTAATGATGCAAAATCTATGCAGGGTCACGGACTTTCTCACGTGGACACGCAAGATAGGAGGCCACGTGCACCTTGCCTTGCTGGTTTAGATCAAGCTGAGTCTAACTGGGGATACTGGCAAAGAAGCAGGGCCCCCAAACCCTGGATTGGAAGGGCCGTGGGGCCAAGGGGGCTTGCCACGGAGGAAAGAGGGGAAACTGCCTGCTTTTTTCCAACTGGGAAGGGTCTTCTGAGGAGCTTTCGGAGGGGGGTCAGGAACCCCCTGCTGCCTGACCCTTCCAAATGACACGTCCAGCAGGGTCAGTTGGCACTGCCTTCATCCCAGTGCAGTTCTGCCTGGGTGCTCTCCAATGCTCTTGCCCCCTCCTTGGCTAGGATGGCTGGAACGGCTGGGGGGAGAAGAGAGCCCCAGGCCGCTGTAGGGAGGAGCCAAGAGCAGGCACAGGCTGAGAGCCACCCCGCCTGGGAGCAGCTGAGATGCTAGTGGGCACTTTCTCAGTCTGACAGCGGAACAGAAAAGAACAGCTGGGGGAACACCACCCCCTCACTCTGGGGGGCCAGTTTGCTCGAACTGCCTGCTCTGCAAGGCCTCAATTGAAGCCCCCCCTGCAGTTCCCCCTGCTGCACTTGGCTTCAGGAGAGGGGGCCCTCAAATATCCCGACAGGAAGCCCACCATGTCTTCAGCCACTCTGACTGGGACTCTGGGGGCTGGGTGGGAGGGAGGGAGGGATTTCCTGCTGCTCCCCATGCCGGAGCAGAGGGATTAGTGCTGCCTCTGACCAAAGGAAGCAGCAGCCCCCCCCCCCATTCCAGCCTGAGTGCTCAGGAGGCCACATGGGAGCCTCTCATTGGCCACTGGTTGGAGGCCTGGGAGCAGGGTGCTCCTCTCCATCCGCATTCCCCTTTGGGATATTGGTTGCATGGAGGCCCCCCCCCCACCTTGGCTTTCTCCATCTTATTCCTTTCAGCAATCATCCTGGGGAGGACAGAAACCCCGATAACCAAGAGATAGAAATGGGGGGGGGACTCCACCATGGCTTTTTGCTGTTGAGCATCTTCTGGATCTTTGTGGCTAAATCCTGCAGGAAGAACTTCGCACTGAGGATTATGGGCCCACCCTCTCTGTGATAGGATGGACTACACTTCCCATCATGTGTTTCATAGCCTCCAGATGAGACTTGGAAAACCACAGTACAATTTGGGCTAATTGGCCCTCAAGGAACAGAGGCTCCTGCCAGCCAGGCCTGTAACAGAGTCCTCTCCCCCCCCCACCATGGAGACCAGCAAGCAACCCCAATCTCCCCCGTCCCCACCCTCCGCATGGGAGAAACCCTCCTCGGCTGCTGCAGGACGAGAGACGGTTTGGATGGTGGACTGCAGCTGCTCGCTGGCTGAGAACCACGGGCAAGAGGGCATGCATTGCTCTGCATGCTTCTCCAGCTAAATGCTGGGATGTGCCCCCCTCCCCCAAGCTGGAATACAGATTTCAGATTTGCCTCCTTATTATTCCTGAGTAACCGCATCAAGAGGCTGGCCTGCCGCCAGCTAAGAATTGGCCACCTTGCAGAATTTAGTGCCATTTGAGATGTTGCAACACCAGAGGAACCAGAGACTCAAAGGCCAAGGAAGGGTCGGACCCAGGAAAGAGGAAAGAGTTTGCCGACCCCCGCAGGAGTTCAACAGGTGCCCCACCCACTTCCGGAAAGGGCCGAGAGGGCCTCTTCATTTCTTCCGTACAGGTCAGCGTGGAAGGCACTCTGTGCGCGCTCCGTGGCATTCTTGTTTGAACCCTCGCGTGTTCTGGGCACGAACGCTGCCACTCCACTTCCGCGGTCAGGTTCGGCTCAAGGTAGGTAGTCCTGCTAAGGTCGGACTTCAAACCGCGGACCACCAGCCGGTCTGTTCGTTTTATTCCAGCCAATAATGCCGTTATCTCAGCTGCAGCGCTGGCCTTAACGCGAAGCTCCACCAAGAGGTCCCAACCGCCCCCTCGTTTGGGGCGCTCCCCGGAGACGCTCCGCGCCTTCGGCTTTCCGGGACAACCACACGCTCTCATAGCAGATCCGCGCCCGTTTGAAGAGGCGGGCAGGTGGGTAACGTTGCCCGTGGGGACCTCGCCTTACCCGCAGGGCGCCCCGCTCCTTCCTCCCGCACCGACGCGCGTCGCGACCCCCGGCTGCTGCTGGGCTGTCGGGTGTGCTCCAAAGGGGACCCCGGCTCCCTCGGGGGGGCCAAGCCCAGCCGGCTCCGCCGACCCCGCACGAGGCGGCAAGACGTGCGAAGCTCCCGGACGCGGCGGCGTCAGCACCCTCGTCAGCTGGGCAGCGCGCGAGCCCCTCTTGGCTGCTGCCGGCCAGGGCTGCCCACGTGGCGGCGGCGGCGGCGGTTGTTGCGCCACGGAAGCGGGCTCCCTCCCGGCGGAAGAAGCGCGCCGCGCCCGCAGACACCCTCCACACTCCCGGGGCTGGCCAGGACGCGCGGCGGCGGCCCTCCCCGGCGGGGCCGGACGGGCTGCTGGTAGTTGTGGTCGGCGCCGGCGACGGGCGAGCGGAACCGGCTGCAGGTTAGGCGGGCAGGCGCGTTCAAGGGACCGGACGGGAGGGGAGGGGGCGGGAGAGGGCGCCCCGGGAGAGGGTCTCCTGCAAGGAGGCGGCGCGTGGCGAGGGTACCCGGGACACGTCGGCCACTTGCCCCGCGGGGGCGCCCCTGTCCGGCTGGGACCCGGAGGGCTTCCGCCTGTCTTGGCCCTTACCCCGCCGGGCGGGGCGAAAGGGGGGGGGGCTCCTCGCGGCAGGGAAGCGTTCGCCACATGCGCAGGGGCACGCCTGTCTTGGCTGCGGGGTAGCGGCGTGGGCGGCTGGCTCCCTGGGCCGGAAGGGCCTTTGCCGCAGGCCCGGCGGCGGGGCTGGGAGTCCGGCCGGGGGCGCCCGGGACCCCTTATACGCCGCGGCGGAGCTGCCCTCCCGGCCTGCTAGATTTCCCTGCAAGCCGGGAAGCCCCCGCGATCTGGCGCCCGCGTTACATAAGGCTGCTTCCGCGCGGGAGGCCCCGGGCGGCAGCCCTAAGACACTGAGCCCCCTCCGGGAAAAAGACCCCCAACTGGGGCAAGGAAAGCCAAAGGTTGGGTCAAAACTGCAAGCTTGGGGGTTCAGCGTTGGACCCGTTTGCCCAGGGTACTAGCGATTGCAGGTGGGGGGGGGGGGCTGCCTTGCTACCTTCCTTAAGGGGTCCCGTCCAGGCCATTTCGCCCAGGCAGAGGTTGGCATTCGCGTCTGGCTCTCAGGAAGAATTAGGACGCTTTCCCCAGCACGGCTTTTTGCCGTCCCTCTTGGCTCTGCCCTGGCTTGTGCTGCCCGGATCCTGCTGTTTGTGGAGGGTGCTTCACGCTTGAATCTTTGAGGAAGGGCCCCTCTGGTGGAGGGCACCCCCGCCCCGTCTAGGGCAGAGATGGTCCCAGAAGAGGGTCTTTCTCTCCCTGCTGCAGAGGGGGTCCCAAGTGGGCGCCTGGGCGCTGCCTCGGAGGTTAGTCCCTTTCCCAGCTGTTGTTGAGCTGCAGTTCCGGGAAGGCAGCCCCGGATGGGACACCGGAAGGTTGCTCCTTTCACCAAAGCAGAGATGGGTGGCACAGCTCCACCTCTGGCTCAGGTAAAGGTGCTGCAAGCCCTGGGTATGACAAGCCACATCTGGGCCACCTTTGGGTGCAGACCCTTTAGAGTTGGTGACTCACCAGCTTCTTGATCCCTAACAAATTGCTGCCTTGGTGCTAAGTGGGTGGAACACTGTGGAGGTGCAGGCAGGCAGCTGGGCGGCTCAGAAACCAGCTTCTGCCTGCCCTGTGGAAGCGCTGCCTCTGCTGCACCTGGTGGGTTCCCTTCCAGGGCCATCTACTCAGGCCTAGAAGGCTGCTGGGTGTGACCCTCCGCCCACTGGGGAAGGAGGCAGCCCCTGCTAACCAAAGCCGGGACTGGAAAAGGGCTTCTTTGCTTCCAGCCTGGCATGGTATGCAGACTCTTGCCTTGCACCCCAAACCTGGGGAGATCAAAGGATTGCTTGGTTCCGTAAGGTTCAGGAATTGGGGCGCCTCTTTGGGGCACCAGGTGATGGGTGAGGGTGGGCTGATGGAGCAGGCAGGAAGCCCCCTCCCCAGTGCCCCTATGTGTTCTCCTTTCAGGCTGTCCAAGATCAAGGCAGAGGCTGGATTGCAGCAGCCGCTTCGTTTGGAGACCCAGGAGGAGGGAGGAAGAGGAGGATGATCTTTGAGGGGAGGGCTGAGCAGCAGTTCCCCCCCTTGAGAGACAGGATGCCACCATGGGAAACCCCTTTGGTGGGTCAGGAGCCCGGGTCCTCAGTGGGACCAGTCTCACGGGCCACCTTGCGCTGGGCGCTTGGCAGCCAGACTCCCAGGAACTCTTTCACCGCATGATTGGTCCTTCTTTGATGGGTGAAGCTGCCCAGGTCCAGCCCAGCTTTTCCTGTTGAACTTCTTCTTGGGCCCCCGTGTGAAGCAGGCGCCTCAGTCGCGAGGCTTTGCACAGCTGCTGCCAAGATGTCTCTGGAGGGGCTGATGTGCTGCCGTGGGTCCCTCGACTGGCTGAGGGAGTTCATCGGCTCCACCATCCAGTCGGTACGGGACTGTGACCCTCCTGCACTCAGCACCCTAGCCGTCCTGCTGGCCCTCTTTGTCTGGTACTGCTACCACGTTGGACGGGAGCAGCAGCCCCGGCCCTACGCCACGCTCCCGGGGGGCCTGGAGGTGGCTGGCCTGCAGAATGGCTTCAGCCACTGCCGCTCCCCTGAGTGCGTGCGCTGCACCCACAGTGACGGGTTGAACCAGAAGCTCTACCACAACCTCCAGGAGTATGCCAAGCGGTACTCGTGGGCGGGCATGGGCCGGATCCACAAGGGCATCCGCGAGCAGGGCCGCTACCTGGCCAGCCGCCCGTCCATCCAACGGCCAGAGGTCTTCTTCCTGCCTGACTTGCCCACCGCCCCGTACTTCTCCCGGGAGGCGCAAAAACACGACGTGGAGCTGTTGGAGCGCAACTTCCAGACCATCCTGTGCGAGTTCGAATCCCTCTACAAGGCCTTCTCCAACTGCAGCCTGCCAGATGGATGGAAAGTCAACAGCACGCCCAGCGGCGAGTGGCTGACCTTCTACCTGGTCAACCAGGGTGCCTGCGTGCCCCGGAACTGTCGGAGGTGTCCTCGGACATACCGCTTGCTGGGAAGCCTCCGCACCTGCGTGGGCAGCAACGTGTTTGGCAACGCCTGCATCTCTGTGCTGAGCCCTGGCACCGTCATCACTGAGCACTACGGGCCGACCAACATCCGTGTGCGCTGCCATCTGGGTAGGTTCTTCAGCCCCTCCCCCCACTTCCTGGCTAATGTTCTGGCAAGCGAGGTGCCCAGCATGAGCCCAGAGCGGCCTTGAGCTAGTCAGCAAGGATTTTGGCCAAGCATCCCTTAGAGGCTTGAGTTGCCCTGTGCTGCCTTTGCGCTAGAATTCTGCCTGCTTAGACAATGCCTTGCAGATGTGGGGGCTGCATTAGGGAAAGGAGTTTTGTCTGGCTCCTGGCGCCATGTTCCCAGCAGCCAGAATCTTCCAAGATTGTCTGAAAGGGCAGTGAGCAAATAGTGGTGGTAGAAATCAGGTTCTCTGCATGAGATATCTATGCCTTCCCAAGTTGCATCAGGATTCAAAAGACCCAGTAAAGGTTCATTTGCATGGCTGGCACAAGCTTGCTCCCATACCAGTCTGGGCAGCTGCCATGGCAACAGCAACCGTGCCCTGATCTGTATTCTGCCAGGCAGCCACCCGAGACACAGGCCTTTGGCTAACTTGGGTTGTCTTGAGCTGCCTGTCAACTCCTCCCTGTTGGGGAGCAGGCGCTAGAGATGCAATTGTGTGCATGTGTGTATGTGTTTGCTTCTCCTTGTGACCAGCTAGGAGGATAAAGGCTTTGGATAAGGCGAGTCTTTGGGCGATCTGTAGGTGGGGGCTGAGATAGTGGAGGAGCAGCTCCTTGGGCCGGGGGGGGGGGGCTCAGCTGATGCCTCCCTGGCCCTCCCTTCCTCTCTCCCTTCCTTTCCCCCTTTGCAGGTTTGAAGACACCCAGCAGCTGTGAGCTAGTGGTGGGAGGCGAGCCCCAGTGCTGGGCTGAGGGACGCTGCCTGATTTTTGACGATTCCTTCCTGCACACAGCCTACCATGGAGGCAAGTCTGAGCCCCCCTGAACTAAAGGCAGCACTGTGCAGCAGACACTCGGGCTACCTGCAGGAGAGGTGCCCCAGGTGAACCGATCCTGGGAATCCTCTCTGTGCCCGGCCCCTGGGACTGGGGGCACTCTGGACCAACCTCCTGTCTCTGCCCCTCCAGGATCCCCGGAAGAAGGACCACGGGCGGTGTTCATGGTAGACCTCTGGCACCCCAACGTTGCTGCGGCTGAGCGCCAGGCCCTCGATTTTATTTTCGCTCCTGGGCGGTGAGGTGGTGCTCCTTTCCGGAGCAGGTTCCGTGTCTGCAGAGGGGGGGCTGCCCTCCCGCCTGACCCACGGCTAATGTGGCACCAGACTTGGCACCCAGGCCTTTTCGCCTTGCAACCTCCTCCCAAGGGCCATTTTGCTTGGGGCTGGGCTGCCCCTTTTTCCTGTGATGAGGCCAAATGCTGCTGTAGTGTCCGTCCACCTTGCTACTTATGTGTCGCTGTGGCCAGAACTTTGCATCCGCCAATCCTTGGAGGCGTTGATGAACCTAGTTGTGCCAATCTCTCTTGTGTTCATCCTCAGAAGGCAAACCGCCCGTCACCCATCCTCACTGAAGCTTCAGAAACCACAGTGGGCCTCCCCAGACCGGATCCTTATTTGCTCCCCTGGAACAAGAACAACCCCCGCCTCGCCTCCCTTGACAGGAGTGAAGGCAAAGCAGGGCAACCAAAGGCTGGGGGGGGGGGGATGGCCAAGCCCCCCCCCCCTTTTCTCAAGCTCTGCTACTTTGTGCCTTGTTTGGGGTGCTCCTGCATCCTTTGCACACCAGTGGGGGGAGGGGCTGCCGTGGGCTCTTCCCACAGAGTGGCAAGCAGGCAACAGGAGGAGGGGGCTTTCTGGCCTTCTTGGGGGCGGAAGCTGAAAACAAGCCAGCCCCAACTGGGTGCATCGAGAGGCAAAGTCATTCTGGTGAGATTCTGCCCCTCACCCGCAATGGGGGGGGGCACAGCAGCCCTGTGGCTTGGCCAAGGCCAGGACTTTTCAATAAAACACTCGTGCTCAATTCCGGGGTTTTTTCTTGTGGCTGATGCTGGTCACACTTAAGACTCTGGGGGCCCAGGCTTTTGCCCTCGGAAGGGGCAGCCCTCTTCCCCTGGTGGGAAGAGGCAGGGGAGCCCCGGGCAGCAGAGTTCTCCTCTGTGCTAGGATCCAAGGATCGTCCCAGGGCTCTTTGAGGCCAGAGCTCACCCACCCCTGGCCCCCGGCCGAGCAGGCTGCAGCAGGCAGGTGCCGAGCACAGATCAGGCAGGGAGCCTTGGGGGTCCCCCAGTGACATCCCTCTGGAACCCTCAACCCCAGAGAGCGGGAGGGAGCGCAACCCATGCCGGAAGTTGCAGCCCAGTTCCAGTAGCTATAAGGATGCTCCCCCTTCTGAGAGCTCCTATTGTTCCTAGTGTAGGAGGGTGCAACTCCTATTGCAAACTCACTGCAGGACTCGATCGAGTGGGGCTCAACTTTTGGGGGGTGGGAAATTGGCAGGTCAATCCCCAGAAATTGGGGTCTCGGGGGCAACAGGAGTGGAAGCCGTGCAAGTCACGAGTCCAGGATGAGCTTCCAACGGCTCCTGCACAGGCTGCCTTGCTGGCTGGGGCTGACAGACGGCCTGTGCACAGACGCCAGCCGAGGCTCTTCTGCAGCAACTGCGAGCACAGAGGGTATTTCCCCTCAGTGCCTCTGTTGCTATGCAAACATTCCTGCCTGGCTGAAAACACAGCTGCCCACGGCTCCCCCCCCATGGCGAGCTCCCTCCCTCCCTCCCTCCCAGGGCCGTAGGTTCTCCTGCTAGAGGTTGGGCTTCTGTCGGGGACCCAGAGCTGGGCAGAAACAGCAGCTGGGGATCAAGAGCACAGGATGGGCCCTCGTTACCAATGCACGCTGGGAGAGCCACAGAGCAGAAGTTGGCAGCTTTATTCTGGGCTGAAGGCTGCATCTGAACCCAGACCCCTGTTTACCCCCCACCCTTCGCTGCTTTTCCACAGAACAAACATTTCCAGAGAATCCAGAACAGGGGGGAGCCCCAGAGGAGTCCATCTCAGTGCAGGAGAAGGGGCTGGAATAGGAAATAGGAAAGCCTGGAAGAGTGCCAGCAGCAACGTGGGTGAAGGCTCCCGAGTGCCACCTTCTGCCATTCAGAAAGCACCTTCCAGAGAGACTGGAGGAACGCCCTCAACTGCTGCAGCTCCCCCCCCTCCTCTTCTGGCAGGGGGAGCAGCAGTCGTGCTCTGCCCTGGAGCCAAGTCACTTTTCAAAGGCTCTGCCAGTGCCAGAGCCCCTCTCTTTTCCCAAGCCTGAAGGGGGCCCGGAAGGCACTGGGGAGGGTGGAGGGGCGGAGAGAGTCCCACCAGAGCGCTTTCCCCACCTGAAGATGGGAACAACCCAGGGCAGGCAAGACCCGAGATGAGGCTGCAGCTGAACTGCTGCTCGCTTTGGCTAAGAGGCCGCGGCTTCTTCAGGCAGAGCCACCAGCGGGCACACCTGGGGGAGATGTGGCAAGGAGTCGGTGGGCCAAGTGCATTCGGCAGGGCTCAAAAGCCTCTGCGCCAAAACGGAGGCAGTCCTGGATGGGTGTGGAGTCCACCGAGATCTGCACCAGGAGCGCATCTCCAGCTTCAGAGCAGGTTCACCCCATGCTTGAGCAGCTTCAGCCTGGCCTTGCCGGGCAGACCGACAATGCTGTCCCGAGGGTTGGGCACCCCTGAGTTGTAGGGCGGTGAACCCCTCTGCTGATAGTAGCTCTCCTGGACGGTGTTCCGGCAGCCATAGACAGCCGTGGCGGCGTTTCTGAAAGAGATCGACAGACGGGAAGAGACTCTTTTGTGCTGGGGGAGTTGTGCAGAAAACAGTGGCGGAGCTTATTACAGCAACTGTGCCAACCACACACTTGAGCAGCAACTGCCTGGCAAGAGAGCTGGGTGAAATCAAAGCAGAGAGTTGTGACTGCATTGGTCTGCTAGATGGAGGGAAGCACCAATCCTCTGCCATCGCTTCTGCTTCTGTGCACCACGGAGAGCAGGTGGACTAACGGTGGGAGGCAGCATGCCGTGGTCTAGTAAGATCTCACCCAAATTGCATGGGCCACGGCCCCCTCTGCCCTCAGCCCAGCTTTACCTGAGTGTCAGTTCAGAGGCTGTGGGCAGCTGCTCAAAGGTGGCGTGGATCAGGCCGGTGGCTTGCAGGAAGAGCTGGTCCTCAGGGCTCGTGGTCTGCAGGACGTTGGCTGAAGGGACAAGTCGCGCCATCAATGAAAACGACGCTGGGGCAGGAGAGGGAAGGCTGCCCTCCATCTTGGCCAGAGGCTGCCTCCCGGCCCTTCCCGCACTCACTGGTGAGGATGTTCTGGACGGCGTCATAGTGGGCAAAGTTGTAGGTGCTCCTGGATGAGGTGAGGGGGCCCTTGGGAAGGGTCTCTGCCAGGTGGACCTCCAGGCCGTTCAGGGAGGCAAGGCTGCTGTGATACTGCGAGTTGGGGGGGGGGAGAAATATTTGTGGGAGGCCCCCTCCTCCAATTGTCCCGTTTGGGAAGCTGCCTCCAGGAGCCTGCCGCAGAGAGGGTCCTGGAGGGCAGGGAAGCCGGCTGCCCTCAGAGCCTCGAGTGAGTTGGGGAGGTGCACGCTCTCCTTACCACGTCCTCCATGAGGTCTGCGGAGCTCACCAAGGGGTCTTCGGCCAGGAGGACCAGCACCAGGCCCCGGATGTGGTGAACGTACAAGGCCATCCTCACCAAGTGGGCTACATCTGCCCCTCCTGCGGGAATCTCACTGCCTTTGCTCTGGGACCCCCTGTGGAGGCAGAGCAAGATAGCTGGGCTGGCCTGACACCCCCTGCCCTATCTCCATCTGCTTCCCCTGGAAGCTCAGGCTCCCTGCCAGCCCTGGAGAGTGGTGGGCTGTCTGGACAGAAGGACTGCCCAAACTGATTCCTGCCCATCCCATTAGAAGGCGGTTGGGCCGTCTGGACTGGCACAGGGAGGCCAGAGGGCACCTGTGTTGGTAACACAAGTGAAAGTGAGGCTGGGAATCTCCTCAGAGAGCCTGACAAAGTCACCGGAGCCAGCCCGGACGCAGCCCGGAGGGACCGTCACAATTCTGGCCTTACCTGGTCATCCATTCCACAGGCAGTTCCTGCAGAGCGGTTGCTTCGTCCTCCAAGAGGTAAACAGGTATGACACAGACCCCCGGCGGCAAACTTGTTGGCCCAAAGGTGGTCAGGGAACCACCTAAAGAGCAATTTAGAATCCTCAGGGGCTCAGGAGGAGCTTGGCAAGTGGGTAGTGGGGCCTGGGGTGCCCAAAGGAGCCATGCCCAGCCTCCCAGCTTACCCTCTTTGAGCTGCGCTGCCCCCTTTTCCATCCCACTCTAGAATGGAAGCAGAGAGTTAGCCAGGTGATACCAAATTGCAAAAAAGTTTATCTTTCTCAGACTAGGATTATTTCATGGCCGCCCCCCCCCCAAAGATTATTACACCAGAACCATCCAAGGGATGTTGGTACATTTTCTCCCCCCCCCCCAAGGCAGAGCTACAACTTACACCTCCATCCTCCTTTCCCTTCTGCAGCAGAACTCTGGCGGTGAGCTCAGGTGGCAGCTGTGTACTGACCACCCTGCATGGGGAAAGAAAGGAGTGGTCACCCAGGGGGGTCTCACTCGGTTATAAACCCCGATCCCAGAAGAATGAGGCCCATCTAAGAGTACAAGAAGGCCCTTGCCCACTCTGCCACCCGGAGGCCTTCACGTTGGAGTGGGCATATGGGGTAGAGGTGGTCTGATACACAGCAGTGGTGAAGCTGACTGTATTCGGGGTTGTTTAGCAAGGGCCAGTGGGGGAGACCCTAAGTCTCAAGGCTGGCCCCCTGCTCCCCAGATACTCACAGGCCTCTGTAGAGGATGCAGCCGGCCAGCACGTGGCGAGAACGCTGGCAGCTCTGCAGGATGAGGGCAGCTTTCAACAAGAGCAAAGGGTCCACCTGTCAGGGAGGAGGAAGCCAGAGCAAATGACCTTTCTAGGCGCCTCGGGACAGCCAAAGGGTCCCACCCGGCCCTTTCTACTTTCCACCCAGTGCCCTAAGAGAGTGCAGGAAGTAACAGGCCCCAGCCCTCCCGGGAGGCACCTTGGTTTTGTCTAAGGCCCAGAGGGAGTTAAAAACCCGGTGAAGGTCACTGGAGCTTTGCTGCAGGTGGTTCACATACAGTTCCCACTCCCGGTCCAGATCCTCCGGTGAGCGGTCCTGGGAAGGACAAAGAGCAGAGGACAACTCAAGTGACCAGCTGCCCAAACCCACTGGCTGTGCAGAAACGCCCTCCTTTGGGAGGGGCATTCCTTTGGGGATGGAGCAGAGGGAGACGCTTGTGGCTGGAATGAACCACAAACTGATACAAGGCTGAGCACAACTGCCAGGATCTTTTCCAAACTGCTCCCCTGGCTGGTGGGGCAACTGACACCCTGAGGCTTAAAAACATCCCTGGATGTCTCCCAGGGCTACACGTGGCTTGCACTCAGGTGATTGCTATGCTACAGCCGAGCTCTCACGCTGCTGCTTCACAGAGTTATGATAGGGGACGGTTGCGTAGACCCACCTGATGGTGGCTGGGTGTCACTTGCCACCAGCCGCTGCCCCTCAGCAGCAGGCCAGCCCAGCTCAGGGGAGCCAGAAGGGGCACTCAGCAGGTGGGGCGGTGGGCTGCACTGATAAATGGCAAAGGTAGGTGCTCCCCAGGGGAAAGAGCAAAGCGCCCCCAGCCCTCGTGAATCCCGCAGGTCGTCCCCCAGGGATGCCACCCTCTGCAGAGTGCAGTAGCCCAGCATCTCCAGCTGAGGGGGAGGGGAGGGGAGTGAATGTGCAGCCTCCCACCCACCAGGTAGGCTCGAGAAGCCGGCCCGTTGTAGAAGCGGAAGAGGCCGACCAGCCGCTCTAGGAGCCGCCTGCAGCTGAGGTCCGAGAGGTCGGCGGTGCAGCCCAGAACCTGCAGGAGAGAAGGACGAGGATGGGCCGGATGGGACCCGCACCGGTCCTCTCCCATCAGGGCCGGAAGCGAAGGGCGATCGCGTCCCCACTCACCCACAAGTAGGTGCCCTGCGCTTCCAGCGCGAACTTGAGCCTCCGCAGCCGGATGAGGCCCGGCGGGGAGCCGGAGATCTCCAGGGCGCAGCGGGCCACGCCGGCGATCTGTCCGCACAGCAGCTCCTGCTCGTCGCGGGGCGCCTGCAAGGTAGGAGGGGCGGCGGCGGTGGGGCTGCCGAAGGACCCGGGGGGGAGGGGGAGGGGGGCCCGCCCGGGACGGGGGGCCACGCGGGGATACCTGGCGCGGGTGGAAGCAGCAGATCCCGGCGCGGGTGGGGTCGCCTTCGCCCCTCACTTTCGCGGCGTCGTAGAGGAAGAAGCAGCGCCACCTGCGGGGACAGCGGAGGGGGGCGGGGGTCAGCGGAGGGGGGGGCAGAGGGACGGAGGGCAGGGGGCGGGGGGGTCGTACCAGGCGGGGGGAGCGGCGGCCATTCTGGGCTCTCGGCGCCTCCGCAGCGGGACCTACAGGCGGGAAGAGGGGAGGGCGCGGGGGATCGGCGGGGGGGGCTGCAGTCTCCGGCCCCTGCGCGGCTCTCTGCCCGTGCTCAGAGGCGCCCTCGGCAGCCGGGCGCGGAGAGGCCAGCGGCTTCCGCCAGGAAGTCACGTGGGCGGAAGCGCCTCCGCTGCTCCTCGGCCTGCTGACCGGGTGGCGACGGGTGCCGTGGGCAGGGACGTTCCTCGCACTTCCGCGGCGGCGGCATGTCCGGGGATGGGGGCCGCGCGGGAGGAGGAGGGCGGCGGCGGCGGCGCGGGAGGCAGGGGGCGGCCGAGGACGAGAGCCCCGCGGCGGCGGCTGAGCGGCAGAGGCGGCGGCTGCAGGAGGCGCTGTAAGGATCCTCCAAAAGAAAGCAAAAAGGGGAAGAGGTGGGAATGGAGCTTCCACCGACCGGTGCAGTCTATCTCCGGGGGACAGAGCCCCGGCCCGGTCCCTCCGTCTTAGCCCCGAGTTCCTCCCTTCTTCTTCTTTCTTTGGCAGCTCCGAATTGAAGGATTCCGACTTCTGGGACTCCAGCCGAAGTAAGGCTTTGCCCAGACCGCCGCAGCCAGGGAAGCGGCCGGGCCTGGGGCTGGGGGCTTCCCTCCCCGGAGACCCTCCTGGTTGCAGCAGCGGGAGACACTCCCGGAGCCAGCAAAACGCAATTCCTGCCCGGCAGAGTTAAGCCCCTGGCTCAGCCCCCGCCCGCCCCCCTCCTCAGGGCAGCGCTGGGTGGGCGAGGGGGATGGAGCACCCCCGGTCGAAGGCCATGGGGAGAGAGTGACCTGGAAGGGGTGGGGAGCGTTCGGGTCCTGGCCTGTTCCCCCCATACCCACTTTGATCTTTTCCTCCTCATCCAGGAACCATCTTGAAGTCCCTGGGGACCCCCCCGACAGCAGAGCAGGACGCCTTTGCAGCCTTGGGGGAGTTGCAGGAGGCCCTTCCGGGAAAATTGGCCCTGGGGGGCCCAGGGGGCAGAGCGAGGGGCCTGCGGTGTGTGTGCTATGGCCTCGGGAACTTTTGTTCGTGCGGCAAGGCGCGCCTGCAGCTGGCCTTCCTCTTGCTGCTGCTGGAAGAGCTCAAGGTTGGGGCCCCCAGCTGGGGGTGGGGGGGAAGGGCGGGGGAAACCCTGTGTTCGAGTTAGCCCCCCCCCTGCTGTTGCATTGCAGATTCCCCCAGAGATGTGCTTTGTCTTTGACCCCATCTTTTCCACCCTGGAAACTGAGGTGCTGGGCGGCCTCGGCCTCACCGTACTGCAGTGGAATGAGGTGAACTTGTGTGTGTGTGTGTGCAGAGTGCCTGCCACCATAATCGGTGTCTCTTCCCTGGCCCTGCAGTCCTGGCATGTCCTTTGTTGCCCAGGAGGGGAAACGGAGCATCGAGGGCCCCACGCTCTTCTACATGATCCACTGCGGGAAGGCGCTGTACAACAACCTGCTGTGGAGCAATTGGTCTGCGGAGGCGCTCTCCCAGATGGTGGTCGTAGGGAACAGCTTCAGGGGCTTTGAGGAGAGGTACGTGCTCCCCCTGCCACCTGGGCAGGGAGGGTGCTGGAGTCAGCCGCTCAGCCTGCAAGCTCTGCACGTCCTTTTCAAGCCCTGGCTGAGTTTGTGCAATCCTGGCCTGTTGAACCAAACTCTGTGGATTCCCACTCCGCAAAGGTGTGATTTGCTGATTTGGCCAGCCCTTTCGTTGGTCCCCTCCTGCGGCTTGGCTGGAAGCTGCACAAAGACCTACCCGAGTTTTGCTTCCTACCCTCCACGTTTCCTAATATCCTGTCTCTCTCGTCCCCCAATTCCCATTCTAGGCTGCTGGCCAAAGTCTTCCGTGAGAATTACAGCTACATTGCCAAGGTGGGTCTTCCTCTCTTGCTCTGGTGGGAGGGGCCCGCTTGCCTCCACTTTTAGAATCTGAAAGCCCCCTTGAGACCAGAGCAGAACTTGCAAGCCGGAAGCCACGGCCAGCTGCTGGTCACGATGATCCTTGGGTGACTGCTGGCCTTGCAGAGCTCCTGCAGCGGGAAGAGCTGAAGTCCTCCCTGGTGGCCTTTGGTGTTTGGCCACCAGTTAGCTCTTCTAGCCTCTGGCTGCCAACAACACCTTCTTGTGCTCACCTGCGACCAGGTGCTGGAGGCATCCCAGGAGGAAGCCCTTCCGCCCCACCCGCTCCACCCCGATGTCTTCAACGACACATCCGTCCACCGCTTTCCTCTGCAGAAACTGAGGGGCCTCCCCCAGGAGTGCTGGGCCTGCCAGCCGGAGCCCTTTTACCCAGAAGAGGCTCAGCTGGAAATCATCAGAAACAAGCCCCAATAACATTCCCCCCCCCCGTTTACAGGAAATGGGGGGAGCTGCAGCAATGGAGCCCAAAGTCTGAGGGCATGCAATGCAGTGAGCCCCTCCCCACAAACCCCACAACTTTTGCTTCTTGCTGAGAGTCAAAGTGGGGGGGGGGAGGGAGAAATGGAAAACAGTGATGGTAGGTCTTGCTCCTTCCAGGAAACCATGCCAGGATTTCTCCCCAAAACTAGAAGGGGAACTGGGTTGCTGTCAAACCCATAGATCAACTTATATTGTAACCATTAAAAAAATTCTCTTGAACTCAAGTTTCTCAAGCCCCTTCAATGATTTGCCCCCACTGAACGGTCGGCAGTTTGAACATTTTAATAGACAAGCATCCAAATGAAGCAGGTACTTTATTTACAGATACAAGTCTCTTGGTCAGCGCTGGTTTTTCTTTTACAAGGGGCCCTAAGCGCTTTCTGGGATGGAGGGAAGATGAGGGAAGCTCTTTGGGCCCGTCCCCCGCCCCTCACTCACTTGGCCATGTCGATGAGGCTCTGCAGAGAGGTGGGCACCCAGGTCTTCTCACCCTGCACAAAGACCACCCCCCGGTCAATATAGATGACGATGCGTCCAAAAGTGTAGAGCTGCTTTCCCTCGTGCCGCTTCCCGATGACAGGCATGAAGACAATGTTATGCTCCTCTGCTTTGGTCTGGATCAGGTCCTTGAAGTTCATGGGCACAGAACTGGCGGCCATGCCGATCCCGCGCTGTGCCATGTTCTCGGCTTCTCGGCGCTCCTGCATGGCTTCGTACTGGAAGTCCTTCCGGCGTTCTGTATGCGTGAGGTAAGCGATGTTCTCCCGTGCACCAGGCTGCATGTAGCCCCCTGGCAAGAGAGAAGAAAAGGGATGAGGAGAAAGCCTGCAGCCCCACGTTTGCACTGCCCCCCTCTCCTCTGCGACTGGCCGAGACTTGGCCGAGGGTCCCGCCTTGAGGCCTTGGCCTGTGTGCCCGAGAGCCCCCACGGCACCCACCGACACTGGAGGAAACGGCTCTGTTCATGATGTCCAGGGCTTCATTGAATTTCTCTTTGATGGAGGGGTGGGCCAGCACCTGGTCGGAAAACATGGACTTCCAGCCCAGGTACCACTTGGTGATCTCCTCATAATTGGGGTTGTTGCTGAGCCAAGAACAGAGCACCTGTGGGGGGAGGGAAGAGGACCACTGACTTTAGGGGCCCTTCCGTGCCACCCCTGGCAGCCCAAGAGTTCAAAGGCCAAGGACATGCTCCTGACCAAGAGAAGGGCCACCTTCTGCAGCAAGGTTGAGGGACCAAGAGGCCCAGTGGCTTTAGGGCTCCAACCGCTTGGGGCACGGTGGCTCTTAATCCCGTCCGGTCCCCGAGGGCCGCCCACCTGAAGCCACTTGGGGAAGAAGTGCTTCTCCAGGAGCCCCACCAGGCTGGAGACAGAGATCATCCCTTCCCAGTCCATCACCCAGAAGAAGGCGTCCATGTGCTGCTGGTGGGGGTTGATGATCAGCTCGTTGAGACACAGGCCTGTGGGGAGGGGAGGGGGGATCAGCAGGAAAGGCTGCACAGACATTAACTCACCCTCCTGGGGGGCACAGCGCAGCTGCTCCCCCATAAGCAGTCCAGCCTTTAGATTTTGCATCGCATGAAATTAACTGCTTAGTTTTGCAACGCCTGACAGTCTTGGGGGGGGGGGGCTGCAGGGGGATCCCAAAAACTGGACCAGGAAAGCAAGAGCCACAGCTGGAGCTGGCAGTTGTCTTCTCCCTTTTTTGGGGATGATTCCCGCCTCAGCTCTAAATCTCCACATGGGGATCACTGACTCACAGCTAAGCTGGCCCTGATCCGCAGCCCAAATCCTCCCTGCCGTTCCTTGCTGATGAGGAAATAGCCGCGTGGGGAGCAGATGGTGAAGGCCGAAAGCAACGGCCTTCTTTTGCCAAGGCCAGAGAGACAGTTGCCGGCCAGAATCTTAACATCTGGGATTTCAGGGACAGACCACCCATCCCTGTCCACGTTCATGTTCCTGAAAGAAGATGCTAACAGCCTGCCTGTCTTTTTTGGGGGGGGGGGAGCTTTCTCTCTCTCTCTTCCCTGCTCTGCTGAGAAAGGGACTCACCCAGTTTGGGCACAATGTTCTTGACCATGAAAGCCTCCCATGAGCCCGGGGTGAAAACCTCCTTCCAGGGCTGCAGAATCAGCTGGGCCGAGGAGTCGCTGGGGTGCCACTTCTGGAGAGCGTTGGACAGCTTGTTGCGGATGGGCGAGTAGAGTGGCTCGAGCCGGGCCTGCATCAGGGGAAGCCAGGGGTGTATCCACGAGTGGATGGGCACGGTGTCGGTTAGAGGGTTCCAGTTCTCCACCTAAGGCAAGGGTGAGAAGAAGCCCTGAGGAGAAGTGGAGAGCCCGGGGCCACGGAAGCAGCTTCCCCCTCTCTTCCCAGACTCCCCGCAGCAGCCTGAGGGATTGCCCACCGCACCTCCTTCTGCAGTTTGGGGAAGATCAGCTGGTCAAGAATGTTATCCAGGATCCATATCGGAATGATGTGCCTCCAGCTGTCGAGGAAGTCCACAATCGGGATGCAGTTGCGGGGCTGCCACTGGGCCACAATGTTTCGCACGTACGGCATCCACGTTTCCCACATCAACCTGAGGATCCCAAGCGAGCAGTTCAAGGCCCAAACCAGCCCATTTAAAGGCTCTTCCGGGGAAGAGACCGTCTGCCCTTCCCTGCTGGAGGCTCACCTGTGAAAGGCATCTGAGCCGAGGTCCTGTGCGCTGTGGGAGAGCAACCGATCATTCTCCAGCAAGGCTTTCCATTTGGCCAGGATCTCCGTGCCGGCTGTGCAGTCCTGCAGAGAAAAAGGGAGAGATATGGCCCTAATCCCAAGCCTGGTGAGAGGCGCATTCATCCCCAAGCCTTCAGAAGCCCCCGGAAGCCCCACCTTGAGGGGATCCCAGTTCTTGAAGTAGTCCTTGACCAGAGGGAAGACGATGGCCACGGCCAGGTCCACACGGTCTGACATCTGGTATTCTTCATAGTACTTATCCTGGAGGGTCTCAAATATCTTGACGCACTCAGGCAGAGTCAGGGGGTCTTCGCAGTTGGGCTGCATCCGCCTTTCGCACTCTTCCACCAGCTCCAGCACCTCACTGAGGTTGCGGATGTCGATCTCCTCCCGCAAGAGCACCGTCTCCATCTTCTCGATCTCGTGGCTCAGGTTAACCACCATATCCCGCTCGTACTGCAGCTGCCGGTCATTCTGGATGATCTCCTGCTCTGTCAGGTCAATCAGCAGCTGCAGGTTGTGCTCCAGCTCCGGCAGGGAGAAGGTCTGCGTCTTGGCCTCCTTGCCCAAGGCAGGCAGCTGCTGCTGGGGACCGTCCTCTGGGATGTTGTGCTTCTGGCTGATCTGACTGTAGCTGTAGTAAACCTTCTGCTCCCGCCCCGTCATGTCAATCACCTTCCAAAAGAGAAACCGCACGGAGTGAGGAGGCGGAGGAGCACAGTGGAGGAGGACCGCCAACTCAGAGTCACCTTGTAGAGAAGACGGGTGGCATAAACGTGTAATAAACAAACTTAGGCTGCTGCTGTTGCTGACATCCATTCCACAGCCAAAGCCCCAAGTAGGCAGCTGGAGATTTATTGAGGGCTGCAAGCTCAGTCTATGGCAGAACTTTCATTGCTGTCTTTCCTGAATGGAGCAGGACTGCGTAGCCCCCCTTTCTCCCCTCCCGCCCATCTTGCTGCCACCTCACCTTGACCTGTGTCAGCTCCTTCTGAGGGGCAGACAGCTGCTTGCCGGCCCTGCCCTTGGCTTTCAGCTCTTCCACTGTCTTGTAGGTATACTTGGGCTTTTTCTTGCCCCCGCTAGGGTCCTTCCGCCACTGGCTGAGTTCCTTTTGAAATTCCTGGGGGGGGGAGGAGAGATGTCAAAAACAGAGGCAGGCAGTGCGCAATCCACAAGGCATCCATTTTTTACTGAGATCAAGCAGGAGGTTGTATGGGGTGGGGCTGCTGTTCCCCCAAAGAGGTGGGAAGTGACAGAAGGTATTCTTAGCAGCCGGTCTCTTGCAGACCTTGCTGGACAGCAGGAGGCAGACTGGAACTCTCAGACCTGCAGGCGTCACATCAAGCTATGCCAACCATGCCTCAGGTCTGGAACTTCTGGCGTGAACCACTCGGACGCAGAAAAAAAGGAAGACATTTGAGAGACGTCCTTGTTTTGCTACAAAGCCGGGGGTGAGGGGGAGCCTTCTCCTACACCAGCTCTAATTGGGAAAGGGGAACATGGGGTCGTACCTCCTCCTCCTCTTCATCAGAATCAACAATGGGGAAATCTTGCAAGGATTGTGTGGTTCGCTCCGAGCCGTATGCCCCAATCGCTGCCTTGCCTTTTCTCTGCTTGGCCTCAATGGGGTTGATGATACCTAGGAAAGTTCTTCAGGGTTAGCGAAACAGAGAGCTCCCTGCAGACGCCAATGGAAGAACGGCTTGCCTCCCAGAGTTGTGAGGCTCCATCATTGAAGGTCTTCAAGAAGACATTGAACAACAGCCTGTCTGGGATGGTACTGTATAATGTCTCCTGCCTTGGGCAGCGGATTGGACTAGAAGACCTCCCAGGCCCACTCCAGCCCTATCCCCTGAACTTTATAATTTGGGGCGACCATGGATAAGAAGGTGGTTTTTAGAGAAGCTGTACTGCAAAAAAGGGAGTACGGCAAAGGTGGGCTTGACGGACAGCTGGCTTACCTTGGGCGTTCTTCCCCAGGCCTCGGCCAGGCACGTAGCCCATCTTCTGCAGGAGCTTCTGCCCGATGCCCTTGGTGTGCCTCTCCCAGCTGCCAAAGTCCACGAAGGACTTGCTGCCACCCACGAAGCCCTTCTGGCTGGGCTTGAAGTTGCCACCCTGCATCGGTTCAGAAGGGAGGACGGGAAGGATGAGCACCGGGGGGGGAAGGAGCGGGGGGGGGCGTCCCGGCCTCGCTTACCGTCTTCAGCTTCTTCGGCACCGCCTCCTTGGGGGGCTCCTCCGCCCGCTCCCCGCTCTCCCCATCCTCCTCCGAGTCCTCCTCCTCCGAGTCCTCGCCGGGGCCTTCCTCCGCCGCCGCCGCCGCCGCCCCCTTCTTCAGCCCGGCGCTGATGAAGCTCACCGGGGCGGAGTAGTCCCGGGACCTGAGGGGGGAGGAAGGGCAGGAGGGCTTTTAGGACGGGGGGGCTCCGAGCCCAGCCGTCCCGCCTCCCGGCCCCGTCCGCGCACCTCTTCCCGCCGAAGCTGGGCCTCTCCTCGTCCGAGTCGCGCTCGGCCCACAGGCCGTAGATGGCCTCCTCCTTGGTCTGCCGGTGCCGGTGCCGGTTGGGGTTAAACTCGTTCTGCAGATCCCACTCGCTGATCTCGAAGCTCTCCATCTCCACGCCGCCGTCCTCCGCGCCCGCCTCTCCGCCGCGCCCGTACAGGTGCGAGAGCGACATGACGCCCGCGGGGGACCGACCGAGCGGAGCCGCCGCAGCCCGCTTCCGCCCCCCTCCTCCGACGCCTTCCGGCGCTCAAGGAAGTCGCTGCGCCTGCGCGGGAAGTGGCCGCTCTCTCTCCCCGTCTCGGTGGCGCGTGCCCCCAGCTCTGCCTCGCTTCCCCTCCTTGCAATGGTGCAGATGAATGATGTCTGGTTTTTGCCACACTTGGAGGAAACAATTGCTACACAAATCAGCAGTCCAAAAAGCCGCAACCCTCACAGACCTGGCAGCGCCTTTCAAGAAAAGCGGCTCCCTTTTTCTCCCACAAGCCGACAGGAGGCATCCCCAGAATCCAGCTGCGGCTCTGCGTCGCCCTTGCCTGAGCATATATTTCAGAATTAATAAATCTCTTTAGAAGAGAGAATTAAAAGAGACAAATGTCAATAAGACCGAAAACGCTCTAAAGACGATATGCAAGATGGTTTTACACAGAGCCTGAAAAACGTGTTCCGTAGACAAGTATAAAATCTTCTCCAATATTCTTTATGGTTCCCTTTTTATTTCTACATATATGACTGCAGAGCATGTCCAAACTTGGTACGTGACTTATTTTCTGGAACTGGAAAGTCCAAACTTGGCAAATTAATGACAAAATGAAAAGTATTTCACAGATAGCACTTTATTTGGCAATATCAGTAGCAAGCAATATGCTTGGATAACAGATTCCCAGTCTTGTTGTTTGCAAATTTTCTTCTCTTCAGAACAAGGGGAAGCAATTTGCACCTAAAAGAGAGCAACAAGGAGAAAGCAGAATTACTCCGGGAGAGCGTCCAAACGCAGTCTTCAAGCGAGGCAGACCAGGGTTTCCTTCTTTGGTGGGAATCCAGGGCCGGGAGGACGATGCCCCGGAGAGCCACCCTGCCAGCATCAGGATGGTCCTGTGCAGCTCCACGAGTTGGAGCCATGATCTGCTGGGAGACACCAAGACGTACCTAGAAATCATTGAGTTGGTCAGTGAAAAGCAGTCGTATTTGGAGTCCCCTGCAAAGATCAAACAGAGAGGAAGAGTCAGCAGCTTCTGAGCTGGGCAGTTCTACTTTTGCACTGGTTTTCTGAGGTTTCTAGCTTTCCAAACAAGTCCGGATAGGAGCAAAGTTAATTAAAATATTTTAAGGGATACATATTATTGGATTAGTTATTCCCGGCTGCAAGAAATTCGTATATCAAATCTCAAAGTGATTTAAGCTGTAGGAATTATGCCTCTGAGGAGATGCCTTTGCAACAGTCAGAAAAGAATGACAGGGCAAAGCTACCCAGAAGAGAAGGCGGCGCTGCCTGACAGGATCCTCTCAATGGAAGGTTGAGAGGGAAGCATTCCTATTTTGGTGTCCTCCTAGCCCCCTCCCTTGAAAACTACCCAGCCCCAGAAATAAAAGGCATTTGGGGAGGGGACACTGGTGGATCCCAAAGGACTGTGCCTGGCTGAATTAGGATCATTTCTGCAGCCTGGGAGAAGAGGAGGGCGGAGGCAAGGAGCTGACCTGAAGGTGTCCCTTCAGATTGGCAGGTGTTTTGAAGTCTCCGTTCAGGACCTGGAAAAGAGCAGCACAGAGTCAGCCGGGTCAGCAGGATTGGGCCCTGCAGCCCTTTGCTCAGCCAGGCAGTCAGCCTCTCACCGCCCCCCCTTTCAGTGAGGAAAAGCCTGTCTAGTTCTAAGCTAGGAGGGCGGCAGGGAGGGGCTTATAAAAATCCGGATTGTGCACGGAAAGCCCCTTTCCTGAGGCCAGAGGGATGTAGATGCCAATCAGGCCAGGAGACCCAGCCCAGCCAGGGACTCTACAGCACTCACCCGGTGGGTGTTGTTGACCACCAGGGGGTCTGGGCTGCCGTAGTTGGGAGGGTTTGCGTAGGGGTCATAGCCCAGCCTGGCCAGCATGGGGGCAATCTGAGCCATGTCCTGCACCACGTCTTCCGGAATGTGTCCCAGCCACTTGGTCAAGGCCTCCATGTTCACAGGCTTGATCACTTGGTCTGTAGATCGCTCGATCCTGTGCAGAGACCAGAAACATCTGTGTGTTGCGCTTGGCTTTCCTTCAGGTCAAGTACAGCCTGAGGACTTGCAAGCTAAATCTGAAAGAACTTGGGAGGTGGAACTACAGAATTGACTCCCCCTGTGCCTGAAAATTTTTTTGGGGGGGCACCCTGGTCATGCACTCCAGACCATTAAGGGAATTCCAGCCCCTGAATTAGAACTGCCCCTGACCCGACCATGGGGTGATCCCTGACCGGCCCCTCACTTGGAAAGGGAGACGCCGCCTGGCTTCCCAATCAGCTCTTCATGGTGCAGGACGGCGTCGCTCCAGGCGATGTCCAGGAAGTCCATGATGGCCCGCATGGACTTCTGGGGGTGCAGAACCAGCTGCTCGTAGTAGACGGGGAGGCAGCGCAGCCGCCCGATGGCCAGGCACTGGGAGTGCATCACCTCGATCGCTTTGTTCCACTTAGTCAGGCAATCCCGATAGCTCCGCAGGTCGAAGCCGGCAATGGTGACCTTCCTGGTGATCATGGAGTGGACGGAAGCCCGCCCGTCACGCACCATCAGCAGGAATTTGGAGTTGGGGAAGAGATGGGAGAGGTAAATGGAGGACTTGAGCGTGAAGGGGTCCTTGTTGCAGAGGTAGCGGGCTGGCTCCCCGTGCTTGGCGATCACCTCCAGGATGAAGGCCTGCATGGCCGCATCCAGCACCTGGTCTGTTACTCCGGCTTCGTCCAGGCGCATCTTTTCTCGCCCAGATCGGGACCAGGCTTGGCGCATGGCCAGCACCCGCGGGATGATACGCGTCTCCTCCCCACAGCGCACCTCCGGGTGAGCGTCCAGCATGGCTCGCATCAGGGTGGTCCCGCTCCGAGGAACCCCCCCAATGAAGATGAGCGGCATCTCCTTACTGTATCGATATTCGACTCTGTTGGCGTCGAGCATCACCAGCTCCTCGCTCTCGGGACGCATCAGTGCCCGGCTGAAGCCCTGGCCCAGGATCTGCTGGCACTGCAGCATCTGCTGGCCCAGGTGGACAGAGACCATCAGGGCGATGGCAAAGCCCACCACCATCAGCACTCGTCTCACAGTCAGCCGCATCCTCGCCTCCTCCACATGGGACCAGCGGTCGCGCCACCGTCAACATCTGGATGCTGCTGGGACGGAAAGGTCTTTCATCATCTGCCTTCTCTCTTGGCGGTCAGAGCCCACCCAGGGAAGGGCCCACCCTGTGGATGGAGCCCCCCATCTGCCTCCATGAAGGAGAGCATAGGGGAGCTCCACAGTCTTGCCCCCCCCCCCGCTGCTCTTCAGCAAGGCTTCCTTGAAAAGGGTCTCTTGCCACGATTGTTGGGGAGGGCAGCCTCAGGACTGACACAGAAAGGACGTTTTTTGCTAGGCCTCCACCCGCTTTCCTTCCCTTCCTGCTGCTCTTCCATGCCAGTCAGCCTCCATTAACAGTTCCTTGCACCTTTTGAAGGTGATGAAATATTAATGGCACAAAACACGGGCCAGAGTGGTGGTGGAGAGTGTGGAATTGCAAGCAGGGCCATCAAACATTCATCCACCATGGCCAAGAGACATCAGGGGAGTCTATGGTGACAAGGGGCTCACCTTCCCTGCTGGAGTTCATTTTCCTGCTCGCTCGTTGCTCCCTCTCAGCACAACCACCAACCCTCAAGTCAGGGAAGTCCAGCCTGGGGAAGGGAAGCAGAGTCAGTTGGATGCTTTGCAGGGGGCGCATCCTGCAGTGGAGCTCCCTGGCTTGGGCCCCTCCTGCCTCCCGCCGTGGCCCCGGAGGGCTTCCTCCCGTGCAGGAGCCGCACCTGATGCTGCTGGGTGCCCTGTGGGATCAGCTGGGCTTAAGGCTGCATTCCAGGCCAAGCTGGAAGAGCGTCAGCAGCCTGTTTCTTTCGGGGACAAAGAATGAGCCTGTTGCCATGACAACAGACAGGCGGCCATGCTCCACCAAGCCTCACAGAGATGCCTCCCCCCTCTCAAGGCCAGGTACACACACAATGAGCACGCATGCACACGTACACATCCACGCACACACGTTGGGTGGCCTAGATAAAAGGCTGCTCAAGCCCACAGAAGGCGGCTGCTCTTTAATTTGCTGCATTAGGTAAACAGGAAACTTCTGTCGTACAGAAACTGCCGTTCGGCTGCATTTTCAGAAGAGGCCAAAGGTGCCATCTGCATCATGGAGGGAGGGGGTTGAAGGGGGAGAAGGTTTTTTTAGGTTTGCCAACCCATTGGCTTCATGGTTGCATGTGACACTCAAAACGTTAACATCACTTTGCAACATTTAAGGAATCAAGCAGTACACCAGCACGTCAGGGAATAAAGACAATTTTATCCAGCGTTTGAAGTGGAAGTATATTGAAAAAAATAGAAGGGTGGGCAGATGTGTGTTTATTGGTCGAATTCTAACTTTGAGCAACTGACACCCACTGGTTGTTTCTGACTCTCAGACCAGCCAGCTGAAAGTCCAGCTTGTGCTCGGACTCCCAGGCTCCACGGGACAAGCGCACCTCTCCATAAAGGCTGTCCAGGGAAGACAGCCAAAGCCAAACGAGAAGGATCGGCTTGCAATTCTACCAGTCTGGGACCTTGGTGGCGCCCCTCAAGTGCAACACCAGTTTCCCGAAGGCCGCACAAAGAGTGCTAGCTACAGTGCCTGGACCGACTCTGCCCACAAAATGAAAACCTGGGATGCTTTGGAAACTGCCTGCTACCAGGATGGGCCCTCCCGTCCCTGTCCCTCCGTGCCTCTGGCAGGAGAAGCCGGGAGGGAGCGTCACTCGGCAAAGGCCACCAACTTTGGCCCTTGGCTGGGCAGGCAGACTGCCTTCATTGGGGGACTCCGGGAGCAGCTCGGCTCTTACTGTGGCAAAGGCCACCAGGACACTCCTGCCCTCGCTTCCAGCAAAAAGAAAGGCCCTCTTGTGGATCAGGATTCTGGAACCGTCGAGCTAGTTGCTAAGGGACTGTGAGCCACACAGCCGGACGCACCACTGTGATTCAGGCCTGCGGTTCCTCAGCCACCCGTGCCTGCCAGAGGCCTCGGGAGCTCTTGGCGTGTCAAGGAGGGCATTCCAGTTGGCTCTTAAGTGCCGGAAGGAGCCTCTGCATGGCAAAGACTGGCGCGGATGGGGGAGAAAGTGCTTTGAATTGTGGGCTCCAGGGCACACCCTCCCCCCACCCATCCAAGCCTGGAGGGAGTCTGGGCTTCCGGTCTCTCTGTGTCCAAGTCTTGCAAAATGAATACAAATGCCTAAACCATGGTCGTGCGGGAAAACCACGGTCTGTGGTGGGAGGGAGCTGCCTGCCCAGTTGTTTCCAGGCACAGCCATGTTTACTAAACAGTGCCCACTCAGCTGAAGAGCTTCCCGCCCAGGGGCAGGGGAGGAAAGCTCAAGGAGGCAAACAGAGGCGGCTCTGCTGGGGAGCCCTGCCTCCACACTTGGCTCTTTCGAAGGGTGGAAAGGGGCTCAGGAGGAGGCTGGGGGCAGCCCTGGAGAGCCCCCAGAGAAGAAGAAGCAAGGAGAAGGAGGTCTCGAGAATGGTTCAGCCTCTCTCGCTGCCTGCAACAGGAAATCAAGAGCTACAGGCCTGGAGCAGCTGAGGAAGAGATAAAAATTGGTTTCCTGTGCCACTTACGAAACCACGCTTGTGGGCTTTGGTCTTCAGTTTGACTCAGCGTTTCCAAAAACAGAGCCCTTCTCCTGCCAATGGCCTCCCAGTGGGGCTCTCGGCTGCTTTCAAGGGTGCCGAAAAGGGGCAGTGAGCCTGGGGAGCACTTCTGCATCTTAGCACCCGTGGCTGGAGTGAGCACAAAAGTCTCATCTACTCCCGAAGGACTGAAGCCCTCGAAGGTCTGGGCTGAAGCCCATCTCTGCTGTGGATCAACTGCAAGGCTTGGACAACCTTTTGATTTGTTATTTATAAAGGACAAAAACGTTTCTAGACACCAAATAAACATAATTTTCCTTCAAGATTGCCTGTCATTTTTCTCCAAGGGTACTGCAGCGACAAGCCATTTACCATGCGGGTATTATGTAGGTTGTTCAAAAGCAGCTTAGGGACATTTACATACATGAGCAGATGTACACACATATGTGTACACACACACACACATGCCCGCACACACAAATATCCAAAGAGGAAAGAGAGAAGGTGAAGGGAAGGGGAGGCTATCCAGTTGGGCTGTTTTGGACGCAAATGGGATTTTCTGGCAATGGGGGGAAAAAAAGACTCAAAACAGCAGTGGGCGGATGGGTGGGTGGGTGACTGACTAATAGTGGAAACCGGGAGGAGACCCAGAGGAACCCGCCCTCTTGCCCAAAGGCAAAGCAACTCCTGGGTCTGCTATGCTGGCCAGGGGGTGGCAGCAGAGAAGAAGAGCGGGAAAACCTGGCCCCCAACTCTCCACACCCTGCAAGCCAAAGCGCCTCACTGAGCTAAAGTCAGCCCGGATGGGGGTGGGTGGAAGGGCCGCTCCGTTCCGATGTCCAAAACCAGCTTCTCTCCTTTGAAGCAAACCATATCCTGGTTGCTGGGGAGAGGGGATATTTGTCCCGCGGAAGGGGACCTACCGAAGAAGCCTCCAGAGCCAGGAGCACTGTATCTCTGGACCCCTCTGGGTTCATTCCAGACAGAGGACCGCTGTCCTTTCGGAAGAAGAACTGAAGATTGGGGACCGAGCTGGAAAGCGCACAGAAGCTGCAGCCGGGTCCACCCAGGCACTGCCCGAGCGGCCTTCGCGGCGGCGAGGGGAGGATGAGGCTGGGAGGCACCCGAGGCCCAGCGGGGAACCGGCCGAGGGCATCGGAGCAAGCAAAGCGGGTCAGTAGCGGTGCCGGGAGAAAAGCTGTGCCGGAGCCGAGCGTCTCCGGGCCCCTTTTTCTACGGGAAGGAGCGGGGCTCCCGGAGGGCGCAGCTGGCAGGGTGCGCGGGGGACCCTCGCCGGCCGCGGAGGCGGCGGGGCGCGGGGATACTCACCGCTCGAGCCGCGCAGGTAGCGGAGCCCCCTTCGGCCAGGGAGAGCGCAGGCAGCCCCGGGCGCCTTCGCTCCTCCCGCTGCCCGGCCGGCGCCGAGAGACGTCACGCGCACCGAGGCGGCGGCGGCGGCGGCGGCGGAAGAGGAGGAGGGGCCGGGCGCCCCGCCTACTCCCAGCCCGGGGGACTCGCGCGGCGGCGGCGGCGGCGGGTGGCGCTGAGCCGGCCCTGCCGGGACGGGGATGGACGCCGCCAAAGCCTCGCTCCCCGCAGCCTCCCTCGCGGGCCCCGCAGCTGGCGGAGGCCGCCTGACCGCCGGGAGGCTCTTGCGGTCCCGCCGGTCTCCGCGCGTGGCAGACCCCCTCCCGGGAACACGTGCAAGCGAGGCCGAGGGCGAAGCTAGCAAGGGGAGCCTTGCGAGGCCGGCGGGGGAGCGGCGCCCTTCTCGCGGCCCCGGCCGGTCGGGAGCAGACGGGCTCGCTGGGCCGATCCCCGCTCTTCCGCGGAGGGGGCAGAAAAAGGGGCGGCTTCGCGGCGGCGCCCGCATCGCGACGGGGGTGGCCAAAGCGCCCGTCCCGACGACGGACACGATCCGGGAAGGCGACAGAATCGCGGTGCTGCGAAGGCTGCGCCGCCTTTTACGGTTGCGGGCGGCAGCGGAGGAGGAAGCGGGCCGGACGGGCGCCCCGGCGCAGATCGTCGAGAGCGCTTCTCCCGGGCAGAGGCGAGGGGCGCGTTAGGAGGCGCCGGGAGCATCGCCTCCCCCCCTCCTCCTCTCCCGCCCCTCAGGCGAGGAGGCGCCCCCCCTCCCAGGATCGGGCCCCCGAACTCCGGGGCTGAAACCCCCAGAGCCACGCCCACCGGTCACGTGCCCTCGCGGACCCCAACCTGTCGATTCTGGGAAATGTAGTTTCCAGAGGCGAGACGAGCCCCTCGCGAGGAACTACATCTCCCACAATGCCCCGGGAGCTTACCCTTGGGGTGCAGGAGTGCGGTCCGCAAGTCGCTGAGGTGCAAATCGGTGGTGCGGCGACGCCCGGAGGATGCCCTCGTTCCCCCCCCGTCCTGCGTGGGTTTTTTGGATTCTTTAGATTGGGACTTCGCTGCCCATCGCGCACGGCCGCCAAAGTTTCCTGGGAGTTGAGGTCCAACCTTCGTGCCTCCTGGCTGGTAGTCACGAGCGTGCCTGGACAGCGATCTCCGCCCCGCCCGCCCCACGCGAGCAGCTGCCGTCCGTGCTGCGCCCCGGCCCTCCCCCCCCTCCCCCGAGGAAAGCGTTCCCCTTCCCTCGACCCCCCCTCTATCATCCACTTCGGAGTCAGCCCCCTCGCGAGCTGGTACAGCAGCCCGCCCCCCTCCGCGCCACCCGGGCCCGACTCGCCCCTCGCGGAGCCCCCCACCATGCCGACCCGCCACTGCTGGTCCGAGCCGGGCTCCGAGGCCAGGGCGGGGCGCTTCCCGGCCGAGCCCTCGGTCGCCGAGTGAACTGGACCCCGGCGGGCGGTCCTGGGCCGTCACTGGGCCCCCATCCCTTCGGGGGGGTGTCTGGCTCTCCCCTCGGAGGGCTCCCTTTGTCCGAGGAGGGCGGGGGCAGCCCTGGAGGGAAAGGCCGCCACGCAGGCACTTCGGGCGCCAGGTGGCGACTTACGCAAGGAAACGGCTCGCCTCGCCTGCTTCAGCTGCTTGTCCGCGGCTCCTTCCTCTCCGCTGGGGGAGGCTCGTCGCTTTGCCCGGTTGGGGCGCGGGCGGGAAGGTCTCCGGCTTGGCGAGGGGGCGCTGTCGCCCAGCAAACCGTTGCGCGGGTGAGTTTGCCTCCGTTTATCCCCCAAGAACTGGAGACGCCACGGCACCTGGGTTGCTGCCGCTGCTGCTTCCCGCCGGTTGCCCCCCCCGCCCGCCCCCGTCTCCTCCCCGGTACCCTCCAGTGGAGGAATGAACCGTGGGACCGAGCAAAGCTTTGGGGTATGTGGGTCGGACTTGGAGACAGTGCTGCCCCGGGAGCTCTCCGCCTGCCCTGGGCCCAGCCTGGCTTCCCCTGCAGGTGGTGGGCACAGCCGCTGGTTTCCCGGGCGCCTCCATCCACTTGTGCCACCTGCCCTCTGGCTTCCTTGGGGTGTCATTTGTGGAGGAGTCTGGCCTTTGGGCTGGTTGTGGCCAGAATCTGAGGGGGGGGGGGACAGGCGAGGAGAGCCCAGGAGCTGAGAAAGCCCTTGCCGAATGCCAGGAGAGGAGAGCAGAGCAAGGGCTCTCTCAGCTCCTGGGCGGTCCCTGAACAGCCGGGCAGAGGCTAAGGGCCACCCTGGAGCTGCCTGAGCACCAGCTGAGACGGTCTGAGGGATCAAGTCAGTGGCCGGCGGTGCCCGTGAGGCCGCTCTGCCCAGGCCCATCCTTTGGCCAGACGGGGTGGGGGTGCCTGAGCTGCAGTTCACCCACAATAACTAGGGGTGAGCCTGGCTCTCAACCCCCCCCCCGCCTGTACCCTTTCTCCTCTTCCTCTTCCTTGGCCCTCATCATCTCCTCATTAATGCCCCCTCCCTCAGCCAGCTGGTCATAATGAGATGCTAACTGGATTTTCTGTAATATCGGGTCAGAGAAGGCCAGGAATTATGGCTGCAGTCAGCGTATTGTTATTATCAATCAATAACCTATTTATTTTCCAACACTCCTATTAACCTCGGCCAGCCAATCACCATTTCAATTTGAAAAGGCTTTGCAGGACACTCTGCTGAGTGGACAAGCCAGGCTGTTGAAAGGAGTGGGCCTGATTCTGAAGGTGGCATGCGCCTGGGGTCATCTTTCAGGGTGTGTGTGCGTGTGTTAATATCTGTTAACTCTGCATCCTTCTGCCTTTGCTGGGAGGCAGCAGAAAGTCCTCTTTGCATCTTGGGGTGTTCTGGGTCCCTCCTCAGCCCACGGGATGTGTGTGTGTGTGTGTGTGTGTGTGTGTGTGTGTGCCCGTGTGTGGGTCAAGAAGGCCCTGGGTTCGGCATTTGCAGCACAGTCCTGACCCTCCAGAGTATACATCTGCACTGGGTGATAAGCGCTGTGATTGGCTGAGGCCCCTCGCTGGGCTGCCCTCCCTCTGCCAATCACAGCCATCCTCAAAATGAGGGGGGTCTCCTCCTGGGCTCCAGGCTGTTTCGGTGCCCTGCTCCAAGGTTCCCTCCCCACAACCTGCTAAGCCAGGAAAGATGCTGACCCAGCTCAGTGCTGCCCATGGCTGCGGTGTTGACCGAGGATTGGAGAGATCTGGGCTCAGTTCTGAGTCCCGCCGAAAACTGACTGGATCTCTGTCCTCGGCCCCAAGAATGAAAAGAAGACTGAAACTGGTGGGCTAGCCCGGGGGGGGGGCGGTCACCGGGCTCTCTTGGAAGGGCCACTCGGATCCTCACACTCGGCTGCCTTTAAGGGGGGGGGCAGAATGGCTGTGACCTGCTTCAAATCAAGTCACTGATTTGATCTATTTTGACACTTCAAATTGATCCAGAAAATTGTTTTGATTTGATTTTCCAACTCAATGCAGGGGGGAAAAAAGAGGCCTTTTGTGCATGTGATTTGATTTGATTTAACAATTTGACTCAATTCAGAGATTTGATTGAATTGGCTTCAAATTGAATCTCTGCATTAAACCTTGGCCCTATCAATGCCCATTTTGACAATTATTACTGATTCTCTACATAAGGGAACGTTTTTAAATATATTAGCTAGCGGCATTTCCGATTTCATGTTTTAGATTGTGAGATGATGTTCATCGCAAGGCCTGGGGAGTGGGCTCCTCTGGCATGTGCCCTCCCCTCCCTTGGACCCCAAGGAGATAGGCCAGCCCCCTCCTCCTTGTCCTCCCTTTGCCCCACAAATCCTTTTATCACAGCATCTCTTTGGTGGGCTTGCTCTTTGATTTAAGCTGCGTCCCTCCCCTCCCTCTTGTTTTCATCAGGCCTGGTGCTCGCTATCGGCATTTGTCTCCCCTCCAGTCTCTCCTCTCAATTCTCTGGCCCTGATCAATATGCTGGTTGGCCAGTTGGCCTCATAGAGGCTGCAGCATCTCTCTCTCTCTCTCTCTCTCTCTCTCTCTCTCTCTCTCTCTCTCTCTCTCTCTCTCTCTCTCTCTCTTCCCCCCCAAGGCAGCTGTAGTTTTTCTTGTGCAGCGTTTCTCGTTAGGCTTCCATCTCCACTTGTTCTTTTTCTCATTAGGGCTTTCCACAAGGCTAGTAGTATTTCTTCCAGGGCTGTTTTCCAGCTGCTCTCCGGGTCTCTGGCATTCTCAAGAACAAGACTTTTAAAAGTTTCATTTAACTCAAGAGGACTCTGGAGCCTCTTCAGTGGAGTTGGGAAGAATTAAACGGCATGACATTTTGATTTTCCAGGGGGAAGAGGGAAGACCCCTGGCATCCTTCCCAGCCACTTTTTATCTCAAGCAAAAATAGGCTGTGCAGAAAATTATTTTTTATTCTTTTTTGTTCGCTTGCTTTTTCTCCCCAAATAATAAATTTAGAGAAACAAACAGCTTACAGCCTCGTTGAACAAGGTTATATATTTTTCCCTACAAAGAGGAGACACATTCTGGGTTGTTCAGGCCTTCAGGTATAGGAAGGGAAGAGCAGCAAATCTCGCTCCTTTGCTTAACAAAGAGGCACGACGTGTATCCATGCAGCAGAGTTGTGAGATTTGGTCTGAGGACCCAGTCTGGTGCTGGGCTGAAGCTGCTGCCAAGTCCTTCCGTGGGCCTGGACCCTGCCTGGCCCACCTCCTGGCCCCTTCAGGCAGAAAACGGCCCCCTCCAATCCAGCCTGGGTGCAGAGGCGTTTCGAGGCGTCTGTGCCACGGGAGGGGGGAGGGAGAAGCCCCTCAGCTGTTGATGAAATTCAATCTCACCTCCAGCCTGATTATGATAATTTGCAATGCGCCGAGAAAAAGTGAATTATTACTAAATGCAAATAAAGTTAAATAATGCTGTTTGGGAGCAGCTCAGAGTGACAGAAAAGTCATAAATGAGGAGGAGAGATGGGAGTGGCGGCTGAGGCACGGCAGGAGGAGAACTCCTGTCTTTGGCCCCAGAGGAGCCACCTGGAAGGGCCCAGCTGGGCCGAGCAACCTGGACAGCTGGCCTGCAGAGCAGAGACGCCTGCCTGCCCCCTCTCACTCGGGGTCTTGAAAGAAGCCCCACAGGAGGAGACGTTTGCTCCTGGCATCCTCTGGGATGGAGGGGCTGAAGGGAGGGCATTGGCCCACCTCCCTTGGCCACGCTGGCTGCCCTCTCCTGAGCCCCTTCTCTGGGCATGTCAAGGGCCAATGGAACCACGGCTGGGGGACTTGCTCTGCCCGGACAGTGACATTTCTCAGCAAGGAAGGCTGGAAGCCACTGGCTGCAATGCTCAGAGGTGAAATCTGCTGGGTTGTGGAGCATGGCTTGGAAGTGCGAAAGCACCCGTGTGCCTGCTGTTTGCCCAGCACAAAGGATACCCGGAACTGGGCACCACACAAAGGCTAGTGAAGGATTTCCCCAACGTCTTTATGAAAACAAAAAGTAGACCTTTTTTCTGACTTCTGCTCAGTAACAGAAGGTAAGTAAATAAAGCATGGGAAATATTACATTTCATGTATTCTAGATGCCGGTGGTTGGTGTTTTTTTTTTCCAGTTATCAGATTTGAAATCTGGGTGACATTTTAATTTCAGCTCTAACAAGAGCGGTCTAAGCCTCTCCCTGCCTTGCATTTCCTGCATGGGGTGCCGGGATGCTTCTGTCCCAGTCTGCCCATCCCCAAAGAGCAGTTGAACTCCAGAGGGCCCATCCTGGTCTCGAGGGGGGGGGACGTGTGGGGCAGCTCTCTGGGGAGCAGAATCTCTGAGGCTCCCTTGTTACAGCACCACATAGTTCTCTAATGGTCCTGCCACTGTTATGCCACGGAGGCTTTTTGCAATCTCCTATCCTACCAAATCCCCCAGCGAGTCCTCGGTTATGTCCCGTTTTATTAAAGCACCATTGAACTATAGCCTATTGATTTAGATTTCACAGACAATTGAAATTTAAATTGACTCCAAATTGAATGCCTCCATGCAACTTGGAAGAAGACAGGCACTTCTTTTGGGTGATAGCAAAGCGTCTCTGCCTGCCTGAGAGGAGGGTGGCTGGAATAACGGGAGTTTTGAAGAAGCTGCTGCAGGATTGAAGACGGCAGATGTACTTTCCCTTCCTGCAACGCTGAAGCTGAGCGAGGCAACACTATTCATTATTCCACCTTCTTCTGCTGCTACTTTGTGTTTCCCTCGCTGGATAAGCGGGCCCTACAAGTTTGATTTCACAAGCCTGTTTGACCAGAACAATGGGGGGGGGAGGTTTCCCTAGCCAAAAAGGCACGTGGCGGGTCCCTCTGAGAAACCCTTTGCCTGCTGCTGCCCCTGGTTCCAAATCTCCAAGAAAGCCTTTTGGGGGTCCTCCCAATAGCAGAGCTGCTGCTTAAAGAAACGGGCCAGAGAAGTGGCACAAGGACTGGCACCAGGTCTGGGTTGGGGGCATAGGTGGGCTCCATCCATGCCCAAGAGGGCCTCATGCAGAAGGCTGTGGTGGATGTTATTTCTGAAGAGATTCTTTCTCACCCATTCAGGCGCAGGAAGAAAGTTGCAGATGCCCTTCTGAAGTGGGGAAATATGCGGGGGGGGGGGGAGACAGCTGGAGAAGGCCGGGTTTGGTTTCCTCCAGAGGACTCCAGCCTGGGAATTCAACCCTGCTGAAGGTGGCTGAAGAGAGGAAGGGGAGCCTCCACCAAGCAGAAGGAAGACAGGAAGGGCCGAACAAGGCAG